GCGGCGGGCGCCAACGGCGCGCGAGCGTGTGCCTCGCGCGTCGCCTCGGGGCTGAAATACGAAAAAACCAAACGCGCCAAAAGCTGAAGTTTTCCCGCTCGAGCGCGCGATCGACGCGCGCGACCGATTGGCTCGCTGACGCGGCGACGCCGACCGGCGCGCGCCGAACACGGTGCCGACCGCGCGCGGCTGATGAAAATCTGATCCTCTCCTAATCCGCGCACCGGCGACGCATCGCCACTACTCACGCGCCGCGCGCGCACGAGGTCGGCGCACGCGCACGGGTCGAGAGACGACGACGACGACGACATGAGCGTCACGAAAGACATCCTCGCGTCCGGGTGCGTCTCCGCGCTCGCCGCCTTCGTTCGTCGTCGTCCGCGCGCGTCGCCGCCGTCGCGCGCGGCGCGAGCGGACGTCCGTCCATCCGTCCATCTTGCAACGTTTTTTTGGTCACACGCGCTTCGTCTCATCGCATCTCGCGTCGACGTCGACGACGGCGTCCTCGCCGCCGTCGCGACCGTCCCCGTCCATCGCGCGCTGACTGACGATCCATCCCGCGCGCCCCTCGCGATCGTCGTCGAATCGAATCGAATCGAATCGAATCGAATCGAATCGAATCCCTTCGCAGCCTCCGGAGCGTGTTGGACAGCCCCGGGCATCGCCTCCACACGACGCGCGAGCGAGGCGAGCGTCACCTGATGAGGAGTTCCGCACCGTCGTTCACCGCGCACAGCGCCGCGCGCGAGCAGAGCGACCTGCAGAAGACGCTGATCAAATCCGCGAAGGACGTCTTCGCGGGCACGTGCGGCGGGATCACGGTGACGCTCCTGGGGCACCCGTTCGACACCGTCAAGGTGCTGCTCCAGACGCAGCCGGCGAAGAACCCGATCTATAGCGGCCCGATCGACGCGGCGACGAAAGTGATCAAAGCCGAGGGGTTCGGGGGTCTGTACAAGGGCGTGACGTCGCCGCTCGCGGGGCAGATGTTCTTCCGCGCCGGTCTGTTCTTCGGGTACGCGCGCGCGAAGGAGGTGGTCGGCGTCTCGCCGGACGATCCGTTGAGTTACTTCAAAGCCGGCTCGCTCGCGTGGCTCGCGGGGACGATGTTCGAGTCGCCGATCGACCTGTTCAAATCGCAGTGGCAGACGCAGCTGATCAAGGCGAAGCAGAACCCTAACTACAAGCCGCCGTACGCGACGGTCGCGGAGTGCGTCAAGGCGTCGTTCAAGTACAGCGGCATACGAGGGCCGTACCAGGCGTTGGGGGCGACGATGACGAGGAACCTTCCGGCGGGGGCGATTTACTTTGGCGTCTTCGAGGTGCGTTCTATACACTGGTCCCCATACGACCCCGTTCGCGTGGTGAACGCCGTTTCTTAAGGACTTTTCCCGGCGTCTCCCTCCGCCCATCCCTTGCGTTCAACCCATCCCTTGCGTTCAATCCCCGCCATCGACGTCTTTCGACTCCATCTGACGCCTTTCAACTCCACCCCGACGTCGCTTTGTATGGAACGACTCTGAGAACACGAAAAACTGGTTCGCCGCGCGGAACGAAAGCGGCGTGGCGAAGGACTGGCAGATCATGTTCGCGGGCGGGTTCGGCGGGTTCTTGTACTGGTCTCTGTTCTACCCCGTCGACGTCATCAAGTCCGCGATGATGACGGATTCCATAAACCCGGCGGAGAGGCAGTACAAGGGGTTCCTAGACGCGGCGAAGAAACTGCACGCGCAAGGGGGGACGAGACGGCTGTACGCTGGTCTCGTGCCGTGCTTACTGCGCGCGTCCCCGGCGAACGCGGGGATGTTGTTCACGGTGGACAAGATCAAACAGATGTTGGACGCGTGATGGGGTGGAGGGGTGGGGGGGGGGGAAGCGAAGCGAAGCGAAGCGAAGCGAGATCTACGAGAGCGAGAGCGGACGCCGCGTCGTTCAATTTTTTACGTACCACTACAACGTCAGCTCCTCGCCGGAGACCACCACGCCGTCCGAGTCCGCGTATATCCAGTCCCCCGGGGACACGGTCACGCCCGCGAACGACACGTCGACGTCGCGCAACCCCGGGTCTCTCTTCGACGACGGCACCGGGTGCGCCGCGATCGCTTTCACGCCGACGCGGCACCGGCCCACGTCGTCCACGTCGCGCACGCAGCCGTTGACGACGACCCCGCTCCATCCGTTCTTCGCCGCGAGCGCGGCGAGGTTGTCCCCCATCAGCGCGCACCGCGTGGAGCCTCCGCCGTCGACGACGAGGACGCGCCCGTCGCCGGGCTCGTTGAGCGCCGCGCGCACGAGCGGGTTGTTCTCATGGCAGCGTATCGTGGACGCGCGGCCGGCAAACTTTTTCAATCCTCCGAAATCTTTGAAGTACCCCGCGGTCATGACGCGGAGCTTCCGCGTCGCGATCACGTCCATCGGCTCCGGGCCGAAGTGCTTGTCCACGTACTCGGACGTCCCCGCGCGCGAGGGGTCGTACCCGAACGTCGGGTCCGCGCCGTGGCCGCAGCGGACGACGACGCGCGAGTGCGCCCCTCCGAACGGAGGCGGACGCGGGCTGGGGGCGACGCCGCGGCCGCACGACGACGACGACGTCGACGTCGACGGAAGCGCGGCGGAGGACGCGGCGAGGAACGAAGGCGCGCGCGCGGAAGCGCGCGCGAGCGCGAGGAGCTTCGTCCGCGCGGACATCCCCGCGCGGCGTCGCGTCGCGACGCGACGCGTGCGGCGCGCGAGACGAACTGGCGTCCGACGATGTTCTGAATGATCGACGAGAGACGCGAGCGGGCGAGGACAGTCTAGTTTTCGCTCTCCGGAGCGACCGTCGTCGAGTCGGCGCGCGGACGGAGTGTGCGCGCACGCGGTCTAGCTAGTCGTCGTCCGCCCTCGACCTAATGATGAATGACGACGCTATCGCGCTATCGCTAGTATCGCTATGCCTGAGACGCCGCCGTCGCCGTGAACCGCGTCGCCCCCGACCCGACGTGCAGGACGTTCAGCGCGCTCAGGGTCGTTCCATACAAAGCGATGGCGGGGTGGTGTTGAAAGGCGTCAGTTGAAGTTGAAAGGCGTCGAGGGTGGGGATTGTGAGCGAAGGGTGGGCGGAGAGAGACGCCGGGCAAAGTCCTTAAGGAACGGCGTTGGCGTTCACCACGCCGACGGGGTCGTATGGGGACCAGTGTATAGAACGCACCTCATCATGTCCTCGAGCTCGGCGTCGGAGTCGTACGGCGTCGAGAGGAACCCGTCGAATTTCGGCACCGCGTCCTGTCGTGAGGGCGGGAGGAGTCGAAAGGCGTCGGTCGACGTCGTGAGGCGTCGAGGTCGGGCGTCGAAAGGGTCGAGGGGCGATGGGCGGAGAGACGCGCCGGGAGAGAAATTCCTTAAGGAACGGCGTTCACCGCGCCGACGCGGTCGTATGGGGACCAGTGTGGTAATAGAACGCGCCTGCCCGTCCTTCGCCGCGTTCGCGTCGCGAAGACACAGCACCGTGGACTTCCGCTCCCGGCACTTCGCGCCTCTCGAGTCCACGTCCACGAGCTCGACGCGCAGCTTCGCGAGGAACGATTTGATCGCGTCTCCGTCGCCGCGGAGGATCAGGTACGCGCCGTCGACGCGCCCCGCGGGGAAGCCGCCGCCTGCGTGGGTGAAGCGATCGGTCAGTCGAACGTCTTACCGGTCAAACGTTGAAAGGGAAGCGCGGGTGAAGAGTGACGACGGGAAAAGTCCTTAAGGAACGGCGTGCACCACGCGAACGGGGTCGTATGGGAAGCAGTCTCACCGCCGCCGCCGCCGCCGGACGGGTCGCGCGCGAACAGACGCGCGGAGAGCCCTCCGACCGCCGCCCACTTCTTCAGCTTCTTCACGTACCCGCTCGAGTCGTTCATGTGGTCGATCTTCACGACCGCGACCTGACACCCGTCGTCGTCGCCGCCGCCGCCGCCCGCGTCCGCCGCCGCCGCCGCCGCCGCCGCCGCCGCCGCCGCGTCCGCCGCCGCCGCCGCCGCGAGGTCGCTCGCCTCCTGCGTCAGCTCCATGAGGCACTCGCCGCCGTCCTCGCCGAGCGCGGTCGTCCTCGACGCCGCGAGCGCTCTCAGCCTCGCGAGCGCGCTCGCGGCGACGTCGCGAGGGAGCGCGCTCGACGAGCAATCCAACTCGAGCTCGGGCGCCGCGCGCGGGTACTCCGACGGCAGCGTCGCGCGGAGGACGACGACGCCGCCGTCGAATCGATCGTCGTCCACGCCGTCGCCGTCGCCGTCGCGACGACGAGCGCGTCGCACCGGGATCGTCAGCGTCGCGCGCGGCCGCGGCAGCGCCGCGAGCGCGTCGTCGCTCGGCGTCTCGCCCGCGCCGTCGTCCCACGCGTCGAGGAGCGTTCGCGCGTCGGCGTTCGCGTCGACGTCGGAACGTGTCATCGCGATCTCCGCCCCCGCCGCGGTCGCGGGCGCGTCGTCGGGGTACATCGCCGCGAGGCACTCCAGCTCCATGAGTTGCCGCGACAGCGTCTCCATCGCGCGCGGTGGGGCGGCGCGCGCGCGATGGAGACGCTGGCGCGTGGCCGGGGCGCGCGCGAGGACGACACTGCGAACACGCGAGGGCGACGGCGTTTTAAAAGGACGACGGATGCAGGGTGAACGCACATGGTTTCCAGGGTCAAGCACGTGGTTTCCAAGGTCAAGGAGTTCGTTGAAAGGGTTCGGTGATATTCTCGTTTCCCGAACTACCGGCCGACTCTCCCTACCTGTCGAAACCCGGCGGCGAACGATCGAGCGACGAACGCGGCGGACGGCGCGGACGCGCCTCGGCGCCGATCGGCGGGACGCGCTCGCGCGGCGGCCGCGATCGGGTCGACGCGCGCGAGATCGCGCGAGAGGTGGGGGGCGGGGGCTCGAGTCCGCGAGCGATGGTCGTTCGGACGCGCGCGCGCGCCGCGGGGCACGTGTACGAACATCGTCAGCGGGATACGCACGTATCTAATGGCCCTTTCACCGAACAAAGAGGTCCATTTAGAGGACGCGCGGGCGACGCGCGCGCGCGCGAGATGAACGGCGAGGACCCCCGCGGCGGTGGCGGGGGAAGAACGTCCGTCCCCGGACGGATCTCGTTCGACGACCCGGAGGAGCTCCCGCCGCCGTCGCGCGAGCGACGGAGCCTGCGGAGTTCCGCCGGCCTCGGGGACGCGTCCGCGGAGGAGGATTCGCCACCGAATTTTAGAAATCGCAGCGGACGCTCGTCCGCGACGGACAGCGGCGCGACGAGCGGCGATGACGGCGACGTCGTCGCGCCGGTGAACCGCCACAGGCGCCCGGTGAGGCATAAGTCCTTCGGGCACATGCTCCAGGGGATGCAGAAGCACGGGACCGCGCAGGCGGGGGAGAGATACCGCCAGACGCGGAAGAAACTGAGCGCGTCGCAGTTCCGCAGCGAGAAGACGCTGTCGACGGGCGCGGACGAGAGCGACGAGTCCTCGAGAGGGTCGAGAGCGAGGCGCTCGAAGGCGTCGAATATCCCGCTGAACCCGCTGTACGTGTGGTCGAACCCCGAAGACGAGCCGGACGGGATCCCGAGAGCGCTCGGGCTTCGAGCCGTGGACCCGAGGGCGTCGAATTGGACAAAGTTCAAGCGTTGGTTCGACACCGCGCACGTGTTAGACTTCGAGAGCGAGTTCAACCGGAACTGGGACGTCCTCACCGCCGTGATGCTCGTCTTCGTCGCGATCGTGACGCCGTTCGAGCTCGGGTTCTTAGAGACGGAGGTGAGGACCGCCGGGGGGATCTTTTTGTTCACGCTGAACCGAATCGTCGACTTCGTCTTCTTTCTGGACATCATCGTGAGCTGCTCGACCGCGTACGTGGACAAGCGAGGGACGAAGATATTCTCGCGCTTCATGATCATGAAGAACTACGCCAAATCGTGGATGGCGGTCGACGTCGTATCGATCGCGCCCATGGACACCGTGAACGTGATTTTGGAATCGCAGGGAAAGAGCGGGACGGATAACCTGAAGGCGATTCGGTTCGTGCGTCTGCTGAGGCTGCTGAAGATGCTGCGCATCCTGCGCGGGCTCCGGATCTTCAAGCGCTGGAAGTCCCGCCTCGCGATCAACTACGCCGTCTTGTCGTTGCAGAAGTACTTTCTCACCCTCGTCCTCGCCTCGCACTGGCTCGGGTGCACGCTCATGCTCGTGCACAGCATCTTGAAGGACGACTGCGCGGACGTCGCCGACGACATGACGAAGTGCACGTTTCTGTACGCGTACGACGACGGATCTATGGTCACCGCGGGCGTCGGCCCACAGTACGGGTTCTCGCTCTACTTCGCGACCGGGACGATCATGGGGATGCCGCTCGGGGACGTTTCGCCGGTTCGCGACGAGGAGCGGACGTATTTCATCTTTTGCCAAACCGTCGCGGGTCTCGTGAACGCGTACTTGCTCGGCGGGATGGTGTCTTCGATCGCGGCGCTGCAGGCGAGAAACCAGACGTTCTACAACGCGATGGATAACCTGAACCGGTTCTTGAAAGAGAAGCGGTTGACCGCGAAGAACCCTCGTCTGTGCGAGCGCCTGCGGTCGTACTACATCTTCCGGCACCGCGAAAACGACGGCGACGGGTGGAAGGACATCGTGAACCGAACGTCTCGAGAGATGCAAGGCGAGGTCGTCCAGGAGTTACACAACGAGTGGCTCTCGAACGTTACGTACTTCCACGGCGTCGACGTGGACGGCGTCCCGTGGGCCGTGGACGAGGACTTCAAGCTGAATCTCTCGCTCACGATGTCAATCGACATCGTCGCGCCGCTAGAAGCCGTGTTCAAAGAAGACTCCCCGATCGACAAGCTGTACGTCATCCAGCAGGGCCTCGTCGGCGTGCACAACAGGGTCTTACATCGCGGGCAACCGTTCGGGGAGGACGTGCTCGTGTACTACAAAGAGACGGTGGAAGACCTGGACGAGATGTTCGAGGCGACCGGACGACGCTTCGTGTCGCGACCCAACAGCCGCGGGTACAGAGCGACGGCGCTGACGAATTTGATCTGCATGGCGTTCCCCGGGGAGGCCATACACAGCCTCCTTGCGAAGCCGAAGTACGAGTACGTCCGAGATCAAGTGCGACGGAAGATGTTTAGATGGCAGGTGAAGCACATCTGGCTGAACATGATGCGCACCATGCACAAGGCGGTCGCGGCGGAGACGTACGCCGACGGCGTGCAAATCTTATTAGAAGAGTTTGGCGAGGAGACGCTCGAACGGCTGCCGATCATAACGTTTCACTACATGCGCCTGCGCGAACTCGAGGGCGACGGCGTCGTGAAAGTCGTCCGGCTGTTCCGCAAGATGTCGAACCGGAAGTCGTTCGTCGAGGCCGTGAAGGGGTTGGTCGAGCGCCGGCGAAGGATAAACTCGCTGATCGCCGTGCGCAAGGAGCTGCGCGATTTTTTGGAGCCGCTGGAGGCGATGCGGCACGCGAACGATCTCATCGCGCAGGGAGTGACGATTCGAACGGTGAAGAGTTTCGGCACGATGGAGCTCGTCGCGAGCGGGATCCCGGTCTTGCTCGCGAAGCGGATATACAACAAGGCGAGGACGTTGCCGGACGCGGGCGACGCCGTGGAGGAGCTCGACGGCGTCGTCGTGGATCTACGCTTCGTGCACGACGAGAAGGTCAAGCGCGAGCTCGCGGAGATGGAGGAGCAGGAGAATTACCTTCGCGACAGGAAGAAGCTTCTGGCGGAGGCGAAAGAGCCGCCCGTGCTCAGCGGCGGGTTCGCGAGGGCGATGGCCGGCGGCGGCGCGAAGAAGGAAGATTCCAGCGCGTCGGCGACGGGTACGGCCGGGCGGGCGTCGCCGTCGCCGAAGAAAGCCGACGCGCGGGTTTCGGGGACGTTCTCGTGACCGGCGTCGTCGTGATGAGGAGGAAAGAAGGGCGTCGGCGACGGGCGGGGGGTCGATCGCGGAGGCGATCCCCGCCCGGATTTGGTGTTCATCAGTGTTCGAGGCGGAAGACAAGCGAGGCTGCGGAGAAAGAAAGTCCGATAGATAATTTTTAGAACAAGTTGACGAACGTGACGACGAGTCGAGCGGCAGCGCGCAGAAGCGCGCGCGCGGGGGATGACGACCGCGGCCGCGGAAGGGCGCGAATCGCCGTCGCGCGCGCCGGCGACGTGCCGGCACTGGCTTCGAGCGCGGGCGTGCCTCTACGGCGACTCGTGCAAGTTCGCGCATCCGCCGGACGACGCGGCGCGCTCGTCGGTCGACGACGTCGAATCTTGTCGGCGACCGAACGGCGACGGCGACGGCTCGACGCGCCGCCGCCGCCGCCGCTCGCGCGTGCGCAAGCGCGGGAAGTGCGGGTTCATGCGCCGCTTCCTGCTGGACACGTACGGCGTCGAGACGCTCCAGAGCGGCGTCGTCGTGGACGTCGGCGGCGGGAGAGGCGAGCTCTCGTTCGAGCTCGAGAACCTGAACGACGTGCGATGCGTCGTCGTGGATCCGCAGCCGCTGAAGGTCTCGCGCCTCGAAGCGAAGCTTCGCGGCGGTTGGTACCACCGTACGGCGCCGCTGCAGCGATACAACACGCGCGACGCGGAGGGGACCGCGCGAGACGGGGACGAGGGCGGCGACGACGACCGAACCGGCGCCGGCGCCGGCGCCGCCGCGCGGCGGCCGGCGCACTGGCGCCTGCTGTGGTCGCCGAGCCTCTGGTCCGGCGACGTCGGCCCGACGCGGACGTCGGTGTACCGCGCGTGGGCGGCGGCGAGGACGGTCCGGTTCTTCGAGTCCGGGTCGGGGAAGGAGACGCGAGCCGCCGCCGCCGCCGGCGGCGGCGGCGGCGCGCACGACGCGAGCTCCGCGCTCGTCTCCCGCGCGCTGAAACGCCTCGACGACGCCGACGTCGACGTCGAGACGGCGCGACCGCGGCGGCCGAACGACGACACCGACGCCGCCGCCGACGACGACGAACGCTGCGAGTGCGGCGGGCGCGACGACCCCTCGACGACGCCCGAGGGCGTTCGCCCGCGCGACGAAGTCCTTAAGGAACGGCGTTCACCACGCGAACGCGGTCGTATGGGAACCAGTCACGACGACGCCGCCGCCGCGTGCGACGCGTTCCCCCCCGACGCCGCGTGCGACGCGTTCCCCCCCGACGCCGCGACCGTCGCCGCCGCGCTCGCGTCGTGCTCCATCCTCGTCGGCATGCACCCCGACCAGGCCACGGAGTGGATCGTGGACTACGCGCTGGAGCACCGGAAACCGTTCGCGGTCGTGCCGTGCTGCGTGTGTCCGACGGCGTTTCCGCGCCGACGCACATCCGCGGGCGGCGCCGTGATCACGCACGACGATTTCGTTGCGTATCTGACGCGCAAGGGCGAGGACGGGGAGATCGCGAGCGCGAGGTTGGGGTTCGAGGGGAAGGATGTCGTCGTGTACTCGACGTACGGGCGGCGGGGCGGGCGCGAGGACAGCGCGCGCTCGCAGCGCGGCGGGTAGTCTAGCTGCTAGAATGATAAAAACACGCATCTCACAGCACTGCGCGCGGGCTGCATTTTCGTCACTCGCGGTACGAATCGCGCGGGGCGCGGCGCGCGATCGCCACTGCAGCAGCGCGACGCGACCGCACATCGCGCCCCGCGCGTTTCCTTCCCCCCCTCGCACTCGCGGAAGAGCGCGTCCGCGCGGACGCGCGCGCTCGGACCGTCGCCGCCTCCCTCCTCGAGCGCGATCGATCGATGGCGGGCGGGTCGTCGCAGCTCCTCGTCTCCGGCCTGCCGCCGATCAGCGCGGACGACTTCAGCCAGCTCTTCTCGCAGTCCGGATGCGTCTCGTCCAGGCTCGGGGTGGATAACTCCGGAATGTGCGTGCGCGGTCGTCCTCGCGTCGCCGTCGATCGCCCTCGCCCCGCGTCGCCGTCGATCGCCGTCGATCGCGGCCGCCGCCCCCGAACCGTCGGTCCGCCCCGTTTTCCGACGCGCTTCTCGGCGCCTGCTCGATCGATCGGATCGTCGTCGCCCTCCGAGCGCGTCGCGCGATCGCGCTGACGACGTCGCCTCCTCTCCTCCGTCGCAGGCAAGTCGGGTACGTGGACTTCCCCGACGAAGCGAGCGCGATGACGGCGCGGAACTTTTACGCGGGGTGGAAGCTCCCGGGGCAGACGGGCGCCGGGATCTCGCTCGAGGTGCGCGACGCGACGAGAGCGAGCGACGCGCTCTTCGCGCTCATCGAGTTTATTTCATGATTAACCCTAACCGACGCCGCCGACGCCGACGTCGTCGGCCGCGGTCGTCGCGCCCGCCCCCCGTCTCCCCTTCGTCGCGACATTCCATCTCGATCCGTCGACTGACGTCGCGGTCTTCTCCTCTCTTCGTGGGGCTCCCTCCTCGCGCGCGTCGCAGCTCGTGTCGACGTACCAGCCGCAGGGTGGCGGGATGGGCGGGTTGGGCGACGTCCCCGCCGCGAAACGCGGCCGCTCGGATTACGAGCAGACGGGCGGCGTCGTCCAAGGAGGCGGGGGCGGGGGTGGGTGGGGCCACGGCGCGAGAGGCGGCGGCGGCAGCGGCGGGATGGACAGCTACGGCGGCGGCGGGATGATGGGCGGGCAGCAGCAACAGCAGCAGCAGCAGATGGGGGGAGGCGGGAACTGGAACCAACAGGGCGGCGGCGGCGGCGGCGGCATGCAGCAGCAGCAGCAGCAGCCCATGGGCGGCGGGCAGCAGATGGGCGGCGGCGGCGGCGGCGGCATGGGCGGCGGCGGGCAACTCATGGGAGGCGGCGGGCAGCAGATGGGCGGCGCCGGGATGATGCAAGGCGGCCCCGGCCCGCCGATGGCGATGGGTCAGCAGGGCGGCGGCGGGATGGGAATGATGCAGGGCGGCGGCGGCGGCGGCGGCGGAGGGCGGATGATGCAGGGCGGCGGCGGCGGCGGCCCGTCGCCGATGCCGCCGCTGCCTCCGATGCCTGGGATGATGCGTCCAGGACCCGGCCCCGGACCGGGACCGGGAAGCATGGGCATGGGCATGGGCCCCGGCCCCGGCCCGGGCCCGGGCCCCGGACCGGGACCGATGGGCCCCGGCCCCGGCCCCGGCCCCCGCCGCGGACCGCCGCTCCCGCGCGACGCGTCCCCGACGCTCTACATCGAGGGCGTCCCGCACGACGCGACCGTGCGCGAGATCGCGCACATCTTCCGCCCGTTCGACGGGTTCCAATCCACCAGGCTCGTGAAGAAGGAGAACGTGCGCGGGCCGCTGTGTTTCGCGGAGTTCGCCGGCGCCGACCTCGCGTTCGCCGCGTTGAACACGCTGCAAGGGTACGTCCTGGACCGCGACGACCCGAAGAGCCCGGCGCTGAGGATCGTCTTCGCGAAGAGCAAGGGGCGCGTGCCGCCTGGGAAGGGAGGGCCGGGGGGCGGCGGCGCGGGAGATCGCGGGGGGCGGCGGTGAGGTGAGGGCGTCGTCGCGAGCGGGCGACGGGCGGTTTCGTAATTTGAGACGCGGCGGCGCGGCGCGGCGCGGCGGCGCGGCGCGGCGCGGCGTCGAGTCGAGTCGTTCGTCGTCGAAAGTCTCACACATTTAATTTAAAATCATGAGCTTGCTAAAACCGGCTGGCTGCTATTACATATGCGTTGCGCGTGAGCGTGCCGCGGCGCGTAATAAAACGTCGCGTCGCGTCGTTTCTTATGTGTCAAAAATCAGATCATCCGTCGTCGTCGAATCGCAAACGACTCGTCGGTCTCGTCGTCGCAGAAGACTCACGCCGCGGTCGCCTTCTCGCCCTGCTTGAAGTCGACGTCCACGTCGCGCGCGGACCCGACGCCAAACTTCACGGAGATGTCCACCGACGGCCTTAACGCGCAGCAGTTGGCGATCGCGATGTGCGCCGGGTTGGACAGAAACTTCGACTTGATCTCCTCGTCAATCCCGGAGCCGTTGTCCACGGAGACGTACGCCTGCTGCTCGAGGTTGTAATCGAACCGCGGCGCCCACTTCCGCGAACCCAGACGCGCGGTGTACGAGCAGTTGTCGACCATGAAAGCCACCCCGCGCGCGTGCATGTACGGGTTCAACGAGTCCACCGCCTCGATCACGGACTCGTTGCACACCTCGGAGAACGAGTGCCCCTTCTCGCGAAGCGTGTCGATCTGCGCCATCATGCACGCGCAGTACACGCCCGCGGTGAACGCGTTGAGGGGGATGTCCTCCTCGACGCGCTCCGCGCGGACCTTCTCGCCAACCTTCCACATCGCGGACGTGCCAACCTTCCCCATCGGGAACTGGTCGAATCGCTCCACCGCCATGACGACGCTGCGAATCTCGTTCGTGCTCTGCACCTCCTCGTAGCACTCGTAGAGGATGTCCTTCGTCGGCATGTACGATGCGCTGTACGCCCGCATGAACTCGTCCTTGTCCTCCACAGCCTCGTACACCGCCTTGATGCCCTGCGTGGAGATGATCTTCGTGATCGGCCCGGTGATGCACTCCACCGTGTTCTTAAACGCGTCCTCCGGGGACATGCCCTCCTTGGTGTACCGGCGGTAGAGCGATTCGACGATGCCGTGCACCCCGCCGAGCAGGATGCCGCGCTCGCCGAAAATATCCGAGCGGTACTCCATCTCGAGCGTCGTCGCGAACGTGAACGGCGACCCGACCGCGATGGACCAGCCCAGGGCGATGTCCGTCGCGTTCCCCGTCGCGTCCTGGTGGACGGCGAACGACGCGTTGATGCCCGAGCCGCCAACCTCCTTGCCTTGCTCGTAGAGACGACGCACGGACGGGCCCATGCCCTTCGGCGCGACGAGGACGACGTTGATGTCCTCGCGGAAGGTGGTGCCGTCGGAGTTCATGACGCCGAGGAGGAAGCCGTGGGAGAGGCCGAGCGTGGCGCCGGGCTTCATCGCCGCGAGGATGCGCGGGTACATCTTCGCCTGCGCGGCGTCGGAGATGAGGAGCATCACGAGGTCCGACTTGGCGATGACGTCGAAGGTCTCGCCGAGGGTGCCGTCCTCCTCGGTGAAGCCGCACTTGCGCGCTTCGTCGTTGGACGAGGACGTCGGGCGGAGGCCGATGCACACTTTCGTGTCCATGCCCGCCTCCGCGAGGGAGTCCCTGAAGTTCTGCGCTTGCGCGGGGGCTTGCGATCCCCAGCCGATGACGCCGATGGTGTTGATGCCCTTGAGCGCCTCCGGAAGCTTCTCGAAGAGGTGCCTTCCGCCCTTGACGATGTACTCGCCCTCGCCCGCGACGTCGACGAGCTCCTTCTCGAACACCTTGGTGTTGATGTCGAGCTCGGGGGTGGACGTCTTCGCGGTCGCGGCGGCGACGACGCGGCGCGCGAGCTTGAGGGGTTTCCCGGCGTAGGGTTTAGCGGACGCGACGGACTTGCGCGCGGAGAGCGCGGAGGCGCGCGCGGACGCGGCGGTGGCCGCGGCGGACATCGCGGCGGTCGTGGCGGACATTATTTACGAAAACGAGCGTGACTCGAATGAACGCCGTCGGTGGACGTGCGTCGCTGAATGCGGTGGACGACGGCGGCGATTCCGTCGTTACGGAGAACTTCCGAAGCCGGGATCGAAAAGAACGGCGTCGTGAACCGTCGGTTATTCCGCATCAAGGGCCAGATTTCAGCGCGAACTGATTTCGCATAAGTCAACTTACGATTTTTACGCGCGAGCGTACGTAGCCCTAGTACGAAACGACGGATCGTATCGAAAAAGTCATCTACATCCGCGAGACTACAACTTCGCCGCCCCCACCCCCGCGCCCTCGCCTTGACACGTCACCACGACCTTCCCGATCGCCCTTCGCTCCGCGAGCGCTCGAAACGCCTCGCTCGCGTCGTCGAGCGCGAACGAGTGCGACACGCGCACGCGCAGCTTGCCCTCGCGCAGCAGCCGCGTCGTCTCCCTCGCCGACGCCTGAAACGTCGCCGGGTCGCCCGTCGCGTACGACCCCCAATACACGCCGTGCACGGTGACGTTCTTCACCAGCGGGACGTTCATCGCGAGCGTCGGGATCTCGCCGCTCGCGAACCCGATCACGAGAACCTGACCGCCCCACGCGACGCACTTGACGCCGCTCTTAAACGCGGCGCCGCCGACGTTGTCGAAGAAGACGTCCACGCCGCGTCGCGTCGCGGGCGCGAGCGCGGTCACCGCCTTCCTGAGCCCCGCGAACGCCGCCGAGGAGGAAGACGCGCCGCCGCCGCTGTCGCCGCCGCTCCCGCGCTCCTCCCCGCGCGGCGGCGTCCTCAGCGCGTCGCTGTCGAGGCAGTAGTCCGCGCCCGCGCTCGCGCACGCGTCGAGTTTTTCTTCACCTCGAGCGACGGCGATCACCGTCGCGCCCATCGCTTTCGCGATCTGCACCGCGGCCATCCCGACGCCGCCGCCCGCGCCCGTCACGAGCACGGTCTGGCCCGCGCGCAGACGCGCGCGGTGCGCGAGCGCGACGTGCGCGGTGCCGTACGCCACCGGAAACGCGGCGGCTGCGGAGAGGTCCACGCCGCTCGGCACCGCGAAGCACTGCGCGCTCGCGCGAGGGACGACCACCTCGGACGCCATCGCGCCGCCGCCGACGAGCACGCCGGCGACGGCGTCGCCGACTTTGAACGCGCTTGTTACGGCGTCGCCGACCTCGGTGATCACGCCGGAGAACTCGCCGCCCGGGGTGAACGGCAGCGGCGGGCGCTCTTGATACAGGCCGCGACACTGTAACAAATCTGCGAAGTTCAGCGCGGCCGCGTGGACGGCGACGCGGACGCCCTCGGGGGGGACGACGTCGACGCGAGGGACGTCGTCGACGCGAAGGACGCCATCAGATAGGCGCGTGGGGTCCCCGAGCTTGACGCAGCGCAGCGCGCGGACCATGACGACGCGCCGGCGCGCGCGTCGAGGACTGCCGCGACGAGTCGCGCGTTCGTCCGTCATTGGAAGCGACGACATGTACTTTATCCGAGACGTTTTATCCGAGACCGTTATCCGCCCGCCGCCGCGCCGTCTTCGAGCCGCCTCTCGTCTGTTTCGCTCGCTTCGGTAGTATTACATCTCGAGAACAACGCCTAGTTGTACTACAGTACGTCACGCTTCACGCTTCAACGCGCGACCCCACACGCGCACCCTCCATCGCGGCCGCCGTCACGTCACGGCGACGACGACTTCGTCGGCGACTCCGGCACTCGCACGCAGTAGTTCGTCTCCGGCTGCGGCAGCTGCTCCATCAGACGCATCAGCATCGCCTTCTCCTCCACGAACTGCTCGTCCTCCCGGTCGTTCTGAAAGTTCGCGAGGTATCCGATCATCTTCTCGCGGTTCTTCAACAAGATGGACAGCACCGCCGGCGGTTTGTTCGGGTTGGCGACGAAAACCTTGAAGACGTGAAACGCCTCGAACTGAATGCTCTGTCGACGGGAGAGGAGAGGCGAGGCGCGCGGGGGCGGCGGGGTCAGTCGCGGTCGGGCCGGTCGTGTCATCATTACATTTTGAAAGGCGAGCGAGGGCGTTCGAAAGGCACGGGCGAGGGCGACGAGAGAGAGAGAAGGAAGATGGACGGACGGGCGCGAGCGCGAACCTTGGCCTCGTCTCGCAGCAGGTTCATCATGAGGCACATGTTCTCGACGCTGCCGATGTATCGCATCATGCTCCCGACGTTCGCGCGGTCTAACAGCAGCTCGGACAACAACTTCAAGCTCTGCCGCCGCGTGACGTAGTTCCCGTTCTCGAGCATCGCGTTGAACTTCCCGAAGAAGCCGTCGAAGTGCTCGGAGAGAAACGTCGCGACGGCGCCCTTGTGCCGCGTGAGAATCTCTCGAAAGCTCGCCGCCGCATCCGACGCGATCTCAAACGTCGGCAGCTGCATGTACTCGAACATCTTCTCGAATTTCGCGTCGCGCAGCACCGCGGCGCACAGTCGCTCGTGCCGAACCGCCTCTCGCAGCATCGTCCCGAGCGTCAGCGCCGCGGACGCGTCGCCGCCGCCGCCGCCCTGGCCGTCCGCCTCCGCGCCCGCCAGCTCCGACGCGGTCGTCATCGTCCTCAGCAACTCCGGTCGCCGCTCTAGATACTCCACGAACGGGCACGGCGCGTCCTCGGGCTCGACGCGCATCAGCCCGTTGAACACCGCAGCGGCGTCTTTCCTCGTCTCGAAGTGGAGCGACGGCAGGGACGCGATGAGGACGCCGAGGAGGTCGCTCTTCGCCACCTCGCTCGCGAGCGTCGACTGCGTCGCGGGGTCGGGCGGCGCGTCCGTCTCGCCGAACATGATCGCGCGCATCTCGCCGAGGTACTTCGCGATGGCCTCTTGGTCCTGCAGTCGCGGGGGAGGAAGCGAGCGGGGGGGAAGGGGGCGGCGCGGAGGAGGAGGAGGGAGGGGGAAAGGTCAGCGAGGGGACGACGCGAGGGAACGATCGATCGACGCGAGAGAGCGAACGTTCATTATTCCGATCGTCCGAGCTCGCCCGGCCGCGGGCGAGGGGTCGGCGCGGGGACGGACGGGGACGCGCCTTCTCGCCGCCGCCGCCGCCGCCGAGGCTGTTCAGCGAGTTCAGGAGCTTCACCGCGAGCTCCGCGGGCGTGCGCTTCTTCTTCGCGAAGACCCCCATCGCGAGGGCGTCTCGAGGCCGGCGTGGGGCGCGCCGATCTGGCCGCCGTTCGACTCGTGACACACTTTCGTCATGGGGTGCCCTAAGTTCGTTACGTGCCCTAAGTTCGTTCTGTAGCTCTCGATTCGCGATCAAATATCGAGTCGCGATCAAATATTCGCGATGAAATGTCGACATTCGCGATGAAATGTCGACATTCGCGATCAACCGTTGCCGCCCGGCCGGCCATCGCGCGCGCGGCGGTCAACAAACGGCACCCGCCAGATCGATCGACGGTCGACCGCCGTCCAGTCCTTCCTCGCGCGGCCGCACGCACGCGCGCGGGGTCGGCGCGCCCCGATCGCGACCGCGCGGAAGACCCGGAGGAGTCTCGTCCCGCCCCGCACCCCCTCGCGGCGTCGCGCGTCGTCCGCGCCGTCGTCCACACCATGGCGCCGATAACGCTGGAGATGATCCGACGCAGGGCGGAGCACAACGAGGGCATGGTCTCGAACCTCGAGGAAGTCTCCCTGCATCAGCAAGAGATCGAGCGCATCGAGGCGTTGGGGCACGTATGCCGCCACCTGAAGATCCTGTACATGCAAAACAACCTCGTGAGCAAGCTGGAGAACCTCCACCGCCTCAAGGAGCTGGAGTACGCCAACTTCGCGGTGAACAACATCTCTAAGATCGAAAACTTACAACGCTGCGAGTCTCTCGTCAAGCTCGACCTGACGGTGAACTTCATCGCGAAGGCGAGTCTGCTGACCGTGCACACGCTCGAGGCGAACTATCAGCTCGAGGATCTGTACCTCATGGGGAACCCGTGCGCGGACTTTAGCGGGTACAGGGCGTTCGTCGTCGCGACGCTCCCGGGGATAAAAAAACTCGATGGCAAAGCCATCACGCCGAGCGAACGCATCCTCGCCGAGCAGGACCTCCCGAGGATCACCGCGCAGCTCATGAAAGAGCTGCGAGAGGAGGGCGTGGACATCGAGGAAGCGATGAAGGTGTCGGACGCGCGGGACCTCGCGCCGGACGAGGACGACGTCGCCGCGATCGCGGAGATGCCGGAGGACGAGCGCCCGTGGTGCGCGGCGACGAGAGTCGCGGAGCAACGCGAGACGGCGCGTCAGCGCGAAGAGAACGAGAGGAAGAAGAAGGAGCACCACGACCGGTACTTCAACATCGACGGCACGAAGAAGGTGGAGCGCCGCGCGGGGTTCCCGGAGTTGCCGGAAGATTACGACGTCGACGACGTCAAGCAGTGCAACGAGTCCGGCGCTGAGTTCCGACTGGACGATTCCGAGGACGGCGCCTCCGTCGTGCTCGACGTCAAGGTGGGGAAGTACATGGACACGAGCCTCATGGACGTGGACGTCCAGACGCGTCTCGTGCGCGTGCTCGTCAAGGGGAAGATGCTGTGTTTGGTGTTGCCCGAGGAAGTCAAGCCGGACGCGGCGTGCGCTCGGCGGAGTAAGACGACCGGGTCTCTCGTCGTGACGATGCCGAAGGCGCGACGGAGGGAGAAGGTTTGCTCGAAGGAGGAGGATTACGTCGTCGACGGCGTCGACGGCGTTGACGGCGGCGCTGGCGCGGGAGGGAAGAAGAAGAAGAAGGGCGGGAACCCCGCGAACCCCGGAACGGGGACGAAGAAGCTCGTGCGGGAGATGGGCGCGGTGAGCGTCCGAGGCATCGTGAGAGACGGCGAGAGCGGCAGCGCGTTCGACATGGTCGAGTCCGTGAGACAGGCCGCGCCCGCGTCGAGGGCGGAGCAGGTGGCGACGTACGGCAGCGACGACGACGACGAGCCGCCGCCGCTGTGACGCGCGACCGCCGCGGCCGGAGCCGGCTGGCGCGAGAATAAAATTAAAAATACTCGCATCAGATAGACCGACTACGACGGCGCCGACTCGATCGCGATCGACCACTTCGCCGGCCGCGCGGGCCGCCTCTCCCTCGACGCGTCGAGATGTCCGTCGCCGCGTCGCTCGCGCGCGTCCCCGCGGCCCGCGCGCCGCCGCGTCGCCGCCGCGTCGCATCGCGCGCGTCCTCGTCCTCGTCCTCGTCCTCGTCCCACGTCGCGTCCTCCTCGCCCGCCTCGGCCTCGGTCGTCGACGCGCGCGGGCGATCGACGGTCGCGTCCTCCGCGTCCGCGCGCGTCGCGGCGCTGACCGCGGCGGCGACGGCGACCGCGGCGCAGGCGGCGACGTCGGGCGAGTCGGTGTCTCAGGTCGCGACGTCCGACGCGTGGTTCGGGTGGGCGTTCATCCCCGGCGGCCCCGTGCTCGGTCCCGCGCTGCTCTGCGCGGGGTTCATTTTGCTGCAAGCTGCGTACGAGAAGGCGACGGGGACGGGGCCGAGCGGGAAGGGCGACGGGTCGAAGAAGCGATGAGCGGTGGGTATGGTACGTAGCCCTCGGAGCGACGAGGAGACTTTGTAACAACGACGACGCGAGCGCGATCATCTTCTCAGCGGCGCGGGAGCGTCGAGACGCGCGACGCTCGCGAGCGCCGACCCGACCGCGGCGTCCTCGAAACCACCGCGATGATGATGATGATGTGAGACGGCGAAAGTTCGCGCGACGTCCATCTCGGAACCGCATTTATCGCGAGCGCCGCCGCCGCGAGCGTCCGTCGGCGACCGTCGCGACGTCCTCGGCGGCGATGCCGACCGCGACCGCGATGCGCGCGCTCGCGCCGACCCGCGCGCCGCGCGCGTCCGCGACCGCGTCCGCGACCGCGGAGCCGCGCGTCGCGCGGGGGCGCGGCGCGTCGACCCGCGACCACCGAATCCCCAGGGTTTTCTCTCGCCGCAACGTCGGCGTCGCGCCGATCTCGCGCGCGTCCGCCGAAGGAGACGCGTCCACGTCGTCCACGTCGTCCACGTCGTCCACGTCGTCGTCGCACCAGCTCATCACGTTCTTCCGGTTCACCACCGTGGAGGACCCGCACGCGGAGGTGGAGGCACACCGCGACTTCGTGGAGACGAACCGCCTCGAGATTCGAGGCGCGTTCTATACACTGGTCCCCATACGACCGCGTTGGCGTGGTGAACGCTGATCCTTAAGGACTTCGTCCGGCGTGTCTCTCCGCCCACCCTCGGTTTCAATACCCGACCGCGATGCCTTTCAACTCCAACTGACGCCTTTGAACGCCACCCCGACGTTCGCTTCTATGGAACGACCCAAGGACGCATCTACGTCAACGAGCAAGGGGTGAACGCGCAGATGTCCGGCCGCGGCGACGACGGCGAGCGGTACGCGCGCTGGGTGGAATCCCGCCCGGGCTTCGGCGGCATGCGGATATCCATCTACCCGATCTCATCGCAGGCGCACCCGAAGCTCTCGCTGCGGTACAAGCCCCAGCTCGTGCAGCTCGAGGGCGGGACGCGGCATCTCCCGATCACCGATCCGTCGCGACGCGGGATCCCGCTGTCGCCGGAGCGTTGGCACGCGATGCTCGAGAACGACGCGGATAACGATCCCGACGCCGCGCCGGTGCTGCTGGACGTCAGGAACGGGTACGAATGGGACGTCGGGCACTTCCGCGGCGCGAAACGGCCGGTCCAGGAGTCGTTTCGCGAGACGGTGGAGACGAACGTCGACGCGACGGGCGGCGGGCCGCTCGCTGGCGTGCGCAAGGCGCGTTCTGTACACTGGTTCCCATACGACCCCGTCGGCGTGGTGAACGCCGATCCTTAAGGACTTTGCCGGGCGCATCTCTCCGCCTAGGGTCCCTCGCTTTCGATCCCCGCCATCGACGCCTTTCAACTCCGCTTCTGACGCCTTTCAACGCCACCCCGACGTTCGCTTCTACGGAACGACCCAAGGACGCGCCGATCATGATGTACTGCACCGGAGGCATTCGCTGCGACGTGTACAGCACGGTGCTCAGAGAGCAAGGGTACGACAACGTCTTCACGCTCGAGGGCGGCGTGCAGGCGTACTTCGACGCGTACGGGAAGAGGGACGATTGCCTGTGGGACGATCAGCTCTTCGTGTTCGACTCGAGGCTGGCGATGACGCGCGACGGGCGACCGAGCTCAGAGGCGGGCGACGACGCCGCGACGCTGACGTGTCACTGCTGCTCAGAGAAGCGCGCGCCTCCGCCGCATCGAAACTGCCCGAACGTGGACTGCAACCGGCTCTTCTTGGTCTGCCCCGCGTGCCGCGCGAAACTCGGCGGGTTCTGCTGCGGCGAGTGCGCCAAGGCGAGCCACGCGCGGCCGCCGCTGCTCGAGCCAGGACGGTACCGGCGGTTCGCGCATTACGCGGAGGGCGAGGCGATGTCGCGGAGCGAGCGACGAGGCGACGGCAGAGCGCGGCGGCGAAAAGCGCGCAGGGAGCGGAAGAAGCGAGAGAGAGAGCGAGACCACGTGTGGGGAGAAGACCATGAGCGCGGCGACGTGACGCGCGCGGTGCGGGTGTTGGAGAAGGCGGCGCGCGACCCGGCGGCGTTTGGCGACGGACCGGACGGCGGCGGGACGTTGGCGTCGCGGACGCGGTCGATCGTGAAAGCCGCGGGGTTGCTCGACGCGCGCGACGACGACGACGACGACGCGGGCGGCGAGGTCGGCGCGCGGAGGGCGAGGTTGCGGGACGCCGCGGAGGCGATCGCGGCGGGGAAGGACGTCGACCTGATCGAGCTCGCGCGCGAAGTGGAGGTGAAATGAATGATTTCGTCGCGATCGATCGGTCGTCTCGTTCTTCGTACACGTGTCTTTCTTTTGTTATTTAATATCAGATGGCACGACGACCGTGTTAGTGTTATATGTTACGTGTTGCGTCGTCGCGCGAAAGCAACAGAATAGGGTACAGGGCGACCGCGCCGCGACCGAGGCGTTTTCGCCCGGGCGCGGCGCGTCGCGACGTGAAAAGAATACTGTATAGTTTCGGTCTCGCGCGGGCTGGGCGGGTCGGTCCGCGCGGGTCGCGCCTCACGCGTCGTCCACGACGACGCGAACGCCCTTGACGCACAGTTCCACCACGCGCGTTGCGGCGACGGCGTCCGCGCGCTTCGCGAACCGAACCGTCCCCGCGGACGTCCCCGGCGTCGTCGCCGCGCCCAGCACGGCGCCGTGCGGCGCGAACGTCTTGTATAAAAACAACTCGTCCGCCTCCGGGGGGAGGTTGTACGCCGTCACCCCGCACGGATCGTCGTCGCGTCGACGCTTCATCTCAGACGCGTCGAGTTCCTCGTCCAGGGAGTCGAGCATCGCGGCCGCGGCTTCCGCGGATATCCCGGGCGTCTCCGCGCGATCCCACGCCGAAGGAGACGCCCCGGGCCCCGGGTCGCCGCCGCCCGCGCCGCCGAAGAGACTCGTCGACCCTCCTCCGAGCCCCCCCGCGGTCTTCGGCAGAGAGACGACGTCGCTGCCGACGCTGCCGACGTTTAAGCTCTCGCTGCTGCCGCGCGATCGCGGCGGCACCGGCGCGCGCATGGACCATATCCCGCCGTCCCTCTCGAGCGACCCGACCGGGGAGACGGCGCCCGGCGCGAGGGAGGTGACGTTTCCGTACGACGCGCCGCGCCCGCCGAGAGACGACCCACCGAACGCGGTCCCTCCCCTGACCGGCGCTTCGTACGCGCTCTGGGGAGGCGCTCCGCCGCCAGAGACGCCGCCGCCGCCGCCGCCGCCACCGCCGATGTCGAGCCCGCCGGTGAACATCGCGGAGAGACCGCCGACGCCGCCGTGCGTCGAGCCGTGCATCGAGCCGCCGCCGTGCATCGAGCCGTGCATCGACGCGAGCGACCCCATCGACCCGCCCATCGACCCGCCCATCGACCCTAACGAACCGAGAGGCTGCTGCTGCTGCTGCTGTTGCTGCTGCTGCTGCTGCATCTGGCCGAGCAGCGCGCCGAGCTGCGCGAGGTTCCCCGCGCTGCCGCCGCGACCGACTGTTTGCCCGACTGTTTGCCCGTACAGAGACCCGCCGGCGACGCTCCCGCCGGCGTCGCTCCCGGGACCGCCGCCCGGGACCCCCGCGTGCACGCTCCCTCCACTATTCACGTTCGCGCTCATCATCATCGCCGCGGCCGCGTTGTGCTGCTGCGCGAGGAGCATCGACGCGATGTCGAGGTTGCGAACGCTCCCGCCCGCGCTCATGGCGGCGGCGGACATCGCCGCCATCAGCGCGCTGCCCGGAGACACCACGCCCGGGTGCCCGGCGCCGCCGAACGCGCCGGGGACCCAGTCGTTGCCGCCGTTCAGGGCGCCCGGGATGTTCACGCCGTCGATGCCAACACCGCCGTGGACGCTGTTCCCGCGACTGTTCGAATTCCCGGAATTCGCGCCGCGTTTCGCCTTGCCGTGCGAATCGGCGAATCGAATCACGAGCGGGACGGCGCCCCCCGCGGGGACGCGCCCGTTCGCGGTCACGACCGCGCTCGCCGCCTGCTCCGCGCTCGCGAACCGAATCAGCGCGCCCGCGGTCGTCGTCCCGGACGCGTGCAGCAGCCGGCACTCGATGATCGCCCCGAACACCTTGAAGAACGCTCTCAGTTCCACCTCGGTCCACCGCGGCGGCAAGCCTTTGACGTAGATGTTATCGCTCGGCGTCCCGATCCCCGCCGCCGCCGTCGTCGCGCTGCTGTCGCTGTTCGCGAACTTCACCTCCAGCGTGCGTCCTCGCACGCTCTTGCCGTGCATCTCCTTGATCGCGCTCTCCGCGGATTGGACGCCGTCGAACTTGACGAACCCGAACCCCCTCGACGTGTTCGTGCTCACGTCCCTAATCACGCAGCACGACTCGACGACGCCGAACGCGTCGAAGACGCTCTTCAGCGTGAGTGGAGTTGAAAGGCGTCAGTTGAAGTTGAAAGGCGCCGAGGGCGGGGATTGAAAGCGAGGGATGGGCGGAGAGAGACGACGGCAAAAGTCCTTAAGGATCGGCGTTCACCACGCGAACGCGGTCGTATGGGAACCAGTGTATAGAACGCACCTTCAGCGTGAGCTCGTCCACGTCCTCCGCGAGGTTCTTCACGTACACGTTGCTGTGCTGCTGCTGATGGGTGGCGGCGTTACTCATGTTGTCACTGCGCGCGTGCTGCATGGCGGCGGCGGAGGGCAGCGGCGACGGCGCCGTCGCGCCGGTCGAGAGGTTCGCGAACGAGCCGCCGCGACCGCGCGGGGCGGTCGTCGAAACCGTCGTGGTCGACGTCGTCGACGTCGTCGTCGACGAGGTCGTCGCGCCGGGTCCCGCTCCCGAGGCGGACGCGACGCCGGTGGATCCGTCCTTCGGCGACGCGCCCCACGGCGCGGGGATCGCGGTCAGACCCGCGCGCGGCGGCGGCTGCGTCGCGAACGGATCGTTGACGCCGAACGCGCGCGGCTCGCCGAGCATCCGACGCTGACCGTCGGCACGACGACGACGCGAGATCTGCGCGTCCGTCCCGCGCGAAAAAGTTCTCTCGCTCCCTGGGGCGTCGTCGACGCGCGGTGCGGTGGGGTCGCGCGCGCGCGCCGAGCGACCGCGCGCGCGCTTCGCCCGCGCCGCGCGATGCGAACGAGGCGCGGACGCGAGGGAGCTCCCGCGCGTCGCACGATCGTCCGCGTTCGCGCGACGTGGTGAATGGTTCGCGCGGTCTCTGCCAAACGTCGAAAGCGCGCGGAAAACGACCCTTGGTGCAATGGAAAGATCGGTCGCAATGGAACCACGGTCGCACGTTGGACCACGCGCTATGGCGACCAGTCTCGCGACCGCGCGCGTACTCGCGCGTCGCGTACGCTCATTGGTCGACGCGCGACACGGTGCTCCTTTACTTGTACCGCGAATACGCGTTTTTTGGCACTTCACCGGTCAATATTGACCGGTGACCTCGACAGGGGATTTTGGTCTAGTGGCATGATACCTCCTTTGGGTGAACCAAGACGGCGGTTCAACCCGTGTCTGCACTCAAGCGTGGAGGTGGTCGGGGGTTCGATTCCCCCAAGTCCCCTATGAGTATCAGTCTGAGATATTATCAGGCCCGTAGTACGAAATAGCACCTGTCGACTTTTGATGATGTTTTCGTCTCGACGGCGACGACGACGCAGACGACGCGACGCGTCGCCGCCCGCCGCCGCTCGACGGCGTCGGCGGCGGCGTGGATGTCGACGTCGATCCCTCCGCGCGAGGAGTCCGCGCGGTGCGCCATCGCCCGTCCGCGCGACCGCGACGTCCCCGCCCCGCCTCGTTCGTCCTTTTCGTCGTCGTCACGTTCCATTCAACCCTTCGTCCGTCCTCCCTTCGCTCCCCTCCCTCCTCAGGACGAAGCGCAAGCGCGAGGCTCGCGACGCGCTCGACGCGCGCGACGAGCGCGCGCTCCTCGAGCGCCGCGTCCGCGCCGCGCTCGCGCTCGCGCCCTCGCAACGCGCGCGATGCGACGAGGAGCTCCTTCTCGCGCACGCGTCGCTCGCGGACGCCGTCGTCGCGACGGACGCGCGCGTCGCGCGCGACCGCGCGCGCGCGGCCGCGCGCGCGGCCGAGACCCACGACGCCCCGGACGCGCTCGAAGAGAAACTAAAGCGCTTGATCGACTTGGTGAGGCGCGCGGCATCGCGCGACGGCGGCGGCGTCGTGATCCACACGGGCGCGGGGGTCAGCACCGCCGCGGGCGTCCCCGATTTTCGCGGGCCCTCCGGGGTGTGGACGATGCGCGACGTCGGCGTCGACGTCGCCGTGCCGAAGTTCGAGCGCGTCGTACCCACGAAAGCGCACATGGCGATCGCGGCGCTCGTCCGCGCGGGCGTGGTGAAGCGCGTCGTGACGCAAAACGTGGACGGCTTGCACGCGCGCTCCGGGTGCGACGACGACAAAGTCTCCCGACTCCACGGCTGCGTGTACGAGGAGACGTGCGTCAACGAGCGCTGCGAGAAGTTCGAATTTCGCGTCAAGCGAGCGTTCGACGTCACCGCCGGGAAGCTGTCGGAAGGGCGCATGCATCGGCACCGGACCGGGCGCGCGTGCGACGCGTGCGGCGAGGAACTGCGCGACACGATCGTGCACTTCGGCGAACGCTTACATCCGCCGACGCTTCTGGCGGCGACGCGGGCGAGCGCGGACGCGGCGCTGAGCGTCGTCGTCGGGACGTCGCTGAAGGTGCCGCCCGCGTCGACGCTGCCGGGGAAGTCGCGGAATCGCGTGATATGCAACCTGCAGTGGACGCGGTACGACGCGACGGCGGCGATGAAGATACACGCCAGGGCGGACGAGGCGATGACGCGACTGTGCGAGGGGTTAGGCGTGGAAGTACCCGAGTACGACGCGCGATCGGACCCGGTCGGCGCGGCGTTTCTCGCGTCGGGGGGGACGTTTCTCCTCGCGGGGAAAAAGGAGGAGGAGGAGGAAGAGAAGGAGGGGGGCGACGCGAGCGCGCTCGCGGCGGGCGCGGGGGCGGGCCGGGGGCGGGCCGGGGCGAAGAAAAAAAATAGACGGGGGAGAGGGTCGAAGCCCTGCGTGCCGAGACCGACGTCGTGAGACGCGAGTCCGCGCTGTGCTCTCGTCGACGTGAACTGCTACTGTTGATAGTCTACGGTGTCTACTCTACGTCGAACGTCAAACGTCGTCCTCGCGCGTCTTCTTCGACCTGTCCTGAAGCTCCAACTCGCACACCGTGGGAAGCAGCGACTCCGCCGAGCCGCTTCCCTTCTCTTCGTCGTCGCCGTCGTCGCCGCCGCCGCCGCCGCCGCCGCCGCCGCCGCCGAGGCGCGCTCTCGCCCGCTCCACCTCCCCGAACCAGTCCGTCCTGTACACGATGAAACATATGATCAGCGAGTGCACCACCGTCCCGACGGTCGCGCCGATCGCGAGCCCCATCGCGCCCATCTTCGGCGGCCCGAACGCGAGGTAGACGGCGAGGGGTATCCCCACGACGTAGTACGCGAAAAAAACCACCGGCCCGGCGACCGCCTGCCTCCCGCACGCTTTGATCACGCCCGTCGCGACGCACAGGACGCCGTCGAACGCGGTGTATATCGCGAGCGGCACGAGCAGCGCGGACACGAGAGACACGACGTCGTCGTCGGCGGAGTAGATTTTCCCCCACGACTTTCTCGCGAGGAGAATAACCGCCGACACCGCCGCCTCGACGATCAAGATCAACACGAACGCGCACCGCGCGGCGTGGCGCGCGCGCGCGGGCGCGCGTGATCCGAGCTCGTTACCCGCGCGCGCCGCCACCGCGACGCTGAACCCGACGGGGATCATGAACGCGAGCGCGTTCGTGACCTGGAAGATGCTCACCCCCGCGACGTTTCGCTCCGGGTTCGGGAGGTAGCCGGCGATGAGGATGTTCGCCTCGGACGCCCACCACTCGCCCATCATGAGCACGCCCGGGAGCGCGAGCCTCAGGAACGCGGGCCAGTCGGAGAAGGCGTCGCGAGCGCTCCAGCCGGTCCACGTCGCGCGTCGCGCGCGTCGGAGCGATTCGCTCGGGTCCTCGTCCGCGCCCGCGTCCCGGGTTTCGTTTTTTTCGTGTATTTCGCGAATTTCGCGAATTTCGTCGCCGTCGTCGCCGCCGCCGCGCCGCCGCGAATGGAACCGCACGAGGTACGCCACGTTGATCGTCAACACGACGCCGTTGCTCCACGACGTCGCGAGCGCGGCGCCGACGTACCCGAGCCCGAGCGCGCGCATGAACACGACGTTCGCGGGGACGTGCAAGACGGCGGCGACGACGCCGGCGACGGCGCTCGGCTTGGTCAGCCGTTGCGACTGCATGAACCCCTGCACGCATATGTTCCACGCGTAGAACACCAGACCGGGGATGAGCGCGATGATGTACCGCCCGGCGACGCGCGAGATTTCTTCGTCTTGCCCCATCGCGAGCAGCAGCGACGTCGCGTTCGCCCACAGGACGCAGATTGGAATCGCCGCGAGCGTCAAGATGATGAGCGCGCGTTGGAGGACGCCTCCGAGCGACGAATACGCTCTCGCGCCGAACGCGGCGCCGCACAGCGTGGTCACCGCGCTCGCCATGCCGACCATGATGGAGTTCCCGGTGACGTTTCCGAGCGTCGTCGCGAGCGCCGCGCCCGCGAGCGGGAGCGGGCCGAGGTGACCGACGAACGCGACGGACGTGAGCGACATGACGCGGTTGCAGATCATGGAGAGGCTGACGGGGAGCGCGAGCGCGAGCTGCGCGGCGGACTCGCCGCGGAAGCCGCCGAGCGCGCGCGACGCCGCCGCGTGGTCGTCGGACGTCAGCCGCGACGACGGGGACGACGACGATGACGACGACGGCTTAGAAGCCGCGTCGTCGTCGTCGTCGTCCGCGAGGACGCCGTACGCGGCGCCGCGCGCGGATCTCGCGCCGCGCCCGGGCGGCGGCGAGCTCGCCATCATCGCGCGCGACGACGGCGCCGCGCGCGCGCCCCTCGCGTCGCGGCCGGCTCCTTCTCCGCCGGCGACGCGCGCGCGGCCGCGACGGCCGCGGTGTCGGAGGAAGTGACGTGGGTACGTCTCGAGCTCTCGACTCTCGAGAGTGCCAAAAAAAAAAGTGCGACGACGACTGGGAAAACGGACGCGCGCGACGCCGCCGCCGCGTCGAACGCTCGCGAACCGACTCGAAAACCGCGCGCGCGCACCGACGACGACCGCCGCGCGACGACGCCTCGAAAAGAAATGCAAAAATAGGGGGCTTGGGGGAATCGAACCCCCGACCACTCCCACCCGAAGGGAATATCATGCCACTAGACCAAAGCCCCGCGCGTTCGCGCGGATGATACCGTAAACCTGCCGATTCGGCAGGGGGTGTGAAAGCGTCGAAACCGAATTCGACACAGGGGTTTTCGTGCCGATTTCGGCGACTTTTGGAAATATGTACAGTACACGCGTACGCGAGCGACCCCGAGACCCGACACCCCGGCCCTCGTACTTTCCGCTGACGGAACCCGCGCGGCAGTCGATGTGGCGCTTCCTCGGTCGCGGCGTCGCGACGCGCGTCGCGCGCGCGTCCCTTCGGGGGAACGCGACGCGCGTCGCGACGTGCGATGTCTCCGCGTCGTTCGGAAGCGTCCTCGCCCGCGGGTTCGCGGCGACCACGGCGGCGACGACGCGGACGACGACGCCGTCGACGCCGTCGTCCGTCGTCGAGAGCTGTCGCGAGCTCGCGCGCGGGTTCGCCGCGCGGGGCGCGCGCGGGACGCCTCCGTCCCCGCGACGCGACGCGGCCGCGTACTGGGCCGCGTGCGCGCGCGAGAGACCGCTCGGCGCGAGCGCGAGCGCCGCGGCGGCGGTCGCGAGGCTGAGATCTCCCCGCGCGCCGTCGTCGCTCTTTCCGTCGCGACAGCGAGACAGAGTTGGCACCCGTGTGGCGTCTCAGCGCGCGTCGCGTTCTTACCGCGCCCACGTCCGATACGCGCCGGGGAGCGCGATGACGGGCGAGCACATGCTCTACGCGATCGCGCTCGCCAACGTCGCGGTGTTCGCGGCGTGGCACAACCTCGATCCGCGGTTCATGCGCGCGAACTTTCTCGTGAGCGAGGAGTCGATAAAGCGCGGGCGATGGCACACGCTGTTGACGTCGGCGTTTTCGCACCGCGACGTCTCGCACCTCGCGGCGAACATGCTCGCGCTGTACTTCTTCGGCAGGGACGTCGCGCGCGCGCTGGGCCCGGCGGCGCTGCTGAACCTGTACGTCGTCGCCGGCGTCGTCGCGAGCGGCGCGCACGTCGCGTGGTGCGAGTACAAACGCGCCGAGCGCGCGCCGAAGGGACGCGGGATCTTCCAGAGCGCCGGTCGGTATTGGGAGAACAACGTCGGGTACCTCACGACCCCGCCCGCGCTCGGCGCGAGCGGCGCGGTCAACGCGATCGTCCTCCTTAACGCGCTGCTTTGGCCGGGCAGCACCGTGTATCTGTACATGGTGCTCCCGGTGCCGAACGCGGTCCTCGCGGCGGCGTTCGTCGCCAGGGATTATTACGGCGCGCGGTTGGGGCTGGGGGAGAGCGGGGTCGGGCACGCCGCGCACTTGGGCGGCGCCGCGGTGGGCGCCGCGGCGTGGGGTGGGTTGATGCTGAAGCGGATGGCGCGGAGGTGAGGCGGTCGGGGGAGGGCGCGGCGGGGCGGCGGCGCGTCTAGTAGGGGGATCTACTACGGTAGAATTGAAAAGGCTGGCGTCGCGGAGTCGCGTTGAATTGTGAATTGGGTCGCTCTTTACTTACAATCATTCCGTCGTCGTTCGCGTCGTTCCGTCGCCGCCTCTCGAGCTTTTCCTCGATGGCGGACGTCCGACGGATCGCGGCGGTTCACACGTCGCGCGCGCGGGTCTAAAACCCCGTCGATCGCCCGCCGCTCACTTCGGCTTGCACCACCGCGCCTGGTGCATGGCCATCCCGGCTTTGTTCATCGGACCCTTGCCGCACTTGGCGCACGTGAGCGTCTTCGGCTCGGGCGTCTTCGGCGTCTTCGCGCCCGCGGCGGGCTTCGCGGCGGCAGCCTTCGGGGTCTTGAGGACCGCGCCCGGCCCCTTGCACCAACGCGCCTGGTGCATCGCGAGGCCGGCTTTGTTCATCGGTCCCTTCTTGCACTTGTCGCAGAAGAGCGTCTTCTCCTCGCTGACGCGCTCGCCCTTCTTCGCTCGCCTGCTCGCCTTCTTCAGCCTGCGACTGAGCTCCGCGATGGTCACGTCGTCGTCGTCGGCGAGGTCGCCTAAGTTACCCGGGGGAGCCGCCGGGCGGTCCTTCTTCTTGCACCACCGCGCCTCGTGCATCGCGAGCCCGGCTTTGTTCATCGGACCCATCGAGCATCTGGGACAGAAGAGCGTCTTCGGCTCGCTCACGGTCGTCTTCGGGCTCTTCGCGATCTTCTTCGCCGGCGTGACCGACTTCACGGGCACGCCTGGGGTGCTTGATTTAGCCGGGGTCTTTTTCTTAGGCGCCATGATGACGTGAGGCGCGTCGCGTGCAATGCGCGCGCGCGGGGGAGAATTCTAGCCAATTCAACGGTCCATATTCGTGACTGAAAACCTGTGACGTAAGTACTTGTACTCCTCGCGAAACGCATTCTCGCGTTCAGATTGAGGATAACGATTTGACCAAAAACGCATAGGGTTTTTCTCGCGAACCGTATTACATCTGAACGCGCTTTTCGACCATCGGTCGTAAATTCCCGTATTAAAATTTCAAAAAATCGAACGCGAACGCGGAAAATTCTCTCTCGTCCCTCGTCAGTCCAACGGCGCCTGAGGGTGCGTCGAGGGCGATTTCCTCGCCGCCCGTCGCGCCGGGAGCTGCATCCCGAGCCCGCGCGCGACCTCATGCGTCTCCTCGTTCGGCTCCGGCGTCCCCGCCGCGGCCAAGCGCGCCTCCGCGGCCGCCGCCGCCGCCTCTCGCGCGTCCGCGACGCGCGTCGTCGTCGTCGCCGCCGCCGCCGCCGTCGAGCGCTCGGGGGAAGAAGACGGAACGTCAACCGACGCGTCGCTCGCCTCGGGAAGCGCCGGCGGGGTGTCGTCCACGGCCTCGGTCCACGTCGTCGTCGGAGGCGGCGACGGAGGCGGCGACGGCGGGTCCGGTTCCATGTCCGCGGCGGCGACGACCGGGGCGGGGTCGGGAGGAGGAGGCGCGGACGCGGACGCCGACGCGGACGCCGACGCGGACGCGGGCGCCGCCTCGGGCGCGAGCGTGTACCCGCCGCCGGGGACGGGCACGAGCCGAAGCCGCTGCGTCGTCGGCCGCGCGCCGTCGGTCGCCGCGCCGCCGGTGACGTCCTGCAGGTTATTCAGCAGGGTGCTCATCAGCTCCTGGAACATCTGCGGCGCGGGAGCCGACCCCTCGGCCGATCCTCCCTCCGCCGGTCGCCGATCCGGCGCGGGCTGCTGCTGTCGGGCGGAGTCGAGGCTCCCGAGCACCGCGCTCATCATCTGCTGGAACGCCTCCGGGATCGTCCCCGACGAATCCGCGGATTCGGACGCTCGCGGCGGCGGCGGCGGCGGCGGCGCGTCTCGCGCCCCCTCCCCCTCCCCCTCCGCCGCCGGCGCCGGCGCCGCCGACGGCGCGCGCGAGACCGTCACCGTCTGGAACCTGTGCACCACGCGTCCGTTCGAATCCACGCTCGTTGTGTGTGTCACGCCGCCGTTCGCGATCGCGGGCGCCGTCGTCGAGCTCGCAGCGGCGGCGGCGGCGGCGGCCGCCAACACGCTCGGCGGCGCGGCGTCGCCGCCGAGCGTGTTGGCGTTGAACTCGAACCGAAACGACGACCGCGGCGGATCCGTCGCGGCGGCCGCGGCCGTCGTGTTCGTGCTCACGGAGTCCATCCGCGCGCTCTGCGTCTGCGTGTCGTCCGTCGCGACCGCGGGCGACGCCTGCGTCCCTTGGCTCCGCTTCACCGACGCCGCCGCGCGTCGCGGCCGCTCGCGGTCGCGCCTCGCGCCGCCGCCTCTGACGGCGTCGAAAACGTTCGCGAGGAAACCGAGCGGCCCTCTTCTCCCCTCGCGTCTTCGTCGTCGTCTCGCGTCCTCTTCCTCGCGCTCCGCCGAGGATCGACGACGATTAGTAGTCCCGGATCCAGATCCCGCCGACGCCTCCTCCTCCTCGTTCGGCGGCGTGCGCATCCCCGTGGACGTGTCCGCCGTGGGCGGCGGCGGCGGCGTCTGCGCGTCCGACGTCGTGCGCGTCGAGGGACTCGCGCGACGCCGACGCGCCGAGTTAGAGTTTAGGCGAACGCCGCCGGGCGGCGGCGGGGGGTACTGCGACGTGCCGCCGGGACGCGCCGGCGCGGGCGGGTAGGACCGCGGCGCGGGCGAGGGCGCGGCGGCGCCGCCGGCGCCGCCTCCGTCGCGGATGGCGAGCGCCGCGTGCATCGCCGTCGCCGCCTGGTCGTGCCGCCGCTGGAGGCGTTCGAGCTGCGACTCGAGCTGAGACAGCATCTGTCGCAACGCGTCGGGGGGGGTCTGGCCGTCCGACCACGCGCCAGCGACAGCCTCTCGCGCGTCGCGCGCGGCGCGCTGCGCCGCGCGGAGCTGACGATCGACGGGCGGCGGCGCCGGCGGCGGACGCACAGCTGGCGCGGACGCCGCGGGCGCCGTCCTGTTCGCGCTGTCCATCAACCCCTCGCGCGCCCATCGCTCGAGCGCCGCGGCCGCGGCCGCCTCCGCGGTGTCTCCTATCCCGGCGAACCCAGAGAGCCCGGCGAGCCCGGACAGCTGCGCGCTCAGCCCGCCGTGTGCGCCGCCGCCGCCGCCGCCGCCGCCCAAGAGGTCGCTCAGGCCCGCGCTTCGCACGGACGGCCGCATCCCGAGCCCACTCAGCGGCTGCGTCCCGCCGCGCGGGTCCAAGTACATCAGCGCGGGCGCGAGGAAGTTGGAGTCGTCCGGAGCGTTCGCCGCCACCGGGGTCATCCGCGTCGTCGTCGGGCCGCTCGCGGAGAAGGGATCCGTCGCCTCCGCGTCCGTCTCGGTCGAGGTCGTCGCGTCCGCGGCGTTCGTCGCCTCTCCCGCGCCGATCGCCCCTCCCGCGAGGAACGACTCCGTCGAGAGGAACGGCGGCGGCGCCGCGACGTCGCCGTTCAACTGCACGCTCATCGCCATCCGCGCGAGGTCCATGAGCAAAGACCCGGCGTTGTGCAGCGTCATCGCCGCTCGCAGCGCGCTGCTCTGTCCTCGCGCGGCGTCGGCGTCCATACGCGACGCGCTCGCGGCAGCCTCGATGTCGCTCGCGGCGGTTCGTATCCGCGGCATCGCGCGCTCGACGACGTCCGCGCCGGTTCGAAGCAAGTTCGAGACCTCGGCGGACGTCACCACCGGCGGGACGCGTCGAACGATCGGCGGCGGCGGCGTTTGCGTTTGCGTTTGCGTTCGCGTCTCCGTCCCCGCCGCCGCGGGCGCCGTCGCCGTCGCCTGCGCCGCCGCGACGCCCCCCACCTCCGGCGACGCCTCGGCTCGGTTCGCGTCCACGACGACCCGCGGCGCGGACGTCGGCGGCGGCATCATCCCCGGCAGCGGCAGCGGCAGACGCGCGAAGGGCGCGTGCGGCGCTTGCGTCCCTCTCCCGGAGTCGTGGCACGCCGCGCACAGGTCGTAGTCCCCCTCCGCGATGGACTTGTAGCGCTCGCCCGTGATCGGCATGATCCCGCACGCGTCGCACTGCACGCCCGCGTGCGAGTTCCGCGCGTCCGGCGTCGCCGAGAGAGGCGCCGCCGTCGCTTCCGCCGCCGGCGCCTCCGCCGCCGGCGCTTCCGCCGCCGGCGCCTCCGTTGGCGGTCCTCCGCCCGGAGTGCTCGCGAACGACCCGCCCGCGTCGTCCGCGTCCATGTCCACCAGCGCGCGCGTCAACGCGGCCACGTGCGCGGTGATGACCGCGGCGGGATCGTACGGCGCGCGTTCGAACGTCACCGTCCGCCTCTCGCCGCCGCCGCCGGCGGCGGCGTCGGCGTCGGCGGGATCCGGCCGCCGCACCACGCGCGGCGCCCCGTCTGGCCCGATCGTCACCTCGAACGACATCGACGACCCGTCCGTCATCGCGGCGATCGACTCCGGGGTGATGCCCGCGGCCTGCGCGGCCGCCATCGCGGCCGCGGCGTCGCCGCCGCCGCCGATATCGTTCAAGATGCCGCCGACGATGGCGTTGATCTGCGCGCCCCCGAGCGCCGACGTCGGCAGCGACACGCTTCCGAGCTGCACGTTGCTCCCCGCGGGGATGCGGATGAAGTCCCCGGCGGCCGCCGCGCGCTGCGTCGCGGCCGCGTGGTCGATGTCGTCGTTGCGCGCGTCGCCGACGACGTCCGGAGGGCGCGAGACGAGGAGGAGCGTGTCCCCGTCTTCCACGCGCAGATCGGACAGTCGCTGCGTGTCTTTGAGGACGCGGCCGCGGCAGATGAGGCGCTGGCGCGCGGACGGGACGCCGCACGCGGTCTCGATCGAGGACTTCAGCGTCGTGACTTCGACCTGGGGAGGGCGGCGCGCGGCGGGGGTTTTACGGGGAGCGGCGGGGACGGGAGGCGCGGGTCAGATCGCGAGCGCGAAGGTCGTTCGTCGTCGACGACTACGACGCTGGAAGGAAATGGACGGAAAGAGAAGCGACGCGAGGACGCGAGGACGCACGTCGCTCGGGACCGTCAGGGCGTGCTGCCCCTCCGGCTCTTGCTGCCGGACGCGGATGCGGATCTCCCTCGGCTCCGGCGGGGACGTCGCGGCGTCGGCCATCGCGTCCGTCCGCCGCGTGGACTCGCGGTCAACCGCCGCCGGCGCGACGTCGAGGGAGGGTGCTCGAAAAGCGAGCGGCCGACGCGGCGACTACCGCGGGGAGAGCAGATGCGACGCCGCGCGCGCGCTCGCGTCGCGCGCGCGACGCGTCCGCGATGCCGCGCCGTTCGGCGACGCGCTCGCGAGGTCGATCTCGCGCGCGGAAGGCTCGAGCGACGCGTGACTCCGCGCGTCGCGCTGTGCGTAGCGTCGACGCGTCGCGCAAACCAACCCCTCGTCTCCCTCGGACGACGACGCGCGCTGAGAATCTCTCGGATCTGCTCGTCCGCATGCGCATGCGCGGTTTCTTCCGCGCTCGTTTGCGTTTCAAACTTCAAGTACGGCCACGGTGGCCCTACCACGCCCTCTCTCGCCGCCCCGCTCGCGCCGCCAGGCCGTCCCCTCACCCTCACCTTCGCCCTCTGAACCGCGCCGCCTCCACCAGCGTCTCCAGCAGATCCTCCGCCTCGCGCTTCTTCAGCGTGATCGGGAACTCGTGCCCTCGAGGCGCGCCCGGCCGCTGACCGTCTCTCAGGTAGTCCTCCACGCGCCGCGGCAGCGCGCGCAGCTCGTCGTCGCTCAGGTGCGCCTCGGGGCCGTCGTAGAACGGGCCCTCGTCCAGCCCGATCCCCTCCACCGGCGCGAGGCGGACCTGGTGCGTCGGGTACTTGCCCTGGAACGCGCTCGGGTCGTGCGCGGCGACGAACTCGGGCGGGGACGCGTTGGGGTCCGCGGGCACGGCGCGGAAGGCGCGGTACATGAACTCGCGCCGCTCGCCGTCGCTGTTGCACCCGCACATGAAGACGATCGTGTTCGGTTTGATCTTCTTCTTGAGGACTCTGCGCCCGCCCTCCTCGTCCAGCGCGATCAGGCGGTTCTCGATGCCGTGCTTGACGTACTTGTACTTCATGACCCACACGAGTCCGTTTTCGATCTCGGGGAATCGGCCCCTTCCGGGCCCGGGCCCCGCCGCGCCCCCGCGGTCGTCGAGGTCCCTCCCGCTCGCGCTGCGCTCCAACCCCCCGAGGGTCGCCGCCGCCGGCGGCGGCGGAGGTATCGCCGGCGGCGGGAACGGCGGCGGCGGCGGCGCGCTCTTCGCCGCCTCCACCGCGCGCCACGCGTCGTCGTACGCGTCCTGAAGCGTGGGCGCCCGCCGCTTAATCTCTAGAAACGTCGCCTCCGACATCCCGCGCGGGTTCCAGAACGCGTGCTCGAGCGGGCCGATACCCGCGCGCACGCCCGCGAGGTTCTTCGGCCACCGCGCGTACTTCGCCCTCAGGCGCGCGTACGCCGCGGCGTTCTCGTCGCCGACGGCGGCGGCGCGCGCGGCGGCGTCGCCCGGCTCGGCGGCGGGCGCGCGCGTGAAAATCTCCCCCTTCTCGCGCTCGGACGCCGCCGCCGCCTTCGCCGCCTGGCTCTCCAGCAGCGCCGCGCGCGCGCGTCGCTGACGCTCTTCTCTCTCCCTGCGCTCGCGCTCGCGCTCGAGCCTCGCGTCGCGCTCTTCTCTCTCCCTGCGCGCCTTCTCCTCGCGCTCCTGCGCGACGCGGTCGCGTTCGCGTTCGCGGTCTCGGTCCGCGCGCGCCCGCGCCGCCGCCGCCGCCGCGTCCGTCGCCGGCGCCGCCGCGGCCGCGGCCGCGGCGTTCGACTTGGGTATTCTGAACCCGATCGCGGACGCGGGCGGCGGGTCTCTCGCGACCGCCTCGGAGAACTTCATCTTCTTCTCGTCCGCGGGCGCGTCCGCGTCGGGGCGGTCGCGTCGCCGCTTCTCGCCGCGGTCGTCGGACACGACGTCCACGTCCACCTCCATCGCGACGACCGGCGGGAGGTCTCCGCGCTTCGCGACCGGTCTGTCGACTTTCTCCTCTCGCTTCGGCTCTCTCTTCGCGGGCGCGGGCGCGGGCGCGGGCGCGGGCGCGGGCGGCTTCTTCGCGGGCGCGGGCGCGGGGACCTCCGCCTTCTTCGCGACTGCCTTTTCCGCCTTTTCCGCCTTTTCCGCCGCCTTCTTTGCCAAAGCCGCTGCCGCCTTCTCCGCCTTTTCCGCCGCACTTGCGTCCAACTCCGTCACCGCGCCGTTCCTCAGATCTTTCTTCTCCAGCGACCCCTCGTACCTCCAGTGCTCGTCGTACTTCCCGGTGAGCACCATCTTCAGATCCGGCTTCCCCCGGCCCGGGGCGTCGCTCTTCAGACGCGTCGAGAGCACGCGCTCGACGTCCTCGGCGCGCCGCTCGATGATCTCCGCCTTGACGAGAATGATCTCCCTCTGTTCCGCGTCGTCGTCGAACATGAACACCATCGTGTCGTACGCCGGCATCACCTTGAGCTTGGTCCCGCGCGCGCCGACGAACTTCTGAAGCCCCGCGCGCGTCGCCGCGAGGACGCCGACGAGGACGCCGCCGCCGCCGGGTTTGTTTTCCTCGTGGAATTCGTTCACCTGCATCGCGACGCCGTCCGCGAACCTCACGATCGCGCCTCTGGAGACGCTCACCCAGCCGGTCGCGGACGTCACCGCGGGAGGCTCAGGTTCCGCGCCAGAAGCGTCGTCCGGGCGCGGGACGCGGAGGAGGACGCTTTCGCGCGGGGTGTGGCCCTTCTTCGTCGCGAGCGTCGGCTTTTTCTTCTTCGGCGACGTCGACGCGTCGGCGGAGATGGGCGGGGGCCACGCGTACACACACGCCGGTCGTCGCGCGGGATCGGACGTCGTCGCGGTCGCGGCGGCGGTTCGCGCGACCGCGGCGTGCCTCCGCGAGTCCTGCGAGTCCGGCTTCGCCGTCTTCGCGTCGTCGTCGGCGGGGGTGTCGTCGTCGTCGTCGTCGTCGTCGTCGTCATCGTCGTCGTCGATCACCTTCGCGGACTTCGTCCTCGCCGTCCGCGGCGGGTCCTTCGCCGCGCCGTCCTCGGGGTTGTTGTCCTTCCCGTCGCCTCCCTCCGTCGCCTTCGCCCTCGTGGCCTTCGCCCTCGCGGCGGGCTTCTTCTTCTTCCCGACTAGTCCTTTGGCGTTCGCGTCCGCCAGATCCTCGACCGTCCAGCTCGCGCGCGTCGGATCGACGGGATCCGTCGCCGGCACCTCGCTCGCGTCGAGATCGTCCGCGAGCCGCCACTTCGTGTTGTTCTTATCCCCGCCCTGCTCGTCCCGCGAGACTCGCGCGAAGTACGCCGTCTTCGCCTTCGGGCCCGGACCGAACATGGGCACGATGGACGCGAGCGCGGAATCCAAGCCTCTCTTGCCGAGCTCGCGGCCGCAGCGCGCGGCGCGGAGCGCGATCTCGCTCGGGGTCAGGCCATCGCTCCCGGCGTCCCTGAGGTGCTGGAGGATGACCTCGAGCCACGACCCTTCGCCGAACGACGGGACGATCATCGGTCCGCGCCGCGCCCGCTCCGGGGACGAAATGCGGGCGGTGGTCGGCAATCGCGGCAGTTGACGAAGAGCAGCGGTCCTGACGCGGACGACTGGCGGACGCGCGAGCGCTCGTTCAAATCCTAACGGCTCGGGCGGCACTTCGCACCGCGCGCGCGTCGCGTCGACGCCGGGGACGTCGCCCGCGTCGCGTCCGTCGATACGAGAGGCGCGCGAGAGAGGCGGCGACGCGTCGTCGTCCGCGCGCGAGCTTAGAGGACGCCGCGGCGCGCGGGTCGGAAGCGGTGACGACGCGGACTGCTGAAGATGCAGCGCGCGAATCTAAATCTCGCGACGGCGACGGCGCGACGCCGCGCGGCGACGCGCATCCAGTCCGCGTACCGCGGGCACCTCACCAGGCGCGAGCTCGTGGAGAACGTCCGGAAAGACTTCGAAGAGGTGATGCGACGCGTCGAGGGGCCGCTCGCGGAGGACGTCGCGCTCGCGACGACGACGCCGTTCAGCGTCGTCGAGCGGCCGTTCAGCGTGATGGGATGGGGGAAGGCGGGGTCGTCGGCGAACCTGTCGCCGCCGAGCGTCTTGGACGCGCTGGACGACTCCACGACGCTGTCGCCGTCGCCGGAGCCGCCGACGCGCGCGGCGAGGGTCGAGGAGGACGAGGACGAGGAGGACGAGGAGAGAGGCGGGGGCGCGCGCGCGGCGAAGAAGGCTGCCGCGGCGATCGACGCGGCGAGCGCGCGTCGGGGAGGAGACGGAGACGGCGTCGTCGACGTCGGCGTCGGCGACGAGGACGACGACGAGGCGACGACGAGCGCGCTGCGGCAGGAGCTCGCGTGGGCGCAGGCCGCGCTGGACGACAGGAGGCAGCATCTGCGACGGATGCGGATGCGCGCGCAGCAGGCGTCGACGCGGCGCGCGGCGCCCGCGGGGTGGTGAACGAGAGACGACGACGCGACCGCGTCCGACGCGCGCGCGCCGTGGTGGGAACCTGCGCGCGCTCGACGAACGTGCGAGCCGCGAAGCACCGCCCGTAGAAGCACGAAAATATAGTTTCAATCGCGCGTCCTCGCGCCTCGACTCGGACTCTAAGAGACCGCGTCGATCCATCAAAACGCCTCCTCCTCGCGGAAAAATCAATCACACTCATCGACCTCATCCCCTCGCCTCCATCGCGCGCGACGAGCCCCCCGCCTCCGTCGCGCGCCCCCACGCGCCCTTCTCGACGCCCTCCGCCCGCCTCCTGTAGTGATTACTTGTTATCGGACGGGCGCTCCTTGCCCTCCCACGTCGCGTTCCACTGCTTATCGTAGAACGTCGCCTCGTCCGCGAGAACGCCGAGCGTGTCCAAGTCGTCCAGACGCCGCACGAAGAGGCAAAACGCGACGGTGACGAAGATGGCCGTCTTCCCGAGGAAGCTCTGGTGCAAGTCCACGAGCCCGGCGCCGCCGGCGGCGTCGATGAGGTACGCGAACGCGTACCCAACCATCGCGGCGCGGCCGTTGATCTTCTCCGCCTCCGGGAGATGGAACCGCTTCACCCAGACCCACCACGGGACGATTGAAGTGTCGAACAAGCCGTCCTCGTCGTACACCGCGGGGCAATCCTCCAGGGCTTCGGGTCGTTCCACACGAGCGATTGTCGGGGTGGAGTTCAAAGGCGTCAGAAGCGGAGTTGAAAGGCGTCGATGGCGGGGATTGAAAGCAAAGCGAGGGACCCTGGGCGGAGAGACACGCCGGGAAAAGTCCTTAAGGATCGGCGTTCACCACGCCGACGCGGTCGTACGGGGACCAGTGTGACATAGAACGCGCCTTTGCGGTGGACAACCTCCGCGTCGATGACCGCGTTCCAGTCCGTCTCGCCGTCAGCGAGCTTGAACTGGGAGAGGTCCCACGTCCCGTTGACCCATCGCGGGTCGGACCACACCGCGTTGTCGGCGTTGGCGGCGCGCGTCGCCGCGGCGGACGACGCGGCGGCGGCGCGCGCGGCGGCGCCCGCGTCCTTGCCGGCAGCCTTTTCGCCCTCGAGCGTGCCGCCGCGCTCGAGCGGGCCGGGCGCGCGCGTCTTCGTCTCGGCCGCGACGCGCGTCACGACGGAGGACCTGGACGAAGCAAGAGTCGTTCGGAGGAGAGAAGAGTGGGTGGAGGAGACGAAGAGGTGAGCGGGGCCGTCCGTCGGTCGTCGTCGTCGCGAGAGACGGACGTGGTGAACGAATGAATGATGACTTTTGCGCGTGCTGGGAACACAGAGAAGAAAGCGGCACGTTTCCGCGGCCGATCGCGGCGCCGGAGTCGCCGCGGACGCGCGCACGCGAAGCTCGACGACGACGTTCCGGGGCGCGGACGCTCGCGCGAAGTCGCGCGCGGACGCCGTCGCGGTTTAAGCGCGCGTCCGCGCGGAGCGACGCGCGACGCGCGCGACACGCGCGCGCGCACCGCAACCCTGATGGGATTTCAGATAACCCTCCGGAAGGAGGGTCGAAAAAGACGGGACGGCGCGTCGACGGACGCGTCGCGCGCGGGGCGCAAGCGAGGCGAAAGCGCACCTGGACTTGGCAGCCTTGGCGGAGCGCGCGACCCTGGAGTGCGAGGCGGAGGAGGGGCGACGCGTCAGCGATCGTGAACGCGTCCGGCGGGGTCGTTCGCGCGAGGGTGGCATCGCGCGACTTTCTCCGATTGAACCTCGCGAGCGAGCGAAAAAAGCGAGCGGGATTCCCCGGAGACGCGAGACGCGTCGAGCGGCGAGACGCACTTGGAGGTCGCGGCCACCTTGTTCACCGCGAAGGTGGCAGTGCTAGCGATGGACATGGACATTTTGATTGTGCGTTCGAGCGGCGTTGACGCGCGCGTAACGGCGATGAGTGCCCCGCGCGCGCGGTCGCTGGTCGGTTTTCTCCGCAAAAAAAATAAATCTTTCGATTCACATTTCGATCTCGGCCAATCACAGCGCTCGATCTCCATATCGCTTCCACCTGCTTCCGGTGTCGACTTTCGTACGAGGCCACGGTAAGAAACCGGTCGGAATTCGTACTACGGGAAACGTATAAACGGTCCCCGCTGGCGTTGTTCGCTTTTTTCTCCAGATCGCGGGCGGGTTTCCGACTTTCGTTCGTTCGTTCGTTCGTCAAAGTTCTGTTATCACAAGCGTGCTCTCCACGCGGCTCGCCGGAGGCCCCAGCCTCCGACGAACTCGCGGGCAGTCTTCTACCGCGTGCATATTCTACGTCCTACTAATTCTGTTCGTATACGTGCGTACCCCCCCGAGCAGAGATCTCAGATCTCAGCTCCTCCGTCCGTCCACATCCGTCGCCGCCCGGTCTGTCGACGCGTATTACGATCGCGTCGATCGCCGCCCGCCGCCGGACGATCACGTCCGTCGTCGCGTCCATCACCGCGGCCCGACGTCTTGCGTCTTCATGGACCCGCCAATCTCGAGGTCGTCGTCCTCGCCGTGGTCCTCGACGACGGTGCCGTCCGCGAGGATCTTCATCTTCGTCTCGTCTTTTTCTTTTTCTTTTTCAATCCTCTCCCTCGTCGCCTCCTTCTCCGCCACAACCTTCGCGTTGGCGGGGAGGACGTTGTTACGCTGCTCCTCGCCCATCTGCTCTTCGGTGGCGTCGGAATCATTCTCCTCGCCGCTCAGCTCGATCGAGAACACGCTCTCCGGCGGCTCGTCGTCCTTCTCCGCGGGCGTCATCTTCGGGCGGTTCTCAACGCGCTCGCGCGCCGGCGGCCGCGCCGGCTCCGGGACGAAGGATTCCTTGGCGTACGCCGTCGCCGCCGCCGCGGAGGCGTCGGCGGCGAGGATCGCCGCGGCGGCGTCCGCCACCTCGCTCGATCGTTGCGCGTTCTGGGCCTCCGCGGCGATGTTCTCGCGGAGCTCTTCCTCGAGCTTCGCGGCTTGCGCGATCTGGGACTCGAAGTCGTCGAGATCGTCGTCGACGGCGGCGGGGACGTCGGCGATCAGGGAGACGGCGTTCGAGACGCTCTCCTTCGTCAGCGAGGAGATCTCCTCCAAGACGCGGTAGTACTCGCTCCCGTCGATGAGCGCCTGCTCCGTGCGCAGCTCGTTCACGCAGTCCCTGAGAAGCTTCGTGGAGCCAACCTCCTGTACGCTCCCGTCAAGCGAGTGCAGCAGGATGGGCGACTGCATCGGATCCGGGACCCAGCTGTCGCAGACTTCGACCAGGACAACCTCGTCGTGCAGCGACGCGTGCAGCGCCAACGTCCGGTTGTTCCCGTGCTGCCACACCGCGGTCTCCTCCGGGTCCGCGGAGTTGTCGTCCACGACGACGTACTTGTACTCGTACGTGTCGTCCGCGTGGATCGGCGTGGTGATCGTCCACAGCCCGCCCTCGGACCAACGCATCGGAAACGCGTTGGCGAGGTTCCAGTCGTTCCACGTCCCGACCATGGCGACGCGCTGCCCCGGGAGCGTGTCCACGAGAATCTCGAACTTCACCGGGATGTCCGCGTCGGTGGTGGACGCCGCGGACTTCTTCGCGTCGACGACGCGGCCCATGCGTTGGTTGTGACGAAGCATCTGCGCCGCGTTGTCGCGCGCGGCGACGTGCGCCCTCACCATCGTCTCCTCGAGCTCGGCAATCTTCCTCTCCATCGCGATCGCCTGCTTCTCGTGCTTCGCCCTGAGCTCCCGCGCGAGAACCTCCTCCGCGTACTTGACGTCGTCGTCCTTCGCGGCGTCGGCGCCGGCAGCCGCGAGCTTCTCGTACGCTTCCTCGAGCTCCGCCTTGACGACGGCGAGCGCGGCGTCGCGCTCCTCGAGTTTGCGCTGAATGATGTCGCGCTCCGCCTCGATCGCGAGCACCGCGCGCTTCGCGTCGTCGAACGCGTCGTCCTTCGCGGCGAGCTCCGCCGCGAGCGCGCTGATCTCGGTCGCCTTGCCCTCCAAGATCTCATCCGCGGTGGACGCGAGGTCGTTCTTCGCCGCCGCGAGCGCCTCCGTCGCGTCGTTGAGCTCGGCGTTCATCGCGGCGAGCGCGGATCGCACGCCGTCGAGCGCCGCCTCGGACTCCTCGAGCTGGGCCCTGAGGTCCGCGACCTCCGCCTCGTGCTCCGCCTTGAGCGCCGCGACGACGGCGTCGTGCTCCGTCTCGAGGCGCTTCCTCATGAGCGTCGCGTCCGCCTCGGACTCGTCGAGCTGATCCGTCAGGGACCTGATCTCCGCAGCCTTGGCGGCCACCTCGCGCTCTTTCGCGTCTCTGAGCGCGTCCGTGGTCTCGATGAGCGACGCGCGGATCGTCTCCACCTCCTCGCGAAGGCGTGACGCCTCCGAGAGCGTCCGCGCGAGCGTCTCTTCCGAGTCCGCGGCGGCGTCGCCGGACGTCTTCCGGTCCGCGTCAATCGCGGCTTTGAGGAAGGAAATCTCGCTCTTCGCCTCCTCGAGCGCCTTCTCCGCGGCGACGCGCTCCTCGGACGCGAGCGTCATCTCCCTGCGCGCCGCCTCGAGCGCTTCGCTCGTCGCGATCGCATCCGCATCCGCCTCGTCGTCGTCCTTCTTCTCCTCCGCGGCCGACGCCTCGAACGCCGCGAGCTTGGCGTCGACGGCGGCGAATCGCTCCTCGACCTCCGCCACCGCCTCGCGCGTCGACGCGAGCTTCGCCTCGGCGTCCTTCGCCTCCTTCCTCGCCTTCGCCAGCGCATCGAGGTTCTCGTCGTGCTCCTTCTCGAGCTGCAGAAAGTTCTTCTTCGTCTCCGCCTCCCACCGCTCGCGGTCCGCGCGCCACGCCTCGAGCGCGTCGCCGCGTTCGATCGCCGCGGCGATCTTCGCCTCCGCGTCGGCTTGAAACGCCTTCATCTCCGCCTCCATCTTATCCCGCGCGATCGTCACCGTCTCGAGCTGGCACATGAGCGTCTTCCTCGACCCCTCCGCGCGGTCGAGGTCGCCCTGGAGCGAGTTCAGGAGCTTCTCGCGGCGCTCGAGCTTCTGGCGAATCTCGGCGACGCCGCTGAGGTCCGACTGCAGCACGGCGCGGTCGGCGAACTCCTTCTGGAGCTCCTCCGCGAGGTTCGCCTTGGCTTCCCTCGCCGCCTCCGCCTCCTTCTCCGCCTCCTTCTTCGCCTTGTGCGCGTTCGAGAGCTCTCTCCTGAGTTCGAGCGTCTCCTCGAGCTGGCGTTCGAGGTCTGCCTTCGCCGCCTCGGCGGCTTGCTTGAACTCCTCCGCCGTCGCCTTCAGACTCTCCGCCATCTCCAGCGCCGCCGTCGTGTCCTCGTTCTCCGTGGACGCGGGCGCGAGCTCGTTCTCGTCGCGCAGCTCCCCGAGCTTCTCCTCGAGCACCTCGAGCTCCGCGGAGAGCTGCTTCTGGTGCTCCAGCCTCGCCGCGGACGTCGCTCTGTGCTCCTCCAGCTGTCGCAGCTGCTCGCGCTGCGCCCTCGCCCATCGCCTGGACGCGACGAGCAGCGCGGCGATCGGCGTGAACGGCGCGGCGAGGAACGCCGCGCGCTGCCACGTCGGCACCTCCGCGACGAGCATCCTCGCGAGCTCGCTCGCGGTGTACGACGGCGCGGCGGAGATGCCCCCGGCTTTGGCCGCCGCCGCCTCGGGCGCGCCGAGCGGCACCGGGAGAGTCCCCGCGTCGATCTCCGCGGACATCATCACCAGCGACGCGGCGGTCGACGCCTCGGTCGCGGTCGCCGTCGCCGTCGCCGTCGCCGTCGCCGGGTCGCGCGGGGGGACCGGTCGCGACGTCCCGCGCATGACGAGCGAGGAGATGCCGGCGCCCGCGACGGCGGCGCCGGCGTTGAGCGCGGCGTCGGAGAACGCGACCGCGGGTTTCGGGAGCGCGAGCGTCGCCGCGACGGACGCGACGGACGCGAGCGCGAACTTCGCCCTGCGCGTCCACGATATCGGAGCCGCCTGGGGAGATGGGGAGAGGGAGGGAGGGAGGGAGGAGGAGATCAGATCAGATCTGGGGGCGGCGCGAGAGAATGAATTGAATCGTGAAAGTTCGTCTCGGCGCGCGCGATCGATCGCGTTTGAACGCCGCGCGCGCGACGCCGGAGACGGCGAGCGACGCACCTTGACGGCGTCCGGCGCGAGGACGGATCGCGGCGGTTCGGGTTCAGGGAACGTGAAGATCACGTCGCCGTTTTCGGAGACGCGCTTCGCGCTCGGGGCGTCCTCGGACGCGCGCGCGCGCACGAGGACGACGCGGCATCGCGCGCTCGACGCGACGCGGCGACCGCGCGAGATTTTCAGCGACGCGACGGGCGCCGACGTCGGCGACGCGATCGCGGACATGTTCGCGACGCGAGCGATGCTCCTTCACGCGCTGCTCGCGGACGCGATACGCGGCGCGCGGAGGCTCGAGGACGCGCGCGCGGGGAGACGCGCGCGCTCGCCGAGGGAGGAGGTTCGCGGTTTTTTCCCGAGTGTCAGCGCCTGCGCTGGAGGCGGGACGCTCGCGGATTCCGCGCCCGCGCGCTCGACGCGACGCGCGATTCGACGATACGCTCGCTGCGACGCCTCGAGAAGAGAGACGCACGCGCGCGCGGTCGATGCTCGAAGAGGGAAGACGACGTCGCGATGCACACGGCGCGCGTCTCGGAGTGCCCACGACGCTTCGCTCCGCGGCGCTTTTACACGCGTGGCGCTTTTGAAAAGCGAACGCCAATGAGATACTTCCGCGCGAATAGACCGTCGTTCTGGAATCAACGCCGAGGAAACGCCCATAGACTTTCGGTCCGTTGAAATATCGTTCTCTCGTTCGCGTGACGGGGCACGTTTCGGTGGCCACGTGTACGCTCAACGTGTTTGCCCATACGGGCGACGTACTACGTATTCTGTACGAGGAGATCCCGAATCCCGATCGGATTCTACGATGAAAGTATCTGGGCCAAAACCACAAATATCGCGATCGAACGAATATCGCGATCGATCGATGAGTGCTGAATCGAGGTTCGGGCGACCGATGCGTCCTCAGAGTGTTTTCGCGCAGGCTGCGCGTGTCGTCGTGCGTCTCTGAAAATAACCGTCGTCGCTCACTTCTTTTCGTCAAAACCGTTCACTCCGTCTCGTTCCGCGCGTCGTCCCCCTCTCCTCTCAGCACCCCACGCCGCCGGCGCTCACGAACATGTCCACGAGATCGTCCTTCCTCACGTTCTTCTTCCCGACGTACAAGTGCGCGAGGCCCATGACCTGCATCCGATGCTTCAGCTGCGCGACCGTCATCGCCTCCGCCGCGTCTCTCCTCGCGCTCGCGTCGCCGCCGCCGCCGCCGCCGCCGCCGCCGCCGCCGCACACGTTCGGCGACGCGTTCTCCGCCATCGCGGCGCGCGCTTCCGCGCGCCACTCGTCGAGTACGCCGTCGCCGCGCGTCGCCGCGTCGGCGTCCGCGTCCGCCCTCGCCCTCGCCTTCGCCTTCGCATCCGCCGCGAGGCGACGCTCCGCCGCCGCCGCCCTCGCCTCCGCGGCGGCGAGCGACGCGTCCTTCTCCGCCTCGATCGCGACGCGACGCGCGCTCGCGTCCGCGGCCGCGCTCGCCGCCGCCTCGCGCTCGCGCTCCGCCGCCGCGAGCCTCTCGCGCGTCGCTCTCAGCTCCCCGTCGGCGGTCGCGGCGTCGACGCGTCGCGTCGCCGACGCGCTCTCTCGCTCGCGCCGCGCCGCGGACAGCTCGCGCTCCGCCCTGGACAGCTCGCTCGCGAGCTTCTCGCCGCGAGTCTTCTCCGTCTCGAGCGCCTCGCGCAAGATGTCCTCCCGCGCGGCCGCGCCTCGCTCGGTGACCTCGCGATCGCGCTCAGCCGCGGCGACGTCAGCCTCGAGCGTCGTCGCGCGCGCGTCGGCGCGCTCGAGGCGCGTCTCTGAGGGCCATTCCATACGAGCGAACGTCGGGGTGGAGTTGAAAGGCGTCAGTTGAAGTTGAAAGGCGTCATAGGGGCGGGGATTGAAAGCGAGGAGTGGACGGAGAGATGCGCCGGGAAAAGTCCTTAAGGATCGGCGTTCACCACGCCAACGCGGTCGTATGGGGACCAGTGTATAGAACGCGCCTAGCGCGCGTCGCGTCTCCTCCGCCTCCTTCCTCCGCGCATTCTCCGTCGCGCTCTCCCGCTCCGCGGCGTCCGCGCGCTGCCGTTCCCACTTCTCCTTCGCTCTGAGCGCAGCCTCGGCGCGCCGCGACGTCGCGCCGACGGCGCCGCCGACGGCGTCGAGGAGAAACGACGCGAGGCGCTCGTGTTTCCCCGCGCCCTCCGCGTCGCGCGCGTACGCCGCCGCCTCTCTCTCCACCGCGGAGACGACCGCGTCGACGGTCGCGTCCGGGGCGTTCACGACCGCGCCGACGCGCGAGGACGCGTCGGCGTGGAGCGTCGCGTTCTTCGCCGCCGCCGCCGCTCGGCGTCGCGCGCGGTAGTCCCTCCATTGCTTTTCGAGTCGATCCTCCGCGAGTCGCGTCCACGCGGCGCGTCGAACGTCGACGCCGCCCACCGCGGCGCCGTCGAACGTCTCCCTCGCGCGCGCCACCGACGTCGCGTGCAGCGCCGCGAGCGCGTCCGTCGCGGGGTCCGCGTCGTCGTGCTCCCCGAGCGGCGTCGCGTCCGCGGCGGGGAAGAAGGATGCGAGGTACGCGCGTTCGCCGTCCTCCGCGGCGGCGCGGCATTCCGCCTCGGCGACGCTCTGCCACGCGGTGGCGATGGCGGGCACGGCGCCGTCGTTGATCGCGTCGACGTACTGCTTCGCCATCCCCGCGAGCGCGGGGCCGTTGAGGACGTCGCGCCCGACCGTCTTCGGACGGCACCGCGAGAAGAGCAACGACACGAGGTCGTCGAGCCCGCGTCGGAACTCCGGGCGGAGGTCGGCGCGCGGCACCGAGGAGAGGTCGCGCAGCTGCGCCTCGTCGTTCACCGGTCGCACGAGCGGGAAGCACTCGCGCTCGGGGAATAAGCCTCGGATGGAGTCTCTGATGGCGTTCTTCGCGGCGACGCCAGGGCCGTCGCCGGGGACGTGCCTGAGCGCGGACTCGAGGTAATCCGCGGCGGTGCCGTCGGCGAGGTCGAGATAAAAGTCGCGAAGCAGCCAGACGAACGACGGCGAGAATCGCGCGAGGTCCGAAGCATCAGCCGCGCTTCTCCTCGCGCCAGGCCCGCTCTTCTCGCCGCCCTCCATCGCCGCCCTGACGCGGATGTGATCGGTCATCTCCGTCACGAGCGAGAGTCGGTCCAGCGCGGCCTCGTCGATCCCGCCCATCTGGTTGTAGCAGAAGAGCGACGACAGCAGCACCGCGAGCGAGAAGATCTGCGTCGAGTACTGCCCCGTCTGGTCGTACGCGTCGACGCCCTCGGTGTCGAGCAGCACGAGGGAATAGCGCTCCCCTTCCGCGGTGACGCACGGCACGGGCTCGGACCATATCCACAACCCTTTCGTGCACGGGCGCACGGTCGGGCCGACCGCGAAGCCGTCGCGCCCGCGCGCGACGGACGCGAGCTGGTTGAGGATGAAGGACTTTCCCTGACGCGCGCGGCCGCACACGGCGAGGACGCCGACGGGGCCGCGCACGCCGCGGAGGCACGCCAGCGCGTCCTCGCCGAGCGTGAACTTCTTCGCGGCGTCGTCGTAGGAGAGGAGGTGGAGCGCGCGCCCGGCGGGGGGTGCGGCGGGCGCGGGCGCGGACGCGGACGCGCTCTTGGAGGAGAACATCGCGCCGAGGAGCCGAGGAGGATCTGAGGAGAAGATTCCGCCGCGCTCCCCGGCGAAGCTCCGGGCGCGAACGCGCGCGACGACGACGACGACGACGCGGGCGCTCGGGCGCGCGAAGACGCGGGTCGGGTGTCGGCGAGGCGAGGCGCGCGGCACGCGCGAGGCGCTGTGAGAAGGGCGCGCGCGACGTGCGGCACACAGCTGTCGTTGTATTCCGTTCAAACGGCGCGGTCGGGTCTTTTCACGTCAGCGCTCATCGGCGACGACGCCCCAGACTCCTCGTCGGCGGCGTCTCCCTTCGCTCGCGTCCGCGCCGCGTCCTCCGTCTTCTCCCTCCTCTCGCGACGCCTCCGTCCGCACGAGAACGCGAGCCTGACCGCGAGCGCGGCGGTCAGCGGCGCGCCGACGATCACGGTCGCGTACGTCGCCGCGCGCTCGCGGATCCTCCGCGCGTCGTCGTCTCGTCCGCGTCCCTCGCCTCTCGCCTCCTCCTCCGCGTTATCGCCTCGAAGGTCGCTCCTTCCGCGCGCGACTGCGCCGTCGTCGTCGTCGCAGTCGTTCGCGTTCCCGACGCACCCCGCGTCGTTCACGTTCGTCGCGCGGTCGCTCCCGGTCAAGCCCGTCAGCGGATACCGCGGGTCCCGCGGCCGCGGCGTCGGCGTCGGCGTCTCGTCGCGCGTCGAGAACGGCGAGCGCGCGGGCGCGGAGGCGTCGCGCGGAGGAGCGTCGGACGCGGCGGCGGACGGCGCGACGGCGAGGACGAGGCACGCGACCGCGAGGACGACGGCGTATCGCGCGCGCGGGGGAGACATGACGAACCCGTGTGCGCGCGCGGGAGGGGGGGTGTGCGCCGCGCGCGAGCGACCGCCGCGCCGCGGCGACGCGAAGCCTTCCGCCTCGGAGCCTCGAACGCGACGACGACCGACGGGGCGAGACTGCTGTGTCTACTGTAACTAAAACGAAACCGACTACCCGCGCGATAACCGATCGAGCTCGTCCCCGTGCTCCTCCCTCAGCACCCGCATCACCTCCACGAGCACCCACGCGTCGAGCGCGGCGTAGTGCCGCTGCCGCTCCGTCAGCGGCCGAGCCGACCAGTCCGACATCCGCGTCGACTTATCCAACGGCTTGCCGAGGACGACGCGCGCGACGTGCGAGAGCCCGACGGCGTCGCGCGCGCGTCGACGCTGCTCCGGCGCGGACCACGGGCCGCGGACGCGCGGCGCGGCGCCGGCGTGGGTCTTTTCTCTCGCCTTACGAGTAGTATCATTTTCCTCGCGCGCGAGCCGCGCGCCCGCGTTCCACACGCGCTGCAGATCCACGATCGGACCGACGCCGACGCTCTGGCCCCGGCGGCGCGTCGCGCCGCCGCCGCCGCCGCCGCCGCCGCCGCGGTCGCCGTCGCCGGGCGCGACGAACCCGCCGAACGCCTCCGGGTGCAGCTTCGCGAGTCGCCTCAGGTCCTCAGCGACGCCGAAGCCGGTCTTGAGGATGTTCGTGTCGGAAAGTAACGCCCCGAGGGTGGGGGTTATCGCCCCCGGGCACGTCTTCAGAACGGCCGGGACGTCGATCAAAAACACGTCGTCGCGAGACGCGATCTGAAGCAACGCGACGACCTCCGCGTCCGAGCGCGCCTTGGCGTCTTCGTCCATCTCTTCTTCCTCCTCTTCTTCTTCTACTTCAAATCTGCCGTCGTCCTCGCCCTCCTCCGCGGACGCGCCGCCAGACCCGCTGCCGCCGTCGCCGTCGCCGTCGTCGCGCCCTCGCCGCCGCCGCCGCCGACGACCCCGCTTCTTCCTCCCCTTCCCCGCGCCGCTCAGCGTTCGCGCGCCGCCGCCGCCGCCGCCTTCGTTCAACGGCGCGGCCCACTCCGTGTCTATCCCGACGACGTCGACGCCCCTCAGCCGCTCGCGCGCGAGCCTCAACCCCGCCTCGTCGTCCACGAACACGACGCGCGATTCCCACAGCGACTCTGGCAGCCGCAGATACGCGTCCCTCCGAGCCTCGGCGGCGGCGAGAAGCTCCGGCGCGCTGACGAGGGCGATGTCCAATGGCAAAACGAAACGCGGTCAGTCATCGGCGGTCAGTCGACGGTGGACGCGATCAAATCTCGAAACAAACCGAGGGATGGGCGAAAGACGCGAACGTTCGCGCGATAGCGATAGCGCGCACCTCAGACGATTAAACCACCACGACGCGTCGTCGAACCCCGCCCTCCCCGCGAACTCGCTCGCGACGACGACGTCCCCGGTCTCGACGAGCCTCTCCACGACGTATCGCATCAGCGCGACGTCCTCGCCCGCGTACCGCAGCGCCGCCTCGTGCTGCCCTCTCTCGATCATCCGCGCGATCGTGCTCTCGAAGTACGTCGCCCTCGCGTCCGGATACTCGGCGTGGAGCGAAAAGTGCTCCACCGCGAGCCACGCCGCGCGACGCCCCGCGTGCTCGTCGAGCCGCGCGCACGCGTCCACGACCGCGCGGCGCAGGTCGCGGCTCGGCGACGCGTGGCCGGCCGTCGCCTCCGCGAGCTCCGCGGCGAGGTCAAACTGCGACGCGAGCACGAGCGCGTCGATCGCGTCGCGCGTCGCGCGCGTCTCGAGACGGAAAAAGACGATCAGCCGCGTCGCCGGGGCGTGCCTGGAAGCGACGTCGGGGTGGAGTTGAAAGGCGTCGAGGTCGGGGATTGAACACAAGGGTTGGGAGAGGAGTAACGCCGGGCAAAGTCCTTAAGGAACGGCGTTCACCACGCCAACGCGGTCGTATGGGGACCGGTGCGAGGAGAACGCGCCTCCCCGCTTCGAACAGCGCGTCGACGTAGGCGTTCATGAGCTCGCGGACGTCCGCGGCGGTCGCGCCGCCGGGGGCGAGCGCGTCGACGACGTCGTCGAAGTCGAGGCCGTACGTCTCCGCGAGACGGATCACCGCGCGCGGCTCGAGCGCGCCGAGGCTCGCGTCGACGGCGACGACGGACGTCGTCGCGCGATCCGCCGCGCCCGCGGCCATCGCGCGCGTCAGCAGCGGCACCGCGGCGTGGCGATCGCCGCGGTCGACGTACCTCTGCCGTCGCGCGCGCGCGTCGCCGCCCGCGAGCGTCTTCGAGTCGACCGTCTCCCTCGACGCGCCGGCGCCGGAGACGCGCGGCGCGCACTCCAGCAGGAGGTGGACCATCGGGTCCGCGCCGCCCAGCGCGAGATCCTCAGCCGACGCGTCGCCGTCGCATTCATCCCCCTCCCTCTTCGCATCGTCGCTCTCGCGCCGCCGCCTCAATCGCCGCCGCGTCGTCAAGACGAGCTCGATGCATCGAACCACGAACGCGGGGACCCCCCCCGACGACGACGGCGCCTCCGACGCCGCCGCGAGGATCTCGCGCGCGTGCTCGCGGAGCTCGTGAAATTTTTTGCCGTCGCGCTCCAGCGTCAGCAGCGTCGCGACCGCGACCTCGGCTGGGGTGGCGGGGGTCTTCTCGACGTCGATCGCGCCGCCCGCGTCCACCATCGCGGTCGCGCGCGGGGCGCCGCGGACGCGCGGCGGGTCCGCCGCGCGTCCGCCGCGGTCGTGCGCGCCGCGGATCGGGGTCGTCGCTCGACGACGACGCGGGCGAGCGCTCGCGCCCGCGCGCGAGTCGCGCGGCGGCGGCGACGACGACGACGACGACGACGGCGGCGACGACGCGACGCGTGGCGCGAGGAGGCGTCGCCGCGGGAGTCGTCCACACGCGCGCGCGATCGTCGACGCGATGTGCGTCGCGCGCATGGAACGGCGCGTCGTGCGCTCGCGTCTTGTGTGACGACGCGGCAGCGCAGCGTGCCGTCTCTTCGAGGGCGGGTCGTCGAACGCTTTTAGTGGTACATTTTTTTCTTCGTTCATCGGTCGGTTGAAAGGGGACGCGATCAAATGTTGAAACCGAGGGTGCGTGTCGGAAGCAGAGTGGCCGCGGCCGCGGTCGGACGCGGGCGATCGCTCGCCATAACCACCCGCGCGCGCGCAACGCCCGCGTCCGTCGAGTCCCGCGAGCGCGTTCGAGCCGCGCGCGCTCTTCGTCAGCCCGCCTCCGCCGCCGCCGCCGCGCGTCGAGCGCGCGCGCCCTCGACGCCGACCGACGCCGACGCCGTCGCGGTCGTCGCGATGACGACGCCCGAGGTCACGTCGCGCGCCGAAGCGATCGCGGAGGCGGTCCCGCCCGCGCCGGACGCGCCCGCCGCTCGCGACGCGACCAAGGCGGCGGAGTCCACCGCGGCGCCCGCGTCCGAGGAGAAGAAGAAGAAGAAGAAGAAGAAGACGACGACGACGATCGACGGCGGCGGTACCGGCGACGACGAGAAGGTCGACGAGGGCCCGCCGAAGAAGCCGGAGACGCCGCGCGTGCCAAAGCCCGATCGCCGCGAGCTCGACCGCGACGTCCAGATCCTCCAGGCGGCCGCGGACGAGCAGCAGGCGCGGATCGAGGCGCTGAAGCGCAAGATCGAGGCGAAGCGCGAGACGAAGAAGAGCATCAGCCAAGGCGCCGCGGGGCCGCGCGCGCGGATCGCGGAGCTGAACGCGGAGTTCAACGCTCGCATGGTGCGCGCGCGATCGCTCGATCGAAGACCCGTCGCGTCGCGTCCAGTCGTCGCGTCAAACGTCCCGTCGGTCCCCTCTCTTGTCTGTCTGCGAATGAGGCGTGATTTTTTCGACGCGGCGTCGACGTTCGTCCGCCGCCCCTCGCTCACGCGCCCGTCATCCCCTCGCTCACGACCACGTTCATAACGCACAGGAAGAGCGCAAGGCGATCCGCGAGGAGCTCAACGCGATCGACGCCGCGCGCGACAAGGCGCGCGAGCAGAGGACGACGACGCGCGCCAAACTCGGGATGTTTCACACCGTCGACGCGGTCGAGTCGGAGATCGCGCGCGTGGAGCGCACGCTCGGGCACACGACGATGCCGATCCAGGAAGAGAAGAAGATGGTGAACGCGATCAAAGACTTGACGAAGAGCAAAGAGCTCGTGCGGGAGTACCAGGAGATGGCGGCGAAGGTCAACGCCGGGGAGGAGCGAAGGAAGCTCGCTTCGGAGCGCGTCAAGGCGAAGGACGCGGAGATCACGGCGGTCAAGGCGGCCATCGCGGCGGTCAAATCGAGCCTCGAGGAGACGCGGAGCAGGGAGGAGAAGTCCGTGTCCGACGTTCCCGCGATGCAGGAGGAGCGCAACGCGTGCTACGAGATCATCAAGGCGAAGCGCGAGGAGATTCGGAAGCTCCGAGCGTCGTTCAAGAAGAAGGAGGATCAGCACTGGGCGTCGGAGAAGATTTGGCGCGCGTACGCGAAGTACGAGAAACAAAAGCAATACGAAGCGAGCGCGGAGGAGCGGAAAGCGAGAGACGAGGCGAGGAAGAAATGGGAGAGAGAGAACGCACCGGAGCCGTTCGAAGCCGAGGTCACCGCCGCGGAGCAGCTCATCGCCTATCTCGCCAAGTGGGACCCGATGGGACGCGACGCGGAGGACGACGCCGCCAGGGCGGTGGCGGCGGCGGCGGCGGCGGCGGCGGAGGAAAAGAAAGCCGCAGCGTTCGAGGGTCTGAACATCATGAACAAGAAGATGCACGACGACGACGACGACGACTTGTTCTCCTTGGGCGGGTCGTCCGTCGGGAAGAAGGGGAAGAAGAAGGGGAGGTCCGGGGACAAGAGCGGCGGCGGCGGCGGCGGCGGAGCCGAGAAGAACTCGAACGAGCGTCTGAACATCTCCTTCGACGCGTACTCGCACTTCGCGAAGCTGTCGCTGACGGCGCCGCAGCTCGTGCGGGAGGTCCCGGAGACGATGAACGCGCTCAGAGAGAAGAAGGACGCGTTCTTGGAGAAGAGGAGGGCGAAGAAGGCGCGGATCGAAGCCGGGTTGGACGACGACGACGACGAAGAGAAGAAGAAGGAGGCCAACAAGAGCGGCGGCGGCCGCGGGGAGAAGAAGGACGCGGCCGCGGGCGCGAAGCGCGATAGGAAGAAAGGGCGGTCGAAGGGCGGCGCGAAAGGGCCCGTCGCGGTGACGCTGTCCGTGGCGGACGACGTCGTGACCGTGGAGCTGAACGTCGAGGAGAAGGAGGAGGTGAAGAGGGAAGACTGAGAGGAAGGTTCATCGACGGCCCGAAAGTTTTAGCTGCTGCTGAAATGAGAAGACGATAAAAGCCAGATAATAAAAGCAACGACGCGACCGCGCCTTATCCTCTTTCCCCCCGCGCGCGCGATCCCCCCCCCCCCTCTCCGACGCCGATCCTCCGGCGTCGTGCGGGAACTACGACGGCGCCTCCTGCGACGAGATGCTGATGTCCGAAGTCCTCGGCGAGGCCGCGGGGACGTTTCTCCTCAAACAGTGCGTCGCCGCGCTGCTCGGGATGCTCATCGGTCTTCAGAGGGAGTTCGGGTACCTCGTCGGGATGTGGTGGTCGAAGAACAAGCTCGCAGAGAGCCCGGTGCGACGCGCGGGCTTGCGCACGCACATGCTCGTCGCGCTCGGCTCGTGCTTGTTCTCCGAAGCGAGTTGGAGCCTCTACAGCGTGCCAGTCCCGACTCAACTCGTCGGCGACGACGGGACGAACGGACGCGCTCGCGCGCCGTACGTCTCGGGAACCTTCAACTACGACAGCTCGCGCGTCGCCGCGCAGATCGTCTCCGGGATCGGCTTCCTCGGCGCGGGGACGATCTGGAAAGCGAGCGATCAAGTCTTCGGGTTAACCACGGCGGCGTCGCTTTGGACCACCGCCGCCGTGGGCATGCACGTCGGCGGCGTCCACGAGGGCAAAGACGACACGTACTTCCTCGCGCCGTGCTTCGCGACGCTTCTCGTCGTCGTGACGCTTCAGATTCTCATCATGTTTGAGCTGTGGGTGCACCGATGGATGCGCTCGTACACGATGCGGTACCAAGCCGCGCGCGCGACTTTGGCCGTTGCGCCGCACGCGTCCGTCGAAAACGCGGTGCACGACGTCGTGGACGAGGTCGAGAAGAAGGTGGGGCAGGTCGTGGCGCTCGGCGCGGTGATCGAGAGCGGCGTGTCCGGGCCGTGCGCGGCGGGCGGAGGCGGCGCGGCGGGGTTCTCTTCCGCGTCGTCCGCGGGGGGGATCCCCGCGAGCATCGCGGAGGACGATCGAACGCGTCGTCTGGAAATTTCGCTCACGGTTGTCGTTCCGCCGTTTTCCAGCGGCGTCGTGCTTCTCGATCGCCTCGCGATGATCGACGGCGTGTATAAGGCGAGCATCGCGGAGCAGCGGTCGAACGTCGTGTCGTTCGTGGACGCGGGGGGCGCGCGGGTGAGACGGGGACGAGGGATGGAGCGGCCGTTCATCGCGTCCGGCGACGGCTGCGACGACGACGGAGAGGACGACTGACGATGAAAGAACGCGTCGCCGACGCGGCGGCGTACAGTAAAGAATGACGTACGTGATGAGGCGCCCCCCGCCGCTATTTCCGCAGCAAATAATAATCCGGGTCGGCCCTTCTCAGCAGCGCCTCCGCGGACGGCCGCCACCTCGACGCGACCCTGAGCCGCACGTTGAACGCGTTCGCGACGCCCCGCAACAACACGCTGACGCGCGCGATCATGACCATATCCGTCGGCGCCCGCACGACCGGATCTCGCGCCTCCATCTCGTCGATGAACTCCTGGAGGTTCAACCCGCCGGTGACGTCGTCCGTGTCTCGGTCGTTCCAGAACACCGCGAGCCGGTACGCGACGTCGACGTCCGCGCGCTTGGACTTCCCCCCGAACCCTTCCGGCGGGTCGCTCTGGCAGAGACGCGCGACTTCGTCGACGTCGTCTTCTAAAATCGCGAGCGTGAGCTTTGCGTAACACCGCCGCGTGGCTTCGTCTATTCGCTTCACTTGCCCGTAGTCGATCAACCCGAGTCGCCCGTCTGGCATCAACAGCACGTTCCCAGGGTGCGGGTCGCCGTTGAAGACGCCGTGCTCGAAAATTTCATCCGCGTGGACGTCCAACAGCGTCCTGAGGGCCGTTCCATACGAGCGAATGTCGGGGTGGAGTTGAAAGGCGTCAGAAGCGGAGTTGAAAGGCACCGAGGGCGGGGATTGAAAGCGAGGTGTGGGCGGAGAGAGACGACGGGAAAAGTCCTTAAGGATCGGCGTTCACCACGCCAACGCGGTCGTATGGGGACCAGTGTGAAGAAGAACGCGCCTGAGAATCTCGCCGACGTTGATCAGTCGCGGACTCGGCGTGAACGCGACGGGCTTCGGCGCCCATCGCCCCGCGAAGCCCAGTCTCCGCGCGGTCCACGCGACGACGTTCCTCGCGACGACGCGCGGGCGTCTCACACACGCGTCGTGAAGCGCGATCAGAGCGTTCGCGCGCCGCGTCGCGCGCGCCTCGTCGTCCACCCCTCTCCCTGAAATTCTCCCGCTCGCGATCGTCTCGCGTTGTCTCTCCTCCAAAGCCGCCGCCGTCGTCCCTCGCGCCTCCGCGATCTCCCCTAACCGCTGCCGTATCCCGTCCACGAGCTTCACCCCGGGAATCGGCGTCATGACCAACATCGTCTTCGTGCACAGTTCCTCTATCGGCGCCGGGATGTCCACGCGGTGGCTCCACTGAGTGTCGAGGGTCCGCGCGAAGCGACGTCGGGGCGGAGTCGAAAGGCGTCAGTCGGAGTTGAAAGGCGTCGCGGCGTGTCGGGATTGAAACCGTGGTGTGGACGGAGAGAAACGCCGGGAAGAAAAGTCCTTAATAAGGGACCGCGTTCACCACGCCGACGCGGTCGTATGGGAACCAGTGTGAGATGGGACGTGCCTTGGGCAACACCGCGTCTCGGACCTCGCGCAAGTTGGCCGCCTCCGCGCGGTAATCAAACTCCGTGAGGAACTGCCGCTCGATCTCCTCCAGCGGCGGCGCGTGCTGCGGCATCGCGAGCTTGCAGAAGTCGATGCACGTCCGAATGTCCGCGCGGAACCTGCGCTCGATCCCGGGCGCCTGGACTTTTATCACGACGCTTCGCGAGCCGTGCATCTCTGAGAGTTTCGCGCGGTGCACCGTGCCGATGCTCGCGACGCCGCACGGGATCTCCTCCCACTCCGCGATCGCGCCGGCGTGCCCGATGCGCTCCAGCTCGCGCTCCACGATCGCGCGCGCCTCCCCCGGGCGCATCTCCGTCGGCGCCGCGTCCTGCGTCCGCTTGCACCACTCCAAGTACTGCGGCGGCACGAAGTCGTCGCGCGTGGACAGCAGCTGCGCGTTCTTGAAGTAGAACCCGCGCATGCGGAGGACGAGGTCGCGCACGTTCCCCGCGTGCGCGTCGTGCAGCGCGGCGTATTTCGCGTCCGCGTCGTCGTCCTCGAGCGGGATCCCGGTCCACGAGGGGATCCCCGCGGCTCGCGCGTCGCGATTGCGCCACTGCACGGCGCGATACGACGCGTAGACAGGGAGGGCGTGGTACCAGAACGTGATCGATCGCGACGTCCCCTCGTCGCCGCGCGCGTAGAGACCGCCCGCGGCGGCCGCGGACGCGGCCGCCGCGCCGAGCGCCTTGCCGAGGCCGCGCGCGGAGAGCGACGCGGCGGCGGACATCTCGCGCGCTGCGCGCCGCGCTCTGCGCCAGATCTCGCGAGCACTGCAGCAGAGAGTGCCCACTCATCTCACAGAACGCGACCGGCCGAACAGACGGGACGAAGTTCGGGTCACTGCACTCTGCGTCGTGGTCGCGCGGCGATGAGGTAAATACATACTCTATCGTACAGTACATTAATACCGCCCGCCTCGACCTCGTCCGCGTCCGCCTCTCCCACCTCTCCCGCCTCTCCCGCCGCGGTTCGGGTCGTTCCCCGCCGCCGCCAAACCCGCCGCTCTGATCGACGCCGACTCCGCTTCGCTCATCAGCCGCCACCGCCCTTCCGGCAAGTCGCCGACGTCGCACGTCCCCACGTGCACGCGCCGCAGGTCCAACACGCGCAGCGCGAGCCCCTCGCACAGCCGCCGAATCTGCCGCTTCTTCCCCTGGCGCAGCTCGAACCGTAACGTCGTCCCCTCGAGCGTTTCCACGCGCATCGGAAGCAGACGCTCGCCGTCCAGCGCGACGGGCCCGTTCAACGCGGCCAACTGCTCGCGCGTCGCGATCGCGTCCACGACGACCTCGTACACCTTTGGGATCTCGTTCCCGCCCACGATCGCCCTCGCGAGGACGCCGTCCGTGGTGAGCACGAGCAGGCCTCTTGAATCCTTGTCGAGCCGGCCGCAGACGTTCAGCGCGCGCGCGTCGCGACAGACGTCCTCGAGCTTGCGTCGCGTCGCGGCGTCGGCGTCCGCGCCGCCGCCGACGACGCCGCCGCCCGTCGAGTGATGATATATCGCGTTCCTCGGCGTGATCAGCTCGCTCGCCTCGCGCTCGCCCCTGGACGGGAGGTTAGAGACGTACCCCGGGGGTTTGTTCAGGACGACGGTGACTTTTTTCGCGAGCAGCGCGTTGGCGCCGCCGTCGCTATCGCCGGCGATGTCGATCGTCGCGTCGATCGCCACCTTCATGCCTCGCGTCGCCACCTCTCCGCCGTTCACGATGACGTCCCCGCGGTCGATGAGCGCCTCCGCCTCGCGTCTGGACGCCATCCCGCGCTGGGACATCAGCTTCGAGACGCGCTGGGTCTGGATGGGATGCGGCGGGAGCTCTCCGTCGTCGACGTGCGCGGCGGCGGCGAACGAACGCGCGCCGCTGGACCACGACAGTCTTGTCGTCGCGCGAACGGCGACGCCGCCGACGCGCTTTTTTTTCTCGCCCGACGACGACGACGTCGCGACGCCGCGGGGGTCGACGCCGTCGAGCGCGCCGCGGCCGCGCGCGCCGCGCCGCGACAGGCGTCCGAACGCGGAGGGGACGACGCGCGTCAGCGCCGCGCGCGCCGCGGGGGACGCCATCACGAGCGCCCCGCGGTCTGGACGACGCGACGAGAGGCGCATTCATCAGTTGAAAGCTCCGAGAAAACTTCTAAACGAGCAGCTCGCTGACGTGAGCTCAGCCTGCTCTCCGCGCCTCATCACTCGCCGCCGCGCCCGCGATGAGCGCGTCCACGCTGACGCTCTACCGGCACATCTTGAAGGCCGCGAGGACGTTCCCGAGCCGTAACCGCGCGGGGATCATCGAGGACATCAAGCTCGAGTTCCGCGAGAACCGAGCGGTGACGGACGCCGCGGCGCTGCGCGCGAAGATCGCGCTCGCGAACGACGGACTCGATCGCATGCGCGCGTACACCGGTCTGGACTCGGGGTCGAGCGCGTGGGACGTGTCTCTGAAAGGGCCGTTCGACGGCACGAACGGGATGGGGGAGAAAGAGGACTCAAAGAGGGAGGACGGGAGGTGAGCGAACGGTCGCGGCCGCGGGAGGAGGAGGGGCGTCGTGGGTGTTCGAGATGAATCGAGTTGACGACGACGACGACGACGTAAGGTTAAGGGTAGGGCGGCGCGCTCGTAGACGATTGCAAACGACGCGACGCCGAGTAGCTATCTAAAGAGCGCCCGCCGCGCTCTACTCCTCCGTCGCGAGGTGATCCGCGTGCGACCGCGTCCGCGTGAACGTCAGCCGCACCTCCACGCACGTCTCCGCGCGCGAGAGAGACGTCGGCCAGGTCTTCGCCTTGTACTCCGCGACGATCCCCCCGCCGCCGCCGCCGCCGCCGCCGCCGCCGTCGTCGTCGTCGTCGTCGCCGAGCCCGGCGGGGACGACGACCGGCATCGCCTTCACGACCGCGGCGTCCACGCCCTTGAACGCGGGTATCCGCGCGCGCGGGTCGAGATACAGCCCGCCGTCGCCGCCGGTGAACGGGAGATGATACGTCGCGTCGTTGCGCAACACCGCGTAGACGTCCAACGGCGGCTCCGTCGCCAAAACGAAAACGCGCTCGCCGCCTTCGCCTTCTTCGCGGACGTTCGACACCAAACGCGCGGTCACCGTCCACGGCCCAAACGTCAGCGGCGTCGCCGCGTCCAGCGCGACTTTCGCGCCCACCGCGATGGAGTCGTGCGGCGGGAAGAACTGCTCGCTGAACATCGCGAAGACGTCGCCGTCGACGAACGACTTGTTGGTTTTTTTCAACGTGATCCACCCGTCCCTCGGCCGCCTGCGCGGGTGAAGCGATCGGTCAGTCGACCGTCTTACCAGTCAAACGTTGAAAGGGAAGCGCGGGTGAAGAGTGACGACGGGAAAAGTCCTCAAGGAACGGCGTGCACCACGCGAACGGGGTCGTATGGGAAGCAGTCTCACCTCCGTTTCTTCAGCGCGAACCGATCGAGGAGCTCTCTCACGCTCTTCTCTTTCATCATCCCGCTCCCGAGGCCGTGGCACATCCGCTTCATGGCTTCTTTCCAGAAAAATAACGGCTGGTCGACGTACGTTTTACACTCCGCGTACGCCCCCGCGTCGGACAGCGTCATCCCGTCCAGAAACGGCTTGAGACACGCGCTCTCGACCATCGCGCCCAACTGCGCGCTGTCTTCCCCGAGCAGCGACAAGTTCCGCGAGAACCCCTCCCCGAACATATCCGCGAGCAGCGGCACGAGCTGGTTGCGGAGCTTCCCCCTCGTGCTCCACGTCGGCGTGCTGTCCAAAAAGTAAGGCACGCCGTATTTGTGCGCGAAGTCGAGGACGACGGCTTTCGAGTGCGGCAACATCGGCCGCCAGATCGCGACGCCCTCGACGACGCCGGTCTCTTCCATGCCGTTCACCGCGAGCAAGTTGGCGCCGCGCATCAAGTTCGCGATGATGTTCTCCTGGACGTCGCCCTCGTGGTGCCCGACGAACACCGCGGGGAACGCGTGCGTCTTCGCGACGTCCTTGTAGAACCCGTATCGAATCGCCCTCGACTCGGCTTCGTATTGCTCTCTCGGCGTGACTCCGCGCGTCACCTCCGCGATCTTTCGAACGACGCACTCGATCCCCATTCGGTCGCACCACCCTCTCACGAAGTCGGCTTCGACGCCCGACTCCGGGCGGTTATCGTAGTCGATGTGCATCGCGACGACGTCGAACCCGCCGTACGACGCGTCCCGCGACAGACGCTTCAAGATGACCGCGAGCGCCATCGAGTCGACGCCGCCGGAGAGCGATATCCCCACCGCCGGCCACGCCGGAGAATGTTGTCGACGCGCGGACGTCGACGGTTCGTCTTCAGCAGAAGCGTTCGACGACGCGTCTTCTTCTTCTTCTTCGCCTTCGGGCCGCTTCGGCGGCGGTCGCCGCCACCGCGGGTTACGCGACCGATCGTCCCCGCGCGGCAGCCCCGCGCGCTCGCGAACGAACGCGTCCACGGTGGCATACAACGCGTGCGACGCCATCATCGCGTCAGTCGCCGCGTCGGGCGTAAACTCGCTCCGCTCCAATATCTCGTCCCCGTCCGCGTGCTGCTTCCCTTCCATGTCTTGCAAACACCGCAGCGTCGTCTTTCGAAACTTCGCGAGCAAGCTCGCGTGCTGCGCGTGCGTCGCAATGCGCGCGTCGAGCCGCGCCAACGCGACGCGAAGGCGCGGGATCGTTCTCGACTTCCCGTGGCGAAACGGCATGAGGAGGAACACCTGTTCCGGCGTCGTCAGCGCCGCGTCCCAGCCGCGCTCGACGCATCGCTCCGCGACGTCCACGGCGATCGCGTCGGCGGCCGCGAGCCGCGCGTCGCGGTCGGGCGCGTTTCGGTGGACGTGGCGAGTGAACTGATCGAGGAGCATCGCGAGCGCGCACGCCGCGCGCGGGGAATCGTCGCGCCATCGCGACAGCGCGCCGGACTCCGCGGCCGCGACCGTCGCGCCGAAGGTTCGCGCGATGTCGTCGTCGATCTTTCGCTGGATCGCGCCGGTCTTGTCGCCCGCGGGGAACCACTTGTGCTTGTAGTTGTCCTGCGGGGAGAGGACGGCGGCGGGGCGGAGGGAGGAGGGAGGAGGCGTCGGACGGAGCGATGATGATGATGATGATGATGATGATGATGATGATGATGATGATGATGATGATGATGATGATGATGGATGCGTCTTCCGGGAGTGCCGTGACGAGGGAAGGGAGGGAAGGATTCGAGTCGATCGCGAGAGGCGGCGACGACGCGCGGGGAGAGACGTCGGCGGGGGTTTCGCGAGCGCGCACGTCGATGTCGCCGTCGAACCAGAACGCCAAGACGTCGTCCGCGGTCTTGACCTCGGCGGACATGACGCCCCGGCGGGGCTGCCGGCTCCGCGGCGCGCCGCCTAACAGTGAAATTAATTCTCATCGGACGCGCCGAAAAAATATTTCCGTTTGAACTCTCGAACCACATCCCGTCCGCGTCATCACATCCGCGCGCGGCGCCGACGCGATGCCGCCGCGACGGTGGCACCACGAGACCGGCGGGGAGCTCGCGCACATCGTCTCGAGCCTCCTCCACGGCTCCGGCCCGCCCCCCGTGCTCGTCGGGATCACCGCGTGCATGGTGTGCACCGCGCTGTCGTCGCTGGGCGTCGGGCGTTGGCACGAAAAGATGTGGCGACAGCGCCGCGCGGACGCGGACGTCCTCGCGTCGGCGCTGAGGAGGGAGGCGGAGGAGGAGATCCTGAACGCGTCGATGGCGACGAGTAGCGCGATGGACACCGCGCGAGACGAGAGCGACATGTCGTTCGTGGTCGAGAGCGCGGACGACGACGACGAGACGATGTCGATCCGAGGCTCCGAGACGAGCGCGTCCGAGGCTGGGAGCGACGTCGCGTGGACGACGACGACGCCGTCGTCGTCGCGCGCGACGAAGGGGCGCGACTTCAAGTGCGCGCCGCCGCGCGGGAGCGCGAAGAAGCCGCCGTCGAGGCTCGCGCGGCACAGCCCGAACAGCGTGTTAGGGGACCTCACGAACGTCGGGGTGTCATCGCGGAGGCGATGACGGGCGGGGGGAAGTAGAAGAGTTCGTCTGTTAGTTTTTAAGTTTTAGCCGCGCGCCTACCTATTCGCGGGGCGCGACCCGCGCGCGCTCTGCGCGCGCGCCTTGTGCGCTCTCAGCCCCTCGTCCCTGCGCCTCTCCCACGCCGCCATCGCCTCCTCCTCCGCCTCCCTCCTCTCGCGCTGATGCGCCTCCATCGCCGCCGCCGCCTTCGCCGGGTCCAAATGCGACGCGAGCCGCCGGACGTCGTGATAGTCCTTCGTCACCGCCGCGTGGTGCGGCAGACGCGCGCGGAGCGTCTCGAGGTCGGCCAACGCGCCGGCGACGTCCCCCTTGGCGCGGCGCGCCGTCGCGCGTCGATGCCGCGCCTTGTCGTGCCCGGGGTCCGCGCGCAGGCATCGCGTCGCGTCCGTCTCCGCGGCGTCGTAGTCCTCGAGCCGCAAGAACGCCGCCGCGCGGTTCGCGAGCGCGTTCGCGTCGTTCTCTTTGACGCGCAGAGACGCGGAGTACTCGTCGACGGCGCGTCGGTAGTCGCCGCGGCGGAACGCGTCGTTCCCGGCGAGGCGCCGTTCCTCCGCGCGCGCGCTCCGCTCGGCGTCTTCCTCCCACTCCGGGCCCGGCGTCACATGATGCATCGCCGCGACGTCTCCCCCCGAGGGATCGACGATCTCGGACCGCGCGGTCTCGAGCGCCTTCTCGGCCTCGGCGGCATCCGCCTCCGCCGCCGCCGCCGCGTTCTTCGCGCGCGCGGCGGCGGCCGCCGCCTCGGCTTCGTCGCGCGCGGCGGCCACCGCCTCGCGCATCGCCGCCTCTTTCGCCGCGAGTATCGTCGCCCTCTGCTTCGCGCGCGCGTGTTCCTCTTCCTCGCGTGCGGCTGCAGCCGCGGAAGCTCTCGACGCGGCGTCGGACGCGGCTCTCGCGGCGGCGGACGCCTTCGCGGTGGCGCGCTCCGCCGCCGCCGCCGCCGTCGCCGCCGCCGTCTTCGCGGCCACCGACGGCTTCGCCGCGCGTCGCGTCTTCCTCCACGCGTCGTCGTCGGAGTCGGAGTCGCCGGAGTCGCTCGCGGAGTCGTCCACCGGCGGCGGCGGCGGCGGCGCGGCGTTTGAATTCGAATCGACGGGCTCCGGCTCCGGCTCCGGCTCCTCGGCTCCCCGCCGCGCGTCGACGCGCACCGTCGGCTCCGGGGCGCCGACGCGCGGGAACGTAAACGGCGCGAGCAACGGCGGCTTCGCGGCGTCGACCGACGCGCCCGCGCCGCCTCGCCCCGCCGCCGTCGCTTCCCGTCGCCGCGTCCGCGACGTCCCTCGCCCGTACGGATCGAGCGACGGGGTCGGGCCTCCCGCGCGATTCCGCGCCGTGGACGGCCGACTCGGCGGCGGCGGCGGCGGCGGACGCGTCGCGCCGTCGCCTCTGCCTCTTCCGCGCGAAACTCCGCCCTGAAGTCCGCCAAAAGCCCTTCGTTCCTTCGTCCACCCTTCCTCGTCGCGCTCTCCCGCGTCGCCGCCGCCGCGCGTCGCCGCGCCCGCGCGCTCCTCCTCCCCCCTCCCCTCGTCCAAAGAGCCGTCGTCGTCGTCTTCGAAAATCACGTCGTCGACGCCCACCGCGGATCTCGCCGCCTCGACGTCGCGCAGTCCCTCCGGCGTGGACAACCTCGCGAGCAGCGCGTCGAGGTCGATCCCGCCGATGCCCCGCGGCCCGTCCACGTCCAGCGTCACGCTCGGCGGCGGCATCGCGGACGCGACGTCGGACGGCAAGTCGCCACCATCGGCGTCCAGCGTCGCGCCTCCTCGCGTCGCGCGCGCGAATTCTCTCTCCAACGCGTCGACGTCGACGACGTCCCTCGGCGTCGCCGGCGGCAGCGGGAACGCGCCCATGCGATCGTCGTCGTCGTCTCCGCCGCCGGTACCGCCGCGGTCGTCGCGCGCGAGCCTGCCCGCGGCGCCGGAGAGCCACCCGGAGAAAAGCTCGCCCATCGCGTTCGGCGGCGCGACAAACGCGCGCGCCGGCGGCGCGGACGCCGGGCGCGAAGCGCCTCGCGAGGTGGCGCCGCGTGTGTGTGGCCGTCGCTTCGCGCGCGCGTCCGTGGACTCGTCGTCGTCGTCGTACCCCGGGTCTCCGCCGCGTTCGAACGACGCGTGCGCCTCGGCGACGATCGCCGCGGATCGCGCCTCTTCCCGCGCGAGCGACGCGGTCGCGGCGCGCTCGAACGCCGCGAGCGCGGCGGCGTCGTCGTCGGCGTCGGCGCGCGCGGACGCGGGGGCGGCGCGGCGCGTCGCCGCGGAGAACGTCGAGCTCGTCGTCGTCGTCGTCGTCGTCGCGTCGTCCGACGCGCGCGAGCTGAAGAATATCGGAAGCTCGCCGTCGCTCTCGTCGCCGCTCTCGGCGGAGGACGACGACGCGCTGTCGTCGGCCGCGATCGTGGGGATGTGCTGTGGGCGGAGGAGAGGCGATGCGGCGGCGGGGAGGCGGTCAGACGACGCGCGGCGACGACGAGACGTTCGATCGATCGATCGATCGTTGTTGACCGAGAGAGAGAGAGAGGCGACGGACGTCGACCGAGGACGAGGACGCACCGCTCGCGTCGCGCCGAAGAGCGCCTCTCGATCGCGCGCGATGGAATCGCGGACCACGGAGAAGCCCGACGGGCCGCCGCCGTCGTCGGTCGCGGCTACGATCATGACGCCGTCGTCCGTCCCCCGCCGCGGAAGTGACGACGAGAACAAGATGCCGACGAGAAAATACGAATACAGCGAAAAGCGTCGCATAAAAAGAAACAAAAATTGCAGACTAAATGCTCAGTGGGGAGATCCTCATTATGCGGGCCCTGTGATTGGTCGAGAGCCAGTGCGCGGAAAGGGAGATGAGCCGCAGCCGCCGGACGAAAGAGAGCGAGACGCGACGGACGATTCCCGCGACGCGGGGTGACGTCGACGCCATTGCGACCGTCGCGCCACAGGGAGCGTCGACACGCGAAGGCTGGAGCACAGGAGAGGCGAACGCCCTTCCCCCCCGCGAACGCGCGCGCACCCCGCGTCGTTCGAGCGCCACCCCGCGAGGAGGCCGCGCGGCGACGACGACGACGACGTCGAGGTTAGCGCTTCTGCTTTCTTCGCGACAACACCTTTTATCCATCCGAGCGAGAGAGACGTAGGATGAGCTCGACGGCCGCGCTCGGCGCGCGAGCGCGCGCGCCCGTCGCGACGTCCCGCGCGACGACCCACGCGGCGACCCTCAGCGCGCGACGCGCGGTCGCGATCGCGCCGACGCGCGCCTCGTCGCTCCTCGCGCGCGTGCGCCTCGCCTCGGGAAGAAACGCCGACCGCGTCGGCGTCGTCGTCCGCGCGGCGGACGCCGACGCGCCGAAGACGAAGACGCGGTTCGTCAGAGACGAGAACGGGAAGCTCGTGAAGACGACCGCGCCCGCGCCCGCGGACGACGACAACCGCTCGTTCGGGGGAAGAGGCGGCGGCGGACGCGGCGGCGGCCGCGGCGGAGGCGGACGCGGCGGGCGATTCGACGGAGGCGGAGGCCGCGGCGGCGGCCGCGGCGGCGGCCGCGGCGGCGGCCGCACGTTCAGCGCCGGCGGCCGCGCCGGCGGCAGAGGCGGCGGCGCCATGATGAGCGGCGACTGGGGCGGCGGCGGCGGCGGCGGAAGAGGCGGATTCGGCGGAAGAGGCGGCGGCCGCGGTCGCACGGCTGGCGCGGGTCGCTTCGGCGCCAACTCGCCCCCCGGCGGCCGCGGCGCCGCGGCGTGGAAGAACAAGCGCCAGGGCAACGGCCGCCCGCGCCGGAGCTTTTCCGACGCGTCCGCGTCCGATCAAGTCTCGCGGAGGCGCACGGGCAAGGCTGCGCGCGCGGCGCAGAGGCGCGCGGACGCGGAGGCGAACAAGGCGACGGCGGTTGAGATTCTGGAGATCCCCGCCGACGGCCTCGAGATGGAGGATCTGTGCGAAGAGCTCGCGACGACGCAGGCGGAGTTGATCAAGGTGCTCTTCATGAAAGGCATCGCGATCCAGATGGGGCAGGTTCTGGACCGAGAGACCGTGATCGCGGTGTGCGAGGCGAAGGACCAGGAGTGGATGGACGCCGGGGAGGTTGGCGTGGAGGAGCAGGCGAAGAAGCTCACGTCGTTTTACGAGGAGGAGGACGAGGACGACCTCGAGACGCGGCCGCCGGTGGTGACGATCATGGGCCACGTCGACCACGGGAAGACGTCGCTTCTGGATTACATTCGAAAGGCCAAGGTGGCCGCGGGCGAGGCTGGCGGGATCACGCAGGCGATCGGCGCGTACCAGGTGTCCGCGGCCATCGGCGGCGACGACGGCGAATCGGAGCGAAACATCACGTTTTTGGACACGCCCGGGCACGAGGCGTTCAGCGCGATGCGCGCGCGAGGCGCGCGCGTGACCGACGTCGCGATCGTCGTCGTCGCCGCGGACGATGGCGTCAGACCGCAGACGAAAGAGGCGGTGTCGCACGCGCAAGCCGCGGGCGTGCCGCTCATCATCGCCATCAACAAGTGCGACAAAGAGGGCGGCAACCCCGAACGCGTCAAGGAAGAGCTCGCCGCGCTCGAGGTCGTCTGCGAGGAGTGGGGCGGCACGACGCCGATGATCAACGTCTCCGCGAAGACCGGGATGGGGATCGACCAGCTCCTGGAGACGATCGCGCTCACCGCGGAGGTGGAGGAGCTCGTCGCCAACCCGGGTTCAAACGCGCGAGGCACAGTCGTCGAGGCGTACCTGGACAAACAGCGAGGCGCGATGGCGACGCTGCTCGTGCAGAACGGCACGCTGCGGATCGGCGACGCCGTGCTCGTGGGCGCGAGCTGGGGCAAGGTGCGCGCCATCACGGACGCGTACGGCGCGAAGCTCGAGGAGGCGGGCCCGTCCACGCCCGTGCAGATCATGGGGCTGGGCTCCGTGCCGATGGCTGGCGAGGAGTTCGAGGTGACGGAGACGGAGACGGAGGCTAGGGACGCCGCCGTGAAACGCAGCGAGAAGGCGCGGATCAACGTCATCGAGGGCAACAGCGTGTCGCTGTCTAACCTCAGCGCGGCGAAGGACGACGAGGACGGCGTGCAGACGATCAACTTGATCGTGAAGACGGACGTCTCGGGGTCGGTGGAGGCGGTGAAGGCGGCGCTCGGGGCGCTCCCGCGCGATCGTGTCGTCCTTCGGTTCCTTCACGCCGCCGCCGGGGAAGTCACCGAGAGCGACATCGACCTCGCGGCGGCGTCCGAGGGGATCGTCCTCGCGTTTAACACGCCACTGTCGGACAAAGTGTCCGAACGCGCGAAGCAGCAGCGCGTGGAGGTGAGGGCGTACGACGTCATCTACGGCCTCGTCGACGAGGTCCGCGCGGCGATGGAAGGGAAACTCTCGGGCGTGCAAGACGAGGTGTTCGTCGGGCAGGCGGAGTGCAAGGCGGTGTTCGGCGGCGGGAACTCCAAGGTCGCGGGCTGCCTCGTCTTGGAAGGACAGCTCCGAATGAAAGCCAACCTGCGCGTCACGCGCAAGGGCAAGGAGGTGTTCAGAGGCAAGGTTGGCTCCTTGCGAAGGATCAAAGACCAGGTGAAGAAGGTCGAGAGCGGGCTGGAGTGCGGCGTCGGCGCGGACCCGGAGTGGGGCGAGTGGAAGCCCGGGGACGTGATCGAGTGCTTCGACCTCGTCGATCGCGTCCAGACGCTCGAGTCCGCGTCCGACGAGCTCGGGAAGAAGGTGGAGGAGATCAAAGCCGCGGAGGAAAAAGCCAAGGCGGCGGCCGCCGCCGCCGCCGCGGCGGCGCCGGAGAAGGAGGAGGATGCGCCCGCGCCGCCGGCGCGCGGGCGGAATCAGAGGCAGCGCGCGGGGAGTCGACGGTGATCGATCGCGCGTTCGTCTCGCCCGCGATCGGGTCACCCCGCGTCGATGGGTGGACGGTGGACATCGACTTGGGGGTGGCGCGGAGCGTCATACAGCTTGCATGCATTCATAAAAGAAAAGTTTTTTCGTTCTCGATCTCGTTCTCGTCCGCTCGCGCCGCGGCGTTCGTTTCATTTCTAAGCGAAAGAAGTAATCTGCAAATCGAAGGCAGTAATCTTCTTCAATTCGGCGTACTTGGATGGCGTCTCCGCGCGCGGGCAATGATCGCGGTGCGGCTCGTCGCCGTTGAACCAGTGCCACTCTTGGCACTCCTTCGAGCAGTACCGGGTGACTTTGCAGAGCGCGCACGCCCACGCGCCGGTCCCTCCGCATTTCGCGCATCCGCGGAGCCTCTCGAGGTCGGCTTCGACGTACTTCTTGGTGCCTTTTAGCTTCGCGGAGAGTTTCAGGTAGTCTTTGGAGATCTGAAGGTTCTTTTTGATGCCGTAGATGCCGTTCATGAAGCACTTCGCGATGTGGTGAGTCAGGTTCACGGCCGCGTGAGGCGGCGCGCACGTCATCGGCGCGGCGAAAGCTTCAACGACGTCGTCGCCCATGTTGAGGCCGTACATGTCGCGTATTACTTTCAAGCCCTCCCGCTTTGTGGTGATGTTGCTCGTGTGGTTCTCCAACGCGTCGGTTATCTTGGCATCATATTGTTTGTCCCCGATGGGTGTGTTGAGTGCGGCCAAGGCCACGAAGTGTTCGAACTTGAGGTAGTCGTGATTCGCACAGTACCAGTTCGCGAGCCTGACCTGGGCAAGAACGTTCCCCTTCTCCGCGGCTTTCGTCCACCACTCGACCGCTTTCACGATATCTTTCTCATGGGTCACGATCCCTCTCATTGCTCCTATAAATTGCTCGTCATGCTCGTACAAGGCCGCGATGGCCACATCGAGGCCGCCGGGGCCAAACTCAGGCATATCTCCTCCTTCAGCCGAAAACTTCAACAACGACTCGAGCACGGGTGTAGCCAGCCCTTGTCCCTGTCGTGCGATGCTCTGGAAGTTTGCCTCAAAAGCCGCCCCAAGCATCCCAGTGCTCGCGGCGGCGGCCGTCACGGAGCCCCAAGCGCCGGCCGCGTCGTCGTTGACGCGCGCCTTCTTCGGCATGTCGTGCGGCGTGCGGGGGCGCTTCGGAAAGTGAGAGAGCCTGTACTCGTAACCCTAATAAAATTCAAACAGCTCTGTCTCTCGAGGGGCCGCGGGCCACACACGACGACCGCGCGCGCGTCCCACCCGCGCGCGACCGCCTCCCGCACTCCCACCGCGCCGCCAACATGTCGAAGATCCGCTACGTCGCGGTCCCGGACGTGCGCGCGAAGGCGGTGACGAGCTCGCAGATCACCGCGTCCTCCGCGGAGACCGGACGCGAGGACGACGAGGAGAGAGAAAAAGAAAAAGACGCGCCCGCGCGCCCGCGCGACGACGACTTCGCCGCGCTGCTTCGCGAGCTCCCCGCGAGCGCGGCGCGGATCGCCCGCGCGCCGATCGCGCCCGTGACCGAGCTCGCGGCGCACGTGATGAACGAGAAGCGACCGCGCGCGCTCGTCGACCGGGCGCGACTCGACGCGCTCTTAAACGACGACCTCGCGCCTCCGCCGCCGCCGCCGCCGCCGCCGTCGTCGTCGCCCCAGCTCGAGATCGAGCCGCCGTCCGCGGCGCTCCTCGACGCGATGGAGACGGCCGCGGAGGATGAACCCGACGACGACGCGATCGCGCCCGTGGAGACGCCGATCCCGTCGTCGCCGCGCGCGCCCAGCGCGACCGCGTCGACGTTCCGCGCCGTCGCCGACGCGCGCGCGGGACGCTGCCGCGCCGCGCTCGCGCTCGCGCCCGTCCCGACGACGACGCTCGACGCGCGGATGAAGCGCGACCGCGCGCCGTTCGACGCCGCGGCGCGACGCGCGATGAGTCGCGCGCTGTCCGACGACCTGACGCTCGCGGGAGGAGGAGGGGGGGGGGGCGGAGACGGAGGCATCGACGAGGTGCCGACGCCGATGTTCCTGGACGGCCCCGGCGGACGCGGACGCGACCGCGTGCGCGGCGGCGCCGTGCGCGAGCTCATCGACGAGCTCGGCGCGCGGCCGGTCCGCGTCGCGACGACGACCGCTACGCTTCCGCCTCTGGAGACGATCTTGAAGACACCGCGCGCGGTGTTGGAGGAGCGCCCGGAGATCCCCGAGGCGGCGGAGGAAGAAAACGTCGACGCCGCGGCGACGGAAGCGCGCGTCCGCGACGGCGGCGCGCTCCTCGCCGCGATGACGCTCGCGGACGGCGACGCGCGCGCGAACGAAGAACACGACTTCCGCGGGCCCGGGTCCGTCGCCGGCGCGCTCGACGCCGCGACGAGGGCGGCGAACGACGCGATCGAGAGAGAGGATGCGGCGCTCCTCGCGGCGACGGCGGAGGCGGAAGCGCGCGCCGCGGCGGCGGCGCGCGCGCGGGAGGCGGAGAGAAACAAGGCGGTGACCGCGCGCATCGACGCCGCGCCCGCGGCGAAGGATCTCACGTTCTTCCTGCGCCCGGACGTGCAGCAGCAGCAGCAGCAGCAGAGGCAACATCGGCAACAGCAGACGCAGCCTGAGAAGCCGAGGCCGCGACCGCCGCCGCCGCGACCGCCGCCGCCGCAACCGCCGCCGCCGCCGCCGCCGCGGGGTCCGGTGGTGAACCCGATCTACGCGCCCGCGCCTCCTCCGCCCGGGCCGACGCATCCGACGCACATCAGTGTGGATGAGATCGACGACGACGAGCTCTTGATGCTCGAGAGGATCGAGCGGGACGTCATCGACTCGAGACGCGCGGCGGAGGTGCCCTCGTTCCCGTCGCCGCCGCGGAGCGCCGCGTCGCCGCCGCCGATGCCGCCGCCGCCGCCGCGACCGATGCCGCCGCCGCACTGGCAGCGCCGGGAAGATCAACACGCGGAGTGGCAGCGGCATCAACATGCGCGATGGGAGGAAGAGGACGCGAGAGGCGGCGGGTGGGAGCCGCGGCGCGGCGGGGGCGACGACGGTCCGCGGATGACGCCGCCGTCGCCGCTGCGGACGTTTCGCGACGAAGCGAATCGCGCGCCGCCGCCGTCGTCGCGTCGCGATCACGGCCAGCGGTTCGAGCGGCGCGACTACCTCGAAGACGCCGACGCGTTCGGGTACGCGATGCCTCCGGCGGTGGATTACGACCTTTCGCCCGCGCGTCGTCGGCGGCGGCTCGACAGCCGCGGCGGCGGCGGCGGCGGCGGCGGCGACGACGATTACTTCCAGGACGACCGCTTCGACCGCGCGATGCGGTCGTCGCCGCCGCCGCCGCGAGAAGACGCGCGCGCCGCCGCCGACGACGAAGCCCCCCCTTTCTTCGACGCGAACGACCCTCAGCTCGCGTACGGGTTCGGGAGGCACGGCGTCGGCGTCGGCGGCGGCGACGACGTCGCCGCCGCGCCGCCGGCGCCTCCGAGGAGCAAGACAGCGTCGCTGATCGCCAACTGGCGCGAGACGATGACGACGCGCGCGCCGCCGCCGCCGCCGCCGCCGCCGCCGCCGCCTCGGCATCGCGCGCCGCCTCGCGACGCGGACTGGGGGCCGTCGTACTCACCCCCGCCGCGAAGCGAAGGACGGCGCCCGGTGCGGGAGTCGCAGATGCGGCGGAGCGACGTCGACGTCGCGCCGCCGTCCGAGACGTTCCGTCGCGCGTTGTCGTCGTACGCGTCGGCGCGCGGAGGAGTCGGCGGCGGCGCGTACGAACCGCCTCCGCCCGTGCGTTACGATCCGATGCCGACGCGTGATCCGCGCGACGTCTCGTCGTGGCGCGGAGGGTACGACGCGACGCCTCCGCGGTCCCATCGCGGCGGCGGCGGAGGAGGAGGGTACACGCCGGAGCCGTTCGGTTCGGGCGGCGGCGGCGGCGGCGGCGGCGGCGGGTTCACGTCGCCGCCGCCGCCGAGGGACCCCACGCTCGCGCCGCCGTGGGGAAGCGCGGAGAAGATGCGTCAGCTGAAACGCAAGAGAAGACTTCTGCACCCGCGCGACGAGAACCTGTGGGACGGCGACGGCGAGAGGAAGACTTTCGCGTCGCCGTCGCCGGGACCGCGCGAGCGGCGGCGGGGTGGGGGCGCGCCCGGCGGCGGCGGCGGCGGCGGCGGGAGGGCGCGCGCGGAGGAGCGACGAAGGGAGCAGGCGAACGATTTCTACGTGATGACGGATAAGTTTAAGTTCAGGCGATGATCGGCGATGGAGAGAAGGCGTGGGGTGGGCGCGAGCGATGACGTGTAAACGATATGATACGAGAGCGCGAGCGCGCGGGCGTCCGCGCCGTCGGCCCGAGACGGCGTTACGAGAATTTTCCCGGACCGCCAGCTGTGCGCGGTTCATCACGCGAAGACGCCGAACGGGATATTCCTCCTCATTGACCGTCGCGCGCTCGCCGCGAGCGCGTCGCCGGGCGCGCGCTCGGGCGTTCACGCGGCGACCGCGTCCGCGTCCGTCGCGCGCGTCGTCCATTCGTCGCCCCCGCGCGACCCCGCGGCGGGGCGCCGACTCGAGGGGGCAGGGGAGGCGGCGAGCGGAACGATCGCTCGTCGCGCGCGGTGCGCCGTAGCGATCGATCGAATCGATCGATCATGTCGTGGGGGAGCCCCAGCGGGGCGTCGTCTCCCGCGGGCGCGTCCGGCGTCGCGCGGAGGATCTCCGTCGGCGAGCCGCCGCCGAACATGGAGAGGATAGACCGCGACCGCGGAGGAAGAGACACCGGGCCGCAGGGCGTCCTCGAGGTGCGTCGCGTCCGTCCGTCGCCCGCCGCGCTGGATTCAACAAAAAAATCGTTCGCACGCCGTCCGTCTCGTCGTTCGCCCGTCCGTTATCCGTCCCCCGCCGACCGACGCGCCGCGTTTATTCGCTCTCTCCCGCCCGCAGTTCAACTGCGACTTCGAGGGAGGCAACCTCGGGACGACGAGGATGATCGGCGAGTCCGAGTATGAGCTCCACGTCCGCGCGGACACGGAGAACCCGCGGTATCGCCTGTGGTTTCACTTTTGCGTACGGAACAACAAGCCCAAGCAAAAGGTCGTGTTCCACGTCGTAAACTTCTCCAAGTCCAAGTCGCTGTACCGCGACGGGATGAGCCCGACGGTGCGGTCACAGAGCGATCCGGCGTGGAAGCGAATACACCCGAAGCACGTGTTCTATTACAAGTCCGGGAAGAAGGAGCGCGGCGGCGGCGGGGCGGCGGCGGCGAGGGAGTCCGCGGCAGAGGTGCGTTCTGGTCACACTGGTCCCCATACGACCGCGTTCGCGTGGTGAACGCCGTTCCTTAAGGACTTTTGGCGTCGTCTCTCTCCGCCCACCCCTCGCTTTCAATCCCCGCCCTCGACGCCTTTCAACTCCAACTGACGCCTTTCAACTCCACCCCGGCGGCGGCGGCGGACGAAAAGAAAAAAAACCAACCGGTGATGACGTTCGTGCACGTGTTCGATCGACCGGACGAGGCGTACTACTTCTGTTACTCGTACCCGTTCTCGTACTCGCACCAGCAGCGGTTGCTGTCGGACCTCGAGCGGCGCCGGCTGCCGTTCGTGACGCGAGAGCTGTTATGTCGGAGCGTGCAAAATCGTCGATGCGACGTGTTGATGATTGGCGACCAGACGCGGTATAAGCACCGCGGCGTGACCAACAAGCGCAAGGTAATCTTGCTCACGTGCCGCGTGCACCCTGGGGAAACGCCTTCGTCGCATACGTTACGTGGGTTCATCGATTGGCTCACGAGCGATGATCCGCACGCGGTCGCGCTGCGTTTACACGTCACGTTCGTGATCGTCCCGATGTTAAACCCGGACGGATGCTTCCACGGGAACTACCGCACGGACTCGTTGGGGACGGACCTGAACCGCGCGTGGGAGAACCCGACGGAGTTCGAGCCGACGTTGCTCGCGGTGAGGTCGCTCGCGAAGACGTACGCGGAGGATTCCACCGTGGAGCTCGACTTTTACATCGACTGCCACGCGCACACGACGTCGAAGGCGTCGTTCCTCTTCGTGAATCCTCCGGAGGAGAGCGACTCCGCGGAGGCGTGGGAACGCGTCGCCGCGCTCCCTCGTCTCGTCGACCTCAACTGCGAGGGTAGCGCGCTCGGGTTCTCCCTCGCCGCGTGCAAGTTCTGCTCGGACCCGAGCAAGAGCGGCAGCGCGAGGCACGCGCTCAGGGACTTGCTCCTCAAGCGCGGCGCGTCCAAGGCGATGTGTTACACGCTAGAGATGTCCTTCTACTCTCCGCCCAACGCGCAAAAAACGTGGACGGCGACGACGTCGAACGAGGCGTCGTACGAAGCTTTCGGCCGCGCGATGGGCGACTCGTTCGCGGACTACTACGGCCTTCGATCGGACGCGGCGTACCCGAGGCAGCGCGCGGTGATGACGAGGGTGGAGCGCGCGCGGAAGAACGGCGGCGTGGACCCGGAGTCGTCGCGGAAAAAAAACGGCGGCGGCTCGGACAGCTTCGCGTTCATCGCCACGGGGGACGCGATGTTCGGTCTCTCCGTCGTCGACGCGTCCCCGGGGGAGAAGCCGTGGAAGCGGTTCGGCGGCGTCCACGCGCATCTGAGCGAGATCAAATCGCGCGCGGAGGTTGGAGACGCGAGCCTGACGTCTTTGTCGCCGCGGTGGAACGGCGGCGCGGCTCGCTTCGGCGGGGAGTTCGGCACCGGCGCCGGCGGCGGCGGCTCCGGTGGTAAGGGGAAGTCTGGCGGCGCCGGCGGCGGCGGGGCTGGGGGTAAGCGCGCGCGCGCGGCGCGGTGGACGTCGCCGAAGCTGGGCGCGGGGAACGGCGAACGCGCGACGGCGACGGCGGCGACGGCGACGCGCGACGGGATGAAAGCCGTCCCGGGGAAGACGTTCGATCTGAAAGTGGAGGTCCCGACCGGGCCGACGAAGCGCGGCGCGCGCGGGAAGAAGGCTGTCAAGGGCGGGACCGTGAAACGCAAGCCGTCGTCGCCGCCGCCGGATGAGCTCATGGACGCGAAAGACGCGCGGCGCGGCGCGACGGAGATGGCGAACCCGACGGCGGACGACGAGACGGATCCGCGCGCGCCGCCGACGCGAAGTAAAAGTTTTCTGGACGTCGAAGGCAGCAGCTCGCACTCGCACGACAACGACTCGCTGCCGGACGACGTCGACGCCGCGTACTTTGGATTCGGGTACAGCCGCGGCGACGAGTCCCCGGACGAAGACGCCGTCGTCGCGAGCGGTTCCGCGGCGGCGCGGCGTTCGTTCGCGTCGCCGGGGCGTCCGGGCGGGCGGTCGTCGCTCGTGATTCCGCCGTGGGCGACGTTCGACGACGCGGACGACGACGCCGCCGCCGACGACGACGACGACGCGCTGAGGTCCCCGGGGCTGCGTCTCGGCGACATGCGCGTGTCCTCGGACCGGCGCTAGAGACTTAATATGATAACTCCGTTAATATACACACGCCGTCGCGATCAACGTATCACATCCGCCGACCGAAGCGTCGCGGCCGCGGTCAAGGCGGGACGTAAAACGACCCGACGATGCCTCGCAAGTTCGCCTCCCCGCTCGCCCACTGCCGCTCGTTCCCCGCGCTCGCGTTGATCACGTACAGCTGTCCGTCCGTCACCGCCGCGGAGATCAAGTTATGCGGCTTCGTGAGCTCGTACTCGTAGTACATCACGCCGTCCTTGACGACCGTCTTCGTGCTCTTCACCGTGCCGGCGGCGCCGCCCGGGACGCCGAAGCCGTTTTCATCCCAGAACGCGCCGATCAACTCTACGAAGCGATCGAGCGCGACTTCCGGCGAGCCGACGTCTTTGAGCGAGTCCTTGTCCACGAACGGCAGGACGTGCGTGCAGAGCTTGCCCTCGGTCGGGGACGAGAAGCGCAAGTCGACGCCGTAGAGTTTGCCGTCGTTCAGGGAGACGATGTCCGGCTTCCACGACTCCTTCGGGTACTTAAAGCTGTAGTCGTGCGTGCCGGAGCTTATGGACGTCTCGAAACGCTCTCTGAACGAACGTCTGTAGACAGACAGCTCGCTCGCGGTCGCGGCGGAGGACGACGGACCGCCGTCGCCGCCGCCGCCCGGGGACGACGACGTTGACGTCTCGTACGCCGCGTTTGACGCGTCGGGGGACGACGCGATGGTCGATATCGCCGATATCGGAAGCGCGACCGCGACCGCGAGCGCGTCGCGACGGCGGACGCCGGCGGGTTCGTCCGCGCCGCGGCGCGCGGTCGCGGCGACGACGCGACGGCGCGCGCGGGGACGCGGCGACCGCGCGAGAGCCTTCGTCGTCGGGGACGCGACCGCGTGCATGTCGCGCGATTGGTACTGATGGTTCCTGTCGTTAGGGATACAGTAGAATTCGTCGTTGCGTTGTTAACTCGCATCATCAGTCCATCCATCGCGACCGCCCGATCGTCGGTCGCCGCGCGATGTCCGCGTCCGTCGCGTCGCCATCGCGCGCGTGCGCGCGATGGTGCGCGTCCACGTCCGCGACGCCGCGTCCGACCGCCGCGCGCGTCGCGTCGTCGCGTCGCCGCCGCTCGTGCCGCCTCCTCCTCCGCCACGAGGAGACGCAACGCGCCGCCGTCGCCGACGACGCGAACGCCGACGAGACCGCAGCCGCCGCGGAGGAAGAAGAAGAAGAAGAAGACGACGACGACGACGACGACGCGCGCGAGGAGGTTCGCTCCTTGCTCAGCAACGTCTGCGTCGTGCTGTGCCGCCCGCAAGGCCCGCAGAACATCGGCGGCATCGCTCGCGTCCTCAACAACTTCGGCATCGCGGACCTGCGCATCGTCACCCCGGAGCCGTCCGCGCTCGCGCCGCCCTACGACGCCGCGGACGCGACGACGGACAAGGCGACGCACCCGGCCGAGACCCGCGCGACCGCGCCGCTGGCCGAAGAAGCGCACAAGTTCGCGGTGCACGCGGACTGGCTCCTTCGCGACGCGAGGCGATGCGTCGACGCCGCGGAGGCGCTGTCCGATTGCGTCTTCGTCGCGGCGACGACGGCGCGCGCGCGAGAGAACCTCCCCATCCTCGACGCGCGTTCCGCGGTCGAGCGCGTCAAGGTGGCCGCGAGCGAGGGGAAGGTCGCGATCGTGTTCGGGAACGAAGCGACCGGGCTCACGAACGAGGAGCTGTCGCTCGCGAACGTGGGGGTCATGATCCCGACCGCGGGGCGCGCGGGCGCGGGCGCGGGCGGACGGCGCGGCGAGAAGAGGTACACCGGAGGCGCGGGGCCGACGTCGCTGAACTTGTCGCACGCGGTCGGCGTCGTCGCGTACGAGCTGTTCCGCGAGCTCGGCGACGGCGTCGTGAGCGGGTTCAACAGCCGGCTCATCACGACGGAGGAGCGGACGAGGCTGGCGGAGGAACTCGTCGCGGCGCGGCGATCGCTCGACGTCCTCGCGTCGTCGTCGTCGTCGTCGTCGTCGACGTCGACGGACGGCGAAGAGGACGAAGAGAAAGAGGAAGGAGAAGCCGCGCTCCTCGCGGAGAAGGAGCGGCTGCTCGAGGAGAAGGAAGCGCGCGCGTTCGCGCGCGTCTTAAACGCCGGGCCGATCGCGAGCAAGGACGCGGCGGCGTTTTTCAACCTCGCGCGGCGGACGCGCGGTGAGACTGCTTCCCATACGACCCCGTTCGCGTGGTGCACGCCGTTCCTTAAGGACTTTTCCCGTCGTCACTCTTCACCCGCGCTTCCCTTTCAACGTTTGACCGGTAAGACGTTCGACTGACCGATCGCTTCACCCACGCAGGCGCGGCCAAGTTTAGCCGAGCGGACGACGCGGTGGTCGCCGCCGCGAGAGAGGTGTTCGACGCCGCGACCGCGAGTGGTGGCGGGAACGATGTCGGGACGAAGCGGCTGTCGAATCACGTGAGGGAGAGGACGGGGCTGAGTCTGTCGCTGAGGGAGCTGGACCGCGTGGCGAGGGCGGCGAAGAACGCGAGCGCAAAGAAGACCTGACGACGTCTTGGCTGGACCAGATCGATATCGTATCACATTTTGCGTCGAAGAGTCAGTCAAACCTCGGTCTCTCCCCTATTTCCCTCCGGATGGACTCGCGACGGACGCCTCTATCTTCCGCAACCGCCGCTCGTGCGCTTGCATCGCGGCCTCGATCTTGTCCATGCGCCCGTCGAGCATCGTCCCGAGCGCTCGCACCGCGCTCAGGATGGAGCTCGCGTCGGGCGCCGCCGCGGGCTCCGCCGCGGCCGCGGGCGCCTCGCGTCGGGCCTTCGGCGCCGCCGCCGTTCTCTCCAATCTCCCGCGCTCTCCGTCTCCCGCGATCACATCTGGTGGCTCGATGAACGCGTCGACGCCCATCTCGCGGCGGTCGAAATCCGGAAACGGTCGCGGCGGCGTCGAGCCGGGCGCGCGAATTCGCGCGAGCTCTCTCGCCACCGCGCCGGGTGGCGAAGGGGACGCCTCTCCGCTTCCGTCGTCGTCGTCGCCGCCGTCGCCGTCGTCGCTCGTCCCCGACGCGAGGTCCGACCCGGGGGTGACTCCGATCGCGGCGAGCCTCGCGGCGACGTCGCCGACGATCGGCGTCGGCGCGACTTCCACGGCGTGCGACCGCGCGGGCGTCTTCGGAAGCTCCGTCGGCGACGGCGGCGGCGGCGGCGCGCGACGCACCGAGAAGTGCGCGATCGACAGCTCGCACGGCGCGTTCCCCGCGGACGTGAACGACCCTCTCCCGACCGCGTCCGCGGACGAGGAGAGGATCCAACCCCCCGGACACGACGGCCGCGTCGCGCCGTGCGGCCATCCGGCGACGGACTTGATCCGAATCGTCTTCTCCGCGCCTCCTTTCGCGCCTCCGCCTCCTTTCAGTCGATCGGTCAGCGACGCCGTCCCTGTAATTTTCATCGACGATTTCATCGCATTCGCATCGCCGCCGCCGCCGTCGTCTAACAGCTCGAGCACCGCGAACGTCGCCGCGGCGACGGTGCTGCCGACGACGACGACGACGCGTTGGGTGGAATCCTTCGTCGCGCCGTCTTTTTTGTCTGTAGGGAAACCGCCGCCGTCGTCGGCGAGTAAGACGTCCGGTCGTCCGATCGTCTCCGGAAGGTGCGCCGCGCACACGTCCACGTCGTCGCCTCTCAGGCGCACCGCGTGCACGGCCGCGTGCCGCGTCTTCGCCTCGCTCGCGGCGGCGAACATCGACGCCGCTTTCGCCGCCGCGTGCACTTCGGAGAGGATCAGACTCCGCGGGATCCCGCCGCCGCCGCCGCCGCCCGCGCGTATGAACGGCATCGCGTCGTCGCCGCCGCCGCCGCCCGACCCCGCGTCGCCGCCGCGCTCCTCCGCGCTCAGAAGCGCTCTCTTCGCCGCCGCGGCCGCGGCGACGCGTTCCGTCGCGGTGCCCCCCTTGGCGTCGACGTACGCCTGGTTCACCGCCGCGCCGCCCGTCGGGACGACGATCTTCTGATCGCTGGACGCGAACAGCCACCTCCCGCGCGCGTCCGTCGTCAGCGACCGCAGCGCGCCCTCCGCGCCGGGAAGCACGCGCCGCGAGAGCGTCGGTCGACCCCACGGCCCCGCGGCGGCGTCGGTTGACGTTCCGTCTTCCCCGTCCGGCGCGACGGCTGCGGCGGTCCAGCCGACGATCCGAATCTCCGAGCGGAACGCGAGCGCGAGCGCGGCGCCGCGCGGCGCGCCCCACGCGTCCGGGTCGAGCCACGTGCACGCCGTGAGCGACCCCGCGCTCGCGGGCAGGTCCTCGCGCGCGAGCAGGACGCCCCCCGGGAGGCCGTGTATCGCGACGGAAGATCGCGACAGAATCGCGACGACGGCGCGACTCGGCGACGTCCGCATCTGCCGCAGCGACGACGACGACGACGAAGCGCCGCCGCCGTCGTCGCCGCCGCCGCCGCCGCCGCCGACGCGCGCCTCCTCCATCGCGGCGACGCCCTCGACGAGCAGCCGCCCGTCGTCCGTCAACCGAACGACCGCGCACGCGGCGACGCGCCGATCGCTCGCCACGAGCGTCGCCGCGCCCCTGGCCACGTGTCCGCACGCGGACCACTGGACCGCGACGACGTCCGCGTCGCGGATGCCGTTCCCCGCGGCGGCGAACTTCACGGAGACGCGCGAGGACGCGAGGACTTCGTCCGTGGAGGGACACACGGACGCGACGTCGACGCCGTCGCCGGTGAGGAACGCGACGACTCGCAGCGACGCGCAGTAGGCGAGGCAATCGGGGGACAATCCCGACGCCGCGCCCGCGGAGAGCTTCGCGCGCGAGGCGACGACGACGGAGGGCGCGACGTCGACGCGCGCGTCGGCGTCGGGGGGGACGGAGGACGCCGCGGTCATGACGACGACGACCGCGGGCGTCGGCGCGGAGCGTGCGCGACGCGTCGCGGGTGTGCGAAGAGAAGAATGCGAAGGTGCCTTCTCTTTGACCGCCGCGGCGGAAATTCTCGTTTTATTATTTTCTCGTTGAACCCGTAAATCGGTTTCTCGGACCCGTCGACGGCGGAGCATAAAAACGAGCGCGATCGCGCGCGCGCGGGCAGATTGATTCTTAACATTTCTTTGTGCCTGTGGAAGACCGGGCCTCCCCACTCCTCCCCCACCCACAACCGACCACAAACACACGTCGCGTCACACCGTGTTCTTCCTGCTCGCGCCGCCCCGCGCGCTGACGCCCGCGGTCCTCACCTTCGGCGGCGTCGGGAGTTCGCGAGCCCTCGCCGTCTCCCTCGCCAGCTCCTCGCGCGTCCCCACCCTCGGGACGCTCTGAGGGTCGTTCCATACAAAGCGACGTCGGGGTGGAGTTGAAAGGCGTCAGGTGAAGTTGAAAGGCGTCGAGGGCGGGGATTGAAACCGAGGGGTGGGCGGAGAGATGCGCCGGGCAAAGTCCTCAAGGATCGGCGTTCACCACGCGGACGCGGTCGTATGGGGACCAGTGTGAGATAGAACGCACCTCCGCGACCACCTCTCGCTTCACCGTCCGCCCGCACGCCGCCGCCTCGCGTTCCTCGCGGCACGGCCACGCCTCCTCCGCGAGGTGGCCCCGCGGCGAGCTCCGATCCTCGTCGTTCGACAGCGACCGGCGCGAGAGTTTCGGGAGGAACGACACGCGGTAGGACCTCGCGCCGACTTTCCGGCGGTCGCCGACGCCGCGACGACGTCGCTCGTCGCCGTCGCCGCCGCCGCCGCCGCCGCCGCCGCCGCCGCTCGGCGGGCCCGGTCGATCGCACGCGAGCGTGCCCATGACCGCGTCAGACCCGGCGACGGCGTCCGCGAGGCGCTCGACGAGGTGCGCGTCGATGCCGACCTCGTCCGCGTCGACGCACACGACGACGTCGAAAGGCGAAGAAGGAGAAGACTCCGCGCCGCCGCCGTCGACCGTCGCCGTTAAGTTTTTTTGGTTTTTCTTCGCGCCGCCGCCGCCGCCGCCGCCGCCGCCGCCGTCGGACCAAAATCGAAGGCGCTCGCACGTCTCCCACACCGCGGCCGCGGTGTGCGACCCCCACTTCCCGGACACGCGCACGACCTCGCCGCCGAGCGCGGCGACGACGCGCGCGATCCGATCGTCGTCCGTCGCGACGACGCACCTAGACACGCACTTCGCGCCGCGCACCTTCAGAAACGTTCGCCACACCAGCGGCGCGCCCGCGACGTCCACCAGTGGCTTCCCGTGAGGGAACGCCTTGGAATCCTTGGCGTCGCACCGCGCGTGTATCACCCCCAAGACGCGGACCTGCGCGGGTGGAGGAGGAAGGGGACGGACGGACGTCGTCGGTCGCGGCGGGGCGAGCGGCGGGGGGCGGCGCGGCGACGTCGACGTCGTCGTCGTCGTCGCGTCGACCGTCGATCACGTTCCGCGTCGTGTCAACAACGACGGAAGAAACGCGGCGAGAAGAAAGAAACGCGTGCGAGATCTGACGCGACGCGCCTTCGGTCGCGCGAGCATCTGCCGCGAGGACACCTTCCTCGCGGGCTCGTCCGCTTTACTCGCGGCGCAGCCCATCGCCGCCGTCGTCCGCGCGCGCGCGCGTCGTGCCGCGGTCTGACGCGTGCCGCGCGCGCGTTGAAGTGACGTGCCGCGGGTAACGAACTCTACGGAAGTAGACTCCGCGTCCAGTCTTCAGCCGTAGCCGGGCGGCAGCAGACTGGATATTGCCGTTCAAACCACGATCGCGCGCGTCATGTCGGCCGCCGTCGCGCTCCTCCGCGCCGCGCCCGCGCTCGTCGCGGGCCGGCGTCGCGCGCGCGCGCCCGCTCGCGCCGCCGCGCCCCGCCGCCTCTCGCGCGCTTTCGCGACGCCGCCCGAGTCCGACGCCGAAGCGTCCGCGCGCTCGGGGTTCGGGGGCGTTTCATCGTCGTCGGGGGGCGCCACGGAGGAAGACGACGTGGACGTCGTCGCCACGGAGGATCCCGCGCCGACCGCGTCGTCGTCGTCCGAGATCGAGGAAAAGTACGGCGACGCGCTCGATAACCCCCTGTTCAACGACGCGTTCAGACAGGCGTTCATCGAAGCCAGCGAGCGACTGGAAGAGGAGCAAGCGCCGATGCGCGCGAAGATCGACGCCGAGGTGGCTGAGATCATGGCTCGCGTGCACGCCGAGCGCGAGGCGGAGGCTCGCGGCGAGCCGTTCGACGCCGCGGCGTACATCGCGAACGCGGAGAAGAACGTGGCGAACGCGAACGCGCTCGAGGCGCAGCTTCCGAAGGACGACGCGCCGCCGACGCCGCCGCCGCCGACGACGACGACGGAGACGACGACGAGCGCGGACGTCGGCGAGCTCCGCGCCATGCGCGACGCGTCGAGCAGGCAGCTGCGGCAGCTGCAAAACGTGCTCCAGGCGATGGAGAGCAGCGTGATGAACGAGCGTCTGCAGCTCGAGAAGATCGAGCTGCTCATCAGGAGGGCGGAGCGCGAGGCGAGGTACGCGGAGGCGGAGAGGATAGCGCGCGAGCGACGCGAGACGGAGCGGTAGGGGGGACGGGGTTTGGGGGCACGCGCGCGTAGCATCAGCAGTTGAACGAAAGAAACGAAAACGAAAACTCATCGAACGACTCGTCGGACGGACCAGACGCTCGCGCGCGCATGGCGGCGTCGTCCGCGCGCGCGCGGACGCCGCCGCGCGGCGGATCCGCCGTCGTCGCTCGCCGCGCGGCGGCGACGCGCGCGGCGTCGCGCCGTGGCGGCGGCGCGCGCGCCGCGTCCGCGTCCGCGTCCGCGTCCGATAGATCCGACGACGCCCTCGTCGACGACGACGACGACGACGCGTCGTTCGCGCCGTGCACGTGGCGACGGCTCGACATCGACTGGGGACGGCGGCACCTCCAGGTCGTCTTCGTGGACGACGCGCACGGCGTCCTCGCGCGCGGCGCCGAGGGCCTGTGCCAGACGATCGCGAAGTGGGCGGGCGCGGGGCACATGATCTTCCCGGAGTCCGCGGGTCTCGACGTGCGCGCGCCGACGACGACGGATGCGGACGGCGTCGGCACCCGCACTCCTACGGCGTCGGACGAGGACCCCGCGGACGCCGCGATGCGACGCCTCTCGAGGCTGTCGTCCGTCTGCGACCACCCGCGGTACGCGTTCAAGCCGCCGTACGCGTTCACGGACGCGGACGGCGCGTGCGCGGACCTGGTGATCGCCCTCGGCGGCGCGCGCGTCGAGACCGCGGCGGCGAGGGCGGCGCCGAGCGCGGGCGCGGTGTGCGACCTGTGGTCGTTTTCAGAGTTCGCGGCGCGCGACGAAGGCGCGTCCGTCCGAATCACAGCACGGGCACCCACGCGACCGCGCGCGCGCGGCGCGCGGCGTTCCTTCTTAAGAGGAGGACTTCGCCCGCCGCGCGCCGCGCGCGTCGCGTTTCAGGCTGTTTCTCTCCGCGCGCCGCCCCTCGAATTCGATCCCTCCCGCGCCGCGGCGACGCCTCCGCGACTCCGACCGACGCCATTCTTCGACGCCCGACGCCCCGATTCGCCTCATCAGTGACCGGCACGGGCGCCGCGGCGATCGTCCCGCGCGCGCTCGCGACCGAGGTCATCGCGCCCGTGATCGACGACGCGATGCGCTTGAGCCTCGGCGAGGAGTGGGGGATCGACGACGACGGCGGCGGCGCGGGGGACGACGACGCGCGAGAGAGGGAAATTCGAATCGCGCTCGCGAGAACCGCCGTCGGCGTGGCGGGTCTGGTGACGTTTTTGATCGCGACGTCGCCGATAGAGGAGGTGGAGCGCGTCACGAAGCGGTGACGGCGTGATCTGTGGGGTGGGGTAAGGCGAAGGCGCGGTCGTTTCGGTGGACGTAGCTGGAGAGCGCGCGGGCGCCCGACTGGCGGCGGCGGAATTTAATATTTCGCGAGGTCTGTCGCCGAAGCCGTCGCTCGTCGACCAAAAAAAATTATTTTCGCCGCCCGAGCGCCCGATCCCGAAGAGTCGCGTCGCCCCACGCGTTCCCTCACACCGGACACGCGCGCGCTCGAGCCCGCGCGCCCTCGTCGACGAACGCCCCCCCCCGTCGACGTACTCCCTCGCGCGCGCGCGCGCCGATCGTCCACCGAGCAGCGCGACAGACGCGCGATACGCGATGGCGGGCGGACCGAAGCTCCCCACGGACGTCCGGCCGAACCAGTTCGTCGAGGCGAACGCGTACGCGCGCGAGGTCGTGGAGCGGGGTTTCCGATTCTCCCCGAAGAACCTCGGCGTGATCGCGATCTTCGGCGCGATCATCCCGTGGTGCATGTACAAGGGGATCACCAACGAGTTCGTGCGTGCCCCGCCCGATCGCTTCGTTCGTTCTCCCCGGTCCGTTCCGTTCCGTTTCGTTCCGCGCGGTGGAGACGAGACGAGATGAAGTCTTCGCGGCGAGATAGATCCTCCTCCTCCTCCTCCTCCTCCCGCGCGTTTCTTCGCTTCGCGCGGGGCGCGTCTCCTCGCCGCGAACGCCATCGAGGAGCGCCCGCGTCCGAAGCGTCGCGCGCGCGCGACGCCGCGACCTCCGCTCGTCGTCGAACGCCTCTCGATGGCTAACCCTAAAAATGAACGCACCCTCCCTCCTCGCGCAGGCGGTGTCCGACTCGAAGTACGGACGGGCGGAGAAGAAATTCTGGTGACGCGAGCGATGATTCGACCGCCGTCACGTCGTCGACGGCTCGTTAGAGAAGCCCGCCGCGGCGACCGACGCGAGTAGCGCGTCCGTCGTCGTCGCGGCGATCGTGCACGCGTTCTATAGTACAGTACGATTTCACACGCGGCGAAAACCAAATCATCGCGTCGTCCGTCGGTCGACGCTCTCTTCGTTCGCCTCGCTCGCTCGCTCGCTCGTCACAAGTTCACGATCGCGTTGATCTGCGCGACGTGCGCGACTATCGCGCCGGACCCGACCGCGATCCTCCCCCCGCCCCTGGCCCGCGCGGTGAACTCCGCGCTCGGCAGCGGCACCGACACGTGCCCGCACATCTCCGCCGAGAGCAGCTTGGGGTCGTTCCGCGCGAAGCGAACGTCGGGGTGGGGTTCAAAGGCGTCAGAAGCGGAGTTGAAAGGCGTCGAGGGAGGTGTGTCGGGATTGAAAGCGAGCGAGGGGTTGGCGGAGAGACACGCCGGGAAAAGTCCTTAAGGATCGGCGTTCACCACGCCGACGCGGTCGTATGGGAACCGGTGTGATAAGAGAACGCGCCTTACTCAGCGGCAGCTCCGCGCGCACGTCGTATCCCTTCGCCGTGCTGCTCACCGTCGTGATCGGATTCCGATACGAACCGTCGCGGGAATACGAACCGTCACTCCCATTCCCGACGATGTCGCGCTTGGCCTCGATGACGAACCCGAACGACGCGTCGAAGCGGTCGGCGAACGAGCCGCCGCCGCCGCCGCCGCCGCGCGAGACGTCGCACCGCCCCTTGAGCGCGATCCGCGACGACCCGCCCAGGTCGAACCGCTTGACGTACTCCACCGCGCTGTGAAGGAGGTCCACGGTGATCTCGCCGCCGAGGAGCGCGTCGTGGCACTCCGCGCCGAGGTCGTACGTCCGCGCCTTCAAGTCGTACTCGGCCTGGACTCTGACGCGCAGAGGCCACGCGTCGACGCGCTTGCGCACTTTGACCTTGTGCGGGAGCTGTCGACGAGTCGCGATCGATCGGAAGAAGAGACGAGGGGGCGCGGCGCGTCAGCGCGGCGAGGGAGACGCGTTGGGGCGAGGCCGAGGCGCGAGGTGAAGGAAGGAGAGGACGCGCGCGCCGGCCGTCGCGTCGCGCGCACCGCGTCGAGCCCCCACGACAACGTCACGAGCCCGTTCCCCGGGGTGGAGATGGAGCCGGCGCTGAACGCGTGCGGCGGGACGTCGTCGTCGGACCCGCTCGGCGCGCGTCGTCCGCGCGCGTCGCGCCGCCGGTCGACGCCGCGGTCGCGGTCGCGGTCGCGCGAGGACGAGACCGCCGCGACCGCGCGGTCGTCGCCGTCTCGAGACATGACGACGCGCGCGCGATGGGAGGAGTGACGACGTCGACGACGCGGGAGCGGGCGGAGTCGTCCGAGGTTGTGATGACAGAAGAGGACGAGAAACGGTTCCGGCGTCGACGGATGATCTGATCTCCTCGCCGCTATAAGATACACAAGTTGATGAGCGCTACCCCTTCATCTCTTTCACCTTCTTCCTCGCCATGTTTCCCCGGTGCGCCGCTTGTATCCGCGTCGCCGCGCTCCCGCGACGCTTCGCCTCCCTCTCGCGACGCTTCGCGTCCGCTCGCTTCCGCGCCGCGCGGCTCCTCGCGGCGGCTTGAATCTTCGCCGCCGCCGCCTCCTCCGCGCGCTCCGGCGCGTCCGCGCCGCACGCGCGCACGTACGCGTCGAGCCTGTCGCTCTTCTTCCTCAGCTCCTTCCGCAGCGCCTCTCGCTCCTCCGCCGCGAACGCGATCTTGTCGTCCAGAAGCTGCTCCGTCAGCGACTGCAGGAGGTAGCACATCGGCTTGAGGTCGTGCGCGCACCGAGGACGCATCGTCTTGAGGGTCGTTCCGTACGAGCGAACGTCGGGGTGGAGTTGAAAGGCGTCAGAAGCGGAGTTGAAAGGCGTCGAGGGCGGGGATTGAACGAGGGATAGGCGGAGAGAGACGAGGGCAAAAGTCCTTAAGGAACGGCGTTCACCACGCCGACGCGGTCGTATGGGGACCAGTGTATAGAACGCGCCTTGACGTACGCGGCGAGGTCGCGAATATTCACGGGCTCGGAGACGATCGATTCACTCTGGTACGACTTGAACCGCGTCGTCGTCTGCGTGCGCGCCTTGGTCGGGACGAGCTTCTTCTCCAGCGGCGTCGTCGCGTCGTGCGGGTGGTTTTTGATGGGCTGGTAGTACCGCTCCGCGGCGTCCATCTGGGGGTTGAGCGTGGACTCGCCGCGCTCGTCCCAAGGCCCGCTCGCGCCCGCGGGATCGTTCGTGAGGTCGCGCATGATGTAGTGGAAGCGCGCGAAGTTCGTCTGCGGCGCCCATGCGTCCGTCGCGAGCGCGGGGTCGTCCAGCTTCCACGGCGTCGCGGCGTCGAAGTGGCCCCGGATTGGGAAGGGCGCGGTGGGTTCGCGCGCGCGCGCGTCGGAAGAATCGTCCGCCGCGCTCGACGCCTCGGATTCGCCCCCGGTGGACGGGACCTTCGCGAACGGGAACTCGAATCGAACGTACGACGCGCGGCCGTTTTTGTCCAGCGCGCCGTCGAACGCCGCGCGGTGCATGTGGTGCGGACCGCCGCCGCGTTTGGTGATGTTCTCCATCGCCGCGGAGCCGACGACGAGACGCGCGCGCGGATCGATTCTGATTCCCATTTCGGGACGACGTCGCGGTCGTGGTTGCGAGGACGTCAGAAAAGTTTCATCGACAGGACGATTTCTATGAGCAAATAGTCTAAAATTGTCTCTCTCACCAGTACGGCACGAACGCATGATACCACACCGTGGCGTGCCTCCGCCGCGCGTCCACGCACAGGTAACACCAGTTCTGCTCGCTGATCCTCGGGAACAGCGCGAGCGACGTCCCCTCGCCCGCCTCCGCGCCAACGTCGGACGCGAACGAAGCCCCGGTCACCTCGTACACGTCCGTGGCGACCACAGCCGCGGGCTCCCCCTCGCCGCCGTTTCCGCCGCTCGACGCGTCCTTCCTCGCGCGCACGAGCGTCTTGTACACCGCCTTCGTCGTCTCCAGGTACGCGCCCAGCGTGTCCTCGTACTGGCACATGCTGCCGCCGATGACGAGGTGTCTGAGGGTCGAACGTCCGCGCGAAAAAGCGAATAACGTCGGGGCGGCGTCGAAAGGCGTCAGTGGTGGAGTTGAAAGGTATCGTAGGCGGGTATTGAAAGCGAGGGGTGGGCGGAGAGAGACGAATGCAAAAGTCCTTAAGGATCGGCGTGCACCGCGCGGACGGGGTCGTATGGGGACCAGTGTGAGGAGAAGAGAACGCGCCTGAACACTCGGGCGATGAACTCGTCGCGCTGCGCGTCGCTCCACAGCGACGCGTTTTCGCTCTCGTCGCCGCGGAGGAGAAAGTCGCGCAGGAGGTCGCACACCGGGAACCCGCGCACGACGTCGTCGATACATTTGTGTATGTACTCCGTCCCCGCGCGCACGATCGGGTTGGGCGCGTCCTGGGACTCGAGCGCGTCGAAGTGCGCCATCGACGTCGCCGCGCACGGAGTCGGCGCGAATTTCACGTCGACGCATCGGCCGCCGCGCGCCCTGTCGAGGCCGAGCTCCGCGAGCGTGCGCCTCGCGCCGCTCGCGTCGATCACGACGAAGTGCTCGCGCACGCGCTCGCTGCTGAAGAAGTCGCGCAAGAAACCCTGGGGGTCCATCTTGTGGAACGGCTTCGTGTACCGGAACCGAACGACGTGCGTGTTGGGCGCGAGGTTCCACTTGACGAGTCGCGATCGCGACGGATCCTCCGCGAACGCGCCGGCGGCGAGGTCGGGCAGTTTCGCGAAGACCGTCGCGTCCGCGACGCCGTCGTCGTCGTCGTTCGCCATGGCGCGCGCGCGACGTCGCGGGCGCGGGGGGGGGGACGGCGCGGGGACGACTGACGGACGGAAGGTCAACGCGACGAACGATCTCTGCAGTCGGCACTGCCGAGATTTTTTTTTTGGCAGCGACGTTCAAACAAAAAGTTTTTCACCCATTACTCGGTTTCAACATTTGATCGCGTCCCCTTTCAAATGACCGGTGGACTATTTCTCGCCGTCCCGGAGAAAATAAACGCACGGTCGGCGGCGTTCGCGTCGCGTCGTCGTCGCTCGAAGTCGCCCACGATGTTCGTTCGACGTTCGCTCCACGCGGACGCGCTCGCGACATCGCGCGCGCGCGTCACCACGACGACCCCCCCCACTCACCGCCGCCCGCGAGGACGAAATCGAGCACCCCCCCCGCGACGGCGACGACGGCGGCGGCGGCGAGCGCGTCGAAGAAAAACTTCCAATCCTCCTCCTCTCTCTCGCTCCGCGTCCGTCCTTCCCTCCACCACCCCATCAGCCCTATGACCTTCACGTAAGCCCGCCACGAGATCATCACGCCGAGGACGCACCCGAGCTCGGTCCCGAGCGGGAACGACGTGTGGAGCTCCTGGTGCTCGCTCAGCCAGGCGAGACCGGCGGCGGCGGGGACGCTCCACGCCGCCCACCCTTTGGCGGCGCCGAGGACAGCCTCGCGCATCTCGCCGTCCTCGATGCTTAAAACGCTCCCTGCGCGAGCGTTTTCGTTTCCGATGGCGTACGCGCCGAGACACGTGGACGTGAACGTCCACGTCGCGATGATCCAGCCGCTCTCCGACAGCCACGACGACAGCGACGACGGATTCAGAGAGACGCGCGCGAGCCATCCCGGGAACGACGACGACGCCGCGACGGACGCCACCTTTTGCGTCAGCGAGTAGAGCCACAGGACGACGACGTCGCCGACGAGCAAGTCGACGTCGTCCACGCGCGGGAGGAGCTGAAGGAGGCGCGACGACGTCGAAAATTTCGACGCGCTGGCGTCGTCCTCGCGCGCGCCGTCGTCGTCGTCGTCGTCGTCGTCGGACGGAGACCGCGCGCGGAGAGATGATGGAGACGACGCGCGGGGGCGATTACGATTCGGAGCCTCCGCGAGCGGTCGCGTCGAGATCGACGCGCGCGTCCTCCACCACGCGCGCGTCGACCGCGCGCGGTCGCGCGTTCTCGACGGCGCCGCGCGCGCGGTCGTCGCCGCGCGCGCGACCTCGCGGACGCGCCGCGGACGCGACGCGACCGCCGCGCTCGCGCGCGCCCGCGCGGTCGCCATTTAACATTCTCAGGTCGGACGACGCGCGCCGCGAGTAGAAGAGAAGATGACGTGCGCTTTTCTCGCCACGGGTCGCATTTGTCGCCCCGCGCGCGGAGGGCGCTTGACGGTCCCCGTCATCGCCCCTCCCCCCGTCCGCCGACCGACCATGTCGTGGCTCCGCGAGAAGTATCGCAAGGCGTTCAGCCCGCGCGCCGGCTCCGGCTCGGACGACGCGGCGACGTCGCCGGCGTCGTCCCCGACGGGCTCGCACGCGCACGGCGATTTTCGCGAGCTCGACGACGGCCCCGCGCCCGCGGACTCGGAACCCGCGCCGCCGCCGTCGCGACCGCCGCCGCCGAGGCTGACGTACGAGCAGCTGACGCTGTTCCCGCCGCCGCCGCCGCCGCCGCATCCGCACCCGCCGTCGCCCCAGGACCTGAACGGCCGCGTCGCGATGGCGAACGCGGGCGCGCCGACGCCGACGTACGCGCCGCCCGCGGGGTCAGCATACGCGCATCAGTATCATCCGATGCAACCGGCGCCCGCGCCGACGACGCCGCTCGTCTTCGGCAGCAACGTCGTCCACCAGCCGCCGCCGCTCCAGGTCGGTCAGCAGCAGTACGAGTACGTCGGGAATCCGACGCGCCAGCAGCAGATGGAGGAGGCGGAGCGCGAGAAGCTGAGGTACGAGACCGAGATGGCGCTCGCGATGAGCGTGTCCATGGGCGGCGCCGGCGTCGTCGTCGGCGGCGGCGAAGACTTCGACGACCAAGGGACGCCGACGCCGACGCAGCCGCCGCCGCGTCTCAGAGGAGGCGCCGCGGCCGCGCGTGGACACCACAGACGCGCGAGCAGCGGGTCGATGTCCGTGGCGTCGCCCACGCGCGGTGGGGGACTCCAGAACTCGTCCACGACGGAGGACGACGACGTGCGGAGTTCGAGGCTGATGTCGTCGGAGGACGAAGTAGGCGCGGCCATCTCCAATCGGTACTCGCAGTCGTGCTCGCTCAACTTCACGGAGGCTGTCCCGGACGGGTTTTACGCGCCGTGGGGGGACTATCCAGAGGTGTGGGACGAGGACGCGGACGGCGACGGCGGCGACGGCGCGAGCGGCGCGGGAGAGAGAGAGCGAAGGCTGCCGCCGCTCGCGCTGCTGGAGAGCATCGAGCCCGACGTCAGCGATCAGGCGCGTCCCATCTTACGCTGACTGGTCCCCATACGACCGCGTTCGCGTGGTGAACGCCGATCCTCGAGGACTTTCTCTCCCGGCGCATCTCTCCGCCCAACGACCCCTCGCTCACGATCCCGACACACCGCGACGCGTTTCAACGACGCCATCTGACGCACCCCTGAACTCCGCCCCGACGTCGTCGCCTCGCGCGGATCCTCGACCCTCATCAGAGAGACGTCGCCGTCGTGGATCAGCGGTCGGACGAGGAGCTGAACCAGTTCCTCGCGTCTCTCGTCGACGTCGTCGGCGCGGTGGAGGACAGGACCGAACGCGCGAGCGCCATCGCGCGAGCGGTCGCGAACGCGATGGGGGGCGACGTCGAGAGCGACGACGCCATCGCGTCGAGGTGGGCGGAGACGTCGTACGACTTGCGATCGGAACGCGGGAAGCTCACGATCCCGATAGGCCGGCTGCTCGGTCGGTGCGGTCTGCGCCGGCACCGCGCGCTCTTGTTCAAGGTCATCGCGGACTGCTTCGACGTCCCGAGCCGCTTAGTCCGCGGAAGATACTACTGCGGCGCGGACGACGCCGCCGCGAACGTCGTCGTCGTGAACGGCGGCGAGGTGTTCGTGGACGTGATGTCGGCGCCGGGGAGGATGTTCGCGCCGGACGACAGCCCCGCGTCTTCGCTCTCGTTCAACAAGCAGCGCGCGGCGGCGGCGGGTGTTACGGGTCCGGGTGTTACGGGTCCGAGCGGCGGCGGCGGCGGCGGCGACAAGGACGCGTGGAAGTACTACGCGAACGGCGAGCGCGCGTCCGCGACGTTCGGGGTCATGCCCGGTCACGACGTCGAGAGCGTCGCGGGGGGTTTCTCCGTCATGCCGCGGCGAGGCGACGGCGCGACGTCGTCGCCGGGCGAGGCGTCCACCGCGATCGGATCGTCGGGGTCGAAGCGCGGCGGCGGTGGATCGGGATCGGGCTCGGGCTCGATCGACCCGGACGATCCGATCGCGGCGCTCTCGATCGCGGTCGACCTCTCCATCGACGCGGAGACGATCCAGCTCGGCGAACGCATCGGCATCGGATCCTACGGCGAGGTGCACCGAGGTCTCTGGCGCGGCTGCGAGGTGGCCGTGAAGCGCTTCCTGGACCAGGACTTCTCCTCCGCGCTCATGCAAGAGTTCACCGCGGAGGTGGACTTGATGCGACGGTTGAGGCACCCAAACGTCGTCCTTTTGATGGGCGCGGTGACCACGACGCCCAACCTGAGCATCGTCACGGAGTACCTACACCGAGGGTCTCTGTACAAACTTCTTCACAAGCCGCAGCCGCCGGCGATCAAAGCCGCGCTGAGCGAACAACGCCGGATGCGGATGGCGCTCGACGTCGCGAAAGGGATGCACTACCTGCACAGCTGCACGCCGATCATCGTGCATCGGGATCTCAAGTCGCCGAACCTGCTCGTCGACAAGCACTGGAGCGTCAAGGTGTGCGATTTCGGCTTGTCGCGGATGAAGAACCAGACGTTTCTCAGCAGCAAGAGCAACGCGGGAACCCCGGAGTGGATGGCGCCGGAGGTGCTGAGGAACGAGCCGAGCGACGAGAAGTCGGACGTGTTCTCGTTCGGGGTCATATTCTGGGAGTTGTGCACGCTGCAGGAGCCGTGGAACGGATTAAATCCGATGCAGGTGGTGGGCGCTGTGGGGTTTTGCGGGAACAGGCTCGCGATTCCAGAGGCGGAGTCGGAGGAGGCGCGCGGGATCTGCGAGGACTGCTGGAGAGGGAAAGCGCGCGAGCGGCCGTCGTTTCTGGAGATTCAGAAGCGGCTGCGGCCGCTGCAAGGGCCGATCGGAGGGGCGCGCAAGTCGGGCGACGGCGCGAAGAGTCCGGAGGGGGGCGGGTCCCCGGCGGCGCCGGCGGCGGCGCCGCGAGAGTAGATACTTTTTTTAGGACGTCAGTAAACGTAAACGCGTTGACTCGTTAATTACACATAATATTTGACAACACCTCGCGCTAGCTAGCCCCTCGCTCACGCCTCGTGCTTCTCCTCCTTGCCGAAGATGAAGCTCAGGTTCGGCTCCAGGACGTGCCTCGCGACGTACACCACCGGCTTCAGCGACAAGCCCGTCGCGACGATGAACGCCATGACGACTGAGAAAAAAAACCGGAGGTGCACCGCGCCGTGTCCGCCGCTGTACTTCTCGCAGACGTCGTACCACCCGGTGGCGTGCGCGAGGAACAAAAACACCGCGGTGTGAAGACAGAACGGGTAGAACGAGCGGCTCCCGTACTTGGCCGCGCGCAGATACGACCGCGCGTTGATAGCGTACTTGCTCTGTTCGCTCTCGCGAGCGTACCGCGCCGCCGCCTTCGATCTGCCGCCGCGCGCGCCGACGCCCTGGTCGTACGCGCGAAGCTTGGACTTGACCGCGCCGCCGAGGAGGCTCTCCTCTTCGCTCTTGCCGTCGTGCATCTTCGTGAACCCGGCGTCTTTCGTTGAGCCGGCGTCGCCGGAGGAGTACTTGACGCCGTAATCGCTCGGGTCGCGCACGAGCGCGAAGACGATCGCCATCGCGCCGAAGCTCCACGCGTACAGACCGAGCTGATAGAACGCGCCGTACGGCCAGTAGTTCCCGTACGTGTCGTCGTACGGGTACTTCCCCGACAGGATCTTCTCGCCGCCGGTGCTGTACGACATCTGCGTCCCCGCGACGCACGCGAGGCCGACGTTTAGCAGCAGCGCGCCGACGCAGGTAAACACCGCCGCGTCGCCGCGCGCAACGGGGAAGAACGCGCCGTGCTTCTTCATGAGGAACCCGGTCAAAAAGTACGGCGTGAACTTGAAGACGCGCTGCAGCGCGAGGTACTCCCCGATCGCGGCGTACCCGACGAGGAGCGCGAGCGCGACGTGGAACAGGATCGGCGCGCGCATCTCGAGCGCGAACTGCCGCCACGCTCGCATCTGTAACAACGCCATCAGGTACCACAAGTTACCGAACGGGTACGCGAACGTCCAGTCTTTGCCCCACGAGTTCCACTTCCCCGCCGCGGGGTCGATCATGGAGTAGTTGTACGTGATCTGACACGTCTCCGCGTCGTCGCCGCGGCAGAACGCCTCGGTGTACCACGCGCTGTAGAGAAAGTGAAGGACCAAGAACGGGAAGATCACGCCCGCGATGAGCGCGCGTCGTCGCCTCGCGTTCAGGTCGTTGCTGACGTACCCGGAGATGAGCACGAACCCCGGTCCCGCGAACTGGTACGCGAAGAAGATAAAGCACGCCGCGGGCTTGTTGTCGACGTGGTAGAACGGCTCGGAGAACTGCGCGGCGACGACGAGGACGATGAGGAGGTACTTCAAGACGTCGAGACGCTCCGCGGTCGCGGGCGCCGCGCCTGTGACGCGCTTCACGACGCTGACCCACTCCGGGTCGCTCGCGGGCGCGGCGTCCGCGTCCACGCCCGCGGGCGTGGAGCCGTAGGAGGAAGCGGGAGCCATGACGACGACGGGACGGGTCGTATCGCGATGTATCTATCGCCGGTCGTGCGACGAGGTCGTCGTCGTCGTCGCTCGAGAGCCCCCGGGCGATAAAGTCCTTAAGGAACGGCGTTCACCACGCGAACGCGGTCGTATGGAGACCAGTGTAATGAACGGTGATGACGGGGATCGATCGATCGATGATCGATCGCTCAAATTATTTCGACGATCGCCGGGCGCGCGACGAAAGAGACGCGCGCTCGCGGGGTTCGGTTCGACGACGCGGGGGCGACGACGCGCGAGTGGACGCTCGCGCGAACCAAGTCGCGACGCGGAAGAAGCGCGCGCGCGAGTGTGCGAGCGCCGACGGCGGGGGGGCGTTCGAGCGACGCCGACAAGAATTTATTGAGTCAGTTCGACGCGACGGGTGGGTGTTACCGGGCCCGCCCGAACGAAGAAGCGTCGTTCGGTGCGGCAGCGCTAATAACTGCGCGAGAAGGGCGGGCGCGTCCGTCGTTCGCGAGCGGCGTCGTTCGTTCGTTCGTTCGTTCGTCGCCACGTCGTCGCTCGGCGTTCTATTCGCCGCGCGAGTCGCATCGCTCTCCTACTACAGTACCTCCCCGCCCCACCCCATCGGTAGGTATCAGTACTTGTACACGCACGACCTGACGTGCTCCTCGTGCCTCTCCAACGCGCCGCTGCGTTTCCCGCAACCCGCGTACACGCACAAAAACCCCGCGCGCGGCTTCCGCTCCGCGTCCGCGTGCGCCTCCAACTGGTGATCCCTCCACTGTTCTCTGTTCGCCGCCGCGTGCCCGCACTCCGGATGCGGGCACAGGTGCGGCCGCGCGTCCGCGCCCTCGTGCGAGAACCAGTGCCGCTTGAGCTTGGCGAAATCCAGGAAGCGCTTGTCGCAGCCGGGGAGCGAGCACCGATACGCGCGGTCGCCGTGCGTCAGCTGATGGCGTCGGAGCTTCGCGACGGAGTGGAACGTCTTCCCGCACCCGGGCTCGTCGCACGCGTGCGCGCCCTCGCCCTCGTAGATCTCTCTCTCGGCGGCGGCGCCGTCGCCGGGCCCCGGGAGGCGGGACCCGTCGTCCGCCGCCGCCGAAAACGCCGCGGTCTTTCGCGTCTGATTCATCACGCCGCCGGCGACGCGGTCGTCGTCGCCGTCCAGCCCGAGCCCCGCCGTGAACGCGAACGGTCGCTTCCGCGTCAGCGACTGCGCGGTCGCGTGCACGAGTCGCAGCAGGTCGCCGCCGCCGCGCGCGCCGCCGAGATACGACGAGCGATGATCGGGCGCGCAGCACGTCGCGTCCGGATGCGTCAGCGCGTCCACGAGCGGGAGCTCGCCCAAGTTGGCCCTGCCGCTGGGCGTCGTGAAGAGGAGGACGACCGGTCGCTCGTCCGGCACCGGCTTCTCCTCCGCGTCTTCCGCGTCTTCCTCCTCGCCGGCGCCGGCGTCGGCGCGCGCGGCGGGTTCGGGCTCGTCCGCCGCGCTCGGCGTTCGCGGGTTTTCGCTCTTCTCGGCGGACGGCGGCGGCGCGGTCTCCTCCTCCGCGAGCGCCGCGGCGCGGCGCCACGAGCCGTCGTCCTCGCGCTGCCACGCCCACGCGGCGTTTCCGCCGCCGCGGGGCTTGGTCGATTTCGGCGCGGCGGCGGCGTGCGCGCGCGCGCGCGCGTCGTCGCCGATGCCGCCGCCGACGGAGCCCCCGGCGTCGTCCAACGCGGGCGCGTTGACGCATCGCTTCTTCAGCCCCGGGTTCCGACACGTGTGGCATCGCATGCACCTCAGGACGCCGCGCGAGGTTCGGATGAACCCGAGGCCCGCGGCCGCGTCCTCCGCGGTCGCGACGATGACGACGTCGGTCATCCCGCCGAAGATCCCGCGCGTCGGATCGACTGCGCGGGGCGCGCGATCTGAAATCGCGACTCGTTGACAGGCGGATGCGCACAGGCATGTGTCACTGGTGATTTATTTGACGACCTCCGACGAAAACGGGCGAGCGGCGCGAGTGTGGTCGGGTACCGTACGCGACGTCGTCTCGTTTCGTTCCATCGTGTTCTACTCTACTCTACTCTACTCGTATCAGATACGCGCTCGTTCGGTCGCGCGCGCGTGCGTCTCGTGTGCCGCACCCCGTCGGTCGGTCGCCGCGTCCGCGTCCCGCGTTCATCGATCGGCGTCTTCGCGCTCCGAGAGGACGACTCATCAGCCGGTGACGTCGATCGGTCTTCGCGTCAAATCCTCCGTCAGAACTAACTCCATCTCCTCGTGGAGTGTGATCAGGCTGTCTAACACGTCGATCCGGGCTTTCGATTCCTCTGAGCAGATACCTTCAAGGTAGATCCGCGATTGCACCACAAATCTATTGCGCCATTTTTTCATATCCTTCAGGGTCATATTTGGAAGATTTGACCCGAACTTCTTGTGACTTGTGGACACGGGCATCCCGTGACTATTCAAATTCCAGCCACCCACCATCTTCATAGCATCGGCGATATCACATGCGACGCGGTATCGACATCGCGTCGGGGTGCACCCAGTTCCAGCGCGGGCGCCCGCTCGTCCAGTTCCAGCGCGGGCGCCCGCGGGACGCGCGGGCGATTGCCGTGCCGCGCGAGGCGCGCCCCCCCCCGCTCGCGCCCGCTTTCGCTTTCGCTTTCGCGCCGCCGCATCATCGATCGAGGTCAGCTCCTCGCGCAGCGGAATCATCTGGGTCAGCATATCGATCATTTCTAGTCTGCGATTATAAACCATCCACATCCCCGTCTGCATCTGCACCTGGTCCCTTACAGTCAACCTTGTGACGAACTCTTTCCGCTCGATGGCTAGCTTCTTCGCGGACATGGTAAAGTAATCCTTAACGTTGGCATAACTGGCAACAGTAACGCCGTTTGGCTTCCGCACGGCGTGGAGGGCCGCCTCGACTTCCTGCCTCGTGCGTCCCGCGGGCGCGTCGGCGTCGGCGTCGGCGTCGCCATCGCCATCGCCGTCGTCGTCGTCCGAGAGAAGGTCGATCTCCTCGCCCGCTTCCCTCGCCTCTCGCAGCCGCTCCAACCGCGCTTCCTCCGCGTCGAGCTGTCGCTCGATGACGACGTCGTTCTCTTCGTTCCTCGCCGCGGGCGCCGGCCGAGGCGGCGCGGCGTCGTTCACCAGGATGAATCCGTCGCTCTCGCGCAGCGTGTCACCGCGCACGATCTCGCCGAGGCCGTTGTCGTACCTCACTTTGAACCCGAGAGGGCGGCCGTACACGTCTAACGTGCCGTCGTACCACTCGACGACGCCGGCGATCTCGACATGGGGACATGAGACGCCGGCGATCTCGATATGGCCCGCGCGCTTGCGCTTGACGCGCCGCCCGACGAGCGCGGCGCCGCGTGGCGTCCGTACGGCCATGGGCGCGTCGATCGGTGGTGGGGCTGACATCTCGGCTGTCGTTTTGATTTCGTCGGGATCGGATCTTTCGGGATTGAGGGTTTACTAAATTTAGGGTAAGAAGCTGAGAACTCGACACGTCACGGACGAAAGGAAGAATCCTCCGAGCACGTGGGGCCCGGCCAGGCAGTCGCCGGCGCACGCGAGACACGCGAGGCGTCCCGCGAGCGTCGATCCGCCCTCCGCGCGCGCTCTCGCGTCACGCGCGAGCGACGTCGCGCGCGCACGGCGTGAACCGCGCCTCGGAATGCAAGGCGCGAGCGTCGCGAGGACCGCCCTGAGGGGCTGCTTCGTTCGAGCGTCGCGAGCGGTCGTCTCGCTCCGGCCGTCGTCGTCGTCGTCGTCGTCGTCGCCGTCGTCGTCGTCGTCCGCCAAGGTCGCGAGCGGGGGTTCGCGAGGACGCGCGAGGGTCGTCGCGAGGAGCGCGGTCGGGTTCCACCGCGGGCAGATCTACGCGCATCCCAAGGGGAAGCACGCGGGTGCGTCGTCGGCCTCGGCGAATTCATTCATTCATTCGCACGACACGTAATTCCGCCCCCGAGAAGACGCGCGGATCGCCCCTCGACTCACCCGCGCGCCTCCTCTCTCCCCTTCCTCTCGTCGTCGCAGAAGCGGTCCGAATCCGCGCGAGCGCGCACAAGCGCCCGACGACGCGCGCGGTCTCGTCCGCGTCGCTTCTCCAAGAGCGCTCCCCTCCGTCGAAGCAAGCGATCCCGCAAGTCTCCGTGACGGACGCGTGCGACCTCGCGGAAGAGGAAGAAGTCTCGAAGCGGGCGGTGATCACGATGACCCCCGGGGCGACGGTGACGTGCACCGCGGAGGAGGAGCGCATCTTCGCGACGCTCCTCGAGGTGGTGGAGAAGAACGATCTCCCCGTGACGCTGCGCGTCGCGGGCGGGTGGGTGCGAGATAAACTCTTGGGAAAGAACAGCACGGACATCGACATCGCGATCGACTCGCTTCTCGGGCGCGAGTTCGCGGAGCTCGTGAACGCGCATCTGAGAGAGAAGGGCGAGACCGTGCACGGCGTCGGGGTCATACAGTCCAACCCGGACCAGAGCAAACACCTGGAGACGGCGACGATGCGCGTCCACGACGTGTGGCTCGACCTCGTGAACTTGCGCTCGGAGAATTACAGCGAAGAGAGCCGGATCCCGGAGATGACCTTCGGGTCCGCGACGGACGACGCGTTTCGCCGCGATCTGACCATAAACGCGCTCTTCTACAACATCAACCTGAAGCAAGTCGAGGACTTCACCGGGATGGGTCTGAAAGACCTTCAAGACGGCGTCGTTCGAACGCCGCTGCCGCCGAAGACGACGTTTCTGGACGACCCGTTGCGCATCTTACGCGCGGTGCGATTCGCGTCGAGGTTCGGGTTCGTCCTGGACGACGAGATCGTATCCGCCGCGGGCGACGCGGACGTTCAGTGCGCGCTGCGGACGAAAGTCTCCAGAGAGCGCGTCGGGAAGGAGGTGAGCGGGATGCTCAGAGGGCCTTCCCCCGGCGACGCGATGACGTTGCTGTGCCGATTCAGGCGCGTTCTATTACCACACTGGTCCCCATACGACCCCGTCGGCGTGGTGAACGCCGTTCCTTAAGGACTTTCTCTCCCGGCGTATCTCTCCGCCCAGGGTCCCTCCCTTTCAATCCCCGCCCTCGACGCCTTTCAACTCCGCTTCTGACGCCTTTCGACTCCACCCCGACTTTCGCTCGTATGGAACGGCCCTCAGTCTCTTCGAGGTGGTCTTCACGCCGGCGTCGCTGATCAACCTCGAAGCGCTTTCCGCGCTGCCGCCGAACACGACGTCGTGGGCGTGCCTGCATTCGCTGCGGTCGCTCGACGCGCTGCTGAGCGCGCACGCGAACGCGGGAGGCAAGCCGTGGAGCAAGTCGTTCTCGTGCGAAGAACGCGAGTGGCTCGTGCTCGCCGCCTTTTTGGCGCCGCTGCGAACGCTCTGCGTCCCTCCGCAAGGGAAGAAACAGAAGCCGACGCCGCTCGTGGAGGTGTGCGTGAAGGAGGCGCTCAAGATGCGAGGCAAGGACGCGGACGCGGTGAGTCTGATACTCGACGCCGCGGTGGACATGAGGGCGGGGGTGTTGGGGTCGTACGACGACTCCGTCGCCGCCTCAATCGCCGCCGAGCGGATGAAGGAAGCCGGACGCGTCGAGACGGTGCGTCGGCAGACCGCGGGACGGGCGATTCGCCGGGGCAAGGAGCAGTGGCGGCTCGCGCTCGTGATCGGCGCGGTCATGGAGATGCCCGGGGTGGTGTCGTTCGGCGACGGCGACGAGGTGGAGACGTGGGCGGTGGAGTTGTCGAGGGGGGGACCGGTGGCGCAGAATTTGTTGGGCCAACGCGGGTCGCCGCTGCACGCGTTCAGCGCGATTCAAAAGGGCGCCGCGGGCGTCGTGGAGTCCTCCGAGCTCGCGCCCGCGGGGATCCGAGTGCGAACCGCGGCGGCAGCGATGGCGGGGCGCGTTCGAACGGTCGAGGAGCTCATCTTCGCGATGAAACTCGATCGAGCGTACGAGTTGAAACCGCTCCTCGCGGGGCAAGAGATCATGCGGCTCGCGGGGATGTCGCGAGGCGGGCCCGCGATGAAGGTGTTCAACGAGCGGCTGATCGACTGGCAGCTCGAGAACCCGGAGAGCGGCGCGGACGACGCGCGCGCGTACATCGAGAGCATACGCGAGGAGGTGATGCACGCGGCGGCGTACACCGACGACGGTCGGAAGTGACGGCTCGACGAAGAGAAGGAAGGAGCGCCGCTCTCTCTCTCTTGCTTGTACCGATATACGTTTAGGTTGTAACACGACTACTGTACCGCACGCGCGCATCATACGTGTACTACTGCAACCGCGTCAGCCGCGTGTAAAACTCCGTCCACGACAGCTTCCCGTCGCCGTCGAAGTCCGCGGCGCCGCCGTCGACGTCCGCCTCTCCCATCGCCGCGAACGTCTCGCGATTGAACACGGTGTGCATCTCCTCGACGGTGAACCCCCACGCCTCGCTCTGCTCCCCCAGCGTCCCCTCCAACCCCTCCGCGATCTCCTCCAGAGTCAGCTCGCCGTCCGTCCCGGCCATGGCGTAGAACAGAACTTTGAGGTCCACGCGCCGAGGCCCGCGGCACGCCTCGAGGACTTTCGCTCGGACGTTTTCCTCCACGAGCGCGCGGCAAAACTCTCCAAAGGTTAACCTCCCGTCGCCGTCTTCGTCCGCGCCTTGGCTTCCCATGCGCCCGAAGACGACCTCGGGGTCTAAGAACGCGCCGAGGTCGCTCGATACGACCCCCCACTCCTCCGCGCAGTCTAACATCCCGTCGCGCAGTTCCTCGAACGACACCCGCCCGTCGACTCCCGCGAGGGAGTAAAACAAAACCTTCAGCTCGCTCTTCTTGGCTCGCAACAACGCGGGGATGTCCATCGCCGCGACCGCGGCGGCGCCGTGCAAAACCACCGGCGGGTGGCGGTTATACTCCAACGCGCTCACGATCGGTCTGCCGTTCGTGTTCGGGTGGTCCTCCATCCGCGTCTCGTGCGTGTTCGAATACCCCCGGGTGAAGAAACACTTATCGAAGACACATTCCACGAGCGTCGGCGTCTTGTGTATCAGCCGAACCACCGCGTCCACGCCGCCCTCGCTTATCGGGTTATCCCCGATGTCCAGGTAACTCAGCGTGGGGTGTCCGAGAAGGCTTTCGCACACCTTGCCGATCCCGTCGTTGTGCACGCCGCACCCGCGCAGCACGAGGTGCGTGAACGACGCGTCGACGGCGAACACCGGCAGTAGCGCCAACACGCCCTTTTGCCCCAGGTACGCCGCGTCGCAGCGATAGGTAAACTTCGAGTACGCCATCTGCTCCTCCACGGACGCGTCGAAGTCCTCCTCGGCGAGGTACGACGTCAGAAACGTCATCGCGTCGATAAACTCCGTCATCGATATCGATCGATCCTCGTCCGCATCCGCCCACGACAGGTGCGCGCTGAGCGATTGTCGGGGTGGAGTTCAAAGGCGTCAGTTGGAGTTGAAAGGCGCCGAGGGCGGGGATTGAAAGCGAGGGGTGGGCGGAGAGAAACGCCGGGAAAAGTCCTTAAGGATCGGCGTTCACCACGCGGACGCGGTCGTATGGGGACCAGTGTATAGAACGCGCCTGACTTCCTCTCGCGCTCTCCGCGACGCGGGATTGACGTCCGTCGCCACCGCGAACATCTCCTCCACCGTGAGGTCGCCGCTGTCGTCGTCGTCCAGGTGACGGAACAGCACCGCGAGCTTGCTCTCGCGGTCTGGGAGGTCCGCGATCGCCGGGCGCGTCGCGAGCGTCTCCAGGACGCCGCGCTCGAAGTCCTCGTCGGAGCCGTACGTGAGGAGAAAACGCATCGCCTGAGGGTAAACGTCCACACGAGCGATTGTCGGGGTGGAGTTCAGGGGCGTCAGAAGCGGAGTTGAAAGGCGTCGAGGGCGGGGATTGAAAGCGAGGGGTGATGGGCGGAGAGAATCGCCGCCAAAAGTCCTTAAGGATCGGCGTTCACCACGCCGACGCGGTCGTATGGGGACCAGTGTACAATAGAACGCGCCTGAATGTACTCCTCGCGATCGATGCGCCCGTCGTCGTCGCCCCCCTCCTCGTCCATCGCGCGGAACATCTCGCGCACCTCCTCCTCGCTCGCCTCCGGGTTCATCCCGCGGCAGAAGCCGACGACCTCGTGCCGCGCGAGGTCGCCGCTGCCGTCGAGATCGAGGTGGTCGAACGCGAGGTGCAGCATCTCCAGGCGCGACTTGCCGCGCGTGCGATGGTACGGCAGCGGCGAGATCATCCGCGCGCGGCGAACGAGCTGCCGAACCAACTCGCTGTTCGGGGTGCACCCGAGGCGCTTACACTCCTGCGTGGTGGGGAGAGCGTCGCGGTGGGGGGTGGGGGAGGCGGCGGTGAGACGCGACGCGATGGACGGGAGGGACGTCCTCGGCGGCGCGAGGGGACCGCGCGTCCGAGAGAGGACCGCGCTTCAAATTAATTAAATTCGTGGTCGCGCGCGCGTCGCGCGACGGACGCGCGAGGGCGAGCCGCGCGCGCGCGCGCCTCGAAGTATATCTTGCACAGGGACCCGCGCTCGTCCCATCCCGGCAGCTTCTTCCTCGCGGGGACGTAGTCATACGCGTCGGCGGCGACCATGCCTCGACGGCCGCGCGGCGCGGGATGATGGCGTACGTCTTTTCGTTGACCTGGTGGAGGCGGCCTTCCTTTCTGTTCGCGCGAGTCGTTTCGCGCGCGCGGCAGACCCGACCAGCACTGTTTTTAATCTCCGCGCGCGCTCACGCGCGCTCGAGTCGCCGCTACGCTACGCTACGATTACCACGACGCCCACGACTACCACCACACCGCGTCGACGTCGCTCGCGTCCAGCGCGACGGACGCGACCGCTGGAACGATCGCCGCCGGACGCGCGCCGGGAACGAGCAACGCGACGAAGCGGTCTCGCCCGCCGCCGCCGCCGCGTCCGGGCTTCGATCCCCCCGCGTCGTCGCGGTCCCCGCCGCCGCGCGTCGCGCGCGCCAGCGCGCGCGCGTCGACGAGCGCGGATGCGACGCCGAGCGACGCCGCGGACGACGACGCGGACGTGACGACGCCGATCACGACGCGCGCGTCGACGTCGACGTCGACGTCGGCGTCGACGTCGGCGTCGACCGCGGAGGAGAGACGGCCGCGGCGCTCGCCCTTCCCGCGGCGCTCGCGCGCTCGTCTCGCGAGCGGCGACCACGTCTCGATCTCTTCCTGGCGCGGCATCAGCACCGGCGCGCCGGGGACGGGACGACCTCCCCACGGGCACCGCACGAGCGCGCGAACGTACGTCGTCGTCGTCCCCGCCGCCGCCGCCGCCGCCGCGACGGCTTTTTTCGTCCTCGCCACCCTCGCGCCTCCGCGCTTCACAACCTCGAGCGCGCCGAGCGCGGACGCGGACGCCGCGCCGCGCTTCCCGCGCGGCGTCTTCGCCGCTCTCGCGTCCATCGACGCGCGCGCGGACTCGATCGCGGTCGCCCCCGCGGCGGCGTCTGGAAAGTCGTCTGGGAACGTCGCCGCCCCCGCCGCCGACGCGAGCCACCCCCACTCCCGCTGCCCCGCCGCGCGCGCGCCGAGGTGCACGAGCGCGAGCCACAGCGGCAGCGCCCACCCGCTCGGGGCGATGATCGTGAATCCGCGGCGAGCGATCGGTAAGCGCGGATGCGACGCGCGGCGGACGATCAGAACGGGGCACGACGGCGACGGCGACGCCGCCGGCGACGACGCGCGCGCGCGACCGGCGACGCGGTCCGCGCGAATTCGCGCGCGCCGCGACGCGAGCGCCTGCGCCGTCGCGGGCGGCGGCGGCGTCGATCGCGTCGATCGCGCGCCTGCGCCGCCGCCCGCGGCGAGCCCCGCGGCGCGGACGTCGTCGTCGCCGCGCGCGACGCCCCTCCCGACAATGGACGCCGCGTCTTCTCCACCGTCGTCTCCGCTCTTCTTCTTCGCGGCCCACGCCGCCTCGCGCGGATCGCCTCGCGTCGCCGCGCGTAACACCCCCCGCGGCGCGCCCCTCGCGTCGCGCAACCACGCCGCCGCCGTCTGGCCCCCGCCGCGCGTAACACCCCCCTCGTCCTCGTCGAGAACGGAGGCCAAGACCGCGGCCGCGGTCTCGCCGACGAGCTCGACGCGACACCCGCCGCGGACGCGCGTCGCTTCGACGTCGACGCCGCGGTCGCTCGCCGCCGTCGCGAGCGCGTCGCGCGCCTCCTCCGCCGCGCCGGGGTGCACCCAGAGAGTCAACTCGCGGCGGAGAAGCGCGGCGGCGGCGGCGTCGGTGTCGGTGTCGGTCGCGTCGGTCGGTTCCCAGAGCGCCATCGCTGGCGCGATGACGCGGGCGTTTCCTTTCCTTCTCCCGTCGCGTCGCGCGAGCGTCACGTCCGCGGCGACGTCGCCGCGCCGCGCGGCGACGGATCCGACCGCCTTGGCGTCGCCGCCTTCGGCGACGTCGCGTAACGTTTTCATGATGTCCGTTTCTGTTCCACGCAACACGAGCGTCGAGTGATACGACGCGTCGTGCGCGACGCAGCGCTCGCTCGCGAAACGCATCGTCGACCTCCACCCGCGTCCTTTTCCGCGTCGACCCCACGCGAGCGCGTACCCGTGCGCTTCGTGACGGCGCATCTCGAAGCGTTTCGCGTGCCACACGTGCGTCTCGAGCTTTCTCGGCGGCGCGGCGATCGCCGCGCGATCGCCGCCGACGTCGCACACGTCGTCGACGTGCATCACGGCGGCGTGCGACTCGTCGTCGTCGTCGTCTTCATCGTCTTCGTCGTCTTCAATTTTCGCCGCCTCCGCGCGCGCGGCGTCGGCGTCCCATCGCGCGCGCAGCCGCTCCGGCCGCCGCCTCGCCGCGCGGCACCACCGCGCGACCGCGCCGGATCGCAGCTTGACCCCGCCTCTCGACCAACACGCCGCCTGCCGAGGGTGGAGGCGTCGCGATGAAAACGAACGACGTCAGCTCAGCGCGCGATTCGATTCGATCGTAGCGCGCGAACGAGACGAGACGAAGACGAAGGACGAAGGACGAAGGACGAACGGCGCGCGCGTCGCGCCGCTGCGCGCGGTCGCCTCAGGCCGTAGCGTGCGAATGTCACTTCGCGGGTACGCGTGTCGCCATCGCGTGAATTCTCGGTTTGGCTGGGTGCGTTGTTGAGTCCTCATCGGCGACCGCGCGCGTGCGCGCGCGCGCGCGCTCGTTCGTCGTTCGTTCGTTCGTTCATTCGTCGCGCGCGCAAGAGAGAGAGAGAGAGAGAGAGAGAGAGAGGAAAGGAAGGGAGAGGGACGCGCCGCCGCCGCGTCGACGGATTCCCCCGAGTCTTCGATCGTTTTTCTCCGCTTCAGATTCGGTCGATGCTTCGTGACTCGCGCGTACGGGTTATGGCTCGTCGCGCGGCGCCTCAGGTGCCTCGGAAGCGACGCCGCGCCGAGCGTCCCGCCCGCGCGCGTCTGGAGCGCGTCAACGAGAACAGCCATCTGCGGTGGGTGGACGAGAGAGAGGAAAGCGGGGAAGGTTTAGGTTTGACGGACATCAGCGCGAGGGCGACGACGACTGATTCGATTGTGTTGTTGTTAGGGATCGACGACGTGACGATTGATTCACGCGTCGAAGGAAGACCCGCGGACGCACCTCCGCGGCTCTCGCGGCGGCGAAATCCAGCGCCCGAACGTGCCGCGGGACTCGCGTCGGCATCTTCCCCCGACGCGCGTCCGGCCCCGACATCGCGGTCGCGGCCGCCGCGCACCTCGCTGTGGCGGCGGGCGAAGACCTACGACGCGACGCCGACCAAAAAATCACACCGACCGCGATCGCGACCGACGCGACGTCGCGACGACGCGACGAAAACAAAACTCGGCACTCTATCCGCGCGCGCTCGCGATGGCATCGCGCGCGTCCACGCCCGCGGCGGCGTCCGCGTCCGCGTCCGCGTCGACGAGCGTGCCGCCGCCGCCGCCGCCGTCGACCGCCGCCACCGCCGCGGCCGCGGCCACAGACGAGTACCTCACCCCCGGCGTGATCGGCGCGTGTCTGACGATCGTGCCGAACGCGACGCTGTGGTACGGACTGAGTCGCGGAAGGAACACGCTGGAGTCGTTCGTCCGGGGCGTGGTGCGCGTCGCCGGCGTCCCGGGGCTCCTGTGCGTCCCGTTCCTGGGCCTTAGTATGGAGAAGACGTTCTACGACACGCTCGTGTCGCTGCAAGGGGTGAATCCGAACGCGCAGCCGCCGTCGCGAGCGGACGACGTGTCGTTTCCCGCGGGAGGGCACGCGCTTCCGAGCTTTTCGCTGGTTCCGGTGAAACACTTCCGGGAGTACTTTCGATGACACGACGACGAGCGCGATGAGAGCGGTATTAGCGTTATGAGTAGCGTTGCTGACGAATGCAATCGTAGATGACGTATGTAGCTCCACGAGACCGCGAGCGTCGCCCGCCGGTCGCGGACGACAGACGGAACCGAAAATAATCAGTCATCCAAAACAACGACGCGACGCGACGCGACCAGACGCCTCGAGAGATCCAACTTCTCCATCCGACCTTCTTCACTCGCCTCCCGCGCGTCCCCACGCGCGTCATGAACCCCGCGGACGACCCCGCGGAGCTCTTCGTGTGCGGCCGCCTGTGCCTCCTCGGCGAGCACTCCGACTGGGCCGGCGGCTTCAGGAGCGCGGCGCGTCCGGACACCGTCCACGTCGGGCGCTGCGTCGTCGTCGGCACCAACGACGGCCTCCGCGCGAGGGTCTCCACGTCCTCCGGCTCGGACATGTGCGTCGCGATGACGTCCACGGACGACGCGGGGGCGAAGCGCTCGCGCGTCTTCGACCTGTACGACGACGAAGCGCTCCTGCGCGCGGCGCGCGGGGGCGCGGACGCTCACGACGACGGGAGCGGTACCTTCTGGCGGTACGTCGCGGGCACGCTTCATCACCTCATCGTCTCCTCCCCGCACGCGGACGCCATCGCCGCCGCGCTCGCGACGAAGTGCGTCGCGATCGATAACTACGAGACGACGCTGCCGATGAAGAAGGGGCTGTCGTCGTCCGCGGCGGCGTGCGTGCTGGTCGTCCGCGCGATGTCGACCGCGTGCGGGCTCGGGCTGAGCGCCGAGGAAGAGATGGAGGCGGCGTATCTCGGCGAGAGGCGCGTTCTATTACCACACTGACTGGTTCCCATACGACCCCGTCGGCGTGGTGAACGCCGTTCCTTAAGGACTTTTGCCGGCGTGTCTCTCCGCCAACACCTCGCTTTTAATCCCGACACACCTCGACGCCTTTCAACTCCGCTTCTGACGCCTTTCAACTCCACCCCGACGTTCGCTCGTATGGAACGGCCCTAACAGAGTCACGCCGAGCAAGTGCGGCCGCATGGACCAAGCGTGCGCGTTCGGGCCGGGGAGGCTGACGCTGCTGACGTTTGATGGTGAAACCGTTGATGTGAAGCCGTTACAGAAGGTCGGCGGCGACGGCGTCCACGTCGTCGTCGCGGACTTGGGCGCGGGGAAGGACACCGTGCGGATTCTCGACGACTTGCAGCGCGCGTATCCGACGCCGCGATCAGACGCGGACCGGGAGCTGCACGCGTTGCTCGGCGAAAACAACTCGGCTGTCGTCGACGCCGCGATCGTCGCGATCGAGTCCGGCGACGCCCCCGGTCTCGGGTTCGTGTATCAGATGGCGCAGAGGGGCTTCGACGAGATCGCCGGCGTCGCGTGCCCGTCGCAGCTCGGCGAGCGCGGGTCGCCGAAGCTGCACGAGGTGCTGCGATGCGAAAAGTTGAAGCGCGCCGCGTGCGGGGGGAAGGGCGTGGGGTCGCAAGGCGACGGGTCCGTGCAGTTCGTGTGCGACGGCGCGACGCGCGCGGCGGAGGTGCGCGCGATCCTGAAAGAAGAGTTCGGTCTAGCGGACGCGATGACGATCGTGATACCCCCGAGCACGAGCGCGTAGGTAGTCAAATTTAAGCTTAGCGTCTCATCACAAGCAGCTGTACGGACGAAAAATCTCTACGCGGCGTCTTCGCGCATGAGCTTCTCGAAGTCCGCGATGGCGGCTCGGATCGACGCGAGCTCCGCGTCGAGCTTCACGCTCTTCTCCACGTTATCGTCCCTGACGCTCCGCGGCACCTTCTCCTCGTACCCCGGCATCTCCGTCTTTTTCTTCAGCTCCGACGCTTGCTTCTCCACCTGCGTCGTCTTCTTCCCTAGCTTGGCGATCTCAGTCGCGGGGTCCACGACGCCCCTGAGCAACAGGTACAGCGTCACGGACTCGTTCACGACGACGACGCCGCACCCCGCGGGGATCTGGTCCTCCGGCCCAAGCCGCGTCAGCATCGCGCACCCGGCGAGGGTTGCGACGTCCCTCGCGAACGCGTCGATCGCCGCCGTCGCGTCGTCGCCGCGGGTGACGACGAACAGCTCGGGCTTGGCCTTGGGCGGGAGGTTATACGCCGCGCGAAGCGACCGCGTCGCCTTCACCGTCTCCTGCGCGATCGCCATCTGTGCCTCGACGACGGCGTCGACGCGCTCCGGCGCGTGCGCGGGGTAGTCCGCGATCATGATGGACGGCGCGCTCTCCGCTTTCCTTCTCGGGAGCCGCTGCCACAGCTCCTCGGTGACGAACGGCATGAACGGATGCAACAGCCGCAGCCCGCCGTCGAGGCACGTCCACAGCGTGTCCCTCGTCGCCTTCTTCGCGTTCTCGTCGTCGCCGTTCACGACGGGCTTGACGAGCTCGATGAACACGTCGCAGACGTCGTACTGCCAAAACGCGTACACCGCGGTGGTCGCGTCGTTGAAGCCGTACACCTCCATCGCCTCCACCGTGACCTTCGCCGCGTGATTGAACCGGCTCAGCGCCCACCGCGACGCGGGGGGGAGGCGGGCGTCGCCGCACGTCAGCGGCGTCTCCGGGGGCGCGTACCCCTCGCCGAGGTTCATCATCGCGAACCGGATCGCGTTCCACATCTTGTTGCACCAGTGCCGATACCCGACGACGCGCAAGACGTCGAGGTTGATGTCCCTCCCTTGCGCGGTGTACGCGACGAGCGCGAATCGCATCGCGTCGGTGCCGCACTGGGGAATGCCATCCGGGTAGTCCTGCGCCTGCCCCTGCGCCGCCTTCTTGATCTCTTTCTCTTCCAAGTTGCCACCCTCCAACGTCTTGTTCAGCTCCGGAAGCGATATGCCCTCGATCACGTGAAGCGGGTCGATGACGTTCCCGAGAGACTTGCTCATCTTCCGCCCGTGCGCGTCGCGCACCATCGCGTGCAGGTACACCTGCTTGAACGGCACCTTGCCGGTCAGCTTCATGCCCATCATGACCATCCGCGCGACCCAGAAGAACAAGATGTCGTGCCCGGTCTCGAGCAGAGACGTCGGGTAAAACTCCGCGAGGTCCGGGGACTCGTCCGGCCAGCCGAAGACGCTGAAAGGGAACAGCCCCGAGGAGAACCACGTGTCGAGAACGTCCTCGTCCTGCTCGAGCGTGAACGCGCGTCCGGGGAACTTCTCCGTCGCCGCGATTCGCGCTTCGTCCTCCTCGCGGCCGATGACCCAGCGGTCGAGCTGCTCGGAGCTGCCGCCGGGCATCCCCGCCGCGTCCTCCGTCTCGTCGTCGAATCGGACGTAGTACGCGGGGATGCGGTGCCCCCACCACAGCTGCCGCGAGATGCACCAGTCGCGAATGTTCTCGAGCCATCGGAACCACGTGGGCTCCATGAACGGCGGAAGAATCTCGAGCTCCTTACTCCGCGCCGCCTCGCACGCGTCCGCGGCCATCTGCTGACAGTTCACCCACCACTGCGGCTTCAGCATCGGCTCGATCACGTCCTTGGAACGCGAGCACAGGCCGAGTCGCATCGGGTTGTCCGCCTTGCCGCGGTACAGCCCCTTCTCGTCCAGCGCCTCGACGATCGCGCGGCGCGCGGTGAACCGCTTCATCCCTTTAAACGCGTCCCCGCCCTCGTCGTTCACGAGCCCGTCCTCGGTGAGCATGTTGATAAACTCGAGATCGTGCCGTTTCCCCGTCGCGAAATCGTTCGGGTCGTGCGCCGGCGTGATCTTAACCGCGCCCGTGCCGAAGGACATGTCCACGAGCTCCGCGTCCGTGATGATCGGTATGCGCCGCCCGTTGAACGGATGGATCAGGTGCTTACCGTGGACGCTTTTATAGCGATCGTCATCGGGGTGGACCGCGACCGCGGAGTCTCCGAGCATCGTCTCCGGACGCGTCGTCGCGACGACGATTTCGCCCGAGCCGTCCTCGTACGGGTACGCGAAGCTCCAGATGCTGCCAAACTCTACGGGCGCGTCTTGCCCCGGGACGACGAGCTCTTTCGAGCCCTCCAAGTCGATGTGATCGACTTCGATGTCCGAGATGGCTGTCTTGAGCTTGCAGCACCAGTTCACGAGCCGGTTGTCTCTGTACACGAGACCCTCCGCGTGCATGCGCACGAACGCTTCCTTCACAGCCTTGGAGAGCATGTCGTCCATCGTGAACCGCTCGCGGGACCAGTCCAGGGACGACCCGAGGCGTTTGAGCTGGTTGAAGATTTTGCCGCCGTACGCTTCCTGCGCGAGGAGAGAGAGGCGAGGCGAGGCGAGCGGCGGGGGAAGGAGTCGTCAGTCGGCGGGCGTCGTCGGCGGCGACCGCGTCGTCGAAGCGGAAGCGAGCGTCGTCGTCGTTCTCGTCGTCGTCGTCGTCATCGTCGTCGTCGTGTCTGCGCGTGCAAGCGTCGCGTCGCGTCGTCGTCGTCGTCGTCGTTCGTTCGCGTCAGCCTCAGGGGTTTGAGTGCGTAAGGTGTGTAATCCCGGTGAAAGGTGACTAAACCCTCAGTGATAGCTGAAACTTTTTTCGTCGTCACCGGCCGCGCGACGTTCTTTTACGAACGACTCGACTTTCGCTCGCGCGCTCACCACACCTCACACGCACGACGACGACGACGACGACGACGACGACGACGACGACGACGATAGAGAGAACAAAAGAAATGAAAGAAAATAAACCGCGGGCGGAGGGGCGGGGACGAAAGAAAAGAACGAAAAACGGTCATCACGCGCCTTCCACTCGAAGACGCGTTCCAAAAACTTTTCGCGTCCGAGCTCGTGCCGCGTGATCCCCTCCTCTCTCGCCAGCTTCTTCTCCACGACCGTCTGCGTCGCGATCCCGGCGTGGTCCGTCCCCGGGACCCACAGCGCCTCGTACCCGGACATTCGTCGCCACCGAACGATCGTGTCCTGGATGCTGTTCGTGAGCGCGTGGCCGATGTGCAAAGCTCCGGTGACGTTCGGAGGAGGGATCACGACGACGAACTTGGGCTTGCTCGACCCCATCGTCGGCTTGAAGTACCCTTCCCTCTCCCACCACTCGTACCACCCCGCCTCCACGCCCGCGGGGTTGTACGCCTTCGCCATCGGGACGACGGCCGGGTCTTTGTACTCGCCCTTCGGGACCGCGAGCGCGGCCGCGAGCGCGGCGGCGTCCTCGTCCGACGCGCCGTCGCCGCCTCCGCGCTTCTTCTTCTTGTTCTTGTCGTCGCCGCCGCCTCCGCCGGCGGCAGCCTCCTTCGCCTTCTTCGCCGCCTCCATCTCCGCGAGCTTGGCTTTCTTCGCCTCGAGCTTGGCCTTCTTCGCCGCCTGCTCGGCAGCCTTGGCGGCCTTCTTCTCCGCCGCCTTGGCGGCCTTCTCGGGGTCGATCGCCGCGGCGGCGGCCGCGGCGGTCGCATCGTCGTCCGCGCCCGACATCTCTTCTGCCGCCCGGCTGGCGCGCGGCTCGGCGACGCGCGACGGCGGCGCGGGAGGGCGGGGAGGAGCGGAGGCGGTCTCGGGACTCGCGCGGGGTCGCGCGCGGGTCGCGATCGAGCTCGGCGCCGCGGCGTGCCGGCGCGATCGGGTGTGGCGCGCGCGACGACGCGCCGACCGACGAAAACCCTCGACGACGCCGACGGAAGTCGCGATCGCGATCCCGCGCGGCGGGTGGATGATGATGTCAGCGCCCGCCATTCCTCGACCGCGCCGCCGGCCGCCGCGAGATGACGCCCGCCGCGACGCTCACCGTCGGCCGCGGGTTCGCCCCCGCGCCGCGCCGCGCGCGCGCGCTCCCGCGCGAGCGACCGCGCGCGCGCGGTCCTCTCCTCCGCGCGTCCGAGGAGGAGCACGACAAGGCGCGCGACATCCTGGACGCGGACCGCGAGAAGTTCCTCGGCGATACCGCGTCCGCGGAGAAGCCCAAGTTCGACATCGACGCCGTCGGCCAGGAGCTGTACGACGACTTCAAGGTGGAGCTCGCGAAGTGGCGCGCGAAGAGGGACGAGGAGCTGAAGGACGAGCCGCCGTTCGTGAGCACGATCGAGGAGCGGCTCGCCGCGGCGCTCGCGGAGGACACGACGCTGCCTCCGAATCCGAATCCGATCCCCATCCCGCCGCTGCCGGACCTCAGGCGCGTTCTCCTCACACTGGTTCCCATACGACCGCGACGGCGTGGTGAACGCCGATCCTTAAGGACTTTCTCTCCCGGCGATTCTCTCCGTCCATCACCCCTCGCTTTCAATCCCGACACACCTCGACGCCTTTCAACTCCGCTTCTGACGCCTTTGAACTCCACCCCGATATCATCGCTTTGTGTGGACCCTCGACCCTCAGGGAGCTCGCGAAGATCTCCAACCTCGAGCTCACGGACGAGGAGATCGAGGAGTGGACGCCGCAGGTGCACGGGATCATCGACTGGTTCGGGAAGCTCAACGACATCGACATCGAGAAGATCACGAGCGACCTAGAGACGGAGACGGGGCTGTACCGCGACGACTGGTCCATGCCGCTCGCGGACGACGTGACGTTCGATTTCGAAAACCGCGAGGCGATGATGAACGAGGCGGGGGATAACTGGCAGAAGCCGTACGTGCGCGTGCCCAAGGTGGACGTGAAGGAGAACGCGGAGATGATGTCCGTTGCGGAGGACGTCGCCGCGGCGACGGCGACGGCGACGGCGAAGGCGGCCGCCGCCGCCGCCGCGGGAGAGAAGGACGGAGAAGCCGCCTCCGCGTCGTCGGGAGCCTCGCCGCCGAGCGAGAACCTCCTCGGGATGGAGTTCCTCGTCGGCAGAGTCCTGAAGTGCGAGAAGCATCCGGAGGCGGACAAGCTGTACGTCGAGACGATCGACTGCGGCGAGGAGTCGGGCCCGAGGACGATCTGCAGCGGTCTGGTGCCGTACATGTCCGCGGCGGAGATCCAAGGGAAAAACGTCGTCGTCGTCGCCAACTTGAAGCCGCGGAAGATGTCCGGGATCGCCTCCGCGGGGATGCTGCTGTGCGCGAACAACGGCATGGACGGCGACGACAGAGTCGTCGAGCTGCTCGTCGTCCCGGAGGGCGCGACGCCGGGGGAGCGGCTGACGTGGGAGGGCGCGACGAACGACCCGCCGCACGGAGGGAACAAAATCGCGAAGAAGAAAATTTGGGAGGACGTGCAGCCCGGTCTGGAGACGAACGCGACGTGCGCGGCGGCGTGGCGCGGGAACGCGCTCGTCTCGAGCGCGGGCGCGGTGACGTGCGCGTCCGTGAGTGGCGGGAAGATCTCGTGATGCTGACGTGGCGGTATGTTATTCGTCGAATTGTATTACAATCAAGTCGACGCCCGACGTCGGAAAAAAAAATGTCATCACGCTTCGCGCGTCTCGTCTCTTCTCACGGCGGCGGCGGGGGGGGCATGCGACGCCCGCGTCCCGCGCCCGTGAACCCCCTCGTGCCGTCCGGCATCGTCGGCTGCGCGCTCGGCGGCGCGGCCGCGTCCGCGCCGCCGCCGCCGCCGCCGGTCGACTCGCCCTCGCCCTCGCGGCCGCCGCCGCCGCCGCCCGCGTCGCCGTCGCCCGACTCGAGGAAGGAGGTCTTGTTCTCCTTGAACGCCGCCGCGGACGCCCACTGCGAGTAGTCCCGCTTCTGCCGGCCGTACTTTTTCTTCTTCTTCGTCTTGCTCTCGCCCTCCGCGGTCGCGTCGCCGCCCTCCGCGGTCGCGCCGTCCTCGCCGCCGTCGCCGCCGTCGCCGCCGTCGCCCTCTCCCCCGCCGTCGTCCCCGCCGTCGTCCGCCGCCGCCGCCCTCGCCGCGGCGGCTTTCTCCTTCTGCGCCTTCTTCTTCTTCGCCCCGGGTCGCACCAAACTCCTGACGCGCAGCCCGTTCCTCCAATCGCGGTCGTTGTTCAACGTGGTCACCGCGCGAAGCGCCTCCTCGGCGGTTTTAAACTCCACGAGCGCGTGCACGTGCGCGTTCGGGGTTTGAATCAAATCCAACCCGCTCGACTTCGCCGCCGCCACGCCCGCGGGCTGCGTCATCCCCGGGTGCCGCACGCGGACCACGAGCACCTCCCCCGCGGAAGCGAAGAGCTCTCGGACGGCCTCGATCGTGGGCGCCTCGCCCGCGTTTACTCCCGGGAAATTTTCCGCGAGCACCGTCCTCGACTGGACCTCCTCCAGGTCAACGTCCGGCAGCGGCGCGACGCGGCGCACGGCGGTCTTCGCGTCGTCGCTGACGAGGAGCGCGCTTCCGAGCTCCGCGAGGACGTCGCACACGACCGAGTGCGGGCGTTTCTTCAGGAGCTGCTTCATTCGGTTGAAAGAGCAGATCACGTCGAGCGGCACCCATCCCTCGTCGCCGCCAGCCCTGACCTTCTTCATGAGGAACGCGTCCGTGGGGAGGTTCGCGTCGCTGAAGTAGAACTCCACCTGCGCGAAGATCTTCTCCTTTTGCTCCGCGGTCAGCGGCTTGGGCGCGGGGGCGTCGCGCGCGGACGCGGAGGAGGGATCGGAAGACGCGTCGCCGATCGGATCTTCATCGGCGGGCGACGACGACTTCTCCGCCGCCTCGGCGTCGCCGACGACGACGCGCGCGCGCGTCGCGTCGTCGCCGGCGATGTCCAGCGACGCGACGCCCGCCGCGGCCGCGGTCGATCCGTCCTCCGCGGGGATCGACGACATCACGGCGACGCGGATCCGGCGCGCGGAGTTGTGCCGCGGTCGCGCGGTCGCGCGCGCGCCGCGGTCGGGAGACTCGACGATCGCGACAGGAAGTCCACTTGTCGCCTCGTCCGCATCGGACGCTCGTCGCGAGCCACCGGTTCAAGCCTCGGTTCGCGCCGGGATCCATCCGTCCATATCCTCCCGCGCGCCGGCCCCACGCCGCCGACGCCCGCTCGAACCCCCGCTCTCTTCCCCATCACACGCCGCCCGCGCGCTTTAACATGAGCGACGACGCGAAGAAAGCCGCCGCCGCCGCGGACCGCGACGCGTTCCTCAAGACGTTCGAGAGCCTCCGATCCGAGCTCGTGGACGCGGAGCGCGCCGACGGGCAGGTCCAGATCGCGATCCAGTGGATCGACAAGATGGTCGAGTACAACGTCCCGCACGGGAAGCTGAACCGCGGACTCGCGGTCATCGACGGCGTTCGCGCGCTGAAGGGCGGCGCCGCGTGCGTGGACGACGCGCTCATGCACCAGGCCTCCGTCGTGGGGTGGTGCATCGAGTGGCTCCAGGTGAGAGACGAGACGAGAGAAGTCGTCCTCCTCCGTCCCGTCCTCCGTCCTCCGTCCTCCGTCCTCCGTCCTCCGTCCTCCGAGAGACCGCGGCGGCTGACGCGCCCATCCCCTCCCCGCCCCCCTCCTCCTCCGCAGGCCGCGTTCCTCGTGTGGGACGACATCATGGACGAGAGCGTCACCCGCCGCGGGCAGCCGTGCTGGTACAAGAGCGACGGCGTCGACATGAACGCCATCAACGACGGCCTCGTGCTCGAGTGCCAGATCTACTCCATGCTAAAAAGCACTGCAAGTCTCTCCCGTGCTACGCGGACCTCCTAGAGATGTTCCGGGACGTCACGGATCAGACGGCGCACGGGCAGCTCATCGACCTCATCACCGGGCCTATCGGGGTCGTGGACCTGTCCAAGTACACCGAGGAGGCGTACATGCCGCATCGTGACGTACAAGACGGCGTTTTACACGTTTTACCTCCCGGGGGCGAGCGCGATGCGTCGGTGCCGGGGTCACGGATCCGGCGGCGTACGAGAAGTGCGACGAGATCTGCCGGCTTCTCGGGCAGTTTTTTCAGATCCAGGACGACTACCTGGACTGCTACGGCGACCCGGCGGTGATCGGGAAGATCGGCACGGACATCATGGACAACAAGTGCGGGTGGCTCGTCGTCCAAGCGTTGAAGAAGTGCACCGCGGAGCAGAGGAAAATCATCGAGGACAACTACGGGAAGAAAGACGCGGAGTGCGAGAAACGAGTCAAGGCGCTGTACGTCGACCTCGGCATGGAGGCGGTGTACCAGCAGTATGAGGAGGACGCGCATGGGAAGTTGAAGGGGATCATCGAAGGGCAGGACATGCTCCCGGCGGAGCTGTTCGGGGCGATGCTCGCGAAGATCTACAAGCGCACCAAGTGATGCGTTTTGGCTTTTTTTGGATCGAAGACGGACGCGACACGCGAGCGCGAGGAGGATAAGGTATTACCTAAAACGCTTTATTTAATGCGATGTTCGAAATAGAACTTCGTGATCGATCGATGTGTGCGTTACAAAGTGCCACTCCCTTCTCCTCGCTTCGCTCGTCCGCGCCGCGAACTCTCGACGCGCGCTCAGTTCTCCGTCTCCGCGGCGTCGTCGTCCCCCGGTTCCTCGCCCGCCGCCGCCGCCCTCGCCTTCCCGAGCCCCAACGTGATGTCGTAGTTGGTCCAGTTGTACGTCGTGTCCCCGTTCACGTTCGCGAGCGGGACCCGCGTTTCCGGCGCGATCCCCATCTCGTCCGCCAGCGACGCGTGGTACGCGCTCACCTGGTCCCGCAGCGACGCGAAGTTCCGCAGCAACGCGTCGATCTCCGCGACGTGATCCTCCTTGAGCTGCGACGTTTTTCTCCGCAGCTGAGCGATCTGAGGGCCATTCCATACGAAGCGATGTCGGGGTGGAGTTCAAAGGCGTCAGAAGCGGAGTTCAAAGGCGTCGAGGTGTGTCGGGATTGAAAGCGAGGGACCCTGGGCGGAGAGAGACGCCGGGCAAAGTCCTTAAGGATCGGCGTCCACCACGCCGACGCGGTCGTATGGGGACCAGTGTATCGAACGCGCCTGATTCTCCTCCTCCGCGCTCTTCGCCTCGTCCGCCGCTCGGCGCGCTTTCACCGCCTCGAGCTCCTCTTTCGCAGCCTTCAGCGACGCCTCCGCGGCTTGCTTCTTCAGCTCGCCCTGCTTCTTCAGGCGCTCCATCTTCTCGTCGTGGTTCGCGGCTTGACGCTTCAGCGTCTCGATGCGAAGTTCAACCTTGTACTTTTCCTCCTCCATGTCCTTCAGCTTCGCCTTGGCCTCTTTCGTCTTCTGCTCGTCCTCCGCGATCTCCTCTTGCATCTTCACGAGCTCCTGCATCTCGTCGTTGATCTTCTGCACTTCCTCCGCCATCTCGTTCTTCAAGCGCGTCTCCTCTCTGATCTTCTCGAGGTTCTTCTCCGCCGCCGCGAGCTCCGCCTTCTCTCGCTCCACCTGCTCCCTCAGCGCCGCCGCCTCCGCGCCTTCGCCGCCGCCGCCCTCGCTCTTCTTCGCCTCTTTGATCTCCTCCTCCAATCGCGTCTGCTCCATCTCCGCCTCGAGGAGCGCAGCCTTCGCCTCGTCCTCCTCCTTCTTCGCCGCCGCGATCGCCGCCTCCGCGTCGGCGGCGCGCTTCTCGAGCGCTTCGAATTCGATTCGCTTCGTCTCCTCCTCCTCTCGCAGCGCCTGTGGGTCGTTCCATACGAGCGAATGTCGGGGTGGAGTTCAAAGGCGTCAGTTGGAGTTGAAAGGCGTCGAGGGTGGGGATTGAAAGCGAGGGACCCTGGGCGGAGAGATGCGCCGGCGAAAGTCCTTAAGGATCGGCGTTCACCACGCGGACGCGGTCGTATGGGGACCAGTGTATAGAACGCGCCTCAACCTCCTTCAGCAGCTCCGACACGTCCACGCCGCTCTCCTCGTCCGCCTTCTGCGCGTCCTGGATCTCCTTGATCATCGCCTTGAGCTCCGCGTTGCGCTTGAGCGCCGCCTCGTGCCGCGCGTCCGCCTCGATGACGTCCGCCATCTCTTCTTCCCACTCCGCGAGTTTCTCCTCGCGGAATTTCGCGAAATTGATGAGCGCGCTGAGGGTCGAGGGTCCACACGAGCGATGATATCGGGGTGGAGTTGAAAGGCGTCAGTGGTGGAGTTGAAAGGCGTCGCGGTGTGTCGGGATTGAACTAGAGGGACCCTGGGCGGAGAGATGCGCCGGGAGAGAAAGTCCTTAAGGATCAGCGTTCACCACGCCGACGCGGTCGTACGGGAACCGGCGTGAGATAGAACGCGCCTGAGGTTCCTTCGCGTCCGCGCGTACTCGGGCTTCATCATGTCTCTCAACCCAAAGTCCGGTACCCCGCACGTCTCCATCAGCTCGAACAGCTTGCGGTGGAAGACCAAGTTCCCGATCGCTTCCTCGTACAGCTCCGGGTAATCGAACACGCGCTCCGCCACCTCGAGGTTCGGTGTGTACATCTCCTCGCGGCTCGTGCCGCACAGGACGCAGACGAGGTCCATGTACGCGCGGTAGAGCGTGTCCGGGTGCGGTTTCAGGAGTGCCTGCTCCGTGAGCTCGACGTCGAGCTCGCGCATGCACGCGATGATGTCGTGGTTGCTCAAGATCGGGAACGAGTACGACGGCGCCATGGCGACCGGTCGACGCGAAGAAGCGACGGAGGCGGCGCGAAGAAGCGAGTCAGTCGCGCTTTGGTTTTTTTTCCCTCCCGCCCAGATCCCGCGCGCGGGGCGAAGGCGGACGCTTCGGTCGTGCGGCGGCGGGCGCGCGCGACGGACGGCGAGCGCGTGCGCGTGCGCGTGCGCGGGTGTTCGGCGGCGTGCGGGTTCTTCGCGCGCGGTGCCGTGCCGGTCGTTGTGACCGCGCGCGGAGGGGGGATGTTCGAGAGCTCGCGTCGATCGATTTCAAACGAATATCTATCTGACGGGATGGAAATTTTACGTGTGAAGTTGGGCCGCTCGCTCGACTATCGACAGGTTAAGTTAAATTTCGCCGGTAACGCACGAGCGCGAAGCGACGGACGGCGACGACGGCGACGCACACCACCGACGCACGATCGCGCGCGTCGCGACTCGAGACGCATCGAAGATGAGCGGCCGCGGACGAGGAGGACGAGGAGGAGGCCGCGGCGGTCGCGGAGGCGGCGGGAGAGGAGGCGGCGGCGGCGGCGGCGGAGGGAGAGGACGCGGAGGACCGCCGAGCGCTGCGGGGCCCGCGGGGGGATCGTCGTCGGGCCGCGGGGGGCCGCCCGGCGGGAGAGGCGGCGGGTCCGGCAAGGACCGCCGACGCGCGAAGCAGCAGGCCACCGTCGACGCGAAGGGCGCCAAGGAGGCGGAGTACTTCTTCAAGCTCCGCGCGGACGCGATCCGCGCGCGATCGGCGCGCGACGCGCCGCGACCGAGCGCGAACGCGGTCCGAGCCATCGAATCGGAGCTCTTCGCGGGCGGGCAGTCGTCCGGGATCCGGTTCTCGGACTACGCGGAGGTCCCGGTGACGCGCTCAGGGCCGGGAGAGGAGAGCAAAGGCGGTCCCGCCGCGCTGATCTCGTTCGACGTCCTCGGATCGAACGGAGGATCGAACCGGCGGTCGATCGCCGTCCCGAAGTTTCTCCTCGACAACGTCGGGCGGTGTAAGTACGCCTCGCCGACGCCGATCCAAGCCCACGCGATCCCCATCGCGCTCGACGCGAAGAACGACCTGATGTGCTGCGCGCAGACGGGAAGCGGGAAGACGTGCGGGTTCTTACTCCCGGTCATCGCGAAACTCGGGACGGGTGCGACGACGACGCCGGAGGGCGCGGCAGAGCGCGCGGCGACGCCGGCGGCGCTCGTGATGGCGCCGACGCGCGAGCTCGCGATTCAGATCCACGTCGAAGCGCGGCGGCTGGCGTTCGACCCGGCGGCGATGACGAGCGCGACCGCGCTGCGCGCGGTCGTCGTCTACGGCGGCGCGGACGCGAAAGCGCAGCTGCGAGAGCTCGCGCTCGGCGTCGACGTCCTCGTCGCGACCCCCGGGAGGCTCACCGATTTCGTGGACCGCGGCGTCGTCTCGCTCGCGCGGGTGAAGCATCTGATCTTGGACGAGGCGGATCGGATGCTCGACATGGGGTTCGAGCCGCAGATACGGAAGATCGTGCTTCAGAGGGACATGCCGCCGAAGCACGCGCGGCAGACGCTCATGTTCAGCGCGACGTTTCCGGATTCGATTCAGAAATTGGCGCGGGAGTTCTTACGCGACTACACGTGGATCGGCGTGGGGCGCGTCGGGAGCACGGTGAACGCCATCGCGCAGCACTTCGAGCTCGCGACGTGCGACAAGCGCCACAAGCTAGATCTGCTGATCGCCGCGCTCGCGAAGGCGCCGCCGCCGGCGCTCACGCTGGTTTTCGTCCAAAAAAAACGCACCGCGGCGTGGGTCGCCGGCCAGCTGTCGAAACAGCACGGCGTCAGGGCGGAGTCCATACACGGCGACCGCACGCAGTCGCAGCGCGAGGCCGCGCTCGCGAGCTTCAAGTCCGGGAAGGCGCCCGTGATGGTCGCCACGGACGTCGCCGCGCGAGGGATCGACGTCCCGGGCGTCGCGCACGTCGTCAACTTTGATCTCCCCACCGCCGCGGACGACTTCGACTCGTACGTCCACAGGATCGGACGCACGGGGCGCGCGGGGCGGGAAGGGATGGCGACGTCGTTCTTCGTGCCGGGGTTTGATCCGAAGACGGGGAACGGGAAGATCGCGTCGCAGATCGCGACGCTGCTGCGGGAGCAGAAGAAGGAGGCGCCGGCATTCATCGCGAACGGCGGGGGAGGACGCGCGCCCGCGTTCGTCGCGGCGCCGGGACCCGCGACGGACGCGCGGCCGGCCGCCATGCGCGGCGGCGGCGGAAGAGGTGGCGGCGGCGGCGGGAGAGGCGGCGGCGGCGGAGGGGGAAGAGGCGGCGGCGGGGGCGGGGGCGGGGGACGCGGCGGCGGAGGAAGAGGCAGCGGATTCGGCGGCGGCGGCGGCGGCGGCGGCGGCGTCTCCGTGTTCACGTCCGCCGACGCCGGCGGCGGGAGAGGCGGCGGGAGAGGCGGACGCGGCGGGAGAGGCGGACGCGGCGGCGCCAGGGGCGGGACCGGGCCGCCGCCTCCGAAGGTGCAGCGCACGTAGACGGCCGAGCGCTATTACAGGTACCCGTACACGTGCTGTAATCTTTTTATGTTTTAACGAGCGAAGTCCCGACGCGCTTCTGTTCATCACACATCGCGTCGCCCGGGCGTCATGGCGTCCTCGCCGCGGGTGACGTACTTCGAGCGCGACTTCGACTTCGAGACGCACGCGGCGGAGGTCGAGAAGTCGTGGGACCCCGAGCGCGGCGGCGGGCCCGCTCCCGCGCGCGCGGTCGTCGCCGGCGGCGGCGGCGAGGACCTCGTCGTTGTTACCGACGACGACCACGACCACGACGACGACGCGATCGAGGGGGGCGACGATCTCTCGTCGCGCGCCGCCTCGAACGACGCCGCGAGCGGCGCGCGTCCCGCGAACCACGCGGGGGCGTACGACGTCTTCGCGCAGGCGGACCGCTGGGACGCGTTCCACTCCGCGCACGACGCCGGGGCGTTCTTCAAAGAGCGCCGATACCTCCTCGAGGCGTTCTCGACGCCGCTGCGGCGCGGCGGGTCCGTCGTCGCGTGCGAGGTCGGCTGCGGCAGCGGCAGCGCCGCGCTGCCGCTGCTGCGCGGGTGCGAGGACGCGTTCGTGTTCGCGTGCGACTTCAGCGCCGCGGCGGTGCGATGCGCGGAGCGCGCGGTGAAGGCTGCGGACGACGCCGACGCCGACGGCGGTCGCGCTGCTCGGATAGGGAATCGATTCCGCGCGTTTCGCTGCGACCCGTCGTCGGCGTCGCTCCTGGACGCGGTCCAAAAAGCCCTCGTCGCCGGCGGGCCCGTCGCGGAGCCGTGCCCGCCGGCGCTATCCCTCCACGCGTGGAAGATGGGCCTCCCCATCCTCGACGTGGTCCTCCTCGTGTTCGTCCTCAGGCGCGTTCCGTACGCCGGTTCCCGAATAGTTGTAGTTACCGGCGCGTCTCTCCGCCCGCCCCTCGCTTTCAATCCCCGACACACCTCGACGCCTTTCAACTCCGCTTCTGACGCCTTTCAACTCCGCCCCGACGTTCGCTCGTGTGGACCCTCGACCCTCAGCGCGGTCCCGCCGGGGGACGCGTCGGCGACGTTTCTGAAGAGCGTCTTCGCCGCGTTGGCGCCGGGCGGCGTCGTGTGTTTTCGCGACTACGGGATCTACGACCACGCCATGCTGCGGTTTTCGCCGTCGCAGAGAACCGAGGAGCGGACGTACGTCAGAGGGGACGGCACGCTCGCGAGGTTTTTCACCGTGGAGGAGGCGAGGGACGCGTTCGGAGCGGCCGGGTTCGTCGAGGTCGGCGGCGGCGAAGGCGCGGAGGCGGCGGACCAGGACCCGTTGCGGTACTGCTGCGTGCACAACGAGAACAAGCGCAAGGGGATCAAGATGCGCAGGGTGTTCGTGCACGGGACGTGGATGCGCCCGATGGACAGTTAGTTACAGTTACCTTAAATTAAATTAGTCTTAGGGTATCATACTGTATCACTAGTCTAGTAACGCGTACGAGACGAGCTAGCGGTCGAACTCGCTGAAGCTCGCGCCGAAGTACTGGTCCGGGGTGTCTAAGACGAACCCGGCGCTTCGCATCCCGGCGCCGGCGCCGTCGTCGTCGTCGTACTCGTCGTCGTACTCGTCGTCGTACTCGTCGTGGTGATATACCTCGCCGTACTCGTCGACGTACTGTCCGCGCGGGAGTTCGCCGTGCCCTTCTTCGCCGAGGCGCCCCTCCTCCTCGCCGCCGCCGCCGAAGAGGGAGACGCCCTCGACGGCTTCCAACCACTCTTGGTTGTGCGCCTCGAACTTCATGCGACGAATCTTCACCGCCCAGTCCTCGCTGACGTCCATGACGACGTCCAGCGCGAGATCCGCCGTCTTCCTCACGACGTCGTTCTTATCCTGAAGCAGATCCACGAGGTAAAACGCGATCTGCGTCTCGCGGAGTAAGAAATCCCGCGTCTCCTCGTGCCGCAACATCCGCCCCGCCGCGTGCGCGATCTGCAACACGAACTCGTCGTCCTCCTTCTTCGCGCTGAGCATGTCGTACACGCGCTCGCACAGCCCCAGCGACACGAGCTCCCCCGCGAGTCGATCGCACGCCACCGCGCCGACGAAGACGACAGCCTCCAGCGCGACGTCGTCCTCGCACCCGCGGTCGTCCCCGAGCGTCGTCGCGATGAACTCGAGCACCGCGTGCGAAATCACGAGATCGGTGACGTCCACCTCGGCGCACGGCACGTTCGCGAGCGTCCCTAACGTCTCGACCATGACGTCGCTGCCGCACGGCTCGGACTTCAACAGCGCGATCAGCGGCTCGACGTACGGCGCGAATCGCTTCTTCGTCGAGACGTCGTCGAGTTGCGAGAGGTTTCGCACGACTTTCATCGCGAGCGGGTCGCGTCGTTCGATCGCTCTCGACGCGAGCGCGTCGAACCCGCGCGTGCCGTCCGCGCCGACGACCGCGTCGCAGAGCACCTCCGCGCACCGGGGGTGCGTCGTCAGGTTCACGACGAGCGCGATGAGCTCCGGCGCGGCGTGCAGGTCGGAGACTTGAAGCAAAAAGTCCAACAGCGTCGGCATCGCGTTCGTGTACGCGAACGCGCCCTGAGAGGATGTGAGTCAGTCGTTGAAAGGCAAGGCGTCGGTCGAAAGGAAAGGCGTCGCATCGGTCGATCGAGCGTTGAAACCGAGTGTGGGGTGAGAAGAGTGACGACGGGAGGGAAGCTCGCCTTTCGCTCGTCGTCGACGCTGAGGTGGTATAGAATGGCCATGGAGACGTGCTGGAAGTGCGGATGACGCATCAGGCGAACCAACGGCGGTATCAACCCCGCGTCTTGCATCTGCGCGCGCGCGGCGTCGTCGAACGACAGGTTGAGAAGCAGCCGGAGGGTGACGAGGAGTAAGACGTCGTCCCCGGGGACGAACGTCGCGAGCCGCGCCACGGCGTTCAGCTCCGTCATCTTTTGCACGTTTTCGCCGTAGATGGACAGCTTCTTGAGGAACGTGACGCACAGCACGAGTAAATCCACGCTGCGTCGCTCGAGCATCTTGCACAGGTACGTCACGATGTTGCGCTTCTTCATCTTCCGCTCCACGGCCGGGTCTTCGCTGATGTTCAGGAGGAGGTAGAAACAGACGTAAAAGAGCCGGTCCTGTTTCCTCGTCGCCGCGTCGTGCCGCCGAAGGGAGAACTCGTCGGGCGGGCCGTGCTCGTGCAGCGACTCGAGCCGGTCCTCCGCGCGTTTCACCTCCAGGTCGACGATGCGCATCGTCATGTCCCCGAGCTGGTTCTCGATCACGATGTGATGAAACGCGCTGTAGTTGGACAGCGCGAAGAACACCGAGACGATGTTCGTCGCCAGGTCGACGCTCTTCCGACCGTCCTCCCGCAACGTCCTCGCGACGGCGAGTATCGCGTTCGGGTGCGCCAAGATGTCCTCCAGCGTCTCCACCCGCTTCGCCAACGCCGCGATGTGCAGCGTCGCCTCGACCTTGATCTTTATGTCGTCCTCGTACAGCTTCTCGAGGTACTCGTCCAGGCGCTCCGGGGACGCGCGAACGCTCGGCACGTGGACGCGCGGCGCCGGCGTCGTAAACGCCGCCGCCGCGTCGGCGGCTTCGCGAACGACGCGCTCGTCCTCGCGCCCGCGCAGCGCCGCGAGGTCCGTCTCCATCGCCGCTCCCGACGCGGAGGAGGAAGAAGAGAACGAGGCGCGCGCGGCGCGGGCGGCGGCGCTGGACGACCGCACGGCGCCCTCGCGGCCTCGCGGCGGATCCGCCGCCGGCGTCGTCGTCGTCGTCGCCGCGGCGCCGCCTCTCTCTCGCGCTTCTCCCCGCGCTCCGCCGACGCCGCCGCCGAGCTCGCGCCGCCTGAGCGCGTCCAACAGCTCCTCCACGAGCGCAACCTTGCTGTGGTGAATCAGCTTGCACTTCTCCACGATCTCGGCCGCGAGCGACGCGAGGTTGACGCTCGCGTCCAGCGCGCGCACCTTGACTCGCTTCACCGCGCGAGACTTCTCCGTTATGATCGTCACCCCGTCCGGCGCGCGCATCGTCCCCTCGAGCTCGTAGTTGACGAGCAGCGCGAGCTCGGGCGCGTCCGCGAGGACGATGGTACCGGGACGGATCTGCGCGCGCGGGAGAGGCGACGGGAGAGGGGATTGGGGGACGATACGGGGGATCAGCGGTCGCGTCGTCGGTCGAGCGGGCGGCGGGCGGGCGTCGTGGGGTGAGCGCCCGCGTCGCGTCGTTCGTCGCATCGTCCGACCGTCGCGCGGTGGGTGGATGGTTGGGACGCGCGATACGACGCGCTCGGCGACGCGCTTTCGATCGCACCTTCTTCTTGATGTACTTCTTCTCCTCCTCCATGGCGCCCGTCTCCGCGCGCGCGCGACGCTTCCCGAGGGACGCGCGCCGCGCCCCGTGGACCGCCGCGCGTCGAGGCCGCGCGCGAGCGAGAGAGTGCCGTTTCTCGACCGTGCCGTTGACGATTTCGACCTGCTCGCCTCGGATTGACCGAGCCAAATAGGGGAACCTATTTCCGCGCGTCTCGAGTCCCACGCGCGCGCCACGCACCGGCGACGCCGACGCGATGAACTACTACACGAAGCAGGAGATGGACGGGGGGATGCGGTACACGGGGAAGTGCCGCATCGGGAACTGGAACGAGAACGACACCATGGACGAGGCGCGTCGCGAACCGAGCGAGCGAACGACGTGAAATTTCGCCTCACCGCCATTTCGCCTCCATCCCTCGTTCGCGCCCGAGGGATCTCACACTGGTCCCCATACGGCCGCGTTCGCGTGCTGAACGCCGATCCTTAAGAACTTTTGCCGTCGTCGTCTCTCTCCGCCCAGGGTCCCTCGCTGGTTTCAATCCCCGCCCTCGACGCCTTTCAACTCCGCTTCTGACGCCTTTCGACTCGAGCGATCCTTCCGCGACCTGACGCCCTCGCCCCCCTCGCGCGATCCCCCCCCAGGTGCGTCTCAAGGACTACATAGCAAAGCGCGAGTCCGGCACGCTCAAGATGGACAAGTTCAACAAGCGCATGGCGACCGCGCTCCAGAAGGTGCGTCCCGCGGCGTCGACGCGTTCGCTCGTTTAGGGCGGAACGGAATGTGGGAATGTGAGAATTCATTCTCCCGCTCCCGCTCGTGACCTCTCTGACCTCTCCGCCCCCCCACCCCGACGAAACCCAAACCCACGCCCTCCAGGTCGAGCTCACGAAAGGCCCGGACGAGTACGTCCGCTTCGGCGACGTCATCCAGCTCGAGAACCTCAGGACGGGCGCGGTGATCAGCGTCGACGCGGAGGCGCGCGACCCGCGACCCGCAGAGAACGCCTGCGCGGTGTCGGCTTCGTTCCAAACTTCGCCGTGCGCTCGGAACACGTTCACTCTGGAGCGGTACGCGCCCACGAACCCCAACGCGATGCACGACGCGTACGACGACGACCTCCTTCACTACGGCCAGAAGGTGAAGCTCGTGGTGAACCCGGCGGCGTTGGAGGAGGTTTCGCACGGCGGCGTTCTCGCGCGGTTAAAGTCGTTTCCGGTTTCGCAGACGCACTTTTCGAAGCTCGCGAGGGAGTGCGAGTACGTCGCGTCGTGGAACGACGGGTACGAGTGCGTGTTCCAAATCTTGACTCCGGACCCGACGAAGCGGCTCGTGAGCGAGGGCGTCGCCGTCATGGCGGGCGCGCCGATCGTCATGCTCCACTGCAACACGAACCAACTCGCGTCGGTGAGCGGCGCGGCGTTTGAAAACGATTTCGGCCAGGAGCTCGAGGTGAGCGGGAAAACCGCGGTCGGCGCGGGTAACTCGTACGTCATGGAGGGGATCGCGACGGGGAAGCCCCAGAGCATGTCTCAGAAGGCGCCGCAGGACGTGAACGTGTTCACGATCGTGTCCGGGGCGACGCCCGCGGCCACGGCGTGACGCGACGCGACGCGCGCGGGCTGGCGAAGGGAAGTTAAGTTTCTTCGAAGCGTTTTGTAATTATTACTCGCAACTTACGACCTCCTAAAACGTCGCCCCCTCCGGCGCGGCGACCGCCCACAGCTCCTTGAACGCGTCTCGAGACGCCGGATCCACGCCCATCGCCGCGAGCTGCGCGCCAAACTCCCTCACGTCGAGCGTCACCTGCGCCACGATCTTCTCCGCGTCCGTCGGCCCCTGCTGCGCGCTCCCGGCTCTGGCGGCGGCGTCGTCTCCGTCAAGTTCTCCGCCGTCGCCGTCGCCGTCTCCGCCACCCTTGGTCGTCGTCGCGCTCGCGCTCGCGCCCGCGCCTTCCTTCGCCGCGGCAGCCTTGCGGTCCTTCAGCTTGTTCAGGCTCGCCTCCGTCTTTTTCACCGTCGCGAGGAGCTCGGACGCCAGCGCCGAGTACTTGGCGCAGACGCCGTCCGCGACGGCGCACGCGAGCGCTCGCCGCGTCTGCTTCGATAGCGACGTCGTCGACGGCGACTCGAGAAACGTTCTCGCGGGGGCTAAGATGTTCGGCACGAAGTGCGAGTGCCGCGTCGGCGTCGGCTTGTTCGTCATGCGGAACGTCGCGGTGATGCCCTTGAGCTGTTTCAGCGCGTCGCCGCACGCGTCGACGACGGCGCCGACGAGACGTCGCGTCAGCGCCTCGGCGCCGCCGGCGTTTAGGTGATCCACGCTCTGCGCGACGATCTCGATCGCCATCCCCGCGAACTCTTCCCCGTGCGACTTGGTGAGGACGTCGCGCATCTTTTGATACAACGTCGTGGAGCAGAGCGCGACGAGCTTCTCCGCGTCCGCGCGCACGGCGAGGAGGTCGTCGTCGCTCGCGCTCGCGGCCCACGGCGGCCCCGGATTGACTGATCCGGCGGCGGCGGCGGTCGCGTCCGCGTCCGCGTCCGCGTCGACGAGTTTCGGAAACTCGTCGACGCCGCCGCCCGCGGCTTCGTCGCCGGCGCCGATCGCCGACGCCGCGGTGGCGCTCGCGTCGGGAGGCTCCTCTGTCTTCTCGCCGTTCAAGCCCTGGATCAACCACGCGTCGTACCGGTTCAAAATGTCGCACGTCAGCTTGGTAAACTTATCCGCGCACAGCGGGAGAAAAACCTCCTCGGACCAGCACCGCTCGACGCCGTCCCAGTGCGCGGCCGCGACCGCGGTCGCGAACCCTCCCGCGTTGCCTCGCACCGCGAGCGCGAGCGGCCCGGTCGCGGACGCCGCCTCCTCGACCGCGCCCGCGATGGATTGAAACCGGAGCGCGTAGTACGCGTTGAGGTTCCATCGCTTCAAAAAAGTCGACATCGCGTCCGAGTCGCGAAACCGCCTCAGCGCCTCCACGTTCGGCATCTGCCGCTCCAACGACTCGATCATCGCCATCGCCGCGAGATGGTTCGCGAGGAACGCGTCCGGGGCGCCGGGGGAGTACGCCGCGGGCTTCGCCGCCGCGACCGCGCCGTCCACCTCCCGCAAGACGCAGTTCGCGAGCAAATCGTACTCCGACGCCAACTCGGCGTCGCCGCCGTCGACGTCCCGCGTGATCTCGAGCTCGAGGTCGCACGCCTTGAGCGCCGCGCGCGCGCACGCGTCCACGAGCGACGCGTACGCCGAAGTCGACGACGCTTGGGCTCGCGCTCGCGCGGTCCCCCCGGAGGACGTCGACGCCGCCGCCAGCTGCGCGTCGACGACTTTTTTGATCGCCGGCGCGACGCGTTCGACGCGCAATATCTCCTCCGCGTTCGCGACCCTCCCCAGCGCGCAGTACGCGCTCAGGCAGTGCCTCAGCGCGTCTTTCGACCGCGTCGTCATCGTCGCGTTAGACAGCGCGTCTCTCACCGCGGACGCGAGCGTATCCTCCGCGGCGTCTATCCTCGGCTCGAGGTTCCGAATGAAAAGTAAATCCTTCCCCTTCTCGCGGTAGTACCGCAGCCGGTTCACCTCGCTCGCGACGCGGTCCAAGAGCCTCGCGCGCGCGCACGACTCGGCGGCGATCGCGCTCGTCGTCGTCGCGCCGCCGCCGCCGCCGCCGGACGACGTCCCCGCATCTTCCGCGGCGAGCTCGAGCGCGCTCGGCGCCGCGGACGACGCGAGACGCGGCACGAGCGACTCGAGGTCGGCCTCGTCCTCCGGGAGCACCTCGATCTCATCCTCCGTCAGAATCTGATCGTCGTCGTCCTCCTCCCCATCCTCCTCGCCGTCGCCGTCGCCGTCGCCCAGGTTTGTCGCCGCGAGCCGCGCCTCGAGCGCCTTCTTCTTCTTCTTCATCCCCTCGTCCCCCCCCCCCCCGAGCTCGTCCAGGAGCCGCTCCACCTTGGACACGACGTTGTTCGCGTCGAGCATGAGCTCCAGCGTCGCGCGACGTTCCGCGGTCTCGCGCTTGCGCTCCAGCAGATCGTTCATCTCCTCCAGCGCGCTCAGCGCCTCCGCGCGCGTCGCGCCGATCTCGGACTCGAGTTTGAGGAGGGGCTCGTCCCAGCCGCGCGTCACCGCCTCGACGTCGACGAGGTCCTCGCTGAGCTTGAGGAACGCGTCGAAATCCTCGTCCACGATCTCCTGCAGCTTTTCCTCCACCTCGGCGTCGTACCGCTCCAAGTTCGCGCGCAGGTCCGCGAGCTCGACGTACTCGCCGAGTTCGTCCACGTACGTCGCGGCGTCGAAGTTTTCGTCCGAGAAGACGGACTTGTCGAACCACGACGCGTACGGCACCGCCTCGCCCGCGTCCGATGCGCGCTCCTCGTCCGTCTCGGGGAGGACGATCGCGGTCTCCATCGTCGCGGTCAACTCCGTCGCGCGATCGTCGGCGGCGTCATCGTCGTCGCGCGGCGGGGGGGGCGTCGTCGACGGCCGCGGTTCGGCGAAGGCGACGTCCGGGTCGAGGAGCGGCGCGCGGAGCGACGCCTCCGACGCTTCGCTCGCCATGACGCGCGGGCGCGGTGTGATGACGAGGCGTCGATCGCGTCTCAGGGTTCGGGTTCGAGTTGAGTTTGAAGTCGCGTCGCGTCGTCGCGCGAGCGTGCGCTATCGAGCAAACAGTCGCGCCGTCGTCGCGTTACACGGTCGTGGGAACGATGCCCAGCGACCCGCCGCCTCCGCGTCTCCCGCTCGATCGCGCGCGCCGCTCCCGCCCGCCCATCGTCAGCGGCAGAGACCACTCCACCATCCGCACCTCGCCCTCGCCCTCGCCCCCGCCGCCGCCGCCGCCGCCGTCTCTCTCGCGATAAAAAAACGTAAACCGCAGCCGCCACCGCACGCGCGTCTTCTCCGTTCGGAAACTTAGGGTCGAGGGTCCACACGAAGCAACAGACGTCGGGGTGGAGTTCAGGGGTGCGTCAGAAGCGGAGTTGAAAGGCGTCGAGGTGTGTCGGGATCGAAACCGTGGCGCGGGCGGAGAGCTGCGCCGGGAGAGAAAGTCCTTAAGAATCGGCGTTCACCGCGCCGACGCGGTCGTACGGGGACCGGCGTGAGATAGAAGAACGCACCTCACCGGCGCGTCCTTCGGGACGGTCAACACGAAGCACGACTCCCTGAGGTCCCTCACGTCCTCGTCCGAGTGACCCCAGGGCGTGACGATCGAGATGACCTCGCCCATCGCCTCCGCGTCTTCGAACGCGACGTGTCCGGCGGTGGTCGACACCGCCTCCTCGGATTCGAGCGTCGCCGTCGCGCGAATGCACCGCGGCGCGCGCCTTCCCCCCAAGTCGCGCCTCCCGTCCTCGCCGCCGTCTTCGTTTTCGACCCTGAGATCGAACACCCCGGAGACGCAGTCCCCGGGGCGGACGCGCGGCAGCGGCGGCCGCGCGATCACGCGTAATAACCGCTCATCCCCGACGGTTATGTTAAACGAAGGTATCCGGTCGTGATTCGCGGCCGAGGCGTCGAACGACGCGTCGCCGTTCGCGCCGCTCCTCGCGTAGTACGCGAGAGGGCTCCTCGGCGGGCTCCTCAGGGACGCCGCCTCCGCGAGCGTCGGCGACGCGGGGGGCACGACCCGCGGCGTTCGCGGCGCGTCGACGCTCCCGGATTCGCGCGCGGCGTCCAAGTCGAGTAACGTTAACCCTAGGGATCCTCCCTCGCGTCCCGACGGCGACGGCGGCGGCGACGCGCCCTCGCCGACGACGACGCCGCCGCCGCTCTCGCCGAAGCCATCCGCGGCGAGCACGGGGAGCTCGACCACGTGCTCGACGACGCCGTCGCGCGAGGGTCCACCTCCGCGTTCCGTCGTCACGATCGCGGTGAACGACATGTAGTACTTGATTCGCGTTATTCCGCCGCGGTCGTACGACGGCGGGATCCCCGGCGGCAGCCTCGCGCCGACGCGAAACGCGCGCGTCTGATCCATCGGGACGATCACGTCGCGCGCGACGACGCCGACGGGCGACCGCGCGATGAAGCGCTCCCCGGGCCCGAGCCCTGTCCCATCGCGTCTGTGCCCGTCCCTGCGCTTGACGCGCGCGGGGTCTAGGCGCTCGACGCCGTGCCACGCGACGCGAATCTCGCGGACGGCGACCGGAGGCGGAGGCGGAGGCGGAGGCGTCGTCGTCGCGGACGACGACGACGCGGAAGATGAGAGATTCGAATCGCGCGGAGCCCCCGCCGCGTCCTTCGCGTGCAGCGCGAGCGTGAGGTGGAAGTCCTCCCCGGGGACGACGTCGTCGTGCGAGATCGTGGTCAGGGTGAGCAGCCGGAGGGGCGCGGCGGGGGCGAACATGCCGCGGCCGCGGCGCGCGCGCCTCCTCGCCGGGCGCGGGGGCGGAAATGGCGGTCAGGTAGGCACCCACGAAGTCGAAAAACAAACTTCTGGGCTGGGAGAGGTCAAATAATCTGATCCCGACGACGACCCTCGGCAACGGAGGGACGCGAGCGCGCGGGGACGACGCCGCCGCGATGCGCGAGTCGATGGACGCGTCGATGGACGACGCGACCGCGACGCGACGCGGGCCGCCCCCGGCGACGGCGACGACGACCGCGGACGCGCGCGTCGCGGGCGACGCGAACGCGGACGCGAACGCGGACGCGAACGACGACGACGACGACGACGACGCCCCGACGACGTCCGCGTCCGCACCCGCGCCGAAGCTCCATCTTCGCATGAGCGACTTCACGGTCCTGAGAGACCTCGGCGACGGCTCGTTCTCCGAGGTTCTGCTCGTGCGAAGGAACGCGACCGGGACGACGCACGCGCTGAAGGTGATGCCCAAGGCGCTGCTAATCCGAGAGAAGAAAGCCGCGTTCGCGAAGCACGAGCGGTGCGCGATGGACGCGTGCCGGGACGTCCCCGGGGTGGTGCGCTTGCAGTTCACGTTCCAAGACGCGGAGTCGCTGTACATGGGGATGGAGGCGTGCGCGCGCGGCGAGCTGTTCGAGCTCATCGCGTCGTTCAAGCCGCACGGGGTGCCGATGCGAACGACGCGGTTCATCCTCGCGGAGTTGTTGGACGTGTTGATGGGCGTGCACGCGCGAGGGGTGATACACCGGGACGTGAAGCCCGAGAACGTGCTGTTCGACGACCGCGGGCACGTGATGCTGACGGATTTTGGGAGCTGTTTGGTCCTAGAGGACGCGGCGAGCGGGGGGGACGGGGACGGGGATGGGGACGCTGGGGACGCCGGGGACGCCGGGGAGGCGGGAAAAGGAAAATCCTTCTTCGAACGCGAGCTCGCGCGCCGCAAAGCGCAGTTCGCCTTCGTCGGCACGTGCGACTACGTCCCCCCCGAGATCCTGTCCGAGCCCGGAGGGGACGAGGCGTCCGGCGGGTGCGTCGACAACCTCCACGTCCCCGCGCCGCCGCCCGCCGCGCTCGACGCGTGGGCGCTCGGCTGCGTGTTGTATCAGTGCCTCGTCGGGACGCCGCCGTTTCGCGGCGCCAACGAGGCGCGTCCTTCTATCTCACACTGGTTCCCATACGACCGCGTCGGCGTGGTGAACGCCGTTCCTTGAGGACTTTACTTCCCGGCGTTTGTATCTCTCCGCCCACCCCTCGCTCGCTTTCAATCCCGGCCCTCGACGCCTTTCAACTCCGCTTCTGACGCCTTTCAACTCCACCGCACGACCCTCAGTACGCGACGTACGAGAACGTCACGAGCGGCGCGATGCGACCGTTCCCGGACTGGTTCCCTCGAGAAACAACATCCGACGCCGACGCCGACGCCGACGCGCGCGCGTGGGGGCGCGCGGGCGACGACGACGACGACGAGACGTTGGCCGAGGCGGCGAAAGATCTGACGACGAGGCTGCTGACGGCGGATCCGTTCGCGCGGTTGGGGTCGGGCGCGTTCTTCTTCACACTGGTTCCCATACGACCGCGTTCGCGTGGTGAACGCCGATCCTTAAGGACTTTGCCCGGCGCGTCTCTCCGCCCAGGGTCCCTCGCTTTCAATCCCCGCCATCGACGCCTTTCAACTCCACCTGACGCCTTTCAACTCCACCCCGACATTCACAGGGCGGTTGGGGTGGGAGGAGATTCGCGAGCACGCCTTCTTCGACGGCGCGTTTCGACGACGAGGAGGCGGCGGGGGAGGAGGACGCGGCGACATAGGCGACCTCGGCGACCTCGGCGACCACGCGAAGCCGAACCAGAACCCGCGGGAGATGGAGGCGCCGCCGGCGTGTCGACGCGGCGGCGGCGGCGGCGGCGGAGACGGCGAGGGCGGCGAGGGCGCTGAGGTGCGTTCTATACACTGGTTCCCATACGACCGCGTTCGCGTGGTGAACGCCGATCCTTAAGGACTTTGCCCGGCGCGTCTCTCCGCCCAGGGTCCCTCGCTTTCAATACCCACCCTCGACGCCTTTCAACTCCACCTGACGCCTTTCAACTCCACCCCGACATTCACAGGGCGCGGGCGACGACGTCTCCAGCGGCAGCGAGACGTACGACTGCGCGACGTGACGCGACGAGTGCGGGCGCGATTAGTAGTTCGTGTCATCGTATCGAGCGCTGCGCTTCACCGCGCGCACTACTCCGCGCCGCCCGCCGCGACCGCGACCGCGCCCTCGCCGCCGTACGTCCGGAACAAGTAGCCGACGATCTCCTCAGACTCTCCCAGCTTCGTCCCCGTGTTCGGGTCGATCAGATACGGCACGGACGCGCCGGGGTCGAGGGCCGTCAGCTCCGCTCGCCGCGGGCTGCCTTTCCCCGCGTTCGCGAGCACGTACGGGATCTCGAGCTCGCACAGCGCCTCCCTCGCGAGGCGCGCGAACTGATTCCCCTCGTAGTTGTACAAGGTCAGCGGTCGTCGTCCGCCGCCGCCGCCGCCGCCGCCGTCGTCGTCGTCTTCGGCTCTTCCGAACTCCGGCGCGGTCGCGTACCGCGTCATCCCCCGCCCCGCCCTCAACAACGTCGGCATCCACCCCGTGAGCGCCGTCGTGCTCAAGATCGTCTCCGGCACCGCCGCGCCGTTGCCGTAGTTGGCGTACAAGTATCGCACGATGTCTTCGCTCTCGTACATGGCGACGCCGTCGCCGCCGTCGCCGTTGGGGTCTACGAGGAACGGGAACGACTGCTTCCCGCCGAGCGCCTCCACCTCCGCGCGGTGCACGCGCGCGTCTTTCGGGCACGGCCGCACCTCCACGGACAGGTCCAGCTGCGTGAGCGCCTCGCGGACTCTCCTGCAGAAGGGGCACGCCTCGAACTCGTAGAGCACGATGCGTCTCGACGGATGATGCGACGACGGCGCGCGCTCGGCGCACTCCGCGTCCACGGTCACGCCGTGCGGCATGCGCGACATGGACGCGAGCCCGCTCGTGGTAACCTCTAACGCGCGGTTCCGCGGCGCCGCGGCGTCGCCGCCGGAGAAGACCTTCAGCAGAGGACACAGGAGCGACAGCGCGCTAGTAGACGACGCCGTCGACGGTCGTCGCTCTCCGCCATTCTCGTCGACGTCGTCGCCGCCGCCGCCGCCGCTCGCGGCCGCGCGCGTGAGGACGAGCGCGTGGCGCGTCCGCGCGCGGCCGCGCGCGCGCGGCGCGCGGCGAGGGGCGCCGCCGAGACGGACGCGCGCGGTCGAGGTCGCGAGCATCGCGCGCGCGGTCGACGAGTGGCGGGGGAGGGATGATCGATCATCTGCGTTTCACGTTTCCCGCGCGATCATCGTGCTGCTGTCGTCATTCACGACACGCGCGGGCGGCGCGATGGCGTCGGCGTCGACGTCGTTCGACGTGGACCGCGACCCCGCGGAGGACGCGAAGATCCGCGCCGCGTGCGCGTTCCACCTCGCGATCCCCGTCCGCGATATCGAAGAGGCGAGGGCGTTCTACGGCCCGGACGGCGTCCTCGGACTGCGCGAGGGGCGCTCCACAGCGACGTGGATAGATTTTAACTTTTACGGCCATCAGCTGGTGACGCACCTGGTACGAGGCTACGACGCGAAGACGAGCCACAACGCGGTGAACGGCGACCCGGTACCGGTGCCGCACTTTGGCCTCGCGATGGACGCGGAGTCGTTTCGAGCGCTCGTCGCGCGATGCGAGGAGAGAGGCGCGTCGTTCGAGACGGCGCCGAGTCTGCGGTTCGAAGGGAAGCCGGGCGAGCAGGTGGCGTGTTTCCTCCGGGATCCTTCAGGGAACGCGCTGGAGTTCAAGGCGATGACGACGCCCGCGAACTTATTCGCGCGGTACGACGCGAGCGCGTAGGCGCGCGCGGTGATAGGACGAGTCTTTAGCGAGCGAGCGCAGGCGACGTCGCGTCGGCGAAGCGTCCATCATTTTCGTCATTTTTTTTTTCATTCGTCGACGCGCGCGTCGTCTGGTTCAGTCTCCTCTCGTCGTCGCGTCGTCACATCCCCGGCGGCTTCTCCCACTGCGACACCCCGGTGACGGGACTATAATAATACGTCCGCCCGTTCCCGTCGTCCAGCGCCTGCCACTCCGCGCCCGCCGCGCCGCCCGCGCCCGCGCCCGCGCCCGCCGACGCCGACGCCGCCGCCGCCTTCCCCGCCGCCGCCGCCGCCGTCGCCGCGGCGGGGTCGAACGCGCCCGGCGGCATCCCCTGCATCCCGCCGTACATCCCCGCGCCGTACATTCCCGCGCCGTACATCCCCGCGCCGTACATCCCCCCAGGCATCCCGCCGTACATCCCCGCGGCGGCGTACTGCGGCGCGTATCCGTACGCCGCCATCTGAGCGGCGTCGTATCCCTGCGGCATCCCCGCGTGCATCCCGCCGCCGTACACCCCTCCGACCATCCCCGGGATGACGCCGCTCGGGTCGAACCTCCCGCCGGCGACGATGTTCGCCACCTGCGCGTACGCCGCCTCGACGCAGTACGGGTTCCCGCTCACGACCACCTTGCACGGGTCCGTGGTCTGGTCGATCTGCACGCGCGCGCCGCTCGACGCCTGCAGCCCCTTGATGGTCTCGCCGCCTCTCCCGATGACTTTGGGCCGTTCCATACGAAGCGACGTCGGGGTGGAGTTGAAAGGCGTCAGTTGGCGTTGAAAGGCGTCGATGGCGGGGATTGAAAGCGAGGGACCCTGGGCGGAGAGAAACGCCGGGAGAAGTCCTTAAGAAACGGCGTTCACCACGCCGACGCGGTCGTATGGGGACCAGTGTATATCATAGAACGCGCCTTTGCCGACGACATCCTTCGGGCACTCCAAAATCTGCATCGTCTGCCCCGGCCCGACGTACGGACTCGTCGTCGGGTTCCGATCGCCGCTCAGGAGCTCGTGTATCATCCTCTCCGCGACGTCCACGCACCCGCCGGGACCGCTTATGATCACCTCGCGGTTCGCGCCGTCCGGGAAATCCTGGTTCACCTGCACGTGCGCGCCGCTCTGCGCTTGCAACCCTTTGATCGTCTCGCCGCCTTTGCCGATGACGCGCCCGACGAGCGACGGCGGGCACGGCACGATCGTCGTCTTGGGGACGTGCGTCGGGTCCGGCGTGGGCGTCGCGAGCGCATCCGCGGCGGCGGCTTTTGCGGCGGCGGCGATCGCTTCCGCGGGGTCCGCGCCGATCGGCGCGCCCGACGCCGCTTGAGGGGCGTCGTCCGATCCCGCGACGGCGGGCGCCGGCGCGGGCGCGGTCGGATCGTCGTTCGCGCTCGCGGCCGTCGCGCTCGCCGGCGCGGGCGCGGGCGCGTCCTCCTCGGCTGCGGCCGCGTCCGCGTCCTCGGAGGACGGCGCGCGGGTTTCCGTCTCCTCCTCCGCCGTCGCGGGCGCGGGCGGGTCCTCCCCCGTCGCGGGCGGCGGCGCGGCGGCCGCGCCCTCCGCGCCTGAATCCTCCGCCGGCGCCGTCTTCGCGCGCTTCGGGGACGGCGCGTCCGCCTCGCGATCGGCCCCGATCGCCTCGGGGGCGCCGTCGTCCGCCTCGGGGGCGCCGCGCTTGAGATCGGGCGCGCGATCGGGGCCCGACGCGCCCTCCGCGTCTTCGTGGGGGGAGTCGTCCGTCGCGGGCGCCGCCGCGACGGGCGCTTCCGTCGCGCGCGCGGGCTCGTCGGCCGCCATCTCGCGCGCGGTGGACTGATGAGGTGCGAATTCGACACTGTGCCCAACTTCTGTTCCTTCTCAACAACAGAAAGTTCACTTGTGAGTTCCTCGTCTACATTCTTCTACAGTTGTACCTACGCCACCCCCGTCCTTCCGTCCAAATACCCCCACCGCTCCCTATCACGCGACTCCCGTCGCCGGCGTCTCGCCCACCTCCCCGCGCGCCCCCCCCCCCGCCCCCTGGGCCCCAACGAACGCGGGCTGAAACAGACAAAACGCCGGCGCGTCCTTCGTCCCGCACCGCCGCCTCGACCGCGCGCCCTTCCAATGCATCAGACACGCGACGCAACGCGTCTCCGCGGGCGGCTCGCGACGCGCGCACGCGCCCGCCGCGCGATTCGTCCCGCACAGCGCGTGCGCGATCCCCGCGGCGCGGCATCCCGCGCAGCGCTTAACCCAGCGCGCGTTCCAAGGGCGCGTCTCCGCGACGTCCTCGACGGTCGCGTCCGGTTTCGTCAGGAGCTTGGCGCGAAGACGTTTCGCGAGCGCGACGCACCCCTCCGCCGCGCGCTTCGTGCCGCAGTGCATCGTGAGCGTCTTCGCCGCGGCGCACGCGGCGCATCGGTCGGCCGACGTCGTGAGCTTCAGCTTCTTATTCGGCGGCGAGTCGGGCGACGGCAAGAAGAGGCACGTCCCCGGCGCGAGCGCGGTGCCGCACTTGGCGCTCGACGACCGGCTCGTCTTCTTACACGCGTCGCACCTGCGTCGCTTCTTCGGAGGCTTTCGCGGCGGCGATCCCGGTCGCGCTCTCGCTCGCGCTCGCGTCTCGACCGCCGCCGCGCCCTCCTCCGTCTCCGGAGACGTCTCCCTGCTGGACGTCTTCTTCCTCTTCTTCTTCTGCGCGCCGCCGGCGGCTTTCGACTCCTCGCGCGCGCGCCTCTTCGCCTCCGGGTCCGCGACGTACCGCGGCGTCCAATCCACCCTCGGCTCCCATCCGTCGCGAAGCGGCGCGTTTTCTTCTCGAATCGCATCCGTCGCGCGCCTCCACTCCTCGAGCCGCTTCATCTTCGAAACTCGCCACCAGCTCAGCCGCACGCCCTCGCGCGAATTCGCGCGCTTCAACGCGTCGAGCTGCCGCGCGAAGAGCTCGTTCCGTCGCGCGAGCAACGACGCCGCCTGGCCGACGGCGGCGGCGTCCGCGAGCGGGTGCGCGCCGCGGCGCGTCTTCCCGGCGCGGTGGCGACGCTCGGCGTTCACCGCAGCCTCGATCTCGGTCCGCGTCGGCGGTCTCTCCGCGAGCGCGGCGTCGAGCGCGGCGAGCGCCTTCGCGTCCTCCGGGTCTTTCGTCGTCGTCGTCGTCTTCGTCTTCATCTTCTTCGTTTTCTTCGTCTTCGTCGTCGCGGTCGCGTCGTCGTCGTCGTCGTCGTCGTCGTCGGACGCCGCCTTCCGCATCTTCTTCGGCCGCCCGGGCTTTTTCGCGTCGCCCACGACGTTCGCGCGCCTCTCCGCCGCGCGCGCGAGGACCTCGTCCACGTCGACGACGTCGCGCGGGCGCGTCGTCGCGAGCGCGAGCCCGACGACAGCGTCCGGGGACGGTTCGGACGTCCGATCCCCCGCGGCTTGCACCGCGCGCGCGATCTCCGAGTCACGCAACCTTCTAATCTTCCCCGCGAGCTTCAACACGCGCGCGTCGCGCGCCTCCGCGGCGGCGTTCGCCTCCACCCGCGCGAGCGGAAGGTCGTCGTCCTTCGCTTCCCTCGCGCGCGCGTCGCGATTCATCCGGACTTCCAACTTCACTCGATCGCACGCGCGCGTCGCGAACCCGTGGCTGCGAAACGCCGCCGCCGCGACGGCGGCGCGCGCGACGAGCGCGTCCATCTCGACGTCGCTCAGCCCGCCGCGGTCGCGCGTGCCGTCGAGAAGTGCCAGTCGTCGTCCTCGGAGCCTTCCTCGCATCAGCGCCGTCGTGGACGCCGCGCGCGTCCACGACGACGCGCGCCCGGATCGGTGAATCACCGCCGCGGCGTCGCGAGGCGTCCCGAGAGGGAGGCCGCCGTCGGCGGCGCCGTTGAGCAGCTCGTGGCAGACGTCGTCCGTCTCCGTCGCGGAAGCGAACGGCGCCGCGGCGCCGGCGACGGCGATCGCGACCGCGCGCCACGCCCCGGCGTCGTCGCCGGCGCCGGCGCCGACGCCGACTTTTTCCGCCGCCGCGATAGACGCGTCCACGCGCGCGGCGACGCGCTCGAGCACGACGCGGTCGCGGACTTTCTTCGCGCCGAGGTTCCGCGCGCGAATCAGCCCCGCGAGCGAGGTCACGTCGAGGGCGTCCAGGCGCAACACCGCGAGGTGCGCGGCCGCGAGCTCGTCCGGGGACGGCGCCGCGGCCGCGGCGTCGTTCGCCCGCTTCCTCGCCGCCGCGGTCACCTCCTCGAGGTCTTCTTCGTCCTCGCTGCTGCCGCTGAATAAGCCCCCTCTGCCGCCGCCGTCCTCCTCGCTGCTGCTGCTGCTGTCGCTGGAGGTGTCGCTGCCGTCGCCGCTCGACGCGCGACTGCGCGGCGTCCCCGTCCGCGACTTCGACTTCGACTTTGACTTTGACCGCGACCGCGACATCGTCGACGTCGTAAACGACCGTCTCCTCAGCCGCCGCTCCGCGTCCTCCGCCTCCAGCGACGCCTCCAGCGCGGCGACGCGCGCGCGCTCGCACAGCCGCGCGTGCCGCGTCTGCGCGTGCAAATCACCCGGCGCGCACGCCGCGCACCGCGCCGCGACGTCCCTCGCGATCGCGTCGTCGCCGCGCGCCTCGAGCATCTTCACGAGCGCGGACGCGACGTCCACGGCGTCGGGGCACTCCTCGAAGGCGTCCACGAGCGCGAGCCGCGCGTCGTCCGCGGCGCGCGTCAATCGCGCGTCGTCTGCTGCGCCCCGGCCCGCCTTGGTCTCCTTGACGTATTTCGCGTGCAGACACAGCGCCATCGCGCGCCGCCGCGCCGGCGTGTCCTGCCGAACGAACTGATCCCCGCCTCTGACGCCCCTGCGCACGGCGAGCCTCTCGCGGCGCGTCAGCTCCGCGATCGCGCGGTCCGGATCGTCCTTCAGCGCGACGTACGCCAGCGCGACCGCCACGACGTCGTCTTCGTTCTCCGTCGTGCCGCGCGCGCTCGCGGCGCGTTTCAGCTCGAGCAGTCGAATCTCGTCGTCGGCGGTGAACGTCGTCATCGCCCTCGATCCCCCAGACGCGGCGACGGCTCCGCGCGGCGGCGGCGGCAGTCGCACCGCCGGCGCAGGCGGCGGTCGACGCGCATGTGGCGAATATGGTTGTAACGCATGAACGTCGGGCGTTTCTCCTCCTTCCGTCTTCGTCGCGCGGAAGACGGCCAACGCGACGTCGATGGCGTCGCGCTCCGCCGCGGCGTGCTCCTCCTTCGTCTCGCGGCTCCCGCCCCTCGCGCGCGCGCGCTGCCCCGCGCTCGCGATCGCGCCGCCGCCGTCGCCCCCTCGCGCGCGCATCGTCACGGTCAGCACGAGCGCGGCGGCGGCGGCGGCGCGCGCGTGGTCGCCGCGCGCGAGCGCGTCTTTCGCGACGCGACGCAACGGCGCGACGACGAGCGACGACACCGGGCGTCGATGCGGCGTCGCCCGGCCCTCGCGCGCGTCCGCGACCACCTTCCTCGCCGCCGGCGGCGGACGGTGAAGAGTGCCCCCTTCGCTCCCCGCCGCGAGCACCGCGTCCTCGGGCGGTCGCGTCTTGAGCACGTTGCGCAGGTGCCCTTGCGTCGGCGGGTCGCTCCCGATCGCGTCTTCGGGCGCGCGCCACTGCATCTTCTGCCCGCGCCATCCTCTGTTCGTGTCCCTCCAGAGGTGCTCCGCGAGGGTCTTCGGGGCGTCGCGCGAGGAGGAGGACGGCGCGGTGGTGGACGGCGTCGGGCGGCCCGCGAACGCGAGGACGTCCTCCTCGCTCGGCGGACGCGAGCTCGCCATCGTCGTCGTCGCGACGACGACGACGACGACGACGACGACGACGCGGTTTTAAACGGCGCTCCTCCTCCGCGAGCTACCGCGACGACGTCATGGTCGACGACCGAATCGCGTCGCGCGCGCGCGCGGTAAAGACGTCGCGCCCTCGCGACGCGCGTCCGGGGTGCGTCCGGACGCGTCCTGACGCGCGGCGCGAAGTGGACGCCCGCGGATCTCGCTCGCCCTTCTGTTCGTCTCACGGCCGACCGCGACCGCGTTTCTCGCGCTCGCGACGACCTCGTCAGCAAACTCGTGTCGTCGACTCCTTCGTCGTCCTTCCGGAACCGCCCCACTCCGCGAGTCACCGCGCGCGTCGTGATGGCGTCCACCGCCGCGCTCGGCGCGCACCCGCGCGTCCACCCCTCCCTCCGCGCCCGCGCCCGCGCGAACCCCGTCGTTCGCCGCGTCGCCCCCATCCCCGTCGCCTTCGGAGGCCGGAAGACGAACGACCAGATCTCCTGACGCGTGAAGAGCCCTCTCGCCGCGAAGGTGGACGTGGAGGAGTTCAAGGCGGGGAAGCTGAAGAAGGTCACGTTCAAGTACGGGTTCCCGCAGTATGCCAAGCCCGCGGCCGCGGCGTCGAAGCAGCTGGGCTTCAAGGTGGGCGTCGAGCACGAGACGGTGGTGCTGACGCGAGGGAAAGACGGCTCCGATCAGGTGCGTTCTTCACCCAACGCTCGGTTTCAATATTTGATCGCGTCCCCTTTCAACTGACCGGTTAACGTGTTTTGTATGGAATGGCCCTCATCAGTACGCCGTCGTCGTGAACGTGCCGTACCTGAAGCAGGCCGCGGCGAACGCGGTGAAGTACGGCTGGAAGAAGGAGAAGCAGAGCGCGGGGGTGCAGAAGTACATGCCGCGGTAACGCGCGCGACCAAAGGCAGGCGGCGCGCGGCGGGCCCGCGGCGTTCTTTGTGCGGCGGCGGCGGCGGCGCGATCGATTTCGCGGATACCGCGAACGCGAAGGCGCGCGAGAATAGGACGCGAGTGACGACGCGACGAGCGAAAGCGCGGACGACTGCCGTCCGCGCGTCGTCGCGTCCGAATGACGTTCGATCCTCGACGCGCGCGCGCGCGTCGCCGCGGTGACGGTGACGAGAAGCGTACCCGACGACCGCGTTCACGAATCAAATCTTATTAGACGTCCAGTCCTCGCATCGCCGCATCACATCACGGCGCGCCTCGCGGGCCGTCGACGGCGCCGGTCGCGATGCGCGCGGGGTCGAACGCGCGCGCGCTCGCGCGCTTCCTCCTCCGCGCGTCCACCTCGCCACTCCCGCCGCCGCCGCCGCCGCGCGCGCGCCCCCCCGCGCTGCCGAACGCGCGAGTCCTCGGCGCCCGCGCGTCGTCGTCGTCGTCGTCGTCGTCGTCGTCGTCGTCGTCGTCGTGGGACGCCCTCCCTCTCCCGAAGACGACGCGCGCGCTGACGTACGACGCGCACGGCTCCCCGACGCGCGCGCTGACGCTCGCGCGCGACCTCCCGCTTCCGCCGCTCGGCGCGAGAGGCGCGCTCGTCCGATGGCTCGCGGCGCCGGTGAACCCCGCGGATCTGAACGTCGTCGAGGGCGTCTACCCGCTTCGTCCCGCGTCCTTCCCCGCCGTGGGCGGGAACGAGGGCGTCGGCGTCGTCGTCCGCCTCGCCGCCGACGCGGGGGACGTCGTCGTGGAGTGCGACGCGGGGGACACCGACGCCGGCGGCGACGGCGACGGCGACCGCGCGCTGAGGGTCGGCGACGTCGTCGTCCCCGCCGCGCCAGGCCCGGGCGGCGTCGGCGGCACGTGGAGGGAGTGGGCCGTCGTCGACGCGTCGCGTCTGCGCGTCGCGCCGAGCGACCTGCCGCTCGCGGAGACGGCGCAGATGAGCGTGAACCCGCCGACGGCGTTCCGCATGCTCCACGACTTCGTGCCGATGCCGCGTCTTCGCGACGACGACGACGACGACGCGAATCTCCACGCGGTCGCGCTGAACGCGCCGACGTCCGCGGTGGGCCGCGCCGCGATACAGCTGTGCGCGATGTACGGCGTCCCGAGCGTCGCGTTGCTAAGACCGCGCGCCGCGGAGACCGAATACGACGCGGACGCGCGCGAGCTGAAGCGACTCGGCGCGAGCGTCGTGATTAGGGACGACGGCGCCGCGCACAGGGACCGCGAGACGCGCGAGCTGTTGGCGTCCTTGCCGCCGATCAAGCTGGCGCTCAACGGCGTCGGCGGCGCGTCGTCCAGGTCGTTCTATGTCACACTGGTCCCCATACGACCCCGTTCGCGTGGTGCACGCCGTTCCTTAAGGACTTTCTCTCCCGGCGTATCTCTCCTTCCACCCCTCGCTTTCAATCCCGACGCACCTCGACGCCTTTCAACTCCGTCTGACGCCTTTCAACTCCACCCCGACGTTCGTCCAGGTCGCTCGCGTCGCTGTTGGCGCCGCGCGGCGTCGTCGTGACGTACGGCGGTATGGGTCGGAAGCCCGTGGAGATTCCCGTCGGGAAGTCGATCTTCGAGGACATCGAGCATCGCGGGTTCTGGCTCACGCGGTGGCTCAGGGACGAAGAGGCGGCGCGGAGGAGGGCGTGGGGGGGTGGGGAAGAGGCGGGCGGCGGCGGCGGCGGCGGCGGCGGCGAAATCGCCGCGGGGCCGAGGGCGGGGGAGCGCGCGGCGATGGCGAGCGAGCTGTACGACGCGGCGCGCGCGGGCGCGCTCAGGATGCCCGCGGTGGAGGTGGAAATCGAGGAGGTCTTGGACGCGATGAGGGCGCGGCCGAGCGTCGGGGCGAGGAAGCTCGTGATTCGAATGCCGTGGAAGGAGTGGGAGGAGTAGCGCGATTTTTGACGCGAGAGCGAGAAGAGAGCGCGCGCGCGCGCGGCACAGCACCTGACTGAGATTTTCACTCAGAGCGCGCGCCGCATTCTTCCGTCGTGCATTCTTCGCCGACGCCGACGCCGCTGACACGTCACGCGATGGACTCCGAAGGCGGCGAGAGCTGCTCCGCGATCTGCGCGGAGCAGCCGTTCGACGTTCGATTCCATCCGACGAAGAACGGCGCGCTGTTCTGCGCGTCCCTCGTCACCGGCGAGGTGCGCGCGTTTCGTCTCGACGCGTTTCATTTCCCCTTCCGCCGCCGCCGACGTTCTCCCGCCCCCTTCCGTGCCTCCGCGCGTCGCCGACGCGTCCGCCCCCCCGAACCCCGCCCCGACAAAACAGGTCGAAGTGTGGGAGCACTCCATCGAGGACGAGGCGTGCACCCTCCTCAAGACGCTGAAATGCCACGACGACGCGTGCCGCTCGATCGCGTTCGCGAACGACGGCGCGCTGCTCCTGTCGGGGGGCTCGGACCGATCCATCCTCGCGTCGGACGTCGCCACCGGCGCGGCGGTCGCGCGGCTCGAGAACGCGCACAAGGCGGCGATCAACAAGCTCGTCGCCCTCGACGCGAACATTCTGGCGACCGGGGACGACGACGGCGTCGTCAAGGTGTGGGACACGCGGACGCGACGCGCGTGCGGATCGTTCGCGCCGTTCGTGGATTTCGTCTCGGACATTTACCACGTCCCCGCGTCGGCGGCGGCGGACGTGGACGACGCGGTCGCGAACGCCGCTTCCGCGGCCGCGGGTAACCCGGCAGGGACGCTCGTCGTCGCCTCCGGCGACGGCACGATCGCGCACCTGAACCTCGCGACGTGGAAAGAGCTCGGGCAGAGCGACAACCTCGAGGACGAGCTGCTGTCGTGCTGCGTGATGAAGCACGGGAAAAAAGCCGTCGCCGGGTCGCAGGGCGGCATCTTAAACATCTTCGACTACGGCGAGTGGGAGGACATAAGCGATCGGTTCCCCGGGCACCCGAGCAGCATCGACGCGATCGTCAAGGTGGACGAGGACACCATCTTGACCGGCAGCGCGGACGGATTGATTCGCGTCATCAACATTCATCCGAATAAGATGTTGGGGCTCGTGGGCGAACACGGGGAGATGCCCGTGGAGCGGATGGACCTGAGCGTCGGGAACCAGTGGCTCGCGACCGCGTCGCACGACCGGAGCGTGAAGTTGTGGAGCGTCGGGTACTTGTGGGAGGAAGACGACGACGAGGACGACTTAAAGGAGAAGGTGGGCGAGGAGGAGGAGGAGGAGGAGGAGGATTCCGACGACTCCGACGACGACGGCGGCGGCGGTAAGCGGAAGCGGAAGCAGGGGAAAAAGAAGAAGGGGAAGAATAAGGTCAAGGACGCGCACGCGGCGAGGGCGGACGCGAAGAAGCGCACCGCAAAGAAGTTTTTCGAGGGGCTGTAGACGGTGACTCGCGCGCGGCCGTAGCGCCGGAGGAGCCGGGCGCGGCGGAGGGAAAAGAACGTCACGGCGCGAGGACGAACTGAAAGAAACCAAAATAATCACACTATCAACCTTCGAACCCTTTCGCCTTCCCGCCCCTCGCGGCCGCCTCGAGGACGCCGTCGGTACACTACAGCAACGTATCGCGTCAAACGAAGCGCCCCCCGCCGCGCGGAGCTATCGATGCGACTCGCGCCTGCGTTTTCGAGCGTTACGACGACCGGGAGGGAACGAGTCGCGCGCTCGCCGCACAGACCCGCGCGCGAGCGCGACGAGCGACAGGACGCCCCCTCGCGTCCCGCGCGCCGCCGCCGCCGCCTCCGCCGCGACCGCGACCGCGGCGGCGTCGCGACGATGGACGCGTCCTCCGACCCGTTCGGGTGGCTCTGCGACGACCCCGACGACCGCGGCGCGAGGGTCGACCGCGACGCGCGCGCGCACGACCTCGCCTTCGCGCTGGGACTGAGCCCCCTCCCAACCGCCGCGCCGTTCCCCGCGCCGCTCGGTCTCGGGTCGCTCGCGTCGTCGCTCGACGCGGACGACGACGACGGCGACGGCGACGACGACGCGTGGCGCGCGATCGCGCGCTCGCTGCTCTTAGAGGACGCGACGCCGCCGCTCGCGTCGCCGTCCGCGAGCGGCGGCGGCGGCGACCGCGACGCGCCTCTGCCGTGGAGCGAGGACGCGCGAGGCGACGGGCTCCTCCTCGAGCTCGACGCGACGCGCGTCGCCTCGCCGACGACGTTCGGGGGCCTCGACCCTTGCGAGCTCGGCGTGGCGATGACGCGCGTGCTCTCGGTCGCGAAGACGGAGACGCTGCTCGCGTCGATGTCCGCGAAGAAGGAGCTCGCGTCGGAGGGAGGGGGGGGGGCGGGCGCGGGGGGTAAGAAGTTCGGCAGCGCGGCCAGAGCGGCGGTGCACTCTCTGCTCGCGAGCGCCGCGCGCGCCGACCCCGCCGCCGCCGCGTCCGCCCAAACCGCCGCCGAACCGCCCGGTGACGCGACGCGAGGAGACGTTTCATCAGGTGGTTTCGGTGGTCCGGATGAGAATCCACCCCCGAAGCCGAAGCCGAAGCCGAAGCTCAAGCCGAAGCCGAAGCGCGCGCTCCCGCCGCCGCCGCGGTCGAACAAGCCCCCGGGGGTGATCCCCCCGGGGAGAAGCAGCAAATTCCGCGGCGTCACGAAGCACCGATGGACCGGGCGGTTCGAGGCACACTTGTGGGACTCCGCGTCCGAGCGCACGAACGCCAAGCCGGGCGGTCGAAGGAAGGGCAAGCAGGTCTACCTGGGCGGGTACGCGAGCGAGAAGGAAGCCGCGAGGGCGTACGACAAAGCTGCCATCAAGTATTGGGGCGACGCCGCGCACTTAAACTTCGACAGAGGCGACTACGTCGAAGACATGCGTCACATCACGACGTTGACGACAGCCGCGCTCGTCGCGTCTTTGCGTCGATCCAGCAGCGGGTTCTCCCGCGGCGCGTCCAAGTTCCGAGGCGTGACTCGGCATCACCAGCACGGCCGCTGGGAAGCGAGAATCGGCCGCGTTCTCGGGAACCGGTGCGTTCTATACACTGGTCCCTCTCAACTCCATCTGACGCCTTTGAACTCCACCCCGACATCGCTTTGTATGGAACGACCCTCAGGTACCTGTACCTCGGGACGTTTTCGTCCGAGGAGGAGGCGGCGAGGAGTTACGACAAAGCCGCGCTCAGATACCGCGGGCCCAAGGCGGTGACGAACTTCGGGAGAAGCGAGTACTCCGTCGCGGAGATCGCGTCGATGCCGCTGCCGCTGCCGCTGCCGCTGCCGCGCGCGTCGTCCGAGGGCGCCGCCGCCGTCGACGCGGTCGCCGTCGCGGAAAAAAACGCATACGCCACCGCCGCCGCCGCCGCCGCCGCCGGAGGCGTGCTCGTGCTCGCGTCCAAGGCGGCGACGGCGACGGAGCTCGCCGGCGGGTTCGCGTCCCACCCGCTCGACTCCGCGGTCGTCGTGCGGAGGATGCGGACGAGAGACAGCGAGTGCGACTCGCACATCACGTCGCTGAGCTTGAACTTCGAGGGGTGGGCGGACGCTCCCCCCGCGACGCGCGCGCGCGACGACGCGAACGACGAGACGGTCTGAACGATGAACGAATGATTTCTGTTTCGCTTCGATGAAAAAGCCGGCCGCGTCTCTCTCACGTCGCGTCGTCCATCACATCACCGGGATTTGTTACGTCGCTTACGAGACCCCGCCGCCTTCTTGCTCTTCTTGCTCCCCTTCCCCCGCGCGTCCCCGCCGCCCCCGCCGCCCGCGCTCTCCGTCGCGTCCGCGCCGTCGCCGCCGACGACGACCCCCTCCACCGTCTCCGTCACCCTCGCCGGCCCGTCGTCAAAATCCGCGAACTCGGATGCCACCGCCGCGGGCATCGCCTCCACCCTGGGCGGCGGCGGCTTCGGCGCGGCGCCGCCGGATTTCCTCTGGCTCTTCGGAACGTACTCGACGCGCACCGGCTGCGTCGCGGCGGGCGTCGTGCCGGGCATCGGCATCGCCGCGGAGCCTCCGCCGACGTTTTGAATCGAATCCGGCGCCTTCGTCGTCTTGCGCAGATACACCGTCTGCGCCGTGGAGAAGATATTGTTCGCGAACCAGTACAGGGTCAAACCCGCGGGGACGTTCAGCGAGAAGAAGCCGATCATGAACGGCAAAAACTTCAAGATGGCCTGCGACGACGCCTGCGACGGATCCACATCCTTGCCCTGGTCCGGCGTCATGATCTTCTGCGACGCGAACTGCGACACCACGAGAAGCACCGGCAGCGCGAGGTACGCCGCGGTGTCGTGCCACCCCAGCGGCGGCGCGCCGTCGACGAACGGCCACAGCCACGAGAACCCGCTGCCGTCGTTCCTCGCCGCGATGGACGTCGGTCCGCCTGAGGATCGTTCCATACAAAGCGACGTCGGGGTGGAGTTCATAGGCGTCAGAAGCGGAGTTGAAAGGTGTCGCGGGCGGGGATTGAAAGCGAGCGGTGGGCGGAGAGAAACGCACGCCGGAAAAAGTCCTTAAGGAATGGCGTTCACCACGCGAACGCCGTCGTATGGGGACCAGTGTATAGAACGCACCTAGCGACGGGATCCAGTAAAATCCATCCTCGAGCATGCCCTCCGTCGCGGCGTTGGACAGCGCGCGGTACAGCCCGATGAACACCGGGAGCGTCGCGAACGTGGGGAGGCACCCCGCGAGCGGGTTAAAGTTCGCCTCCTTATACAGACGCGCCGTCTCCATCTGCAGACGCTCGGGGTCGTTGGCGTACATGGCTTGAAGTTCCTTGACGCGCGGCTGTAGCGCCTGCATCGCGATGGAACCCTCCACCTGCTTCTTCGTGAGCGGGAACGTGACGAGCTTGACGACGACGGTGAGGACGAGGATCGCGTAGCCGTAGGAGTACGGCACGTTGAGGCCCTCGAGGCCTTGGTCGATCACCTGCGGGAGGGAGGCGGAGGAGGAGGAGTGAATTGAATGATCGATCGAACGATCGATCGGCGTCTTCTGGCTGGGTTTTAGGGTTCTGGTCGAGATTCGACGCGACGCGGCCGTCCGCCGACGCCGAGGCGCGGGACGGAAGGCCGCGCGGCCAAGCCGAACGTGCGCGAGAGGACCGCGACGCGCACCCCGAGGGAAGCTTCGAGGAAGTCCGTGATCGGCCCGAGCCAGCCGCCCTTCTGCAGCCCCGGGATCTCCTCCACGTCGACCGCCGCGGCGTCCGCGACTTGGAAAATGGATCCGAGCGCGTCCGACGTCATCGCGCTCGCGTGCGCGTTGATGACCGCGTCGTTGATGACGTCGAACACGGGGAACTCGCCGCCGATGGACGCCCGCGCGGCGACGGCCGCGCGGCGCGGCGCGACGCGGCGACGCGGCGCGAGCGCGCGAGACGCGCGCCGCGCGGGCAGCGCGGCGACGCCGCGAATCGACGACGCGCGCGCGCCCGCGACGGCGACGGCGCCGCGGGCGACGGCGCCCGCGCCCGTCGCGGACGTGGCCTGCATCGTGTGTATCGGGAAGAAGTCGACGAGCGGGCGGAGCGCGCGCGTCCGTGGATGACCTCGCTACGGCGGTCGCGCGATGGCGTGTGCGGCGGACGCGCGCGACCGGCGACGGTTCCGTAGAAGGGATAAGAAAGTCAGTCCTGGGCCGTCCACGTCATTCCGTACGCGTTTCAGTCTCGTTTCCGTGCGCGTTCGGCGTACTGTATGATATCGTACTGTACTCGATAAATCGGCAAGTGTGTAGAAATAAAATCGTCGTCGCTCGTCGTCCTCCTTCCTTCTCCTTCCCTTCACCACCACGCCCGCGCGCGCGCGCGCGCGACGCTCGCTCACTGCAGCGCGTCCTTGATCAACCCCACCTGCTCCTCCGAGTGCACGGACCCGTACCCGGTCGCGGTCGACGCCGCGGGCGCTCGCCCCGCGTAACGCAAGCCGTCCACCGGCCTCTTCAAATCCTTGAACAACGTCTGGAACCGAGGCGCGACGTGCGAATACGCGCCCATGTTCATCGGCTCCTCTTGGCACCACACCACCTCCGCTTTCGGGTACCGACGGAGTTCTCGCCCCACGAGATCCCACGGGAACGGGCACAGCTGCTCGATGCGCACGATCTTCACGTCCTTCTCGCGGCCCAGCGCCTCGCGTTCCGAGTCGAGCTCGTAGTACACCTTGCCGGTGCAGAAGACGACCCTCTTCGCGGAGTTCTCCACCGGGGTGTTCACCTTGTCTCTCGACGTCGCGGATTTGTCCATGATGAGGCGCTTGAACCGAACGCCTTGCTCCATCTGCGTCTCTTCCTTGTCGTCAAAGTCGGACAACGGCGAGACGCACTTCGGGTGTCGGAGTAAATTTTTCGGCGACACGACGATCAGCGGCTTCCGGAAGTCTCGATGCACCTGACGTCTCAGCAGGTGAAAGTAGTTCGCCGGCGTCGTCACGTTGCAGATCTGCCAGTTGTGCTCCTGGATCTGATGCCGCGTCTCAAAAGCCATGTCCGCGGGGATCTTCGTCGGATCCTCGTCTGACATTTGAAGGTACCGCTCCACGCGGCACGACGAGTGCTCGGGTCCTTGCCCGTCGTACCCGTGCGGCAACAGCAACGTGAGCCCGGTCTGCCGCAGCCACTTCGCCTCGCCGCTGGATATGAACTGATCGATGATGATCTGCGCGCTGTTCGCGAAGTCCCCGAACTGCGCCTCCCACATCACGAGCGCGTTGGGGTTCTCGAGCGAGTACCCGAGCTCGAACCCCAAGACGCCAAACTCGCTGAGGGACGAGTTGGACACGGTGAAAAACTCCTTCTTCTTCGCCTCGCCGTACACGTTCCTCAGCGGGACGTGCCTCTCCCCGGTGCTTTGGTCGTGAATGAGCGCGTGGCGGTGCGAGAACGTGCCTCGTTCGACGTCCTGCCCGCTCAACCGGACGTGGTTGCCCTCGTCGAGTAACGTGCCAAACGCGAGCGCCTCCGCCATCGCCCAGTCGAGCCCTTCCCCGGATTCGATCATCTTCCTGCGCGTGTCGTAGACTCTCTTCACGACCCTGTGCGGGGTGAACGTCTCCGGGATGGTCGTCGCGGCGATCCCGATCTGCTTGAGCTTCTCCATCGCGACGCCCGTCTCGCGAATGCGCGACAGCTGATCCGGGCCTTTAAACCCGGCCCAGTGCGACGCGAGCCAATCCCTCGGCTTCGGGACGTAGTCCTTGCTGTCCTCGAAGCTCTCCTCCAGGGTCTTCAACACCGAGTCGTGCACGAGCTTGACGTCGCCGGGCGTGAGCGTCCCATCGCCCATGAGCTTCTCCGCGTACTGCTGGTGCGCGCTCGGATGCTTCTTGATGGCTTTGTACATCAACGGTTGCGTAAACATCGGCTCGTCGATCTCGTTGTGTCCGTACTTGCGATAACACACGATGTCGACCACCACGTCTTGCTTCCACTGCTGCCTCCACTCGATCGCGAGCTCCATGACCCTGGCCACGGCCTCGACGTCGTCGCCGTTGACGTGGAACACCGGGATGTTGATCCCTTTCGCGACGTCCGTGCAGTACGGCGACGACCGCGAGTATTTCGGATCCGTCGTGAACGCGACTTGGTTGTTCACGACGACGTGTAACGTCCCGCCGATCGTGTACTCGGGCAGCTGCGACATGTCCAACGTCTCGTACACGATCCCTTGCCCGGAGAAGGCGCCGTCGCCGTGCAGGAGGACGGCCATGTGCTTCCCGCGTTCGACGTCGTTTTCGTAAAACTGCGAGCCGATCCATATACAAAAACAGTTCATCGGTCAGTTGAAAGGGAACGCGATCAAGTGTTGAAAGCGAGCGGTGGGTGAAATACGTTTGTTGTTGAACGCACCTGCTTCGCACGCGCCTTCCCGATGACGACTGTGTTCACCGCCTCGAGGTGGCTCGGGTTCGCCACCAGCGACAGGTGCATCCGCCCGCCTCTCAACGTCGGGCGGTCGTACGACGTCCCGAGGTGGTACTTCACGTCCCCGGATCCGGTGTACGACGACCCGCCCGGGGCGGCGTTCCCGGCGGGCTTCGGCCCGCCCTTGAACTCGTTGAAAATCGTCTGCAGCGGCTTCCGGACGACGTTCGCGAGGACGTTCAAGCGGCCGCGGTGGGGCATCCCGATCGTGATCGACTCCACGCCGAGCTCCGCAGCCTTATCGATCGCTTCTTTGAAACCGGGGATGAGCGTCTCGCACCCTTCGAGCCCGAACCGCTTCGCGGCGGTGTACTTGTTCGAGAGAAAACTCTCAAACATGTCGCTCCAAGCGAGACGATCGAGTAAAACCTTCTTACGCTCGACGCTGTACTCGTGCTTCTCCGCTTTCTCGATGCGCTCGCGCAGCCAGTTACACTGGTCCCTGTCCGCGATGTGCATGTACTCGTACCCGACGGTGCCGCAGTACGTCTCGCGAAGGCGCGTGAGGATCTGACGCAACGTCTGCACCGGGTTGTCCTCGCTGAGGAATCCCTTCATGCGCCAGCTCCCCAAGAAAAACTCGCGATCGAGGTCCGCGTCCGTGAACCCGTACAGCGCCGGGTCGAGCTCGACCGGGACATCGCGCACGTCCAACCCGAGCGGGTCGAGCTTCGCCGCGGCGTGGCCGTTCACCTGAAACGCGCGCACCATCAGGAGCAGACGCATCGACTCTTGTATCGTCTGAGAGCTCGGCGCGACGCCGGGGCTGGGCGCGACGCCGGGTCTCGCGACCGCGACCGGCGCCGCGCCAGAATTCGCGGCGGCGTACATCTCGCTGAGCTCCGCGCCGGTGACGCCCGCGTCCATCTGGCGCAGGAGCGACGCCCAGGACGCGGGGACGGAGTTCGGATCTTCGCGGAATTTATCCTCCATCGACTCGACGTACGCCGCGGACGTGCCGCTGAGGAACTCGTCCTGGAGCTGCGCGTTCGGGGTCGCCCTCGGCGTCGGCGGCGCCGCCGCGCGATGGCGCGCGGACGTGTGCAGCGGCGACGACGACGAAGGGAGGAAGCGCTTGAGGATCGACGACGCGCCGGGCGCCCGTGAAGACGGGGGAGAAGACCCCCCGAGCAGGGCGCCGAAGCGTCGCGTCGCCGCGCCGGAAAACGCGATCGGGGCGCTGGTCACGGGCGCGGCGTGCGGTATCGCGCGCGCGGCGACGGCGATCGCGTCGCCGCCCGCGGACGCCAAGCGCGCGGCGATGTGACGTCGCATCGCGAAGCGAGGAAGGGTGCGGCGCGTGTGCGAGCGCGCGACCCGACTGACGGCGAGGCCGCGAGGGATTCAAAAGCGTAACAATGATCGCGACGCGCTCTTCTGGAGCTCGTCCGCCATCGCCAGCTGGAAATATCTCGCGCGCGGCGTGAGACCTCTTTCGTCCGACCGAGACGACGCGCCGCGACGATGACGACGAGATGAATACGTTACTCTCTCCGCGCGCGCGCGCGCGCGCTGCGCGCCGTCTACGCCCCCGCCGCGTCTCCCTCCTCGTCGCCGCCGCTCCTCTCCGGCGCGTCCCGACGGCGCCTCCGTTCCATCAACCGACGACGCCTTTGAACTCCGCCCCGACGTTCGCTCGCGTAGAACGACCCCGACGATCAGTCGTTCGGGTCGTCCCTCACGAGAATGTACAAGTCGCCGCTCTGCGACCGCGATATCCTCAGCTCCCCGTCCACGAACGTCGTGTCCATCCACGCCATGCTCCCCGTCCCGGACGCCTCCATCTCCGCGTTCGACACCTTCCGTCCGACGCTCTCCGGCGGCGCGTCCACCTTGATTCCGGCGACGCGCCAGTCCTTCGGCTTCACCCCCGCGCGGCTCTGTTAGGGTCGAGGGTTCACACGAGCGAACGTCGGGGTGGAGTTGAAAGGCGTCAGAAGCGGAGTTGAAAGGCGTCGAGGTGTGTCGGGGATTGAAAGCGAGGGACCCTGGGCGGAGAGACGCGCCGGGAAAAGTCCTTAAGGATCGGCGTTCACCGCGCCGACGCGGTCGTATGGGGACCAGTGTACAACAGAACGCACCTCCGTCTGCGCGCTCAAATCCGACGTGCTCGAGTTGGTGAACTTGACGAACGGCAGCGGCTCAAAGCTCTCCTCGTTCTTGACCTGCAGCGTGAAGATGTCCACGGTCTGGTGGATCGCGCCCTTGGGGCGTAGGAATCCCGGGACGCCGGCGCCGAGCGTCTTCAGGCGCGTCGTATACTGCAACGCCCACCGGCCGTTCATCAGAGGGCTCTTCAGAGGCGCCCGCGTCGGGTTCTTCGCCTCGAGCGCGCGCGCGAGCTGCTCGATCTTCTTCTTGCGCTCTTTGTCCGCGCGCAGGCCGCGCTCGGTGTCCGCGAGCGCGAGCAAGAGCGCGGACTTGAGGTCGGCGAGGCCCGCTTTGCCGCCGTTTCCGCCGCCGACGGTGATCTCCGGTTTGTACTGGTAGTTGACCTGTATCTTGCTGTTGAAGATGGCCGCGCCGAGGTTTTCGCCCATGCCCTTGAGACCGCCGACGAGGCCCCACGGGCTCGCCGCGGGGTCGTTCCCGTCGTCGACTTTGCTCAGCGAGACGTCCAACCCGTCGCGAACGACCGCCGCGCCCGGATTTCCCGCGCCCGGATCTCCGGATCTCACGATCGCGCCGCCGCCGCCCATAACGCCCGGCGGCGTCATCGCCGTCATCCCCCCTTCTCCCTCCTCCTCCTCCTCCTCCTCCTCCTCGTCGTCGTCGTCGTCGAGCACGTCCGCCTTGACCGTGAACGCGCACCCGCCGTCGCCGAGCATCACGCTCGCGCCCGGCGTCAGCGCGTACTGCAACCCGGGCGATATCTGCGGGTCGTTCCATACAAAAACAGTTCACCGGTCAGTTGAAAGGGGCCCACGCGATCAAATATTGAAACCGAGCGGTGCTTGGGTGAAAAACTTTTGTATAGAACGCACCTGCCTCCCGCCGACGAAGGTTCCCGCCGCGCTGCCCAAGTCTTCCACGTACACGCCGCCGCCGACGCGCAGCACGGACGCGTGCGCGCTGTCCACGCCCCTGACGCCCGTGAGGATGAGGTTCGCGTCGCCCTTGCGCAGGCCGGTGCCGATGACGACGGGGACGCCGGGTTCGAGGTCGACCGCGGGGCCGGGCCAGCCGACGGGCGCGAAGACGACGCGAGCGTCGGACGCTAACGAGCCGTCCCTTCGCTCGACGATCTCGGGTTGAACCGACCGCGACCGCGACCGCGACCGCGACCGCTCGGGCTCGGGCGCCGGTGGTTCTTCGACCGTCTCCACGTCGTACGTCGCGTCCACGTCGATCGTCGACAGGACGACGTCCTCGGGGTCGACGCGCGCCGCGTCCCCGCCGCCGTCCCCGCCGCCGTCCCCGCCGAAGAGCCCCGTCGTCGCGCCGCGGACGCCCCGCAGCTTCTCCCGCGCGCTCCTGATCCCCTCCGCGGCAGCCTTGCGGTTCTTCTCCGCCTCCGCGACGTTCTGCTGGAGCCCTCTGAACGCGCCTTGGATCCCCGCGAACGGCGACCCGCCGTCGACGTCGCCGTCGCCCTCGCCGGCGTCGACGACTTCGAACCGCGCGAGGTGCGGGTCCCCCAGCGTCACGACGTCGCCCACGCTGAGCTTATACCGCGTCCCGGGCTTCAGCGTCCTGCCGTCCACGTCCGTGCCGTTGGACGACCCGCGGTCGGTCACGTACACGTCGCCGTCGGCGTCGCGCTCGAACGACGCGTGCTGCCCGGACACGGTGCCGATGTTTAGGCGGACGTCGGACGGGCGCTCGCGGCCGACGACGACGACGCCGCCGTCGCGTCTCGGGAGCTTCACGACCGTCTTCGCGAGCGACGGCGGGACTCTCGTCCCGGGAGGGAGGTGATCCGAGGAGCCGTCGCCGCACGGGACGAGGTTCAGCTCTCGCGACGCGCGCGTCGCGAGCGCGATTTCGCGCGACCGTCCGCGGAGGATCTGATGATGACGACGAAGACGTCGTCCGAAGGTGCTCGTCGTCCACGACGCCGCGCGATGGCGCGCGGTCGCGTCGGCGCATCGCGCGCAGACCGCGGGCGACGACACCGCGACGGGCATGCCGCCCGAGCGAACGACGCGACCGCGCGGGCGGGGGACGCGAAGTGACCGAGGCGTGGAGGGTGAGGCGGTGGATAAAAAGCGAATCTCGCGATGAATGCTGTGCCAGCGTGGACATTCGTCGTCTGTCTCTGCTACAGTACTCCTCTCGCGCGCGCGCCTCCTCCTCCTCCTCCTCCTCGTCGTCGTTCGTTCGCCATCTCTCTCTCTCTCTCTCTCTCTCTCTCTGCGGCGTCGTCGTCTCCACGCCGTCGTCCCCGCGCGTCGCCGCCGCGGCCGCCATCGCCAAACACGCCCGCCACTCGTCCCCGCCGTGCACGCACCGACTGAGGCTCTCCGCGCGCTCCGTGCGTTCGTCGTCGGACTCCGGCTAAGGGTCGAGGGTCCGTACGAGCGATGTCGGGGTGGATTTCAAAGGCGTCAGTTGGAGTTGAAAGGCGTCGAGGGCGGAGATTGAAAGCGAGGGGTGGGCGTAGAGAAAGGACGGGCGAAGTCCCTAAGAGACGGCGTCCACCACGCCGACGCGGTCGTATGGGGACCAGTGTGAGGAGAACGCACCTCCCGCTCGAGCTCGTCCCAGCCGCCCGCGCCCCGCGCGAACGGCTCGAGGAGGTTCGAGTGCGACTGCGAACGCGAGAGCGGGCTTCCCGAGCTCGCCGCGGACGAGCGGCCGAGCCTCGCGCGGTACGCGCCGAGCCGCCGTTCGAGCGCCTGGCGGGGGGGGAGGGAGGTCGAGATGAGGCGTCTCGCGTAAATAAACGTTTTGGCGCCGGCGACGAGAGAAAACGGACGAAAGGGACGCGCCTCGAGCCTCGCTTCCTCCGCTTGCTCGCGTTTCACCTGCTGCTCCGCCATCGTCGCGATCGCGCGCATGCACGCGCGGAGCCACGAGAGCTGGTCGCGAAGGTCGTCGATCGTCGCGTCCTTCTCGCCACAGCGCTCGCACGCGGTTGCGGTCGCGGTCGCGGTCGCGGTCGCGGCGGCGGCGGCAGCCGCAGTCTCCAACCCCACCGCGCCGGACGCGTCCGCGGCGAGCGACCGCCGCTCGCGCTCGCTCGACGCGAAGACGTCGTTCCCTTGGCTCGTCCGCCGCGCGAACCGCGGCGGGTCCGGGGGCGAACCCGCGTCGTTGATCGCGGCGCGAGCGACGGAGGAGGCGGCGCCGACGCGAGGCGTGCGCTCGTCGTTGATAGCGGCGCGAGCGACGGAGGAGGCGGCGGCGACGCGAGGCGTGCGCTCGTCGTCGTCCCGGCGCTCTCCGCCGCCGCCGTTTCCGCCGCGCGTCGTTCCCGCGGCCGCCGCCGCCGCCGCGCCCGGCGGCTTCGCCGCGCCGCTCGCCGCCGCCGCGCGCGTCGCGTCCGCGTCCGCGTCCGGGGGCGAGCACGGCTTCAGGCGCAGCGGCCTTAGCTTCGGCAGCGGCGGGCTCTCGGGGACGGGGACGGGGATGGGGACGGGGACGGGGACGGGGACGGACGACGACGGGCTCGCGCGCGGGGACGAACGCTTCGTCGGGGAGTACGCGCGAAGGCTCGCGTCGTCGACCGCGCCGGTCGCGCTTCGCTTGCGTCGGTGCATCGACGGCGCGACGGGCGGCGCGCGCGGAGGCTCTGCGCGCGCGTCCTCCGTCCTCGCGAAAGGTCGCGCCGTCGTCGTTCGGTCCGAGGAAACGAACCGAACGCGGCGAGATCGAAAAGGGTCACTACTGTACATACCCCGTCGGCGCCCGCGCCGCGCGTCACACGCCGCGCCGCCAACGCGATGGGCGCGATGCTGTGCCGGCGCCGCGCGCGCGAGGACGCCGTCGCGGAGCAGATGGACGCCGCGCGCGCGGGCGACGCCGCCGCCGCGCGATTGGTCGCGCTCCGACTCGGCCCGCGCTCGAGACTCGGCCTCGACCACGCCTTCCTGGCTGTGAAGCTCGGGGACGCGTCGACGACGCGCGAGCTCGCGCTTCTCCTCGCGCGCGACGCGCGACGCGTCGGCGCGCCCGACGCCGACGACGGCGTCGTCCTGACGCGAATGTCGCGGACGCTCCTCGCGAGAGCCGCGGAGTTCGGCGACGCGGACGCGGCGTGGAGGCTCGGGGACGTGCGAGCCGCCGCGCGCGCGGGGCACGTGAAAGCGCTCGAAACGAGACACCCAGGCCTGACGCACTTGTGCCACCCGCTCGTGTGCGAGTGCGCGCGACTGCGTCACGACGGCGCGTTCGGGATGCCGCCGGGGAGCGGAAGGACGTAGTGCAGTGGGAGAGTAACGCGCGCTATGAATACGTTCACAACAATCTACGAACTGCTGCTGCCGCCGCCGTCGCCGTCGCCGCTACTGTCGCTGTCGGAGTCGTCGCGCCGCCGCCGCTTCGACTTCGACTTCGACTTCTTCTTCGACGCCTTCGACGACTCCTTCTCCTTCTTCCGCTTCCGTTTCTTCTCCTTCTTCCTCGCCGCCTTCTCCGCTCTCTCCGCTCTCTCCCTCTCCTTCTTCTCCGCCCTCGCGCGTCGCGCCGCCTCCTTCTCCGTCAACGGCTCCGTCCGCGCCGCGACGCTCTCGGGGTCGAGGGTCCACACGAGCGAACGTCGGGGTGGAGTTCAAAGGCGTCAGAAGCGGAGTTGAAAGGCGTCGAGGGCGAGGATTGAAAGCGAGGGGTGGGCGGAGAGACGCGCCGCCAAAAGTCCTTAAGGATCGGCGTTCACCACGCCGACGCGGTCGTATGGGGACCAGTGTATAGAAGAACGCACCTCGTCGCTCCACGGCCCGTAAATCTCCGGCACCAATCTCCCCGCCTCGCCCGACCACTCCGGTCCCAAGTCCGCGGTCGTCACCCCGGCCCTGCACCGAAACGTGTACGACGTCATCGGCGTGAGATTCTTCGCGACCGCGAGCCGCGAGATCTCCGCGTCCTTCATCGCGAATTTCAACACGCGCGACCACCGCCCCGGTTTCGCGAACGCCGCGCCGACGGCGCCGACCCTCGGCCGAGCCTCCACCTCGACCAGACGGCTCACCCCCGCGCACCCGAACACCTCCAGGACGATCTCCTGCGGGAGGCACCCTAACGGCCGCGGCGGCATCGGGAACGGGAGCGACTCGCCCACCTCCGCGGGGTTCGGCGCGTCGTTCGCGCGCGCGTCGTTCGCCCTCGCCCTCGCGCGCGCCTTTCGATGCTTCTTCGCGGCTTTTTCCAGACGCGCGATGACGTCGTTCCAGCTCTCGCGGTCGTGCACGCCGCCGGACGGCGTCGTGGCGTCCGCGGCGAACGCGTCCGCGGCGGTCGCGGCGTCGTACTCTTTCCTCTTCGCGACGTCGCTGACGACCTGGGGGAAGGACGATGGGAGAAGTGGGGACGCGACGATGATGTCAGCTCGATGTCAGCGCGATTCGGATTTATCTTCGATTCGAATCGCGGGTGCCGTCCGCGGGGATCCGTTCCGTCGACCGCCGGCGTCGCCGCCCGTCACTGAGCGCACCTTGAACGCCTCGACGAGCGTCTGGAACCTCACCACCGCCTCCTCCTCGCTCACGCCGTCGACGCGCTTGTCCGGGTGCAGCACGAGCGCGAGCTTGCGGTACGCGCGCTTCAGATCGTCGAGCGATGCGTCTCGCGCGACGCCGAGGATGTCGTAGTGCGAGCGGACGCGCTGCGGGCGCTGCATGGCGCCGGCAGCGCGCGTCTCGAGGCGCGAGGCGCGACGGGGAGGGAGGGGGGGATGGGCGCGCGGGCGGGGGAGGGGGGGTCGACCCGGCCGCCGCGCGCGCCGTGCGCCCGCGCGCCGTCTGTGTGAACGTCGCCGCGGGGCTGGCGGCAGTTCTTGTGCTGGCTGGCGAGAAACCAAAACGTGTTTTTGAAAAAAAGCAACGACGACGACGGCGGCGCACTTCACCCTCGCGCCGCCGCCATGGGCGCATGCGCCACCAAGTGCTTCGCGCGCGATCCCCCTCTTCGCTCGTCATATCCGCCTACCAGATCCGCAGAAGACGAATACCGCGTCGCGATGCTCGTCCTCCCGCTCGTTGAGGACGTCAAAACCCGCGTCGTGGCTTCGCGGCTCAGCAGAGGGTGGAGGGACGCGGACAAGAGCGCGGCGTCGTTGCCGGCGAAGCTCGACGGCTTAGATCTTTACCCCAATAATCCTCGGAATACTTACGGACGCGTGGTAACAGCCAGCTACGAGTACGTGATGCGCCACGAAGGCGTGCTCGACCTGCCGAAGGAGCGGGTGGAGGCGCTCCTGACGCGCTTTTGGGAAACGCCTCCCACGCACAGGTTATTCAAGGACACCCACTATTTTTGTCAACGCGCCGCTTATATCGGCAACCTGGAGCTGTTGCAGTGGCTGCGCGAGCACGACTATCCGTGGAGTACAGCCACGTGTGCAAGCGCCGTGTTTGGATCACAATTGGAGGTACTCAGGTGGGCGTTGGCGAACGGCGCTCCCTGGGATAAGTATGAAACAACCTTCAGCCGACCGGGCAACCGCGAGAACGTGATAACGTGGCTGTTGAACCCCCGTAAAGGGGACCCACGCCCCTCCGATTGGGAAAAGTACCTTGAACTGCTCCGAGAGGCGGGCAAACGACAGGTGAGTAAGCGACTCGTTGCGCGAGGATGATGTAATAGATGCGCCTCTGCATCACACGTCGACAACCTTCACCGCGGCTCGCTCTCGTCCCCGCGGTTGCGGAGAGAAAAAAAAAAAACCAAAAATTTCGCAGATCTGAGGCGACGGCGCGCCCGTCGTGGAAAACTTTTCCTCGGAACGCGCGACCCCCCCGCCGCGCGCGTCCCCTCGCCCGCGCGCGCCACACCCTCCCGCGCCCGCCCGCGACGACGCGCGCACGCGCGCCGATCACGATCGCGCGCTTCTTCCCACCGCTCAAACCCGCGCGAACGAGCGACGCGCGCGCGCCGCCTCCTCGCCTTCGCGTCGAAGGAGAAACTATGCCGCCGCCGACGACGACGACGACGACGAGCGAGAGACGACGCGACGCGCCGCCGCCGCCTCGGTCCTCGCGCCCCCCGCGCGCGCTCGTCGAGGTCCTCGCGGAGGAGCACCGCGACGCGTACGACAACATCCTCTCCCGCCTCGACGGCACCTCGCGCGCGCTCCTCGCGGAGGCGTCGCCCATCCTCGCCGACGCGCAAACCGCGCGCCTCGCCCCGGGCGAGCGCGCGCCGCGCGTGAACAACGAAAGACTCGTCGACTCCGTGTCCCTGCTCGAGCTCGCCCTCCGACGAGGGCTCTGTCGCAAGAGCTCGGTCCCGAGCAGCACGGCGTGGACGCTGAACGGCGTCGACTGCGTCATCCTCGCCGCGAAAGCCGGCAAGCTGGACGTGCTGCGGCACCTCAAGGCGCGTTCGTTCTATTACCACAGTGGTCCCCGTACGGCCGCATCGGCGCGGTGAACGCCGATCCTTAAGGACTTTCTCTCCCGGCGCATCTCTCCGCCCGCCCCTCGCTTTCATTCCCCGCCCGCGTCGCCTTTCAACTCCGCTTCTGACGCCTTTGAACTCCACCCCGACCCTCACTCAAGAAGGCGATGGGGTCGCCGCCGCACGAAGACGCCGCCGTCGCCGCCGCCGCCGCCGGCCGCGTGCGCGCGCTCGAGTGGTGCGTCCGCGATAACGGCGTGCGACCGCCCCCGCGCGCGTGGTTCCAAGCGGCGCGCGGCGGGCACGTGCACGTGCTGACGTGGCTGCACGAGCGCGAGAGAGAGCGCGCGCGAGGGGACGTGTCGAGCGCGTGGCTCCCCGCGCCGGGGCCGCCGCCGCCGCCGCCGCCGGGGATAGCGGCGCTGATGGAGGGCGCGGAGGGTGTCCTCCTACACGCGCCCGCACACCCGGAGGTAGCCCTCCTACACGCGCCCGCACACCCCGCGAACGCGACAACGGCGCTCGCGGGCGCGGACGTAGCCCTCCTACACGTGCCCGTCCACCCCGCGAACGTCGTCGCGATTCCCCCGCCCGCGCCCGCGCCGGCGGCGGGGATCGAACCGCCGCCGTACTACTGGTACGGCGATCGCCTCGGGCAGCTCGCGTTGCACGCCGCCGAGGGCGGGCACCCGGACGTCCTGCGATGGGTCGACGACATCGAGAGCGACCGAGTGACGAAGATGGACGTCGTCACCGCCGCCGCGAAGGGCGGCGACGTCGTCACGCTCGCGGCGCGTCCTAGTTGTCGCGTTGGTTCCCGTGCGACCGCGTCGGCGAGGACTTCATCTCACGGCGTTCGTTCGTTTCTCTCCGCCCAACCCTCGCTTCTTTCAATAATCCCGATGCGCCGCGACGCCTTTCGGCTTCGACTGACGATTCGTCGCCTCGTAAAACGGACCCTCGCTCGACCCACAGTGGCTCCTTCGCCGCGGGTCGGTCGTCGACGAGAGCACGTGCGCCGCATCCGCCGCGGGGGGCAAGCTCGAGGCGCTCAAGTTCTTACGCGTGAGCGCGGAGTGTCCGTGGAACGCGTGGACGACGACGCGCGCGGCGAACGCGGGGCATCTGAAGACGCTCGAGTGGGCGCGCGCGCGGGGGTGTCCTTGGGACGAAAACGCGCTTCTGCGCGCGATGCGACGCGGCCGCGTCGACGTCGTGGAGTGGTTGTTGAAGAAACGCTGCCCGCGGCCGGCGACGCGGACGACGGTGACGCTGTACGGCGATCGCGCGACGCTGCGGCGGAACGTGGACGCGATGACGCGGCTCATCGTAGAGTATGAGCTCGACGTCGGGCTGGAGGCAGCAGCCTCTCTCGACGATCTCGAGCACCCGCTCGACTTTCTGGCGCTCCACGGTCTGGTGGACGACGCGGAGACGGCGTGACGAGGAGGACGAACGACGAAACGACGACGACGCGCGCGTTTTACGCAAGAAAAGAATGAATACTACATACCCGAACGACTACAGTACCTTCGTACATCTTCGCTACGCGCGCTCACTTCGCCGTGGACGCGACCCACGCGTCGACGCCGCCCTCGACCCACGACGTCGCCTTCGCGCCCGCGTCCGGCGGTCGCTTCTTCGACGGCGCCGGTTTCGGAATCGGTTTCGATTTCGTGGGGTAAACCGCCGTCGTCGCCGTCTTCGTCTTCGCCGAAACCGTCGCCGCCGCCTTCGGCTCTCGTCTCGCGCGCGACAACGCGCCCGCGCCGAGATCGATCCCGAACGGCTCGCGGTCCCTCGTCTCGCGGTCCTTCTTCAGCTTCGACGCCGTCGTCGGCGCGTCGTATCCGGGCCCGCGGCCGAAGGCGAAGGACGACTTCGCGGCGGTTGGTTTTTTAGTCTTCGGCGGCGGCGGCGCCGCCGCCGCCGGTGGACCCCGATACGGCGCCCCCGCGGATGCGACGCGCCCTCCGAACCGCCCGCGGCTCGGCGTCGCGACGGTCGTCGCTCTCCCGATCGCGCCGCCGCCGCTTCCACTCCCGCCGCCGTTGATCGGACGCGCGATGTGCTTCTTGATCAGTCCCTGAGGGTGATTGTCCACACGAGCGAACGTCGGGGTGGAGTTGAAAGGCGTCAGAAGCGGAGTTGAAAGGCGTCGAGGTGTGTCGGGATTGAAACCGAGGGATGGGCGCAGAGAATCGCCGGCGAAAGTCCTTAAGGATCGGCGTTCACCACGCGAACGCGGTCGTATGGGGACCAGTGTGATGATACTAGAACGCGCCTGATAGGCGGCCATGTACGCGCGCACGGCGGTCGTCTCTCGCTCCTCCTTCTCGCGCTTGTACAGATCGAGCCACTTGTACCACGCGTGCGATAACGTGCTGTTGCGGAACATCGACAGCGCCCTGCCCGCTTTCGAGCGAAGCGGTTTCAGCCACTCCGTGTACCCGGCCCACGCGAGCCAAAAACGCCTCGCGAGGTGGCGTTTAAAAAACGCATCCGCCGCGGCTTTCAGCTCCGCGCCCGACGCCGCGCCCGCCGCCGCGTCCTTCGCGGATTGAACGATCGACCGCACGTTTTTAATCAAGTCCCACGCCTGCTTCGCGGCCGCGCCGTTCTCCGGGCCCGCGCCCTTCGCGCGCTCCTCCGCGAGGTCCGCCGCGCGCGCGGACTCCGACGCGAACGCGGACGCCTTCTCCGCCATCAGTTGCGCCTCGTGAAACTTCCCGTCGGCGGCTAAGTTCGCGGCTCGCTCCGCGGCGTCGTCCGCGGCGTGCGCTTTCGCTGTCGCGTCCTCGATGGCAGCCGCGGTGGCGGCGAGCGCCCTCGCGTGCGCTTTCGTGTCCAACACGCGCGCGCGCACCGCCGCGGCGGCGTTCTCGGACCACATCGCGAAGCACTCGCCGACGCAGCGAAATTGAATCGTTCGCATCAAGTTCAACACGGACAGTCGCGTCTTTTTCGCGGCGGCGGCTTCTTCGCGCCACCCGCGCAGCAGCGGCGCGGCGTCGCGCATCGCGACCGCGCGGAACAAACGCTCGACGCTGTCGTAGAATTCTTTCGCCTTGACGACGCGCTCGCGCCACGCGAGGAGAACTTTCGCCCGTCGACCCCACACCCGCCGCGCGTCCGCGGCTTCGAGCAGAATCCTCGACCGACGGTTGTAGTCCGCGTTTACGACCCAAGCGCTGAACCGCACTTTCAACACCGTGTTCTTCATGTACGCGAGCCCGGCGGTCATGATGCGCTTCCGCTCGCTCGCCTCGCGTCGGCCCAAGCGTCCGCGGTAGTGCTTCTGCACGCGCGTCGCCGCCGCGGTGCATCGCCGAAGATGCCAGAAGCGCATCGAAGTCATCATCTCGCGCGCGACGTCCTCGCACGCCGCCTCGACGTCGCGCTCGAAGCGCGTCAGCGCGTCGGGGTGCATCGAGGATTTCGCGCGCGCGTGCGCGGCGGCGATGGCGTGCACGACGCTCTCGCGCTCGCGCGCCTTGGCCTCGCGTTCCTCCTCGGCGGCGCGTTCGCGCGCCGCCGCCTCCGCGGCTCTCGCCGCGAGTCTCGCGTCGAGCTCGTCCAACACGCCCGTCACCGCGCTGAGAATGCCGACGTTCCCGTCGTCTTCGCCTCTCGCTCGCGCTCTGGAACGCGTCGCGTCGTCGACCGCCCGCGCGTGCTTCGCGCGCACGTCTCTCGCGTACGACGACGCCGGCGCGCGCGGCCGCGGCGGCGTCTCTTCCTCGACGACGTCGGACATCGCGTCGTCCTCGAGCCTCGGCGCGCGGCGATTTGTCGTCGCGACCGGTGGAGAAACGCTCGAACGTCGAACGTTTCTCTGTGTGGTGGAGTCGTTCTCGTTCTCGTTCTCATCGGCGTTGTCGTCGCACAGCACGTCGCGCAGCGCGCGCGCGTTCATCAGCATCCTCGCCTTGACCGCCGCGGGCGGCTCCGGCATCGGCTTCAACGGTTTGAAATCTCGCTCGCGTAACATATACGTCCTCTCCGTCGCGATGTTCAACGGCAAGGACTCGTACGGCGCCATCGGTCTCGGCAGCGGCGCGCGGACGCTCGCGAGCGTGTGCTTCGACGTCCGCAGCGCCGCGTCCGCGGCGCGCCGCGCTTCCTCGAACGCCGCGAGGTCCGCGCGGTAGGACCATTCGAAGGCGGGGTTCGCGGCGATCGCGTCGTTCGCGGCGGCTCTCAACGGCGCCGCGTACGCGGGCGTCGATTCGTATCCCCCCGTCGTTCGCGACCTCGACGCGTTCCAGAGCGCGTCCGCGGCGGCGAGCTCGTCGAGGACGACCGTGCGTCGCGGCGCCGGGGGCGGGAGCGGCGGGATCGGCGAGAACGACGACGACGACGACGACGACGACGCGTCGACGTCGGCGTCCGAATCCGACCCGCGCTCGTCGTCCGACGGCGCCATCGCGGCCGCGAATATGGACACGAACGGGTCGACCGGCGCCGCGGGCGGCGGCGACGCCGCGCCGCTCGAGCTCGGCGAGTTCGAGCGCTCCGAAGCGGACGGCGACGACCGGTCCGTTCGTCGTCGTCGTCGTCGCGGCGCCTTCTCGTCGTCGTCGTCGTCCGACAGACCGCACTGCGTCGCCATCTCCACGAGCGTCGGTCTCTCGGACGACGACGACGGCGACGGCGGCGACGGCGGCGGCGGCGGCGGCTTCGCGCGCATCGGCGGCGGCGGCGGCGGCGGCGCGCGCTCCGCCGCGATTCGCGCGCGCGCTTCCTCCTCGAGTCGAATCTCTTCCTCGCGCGCCGTCCGTCGCGCCTTCACGGCGTCCGCCCTGGACCGCAGGCGGTCCGTGAACGCGTCGCGCCTTCGACGCGACGCGAGCGCAGCCTTGCGCATCGGCGACGGCATCGCGTGCGGGAGTCCGTCGCCGGCGACCCCGCCCTGGTCGTCGAGGCGCTTCCCGGCGCGCGCGAACGCGTCGACGTCGTCGTCGTCGTCGTCGTTGTTTTCCTTCCCGACGGCGACGGAATCGCGCGCCCGCGGAGTCGTCGCCTCCCGCTCCGCCATCCTTCCCGTCTCTCTTCTTCGCGCGGGTTTGGTCGATCACTCGCGTCGTCGCGGCATGACGGAACGAACCGAGCGACGCGCGCGCGTCGTCGTCGTCGTGGCGCGTGCGGCGCGCGGTGCGGTGTCCCCCGCGGATTGGGAAACGGTCGCCCGGCCAGCTCCAACGGAAAGTCCGAGACGGAGCGGGTGCCGAGATCGATAGTCTACGCGCGCGTCCGCGCGCGCCGCACGCCGTGGACGATGACGACGGCGGCGTCGTCCTCGCCGCGCGCGATCGTCGCCGCGGCGGCGAGGTCGACTACCGCGACGTCGCGCGACGTCGCCTCGCGCCGCGCGCGTCCGCGCGCCGCGCCCCGTCTCTCGCGATCGAGCGATGCCGGCGCGGTCGCCGCGCGCGCGTCGTCCCCGTCCTCGTCCTCGTCCTCGTCCTCGCTGACGAGCTGGCCCGGCGGCGGCAGCGGCGTCGTGACGAACCCCCCGGACCACGCGGTCGTCCTCGCGTCGCTGCGCGCGCGATGGGACGCGTCGCCGTGGGACCTCGCGACGCGATGGGTCGTGACGAACGACCTGTGGTGCGTTCTATACACTGGTCCCCATACGACCGCGTTCGCGTTGTGAACGCCGATCCTTAAGGACTTTGCCCGGCGCATCTCTCCGCCCACCCCTCGCTTTCATTCCCCGCCCTCGACGCCTTTCAACGCCAACTGACGCCTTTGAACTCCAGGGATCACGAGCGCGCGCGATGCGGGCTCTCGACCGAGTGGCGACTGGGGTGGACGAACACCAAGTCGTACGTCGGGATCACGTACATGTGGGGGGCTGGCGACGACGAGCCTTCGCTGGGGGAGATTTTCCTGTCCAAGTACCTGATGTTAGACCCGAGCTTCGACAACGCGCTGGGGTGTCTGCGGCACGAGATCGCGCACGCCATCGTCGGACCGTCGGGTGCGTTCTAGTTGTCACACTGGTTCCCATACGACCGCGTTCGCGTGGTGGACGCCGTTCCTTAAGAAGGACTTTCTCTCCCGGCGTTCGTTCGTCACTCCCCGCCCACCATCCCCCGGTTTCGATCCCGACGCGCCTCGACGCCTCACGACTCCACACACGCCTGACGCCTCACGACTCCACCCCGACGTCGCTTCCTGTGGGCAAACGCCCTCAGACCCGGGGCACGGCGCGGCGTGGCGGAACGTCTGCGAGGCGGTGGAGTGCGACGAGGCGTGGGCGACGGACACGACCAAGGCGTTCTACGACCGCCCGCTCGTGGTGCTCGGGTGGAGCGCGCACGACGCGAAGGAGATCGCGGCGGGGACGTACGTTGTGCGCGGCTTGGAGGGGAAGTCGACGCTGCCGCCGGAAAAGTTTGAGAGAAACGTGTGGGACAAAGTCACGGGCGAGCGGACGACGTACGTCGCGGAGGACGGCGTCCGCGTCATGTGACGCGACGCGGGCGGGCGGGCGGGCGGCGAGCGCATCTAGCTAGCCTGTCGTGCGTGATGCCTGCCTTATTCACGGCGCGCGCGTCTATCCTATGAATCCTATGATAAACACAAAACCCTACCTACGTAACTAAACACAAAACCGATCCATGCGGCTCGCCCCGTCATCGTCACGACCCCCCCCACGGTCGAAAGTCCAGAACCGCGATCGCGCCCGTCTTGGCGCCGACCGCGAGCGTCTCCCCGTCCGCGTGCACGCACGCGCTCGGTTCGTTCCCGGCGCCGTCGAGGAGCGCGAACGCGACGGTCAACCCTCCGTCGCGTCCGTTCCCCGCGGCGTGTTTTCCGTCGTCGGCGTCGTCGTGATAATAGGCGACGACGCCGTCGCCGGGGGCGACGGTCACGACCACCGCACCGAACGCTCGCACGTCCGTGACCGGCGCGGAGTGGTCGTTCAACACCGCGAGGCACGCGCCGCCGTGGGATATCTCCCACAGACGCACGCATCCGTCCGCGGCGCCCGTGACGAGCCGCGGAAGGAGAGGCGAGGTCGAAGACGACGAGGAGGACGCGCGTCGACCGCCGCCGCGCGACCAGAACGTCGCGGATAGGATGCCGCCCTCGTGCGCGGATAAGATGGCGATCGCCGCGGCTTTCTCCACGTCCCACACGATGATGACGGCGTCCGCGCCGGCGGTGGCGCACAACGCCGGCGCGGAGACGTCCGCGTTGGACGCGTCACGCGCGCCGCCGCGGCGTCCGCGTCCGCCGTCGTACACGTCCATCGCGAGAATCGCGTCCGCGTGCGCGCGCATCACGCCGACGCACGTCGCCTCCTCCATCGTGCGTCCTCTTCGTTTCGCGGGCGCTTTCGGTGGCACGGGCACTCTCCACAGGCGCAGCGACGCGTCCCTGGACGCGGTCAGCAGCGAGATGAACGCGTCGTCGGACCGACGATTCGGCGGGAACACCGGACGGACGTGCCACGTCACGTCGACGTGCCCGCGTAAAACCGCGATCGGCGCGCCCGTCGACGCGTCCCAGAGCTTCACGTCCGCGTCCGTGGACGCGGACGCGACGATCCGCGAGTCGTCGAGCGAATCGTCGTCGTCATCGTCGTCGCCGCCGTCGTCGCCGTCGCCGCCGTCGTCGTCGCGGCGATCGACGGGCGGCGGCGACGGGTGCGACGCGGGAGAATACGGCCGCCGCGGCAGCGGCGACACCTTCGAGCTGCTCTTCTTCCCTCGCTTATCGCTCGGCGTCTTCGCGTTCGTCTTCTGCGTCTCGCGGCGGCACGGGACGAAGCACACCTTCGTGACGGACCCGCCGTGGCGCCACGACCGCGCCGGGCGCGACTTGTCGTACCCCCACAACGTGACTCGCCCGTTCGTGTCCCCGGCGACGACGCGCGACGAGCTCGCGGCGACGCTCGCGACCCACGCGCCGTGCGCGCCCTCGAAGCTTCGCAGGAGGTCCCATCCCACGCCGGGGGCGGTCCTGGACGCGATCTCGTCCCTGCGCCACGCGTACACGGCGCCGTCCCAGCCGCCGCTGACCACGACGGCGCCGACGCGGGGCACGCGCGTCGACGCTGAGGGTCGAGGGTCCACACGAGCGAACGTCGGGGTGGAGTTCAAAGGCGTCAAAGCGGAGTTGAAAGGCGTCGAGGTGTGTCGGGATTGAAACCGAGGGATGGGCGGAGAGACACGCGCGCCGGGAGAGAAAGTCCTTAAGAAACGGCGTTCACCGCGCCGACGCGGTCGTACGGGGACCAGTGTGAATCAGAACGCGCCTAAGCACTCGACCGACCACGTGTGCTTGCGCAAGTCGCAGCGCGCGTACTGGCCATCGGACCAGCGCTTTCGGAGCGTCGCCGCGCGTTTGAAGAGCCTCCGCGCGCGCGACGCCGACGTCTCCGGTGCCTCGCGGCGGGGCGCGGGAGGAGGCTGCGGCGGCGACGGCGCGACGCGGCCGCGGTTCAGACGGAACGGCCGCGGCGGCGGCGGGGACGGGGACGTCGCAAACGAAAACGCACCCCCCTTGGCCGTTTCATCCTCCTCCTCCTCCGCGCCTCCGTCCGGCAACATCCCGATCACCTCGTCCAAGTGCGACTCCCACATCCCGTTCGCCTCGCCCGCGTCGCGCCACGCGCGGCACGTCCCCGACGCCGCGGCGAGCGCCTTCGGCGGGAGCTTTCGCATGACGACATCCAAGACGTCGTTCGGTAAGTCGAACGCCTCGGTCGCTTCCGGGTCCGGCAGACGCCGCGCGGGGGTCGGGGGCTGCTTCGCGAGCGGTGGTGCCCGCGACGTTTCCTCTTCCGCAGGCGTCGCGGGCGGCGGCGTCGGCACGCGCGGCGGCGGCGGCGGCGGGAGCGGCGGCGGCGTTTGAATCAGACTCGGCGGGCGGACCACCGCGCGCGGCGGCGGCGTCGCCGCCGCCGCTGCCGTCGCCGCGTTCGCCAGCCCCGGGGTCGTCGGCCGCGACGGCGGCGCGCGGTTCGCGGGCGGCGTCCGCCGCGACCGCAGCCGGTCCAGCGACGCCTTCACCCTCGCCGCCGCCGCGGATATCCTCTCCGCGAGCGTCCTCTTCGGCTTGCGTTGGCGTCGCGCGCGCGGCGACGCGGTCGGCGGCGGCGCGGCGGCCGGCGGCGGCGGCGATCGAGGCGGCGTGGCCGGCCGAGGCGCCGGCGGCGACGCGGGCGCCGGGGCGGACGCCAGCGCCGGCGCCGGCGACGGCGACGGCGACGGCGACGGCGCGGAGGTCTGCGGCGCTCGCAGCCTCCGCTCGTGCGCCGCCGCGAACATCGCCGCGCGCTCCTCGCGACTCGCGGGCGGCGGCGAAGACGCCGCGGGAGGAGGAGGAGGAGGAGGAGGAGGAGGAGGATGGGGCTGCTGCGGCGGCGGGAGCGGCGGAATGAGCGCCTCCGCATCCTCGTCTCTCGCGCCTCTCGTCGGCAGGATGTGTGAGAGCGGCTCTGGCAGCCTCGAGAAGAGATTCTCCGACGCCCTCAGCAGCTCCCGCAGCCGTCGCGTCTGCGGCGTGCTCTGCTGCTCCGCGGCGTCGCCGTCTCCCGTTCCCGTTCCTCCATCGCGCGGCGGCGGCGGACGCGCAGCCGGCGTCGTCGCCGTCGCCGTCGTCGTCGTCGCCGCCGTCGTCGTCGTCGTCGTCGTCGTCGTCGCCGTCGTCGTCGTCGTCGTCGTCGCGTCTCCGCGGAACTCGGCGATGAGGTCTCGGATCCCGACGACGCGACGCGTCACCGGCGCCGCGCTCGGCGGCGTCGGAACCGGCGGCGGCGGCGGCGGGGCGTCCGCGCACGTCTGGCGATGCGACGACCAGTGCGAACGCTGGCACGCGCGCGAGCAGTATTTCGCGCGCTTGCCTGCGGTGGGTCCACGCGGACGGGGGGCGAGCGGACGGGTGAGGAGAACGCTCGGGACGTCGACGGCGACGCGAAGGGGGCGACGCGGTGGTGGTGGAGGAGGAGGAGGACGACGAAGAGGGCGCGGCGCACATTTCGAGCATCGGAACGCGGAGACCGCGCCGCAGGCCTCGCACGAGTCCGTCCGCATCGTCGTCGAGGGCGCCTGCGCGTTTTCAGATCGCGCGTCTCGCGGTGCGTCGGACGGCCGCGCGTCACCGCATCGCGCGCGCGTCGCGCGACGTCATCGCGGGGGAGAAGGCCTCGACGACGACCTCGCGATCGTCCGCGGTGACCTCTCGTCGAGCACCGGACGAGCGCGTCAGCCGCGCGGTGACTATGTGGTGGTGGTGACATCCGTATCGGGCGAGTGATGAAGTTTGCGTCGTCAGCGTCAGTGGAGACGGACCCAGCCAGACGTGACTTCGACTGCGAGTGCTGCTGAGATGACGAGTGCGTGTTAAGGCTGGCGGCTGAGGTGTCATGACAACGAGACTATGATAAACAGCGCCCGCGCGCGCGCGCGCCCGCGGGGTTTGAACCACGCTCCCATCGCCACGCTTCGACAGCGTCGACGCGTCGCCGCGTCGCCGCCGGTCCGCGGAGAGGCGAGAGACGACGAGACGAGAGAAAATCTGTGATTTTCATCTTCGCCTCGCCGCCGCGCTCTCCGCGACGAGCGAAGCGTTGCGCGACCGACCACCCACCGCGACGATCGGATCGGATCGAAAGGACTCGATCGCGTCGGGCGTCTCACTTACGCGTCGACGATCGTGACCTCGACCTCGACCCCCGGCTCGATGGAGATGGACGTGATCTGCTTCACGACGTCCGCGGGCGAGTGCAGGTCGATGAGGCGCTTGTGGATCCGCAGCTCGAAGCGATCCCACGTGTTGGTACCTTCACCGCACGGGGACTTGCGCACCGTGAGCTTGAGGCGCTTCGTGGGCATGCGCACGGGGCCCTTGACCTTGAGGCGCTTCTCCTTCGCGCCGCGGATGAGATCCGCGCAGACCTTCTCGAGGTTCGCGACGTTCTTGGAGGTGAGCGTGATGCGGATGCGGTGGACGCGAGCGGCCTCGCCGCCCTCTTCGCCCTTGCCGCCGGGAGCCTTGTAAGGAGCAGACATTCTGGAGGAGGAGGAGGAGGAGGAGGAGGACGGAGAGGGGAGGGCGTCAGCGTGATGATGGGGGCCACGACGGAGGGACGCCGTGGACGACGGCGGAGCCGCCCCCTCCAGAAAGCTCTCATCTAGGGTTTGGTTTTCGATTTTTTCTCCGCCCGTCCGCGCCGGAAACGCGCGCGCGAGCGCGACGCGAGGGGAGCGCGCGACGCGCACCTTATGAAGTTTGCTTGGTGTGTTGTTGGTGTACCGCGAGTCAGACGCCCACTTGGTAGGACCTGTCACTGACGGTAAGAAAGGGGGATGAGAGGCGCGCGGTGGACGCTTTATGCCGGCGACGCGACGATGCGAAGTTTCGCGGTCGGTCGCATCTCGCGACCGACCGCTCTCGGCAGTTCGTCGAGAACTTGACGTCGCGAGTGTTGACCGGACGAGCGCCACAACGAACGCGCGCCCGATCGACCGCGTCGGTTCGTCGCCCGCACGAGATGAGTCTCGCATTCGATGAGTTCGGCCGCCCCTTCATCATCATCAAGGTTCGTGGCGACGTCGTCGCGACGCGACGCCCGCGCGCGCCGCGTTTCGACGTTCCCGCGCCGTCGTCGTAGACTAAAAAGATCGCGCGCGATCTTTCTTCATCCTGCCGTCATCCGTCGCGCGCGCTGACCCGCCTCGTCCTCTTCTCTCCTCTGATCTCCCAGGAGCAAGGCGCGAAGACGCGCGTCCGCGGGATCGAGGCGCAGAAGGCCAACATCCAAGCCGCGAAGTCCGTCGCGAGGACGCTCCGATCGTCCTTAGGCCCCAAGGTGCGCGATCGTTCAACGCCGTCGTTTTTCGAAAAAAAAAAAAGCTCGCGCGCGAACGAACGCCGAGATCGTCCCGCCCGCGTCCGCCTCAGATCCCTCCGCGAGCGTCCCGCCGCGAAGCCACCGAGCGCGAGTCTGACCACGTCACGCGCGCTCCCTCTCCCCACGACGATCGACGCAGGGCATGGACAAGATCCTCCAGAGCGGCGACGGCGAGATCACGATCACGAACGACGGCGCGACGATCCTTCAAGAGATGGAGGTGGAGCACCAGGCGCGTTCTGTCATCACACTGGTCCCCACACGACCCCGTCCGCGTGGTGAACGCCGATCCTTAAGGAGTTTCTTTTCCCGGCGTGTGTTGCATATCGCCGCCCACCCCTCGCTTTCAACGCCCGCCCGCGACGCCTTTCGACTTCAACTGACGCCTTTCAACTCCACCCCCGACGTCGCCGCTTCGCGCGGACCGACCCTCATCAGATCGGAAAGCTCCTCGTGGAGCTGTCGCAATCGCAGGACTACGAGATCGGCGACGGCACCACCGGCGTCGTCGTCCTCGCCGGGTCGCTCCTCGAGCAGGCGGAGGTGTTGCTCGACCGCGGGATCCACCCGCTGCGGATCGCGGAGGGGTACGAGATGGCGGCGAAGGTTGCCGTCGCGGAGCTCTCGCGCGTGAGCGAAAAGTTTGAATTCAGCCCCGACGACATCGAGCCTCTGGTGCGGACGTGCATGACGACGCTGTCGTCCAAGATCGTGAACAGATGCAAGCGGGAGATGGCGGAGATCTGCGTGCAGGCGGTCATGGCCGTCGCGGACCTGGAGAGGAAGGACGTCAACCTCGACCTGATCAAGGTGGAGGGAAAAGTCGGCGGGAAGCTCGAGGACACGGTGCTGGTGAACGGGATCATCTTAGGCGCGTTCTATCTCACACTGGTCCCCATACGACCGCGTTCGCGTGGTGAACGCCGATCCTTAAGGACTTTGCCCGGCGCATCTCTCCGCCCACACCACGGTTTCAATCCCGACACACCTCGGCGCCCGCCTTTCAACTCCGCTTCTGACGCCTTCCAACTCCACCCCGACGTCGCTTCGTCTGGACCCTCGACCCATAGACAAGGACATCTCGCACCCGCAGATGGACAAGGAGATCAAGGACGCGAAGATCGCCATCCTCACCTGCCCGTTCGAGCCCCCGAAGCCGAAGACGAAGCATAAGATCGACATCGACACCGTGGAGAAGTACGAAGAGCTGAGAGCGCAGGAGGAGAAGTACTTCAAGGACATGGTGAAGCAGTGCAAAGACAGCGGCGCGACGCTCGTGATTTGCCAGTGGGGCTTCGACGACGAGGCGAACCACATGTTGATGCACGAGAAGCTGCCGGCGATTCGCTGGGTCGGCGGCGTCGAGCTCGAGCTCATCGCGATCGCGACCGGCGGTCGGATCGTCCCGCGGTTTCAAGAGCTCGCCCCGGAGAAGCTCGGGACCGCGGGGCTCGTGAAGGAGGTGGCGTTCGGAACCACGAAGGACCGCATGATCGTCATCGAGGACTGCGCCGCGAGCAAGGCGGTGACGGTGTTCGTGCGCGGCGGGAACAAGATGATGATCGACGAGACGAAGCGGTCGCTGCACGACGCCATCTGCGTCGCGAGGAACTTGGTGCGATCGAACGCCATCGTGTACGGCGGCGGCTCGGCGGAGATTGCCTGCGGCATCGCCGTCGAGGAGGCGGCGGATCGCGTCCCGGGCGTGGAGCAATACGCCATGCGCGCGTTCGCCGAGGCGCTAGACGCGGTGCCGACGGCGCTCGCGGAGAACAGCGGTTTGCCCCCGATCGAGACGGTCGCGAAGGTGAAGTCCGCGCAGTTGAAGACGAAGAACCCGCATCTCGGCGTGGACTGCAAGGAGACGGGGACGGACGACATGAAGACGCAGGGCGTGTTCGAGACGCTCATCGGGAAGCAGCAACAGATGCTCCTCGCGACGCAAGTCGTGAAGTTGATCCTGAAGATCGACGACGTCATCACCGCGGGGAGGTACGATTGATTGAGCGGGCGATGGACGGACGGACGGACGGACGGACGGACGACGACGACGGCGGCGAGAAGAGTCGTCGAAGTCGGAGTCGGGGTCTGTCGCGCGCCGGCGAAAGTCAGTCGTTCAAGTCGCGCGTTTTCGTCTCCGCGGCTGTCGGCGAGCGCGATTGAATAAGACTGACTGACGCATTGTTTGGGACGGGGAGAGGGAAGGGAAGGGAGAGGGCGAGGAGGGACGCGACGAGGAGGCGCCGAGGAGGAGGAGGGGGAGGAGAGATTTAGATCGCGAGCGCGACGTGAGCGAACGGCGCGGTAGTAGTTCATCGATACACCACGAGAGAGGTCAACTCCAAACGCGGCGCGCGGCGACGAAGAGAAAGCGTTGTTAGATCCGCCGCTGCAGCGATGTTGACCGAGCGGAGCTACTCAACGGATGGGAATTCATTCATCCCCCCCGCGCGCGCGGAGGGACGCGCCGCCGCCCCTCGCGCGTCCCACCACCGCGGCGGAGCGGAGCGAACGATGGCGGACGACGAGTCTAACGAGCCATCGCCGCCGTGCGTCGCGATGCCGCCCGACTGGGACCCCGCGTTCGACCTCCTCCCCGGCAACGTCGTCGACGACGAGGCGTACTGCGTCCGCGCGCTCCTCGAGCTCGTGGACGAGGTGGTCGCGCTCGAGGCGACGCGCGAGGAGCTCGTCGTGGACCCGGACGGGGAGGACTGGTGGCGCGACCCGGAGGCCGTGGAGGCCGCGGGCGCGGTGACGATGCTCGTGGAGGACGAGGTCGCCGCCATCGAGCGCGAGGAGGAGGAGGAGGAGGAGGCGACGACGACGGAGATGGCACGCGACGAGGACGAGTCGTCGTCCGCGGCGAACGCCATCGCGTCCGAGCTCGTCGCGCGGGTCGCGGACGCCGCCGCGGAGACGGCGGAGGAGGAGGAAGAGGACGGCGACGAGGAGGACGGCGAGGTGGAGTCCGCGCCGAGGAGGTCGGACCCCGCGCATCTCGAGCCGCTGCCGGAGCCGGACGACGACGACGACGACGCCGTGCGCATCTCCCCGCGGTCGAACGATTCCGACGCGGGCGACGACGAGGAGTTGACCGGGGCGTTAGACGAGATGCACAGAGCGATGGACGCGGCGGGGATGAACGTCGACGACGTGGAGGGCGTCGACGAGCTCACGAGGACGGCGATGACGACCGCGAGGGACATGATGGCGCAGGGCGGCGCGGACGGCGCGGAGGATGCCCCGGACGCGTACGACGACGACGACGACGCCCGAAAGCGAAACGAAGAAGAAGAAGAAGAAGAAGAAGAACCTTCTTTCCGCGATTCCCTCGTCGGCGACGACGACGACGACGCGGCCTCCTTAGTCGAGTCCACGGGCGAAGTCGGCGGCGACGACGCGCGCGACGGAGGCGCCGCGCGCGAAGCCGCGGACGACGCCGAGGGGTCCGTCGCCGGGAGCGTCTCGGGGGGCGCGGGCGCGCGCGGCGGCGACGACGTCAGACGCACGGACACGGGCGCCGACGTCCTGACCATCCATCACCCCGACCCCGACGACGATGAAGACGACGAAGACGACGAAGACGACCTCGGCATCTACGACGACGACGACGACGACGACGAGAACGATAGCCACGACGGCCTCGACGGCCTCGACGGCGGGATGGACGAGGAGGATTTCATCGCGTTCGGCGGCGCGCGGCTCGCGAAGGCGCCCGCCGCCGCCGCCGGGAACGTGTATCGCCCCAGCCCGGTGAAACCGTCGAGAGACGACGGTCACGCTCGCGGTCATGGTCACGGTCACGACGATGAACCGGAACCCGAACCCGAACCCGGGGCCCAAGATTCATCGCCTGAACCGACCGCGGACGAGCTGTACGGCGAGGGCGAGTACGTCCACGCGCGGCGGCCGCCGCCGCCGCCGCCGGCGGCGCCCCGGCCCGCGGCGAAGCGCAAGTCCGCCGCGGTGAGAAGGCTCGAACGCCTCGGTCTCAAGCCGCGCTCGCCGGACACGGAGCTCGTCGAGCGGTCGAGCTCTTCGTTCCCATCGTTCGACGACTTCCGGCTCGCGTCGCCGTCGCCGGGCGCGGGCGGCGCGCAGGGCGGGTACCGCCCGCCTTCGCGAGGGTTCGGGCGGAGGAAGGGCGTCGACGTGTCGCTCTTATCCGACGGGGAAGACGACGACGGGGACGCCTTCGGCTTCGGCGCCGGCGCCGGCGTCGCCCGCAGTCGCCGCGACGACCACCGCGACGAGCGGGAGCAGGAGCTCGCGCGAGAGAGGGAGACGGCGCTGCGGGAGCGAGAGATGCTTCGCCTGCGCGACCAAGAGGCCAGGTGGCGGCGCGAGCGACGCGAGCGCGAGGAGCGCGCGCTGCGACAAGAGCGGCAGCGGCTGGAAGACTTGAGGCGCGAGCTTCAGGAGATTGAACTCCGGAAGCGCCGGCAGGAGGCGTTCGACGCGCGCGGACGCGAGGAGGAGATGGAACTCCGCGCGATTCGGCTGGAGAATAAAAAGATGCTGCGGAGAGTCGAGCAGAGCAGGATCGCGGCCGCGCGGCCGCCCGCGCGACGCGCGCGGACGCCGCTGCACGTGCGAATGGAGCGCGACTACGTCAAGAACGTCGAGCTGAAGAACCAGATGGAGTACCAGCGGAAACTCCGCGAGCGAAGAAAGTTTACAAACGCGCCAGAGTTTGCCCCGCACGCGATGCGAGAGTACCGAGAGGTCAAACCTGCGCCGTCGCCGAAGGACCGCGGGGACCCGTTCGGCGGCGGCATGGACCGCGGGCACGTCCTCGGCGGGATCGACTTACGAAGAGGGCGCATATCCAACGCCAACGCCAACGCCAACTCGAACCACCCCGGAGGAAGACGCGGCGGCGGCGGGCCGTACAAGTCAAAGTTTCAACGCGCCGCGGAGCGAGACGACGGCGCGGCGCGCGAGAGGCGAAGACGCGAGGAACACGCCGCGTGGGAGAAGTCCGAGCGGCAGCGCGCGTACTCCGAGATGGTCTCCAGGCGACATAAGCCCCACGTCAGCGAGCGCGCGAAGCTGGAGCTCGTCGCGCGCGCGGACCTCCCGCGTCCGGGGTTTGAAGAGAGCCTGGGTTCGCCCGCGCACGTGCTCAGGCGCGTTTTATCTCACGCCGGTCCTCATACGAACTCGTCCGCGCGGTGAACGCCGTTCCTTGAGGAGTTTTCCCGGCGCGCGTTTCTCTCCGCCCAGGGTCCCTCGCTCACAATCCCGACACCACACCGCGACGCCTTTCAACTCCATCTGACGCCTTTGAACTCCACCCCGATATCATCGCTTCGTGTGGACCCTCGACCCTCAGACGCGGCAGCCGGGTGTCGCAGGTCAAGCGCGAACGGGCGCACGCGGAGCGGCGCGCGGAGCGGCGCGCGGACGACGCCGCGCGCGCGAGAAGGCGAGAGAGAGCCGCGAACGCGCGGCCGCCGAGTCATTACCCCGGGTACGGGTACAAAGACTCCGCGGCGGCGGCGGCGGCGGCGGCGGCGAGGACGCGGAACCGAGCGGCGTACCGGTTCCTCGCGCCGCCGGACCCGGCGTTCGATTACTACGCCCTGGACGAGCGCCCCGTCGGCGCCGCGGGGAAGAATCACTCCTCGTACGACGTCGACTACGACCCCGTGCGATACAGCGACGACGACGACGAGCGGGACCCGTGGGAGGCGCTGGCGTCGCCGGGAGACTACGACCACGACCACGACGACGGCGACGGCGGCGCGATTGATTTCGACGGCGACGGCCGCGTGAGGTGCGTTCTATACACTGGTTCCCATACGACCGCGTTCGCGTGGTGAACGCCGATCCTTAAGGACTTTGCCCGGCGCATCTCTCCGCCCACCTCTCGCTTTCAATCCCCGCCCTCGGCGCCTTTCAACTCCATCTGACGCCTTTCAACTCCACCCCGACTTCGCTTTGTATGGAACGACCCTGAGACGGGCGACGCGGTACCCGGCGGTACCCGACGGCGTCTTCCACGGCGCGCACGAGACGCGCGCGCCGGGCGAGCACACGCTGATGAGTGCCTCCCCGCGCCGCGCGCCAGGGCAGAGCTACAGGACGATGCTGCGGGAGAGAGCGCTCGCGGCGGCGGAGGCGCGCGGCGCCGCGGCGGCGGCGCGCGGCGGCGGCGGCGACGGCGACGACGGCGGCGGCGACGGCGACGGCGACGGCGCGCCGCCCGCGGAGAGGGTGCCGGACCCGAGGTTCGACTACTACGCGCTCGAGAACAGGCCCGTCGGCGGCGGCGGAGGAGGGCCGAAGCTCGAGGACGAGGACGGCGCGGGAGAAGAGGACGGGGCCGACGAAGACGGCGACGACGACGACGACGACGACGACGACGACGACGACGAGGAGGAGGACGACGCCGACGCCGACGCCGACGGCGAGGACGCGACGCGCGACGACGACGAGCCGCCCGACGCCGCGGAGACGACCGTCGCGGAGGACGAGGAGGAAGAAGCGGACGAGGAGGAGGAGGAGGAGGGAGACGACGACGAAGAGGGCGAGGAGGAGGAAGGAGAGGAGGAGGAGGAGGAGGAAAGCTGATTTCGGTCCGGTCCGGTCCCAGTCCGGTAAAATCCGGTCCGCATCCGCCGCGCCGGTCCGCGTCTTTCCTTCCTTGGACGCGGCCGAATCTCGGAGAGCGCGATAGTAGCCCGCGCGCCCTCTTAAAGCGCGCCTTCGCCGCACGTTTCCCGCTTCGTATCGCGCGCCACCGCGAAGCGTCGTCGCACTTCTCCCCTCGCGCCGCCGCCCCCCCGCCCACGCGCGCGCGCGACGAAACCGCCGCCTCCGGTCCCTCCCCTCCTCTCGCGATGCCTCGCTCGTCCGTTTCGCGCGTCGCGCCCGCGCTCCTCGCGCTCGCGCTCTTCGCCGGCGACGTCCTCGCCGCGGACGCGGCCGTGTATTACGGCCGCCACCGCGGCTGGGGCGGCGCGACGGTCGTTCGCCGCACGACGGTCGTTCGCCGGCCCACCTACGGCCGCGGCGTCGCCGTCGTCGGACGACGCGGGCTCCTGCAGGACGACGACGAATACGACGCGTCGTACGAGGCGCCGGACGTCGAGGACGACGTCCTCGACGCCGCCGCGCTCGCGCCCGCGCCCGCGCCGGCGTCCGCCGCGGTCGCCGCGGACGGCTGCCTCACCGTGCTCGACGTCGTCGAGACGCGTCCCGAGCTGAGCGCGCTGCGCGACGCGCTCGCGTCGCTGCCGAACATCCGCGCGGCGATGGACGACGCGTCGCGGACGGACACGTTCTTCGCGCCGACGAACGACGCGATCGACGGGCTGACGCGATGGGGCGGCTTCGTGGAGCGCGCCAAGGTGCGACCTCCGGCGACGCGGCGACGGCGGCGAACGCGCGGTCCTTTCTTCTTAGGGCTTCCGTAAATCCGTTCCCTTGGATTTCTCGGATCGACCTCAACCTCTCCGAGTCTCAGCTTCTCTTCTCTTCGGCGGAAGGGCGGGGAAGACTCCTTTCCCTCTCCGTCCTCTCTCTCGCTCACCCTCACCCCTCCCCCCTTACCCTCTCCCCCGATCGATCGCGCGCAGGGCATCGACGAGATGCTCGGCGACGTCTCCCTGAAAGCGCTCATCATCGCCTACCACGCCGTCCCGGGCGTCGCCTACGACGCGGCGACGCTCGCCGAGCTCGGCGCCTCGGGCGCGTCCTTCGTCCCTTCGTCTCGCGCACTAGTCCCCATACGACCGCGTCGGCGTGGTGAACGCCGATCCTTCAGGACTTTCCCCGGCGTTTTTCTCCGCCCACACCTCGCTTTCAATCCCCGCCCTCGATGTCTTTCAACTCCGCTTCTGACGCCTTTGAACTCCACCCCGCGCGGTCAGGCGTCGACAACTACCTCGACACCGGCCTCGCGCGCATCCTCGCCGCGGGCGACGTCGTGGACGACGACGCCGGCGGCGGCTCGTCCGCCGCGGAGCCTCTCGTCGTGGACGAGCACGAGGGGAACGTCTTCATCAAGGGCATCGGCAGCGAGGCGAAGGTTTTGACCGCGGACGTCGCCACGTGCGGCGGCGGGTTCGTGCACCTTATCGACGCGGTGTTGTTGCCCATCGACGGCGACGGCGTGCTCGACGAGTTTCAACAGCGGCGCGTGAAGGCGATCCGCGACCGCGCGCGCGCCATCGCGGAAACGCGGCGCGCGGCGAGGACCGAGGACGAGGACGACGTCGACGAGGACGAGGACGACGCGGGGACGGCGGCGGCGCCCGCGGCGGCGCCAGCCGCGGCGGGTCGCCGCGGACGCGGCGGCGGCCGTTCGCTGCTCCAGGCTGCCCGCGTCGACGTCGAGGGCGTGCTCGAATCCGTCGGCGCGATGGTGAACGAGATCCAGCGCGTCGTCGAGACCGCGGACGAGGACGACGTTCGGAAGATCGTGGACGCCGTCGGCGAGATGGTCGAGGACGTGCGCGAGACCGTCGACGACGCCGACGCCGCCGACGCGCCCGCGCCCGCGGCCCGCCGCCGCGCGCTGAAACAGCTCGACGACGCGGACGCGGACCTGGAGATGCTGATGCCCGAGGTGCCCGACGAGTGGGGCGAGATGGAGATGGCGCCCGCGCCCGCGCCGGCGCCCGAGATGATGACGCGCCGCCGCCGCGCGCTGAAGCAGGTCGACGTGGACGTGGAGTCGCCGATGGAAGAGGTCGACGAGTGGGGCGAGATGGACGGGATGGCGCCCGCGCCCGCGCCGACGCCGACGCGCCGCCGCGCGCTCAAGCAGTACGATCTCGACGACTACGAGATGCCCGACCTCGACGGCGACCTCGCGGGTATGGCTCCCACGCCCGCGCCCGCGCCCGCGCCCGCGCGCCGCCGCCGCCGCCGGCTGCTGCAACGGGCGACGCTCACCGACGTTGGTGGGGCGATCCAGACCGCGGGCGAGGACTTGGTCGCGCGCGTGGGAGACCTCATCGCGGAGGCGACGGACGAGGACGTGATGGACGGGATGGCGCCCGCGCCCGCGCCGATGATGGCGTGATGCGAGCAGAGACGAACGAACGAACGGACGGACGGACGAACGAACGAACGAAGCCGCGACGCGTCGCGAGAAGAGAGAAGGAACGAGAAAAAGTAAAAGCCAAAAAAAGAGAGAACACCGCGCCGCCGCCAGCTTGGCGCTCTTTTGAGATACGAACACGAGCACGCACGAACGAAACGTAACACGAAACCGAAACCGAAACGACGCGCGCGTTACTCTCACGACGTACGAAGGTAGTATTGTAGACCACATCTGATGGTGTATCTAACGACAAGCTAACGGCTACTTCGGCGGCGGCGGCGGCGGCGGCGGCACGCGTTGCATCACCGGCGGCGTCCCCGTCCGCGGCGGCGCGCCGACGCCACCGAGTCCGCCCACGATCCCCGGCGGCGGCGGCACGGTCATCATCCCCGGAGGCGGCGGCGCCATCCCCATCCCCATGCC